GGGGGGGGGGGGGGGGGGGGGGGGGGGGGGGGGGGATGCGAAGCAGCGGCTGCAACTGCAAGCTGTTGGTCCACGGCTAAATTTCGAGCGCAGCAGCTGGGCAAAGGTTATTCGGCTGGCTGCCAAGAGCGCATCAGCCAGCAGCATCCAAAAGGCTGTGTCGGATGCGCGAAATTGAAATTTGGACGCCGCCAGCGGAGGCGACCAGCGCAGAGACGACTACGGGAGCCAAGAGCGGAGACAAAAAACAGCTTCGGCTACGGCGCTGTCTAGCTTTGGCCGCGCGATGGCGGCGGCAGCCATCTGAAGTTCAGGGTCGACATCGGACGCCGCGCAACGCCTCAGCCGACCATGCGCAGTCATTGCCGGCCATACAGTGACTAGGCTCGAGCTCCGCGCGGACGCTGGCGGCGACGCAAACGGGGCACCGTGGCTTCGTAAGCTCTGAGTTGGAGCGCTGAACCCCGACGCAGGCTTTGCACGGTCGACTATTGTGCCCGACTGAGCCGTAACTTGCCGGAGAGCGAACGAGATGAAAAGAAACGGCAGCGTCTTGGTGCTGCCTCTGCGGCAACCATGAAAGAGTGGCCGTGGCCGAGAACCGCATGGAGAGCCTCGAGCAGGCCAGGCCAAGTCGTCGCCATGCTTCCGGTTCTAGTGGCGCCTGCAAAATTCGGCAGGGTTCGCCGTTCTCGAAACGCGCTGCTCTGCGCGGCGTCGGAATGCCGAAGAGTCGGATGGCCTCCGAACTAGCTCCGAACCCAACAAGACGAGGCGACCCACCGCAGAATACTCTGTAGCTCATCTTCAACAGCCCGGTCCACATCTCATGCCATCGGCTCGGCCGGCCAGCTAAGAATGACAGAGGCCCAATGGGGGCATGGCGTCCAAGATCGATCTTCTCGAACGCTTCCCGGTGATGCCCTGAGAGGGTGAAGACTTGGCGGAGCTGCTGCGATTATGGAATCGGGTCGATTGGCTGGATGCTCACCCGATCTGACCTGACGCAAGTCCGTATTTCCACACAGCAATTCGATCTGGCACGCCCAAATGATTTAGTATCGTACGATAAACCCGAACAAAGGGCTGACCAGTTCTGACAAATGCTTAGCTGTTGCATCCTCACCTGCTGCGGCCAAACTGCCGCTACCGTGGCTCCCTTCAGCCATTCCAGATGTCCTTTCGTCAAGGTTACATAGACCGCCTTGACCTCTTCTCCACAACATTGCACAACAAGATTGCAGAGGGTATATCGAGGGCTCGCTCCTAGGCCACTGGGTGGTGCCACAATGGGAAAGATGAAGCAGCGGACTGGGCCACGGTCAGCCGACCAGGCCCCGCACTGGTGAAGGTGCTGGCTCAGCTTTCAAGTTCAAAGTCGTGCTTCGACTTGAATCGAGGCCTTTTGAAGGGGAAAAAAAAAATCGATCACCCTGAATCCGGTGCCTTTTGGAATGCAAAAGGCTGTCCAAGAAGAATTGAGCTGGGCTCGGGCCGCTTTTTTGGCTCGAGACTAACACCCAAAGGCAACCTCGCTCTCGTGACTCTCGCGGCTGGCAGTGGCTATGCAGAAAAAGGTCAGAAATGCGCGTTCCCTTTGTCTGAGCGTGTAAGGCAGGCGAGTGTGTGTGTGTGTGTGTGTGTTGAGAGAAGGTGAATGAGTGGGGCAGCTCAGCGCGGCGCGAGCCAGCCTGCCAGCCAGCCCAGCGCCCGCGCATCCGCCTTCCGCATTAAGGAAGCGGCCTGCCCACAGCAGCCAGTGCAAAATGACCCGCGCTGCTTGGCAAGGCAGCTGCGCCTCGAGTCGACGTCGGCGGCTGTTGCTGCTGCTCTGTTGCTGCGCTGCTGGCTCGCTCTCTCACCGATCTCGCCTGAGCCTTGGACCGCGCGCCGGCGAAGCTTTGTGCAGCGGGCCTTCTAGTCCGTCACTCAACTCGTCATTCTCTACCCTTACTATCACCTTCTACCATCCTGCCCTCTGCTCGCTCCGTGATCTTCTCCATCGGGTTCCGACATCTGCACACGGCTTCTGTCTCGTCCTCCGCCTTACGCTCCAGCTTGTGCCATCAGGTCGCCGTGCAGCTCAGCTCGTCCTAGGCATAGGACTTGCTCGCCCCTCTCCCTCTGGGCATCTATCGACTCCACAGTCTGCAACCAACGCACTCCATATATACACAAAAACAATGTCGGCCACAGCTTCACGCAGAGGGTCCTTCCCTCGCCCCAAGGGTCGCTCCAACCAACAGGTGCAGGACGACACCGAGGAGGTGCGCAACCTCCGCGCCAAATACTCGGATCAGCTCGCCATGATCCGTGAACTCTTCCCCACCTGGACCGACGAGGACCTCCTCTTTGCACTCCAAGAATCGCTCGGCGACGTCGAGAACGCCGTCGTCCGCATCTCCGAAGGTCAGGTCGAGCAGTTCTCTTCCGTCAAGTCAAAGAAGCACGTCAAGAAGGAGTCCAACGTCCACCACGCGGCTCCCGCACCCCACGCTTCCGCACCTCCGACCACCACCGCACCTCACGCCGCCCGAGGAAACCACATCGGCGCCCCTGCCGGCCGCGGTCGTGGCGGTGCTTCGGTGCGAGGCGCTCGCGGTGGTCGAGGCGGCTTCCGCGGCGTCGGTGGACGCGGCGGTGGCATCGCTCCTCAGACCAACGGCCACGACGTCAAGACGCCCGAGACCATCGAGGCCACCACCGCCCAGGCCTTTGCCCCCATCGCTACGCCCACCACCGGCACCAGCTGGGCCGCCGCTCTCGGAAGGTCCAACAACAAGTCGCAACCCGTCCCAGCCGCACCCGCCGCACCCGCCGTGCCCGCTCCCGCACCTGCACTCGTCGAGGAATCCAGCGACGCTTCCCTCGGCGCACCCGTCGCGCCTGCCGATACCGCTGCCGCGCCAGCCCCGGCTGCCGAGATCGTCGCCCCTCAGGCCACTGAGAGCGCCACCACCACTGGCGCTCTCTCTTCCTCCAACGACAAGCCAGTGCCCGCTGTCAAGGTTCCAGCTCCCTCCAAGCCCGCTGCCAAGCCTGCTGGCATGAGCTGGGCTCAGATCGCTCGCAAGTCGGAAGCACCCAAGCCCGCTCCCGCTCCGGCTGCCTCGGCCGCATCCGAAGCCGCCCCCGCCCCATCTGCAGAGACTGCTGCCGCCGAATCCGCCACCGCTGCCCCCACCGAGTCGGCCGCATCGGCTCAACCCGATGTCTCCGCCGAGCAGCCGGCTCCGGATGCAGTGGAGGCGGTCGCAGAACCCACCGCCGACCCTGTCGCTGACGTCAAGGAGGATGCCGCCCCGGCTCCTGCTGTCTCCGAGTCGGTCGCTCCCGAGGCCGCGCCTGCCGCCGAATCCGCCAGCGCCGCCCCCGCCACTGGCCCTCCTGGTCTCTCCAAGGCCGCTCCCCGTGCCCCAGCGCAGCGATCCTCCCAACGCGCACGACAGGACGCTCCGGTCGTCATGGCTGGTGGCTCCTCCCAGCTTGACAAGCTTGGTGTGCAATTCGGCTCGCTCAACTTCCTTGGCGGCGATGCCGAGGACGCTGCCGAGACGGCCGAAGAGTCTCCTGCTGCCGCCGAACCCGAGGCTGCTCCCGCTGCGGCCGCGCAGACCGCAGCCGTGCCTTCGGCTCAACGCCAGGACGCCCAGGTTGGACAGGCACAGACCGAGTCCTACAACCAGCAGCCTGCTTCCGCCCAATACAACGGCTTCAAGTCGGACTCTTTCGACAACTCCTACGGCTTCACCGGCCAGCAGCAGCAGCAGCAAGCTACTCCCGCTCAGTCCGCTGCCCAGCCCCAGCAGCAGCAGCAGGCTGCTCAGGAGCAGATCCACGGCTACAACGGCTACAACTCGATCGGTCAGGGTCAGGCCGCCTCCCAGCCTCAGCCTCAGCAGGGCCTCCAGGACTACTCGTCCATGTACGGTGGCTTGGACACCCAGCGCCTCGCCCAGTTCTACGGCGCTTACGACCAGGGCTCCAACGCCTTCGGCCAGCGATCCGACGACAAGTCTCAGCAGCAGGCCTCGCAGCAGGGTCAGCAGTCGCAGCAGCAGGCCGGCTCGCAGCAGGCTGGCGAGCCTCACCAGCCTCAGCACCACCAGGGCCACCAGGCAGGTCCCGGCCTCCAGCAGGCTCCTCAGCAGCAGTTCCCCGGCATCATGCCCTACTACTACCCCCACTACTACATGCCCAACCAGTTCCAGCACTACGCTCAGCCCACCGCCGGCTACGGTCAGTACCCTGTGTACGGCCAGCCTGCTGGCCAGCCCCAGCACCCGTCCAAGCCTGGCACGCCCGCCAACATCGCTTCGCCTTACAGCCAGGGTCCCCAGAGCGACGCCAGCGCATACGGCGCTCAGAACCACTACGGCCAGACCCCAAGCTCGGCTGGCCTCGCCTCGTACGACCAGGGCTTCAGCCGTGGCATGCCTGGCCTCGGCGGCATGTCGGACTACTCCAAGATCTACGGCGGTGCCATCCCGGGTCTCGGCGGCTTCCTCGGCAGCGGTGCGGGTGGCGCGCCGCCTTCGCAGAACGCTGCCTCGGGCAACGCTGGATCCGGCAACGCTGGCACGCCCCACATGGGCTCGCAGCAGAAGTCGGGTGCCTCTTCCGGCAGCGCGCTCGACAGCTACCGACAGTATGATGCCAACGCCTCCAAGGGCTCGGCACAGTCCGGAGCCGCCTCGGGCCAGGTCGGACGCGGCCAAGGCCAGTCGCAGGCTCAGCCGCAGGTGCAACAGCAACAGCAGCAGCAGCAGGCACAGCAGCAGCAGGCGCAACAGCAGCAGCAGCAACAGCAGTACTACCAGCAGTACGGCGCCTACGGACACCAGGCCAGCAGCAACGCCTACTCCAACTACCCCTACGCACGCCAGTACTGGGGTCAGTAGACGCCTCCCTCCCATGAGTGCCTTGGACGGCTTGCAGCCGCGTTGCGCTCATCGCACCACTCAACCACCCTTGCCCGGATCGAGACATTGTTCGTCCCACGATGTGGCGCCCCTCGTCAGCGCTCTAATCCGATGCTAAGAAGAAACAATTGACACGTCGCATCGAATTGATCTGCGGAAATACATGTCATCCTCGCGCCTTGTGCCCTGTTGCAGTCTGTGACGAGCGTGTGTGTATTGAAACAGAAAGTGGTGACAAGTGGAAGGAGAAGAAGAGGGAGAGTGAAAGCGAAAGCGGGTATTTGTTAGGTCGGAATTGACGACATTCTAATGCTAAATCCGGCCTGGATGAAAGTAGCGAGCTAGACGGACCGGATCCGTCGGGTAAGGGGGACGGGAAGGGGCGAGGTGGCAAAAACCCTGGGACCCATAGCACACAAAGGTCGAGTGACAGCTTCGCTAAAAGATGTTCGGTGAGCGAGCCGAGGATGGACGGGCAAGCGACTGGGAAATGGATGCGGTGCGGGAGGCAGAGAAAGTGCGATTGCGGCGTTCTTGGGATCGAGCTCGGCGGCTACGAGCTCGGGGAAAACGCGCGGTTGCCGAGTTGGCAGATTCGCTTATTAATAACTCGAGGTGGGTAGCATGTGAGCGTATACGTGCGCGTGGAGATCCAGCTCGAGCAACACAGCCAACCAATCTCCCACCCCCCAGGTACGGGTGGCAAGCCGCGCTACCAGACTAGAGCCGCCCTGAAGCTAACAGCCGATACAGATGGCGGTATGACACATCAATGGGACTGCTTCGGAAGCGCACAGCCGAAGTCTCTCCACGACATGTGCCTCGATTGACAGCCAGCGCGCGCAAAGTGCGATTCGTGTGCGCATCGCGCCTCCCGCGCCCGACGCTACCGTGGGAAGCTCGTCTCTGCTTCCGCAGTGCGGTTAAGACACTCCTTCCCCGCACTTTTGGCCTCTCTACCGCACTCCCGAGGCTAGTCAGGCACTTGGATGAACCTCTGGGGGTGAGACAAGCCTAACCAGCCCCCTAGAGTTGCCGGATCTAACGATCGTGTACTTTTGAGGGGAAGACAATGTCGTCAATGCGCCCGTCGGAGTCGTACCCGATTCTGGTGACAAGCGTGTTGTAGGTCCAGCTGGAACGAGCTCGGATGTGCAGCCTAGGCAGGCTCCGCACAAGGCTGCGTGGATTTTGCAAGGTGCTGCTTGGACTGTCACCATCATCGGCGCTTGGGCGCAAGGCAGTCTATTTTCGCGCCCGAAGGGCAGATTGTCTCCGACAGCATGGTGAGCATTTGCAATTCGCTTGATGCACATGTGCTTGAAAGCGACGTCTGACACTCCCATGGCTCCGGGATGAGAAATGAGGCCTTCAATAGGCGAGCGCGGCTGTGTCGTGTCGCCGAGCATGCATGCGTGATGGGCGCTCCTTAAACTCAAAACGTCCGAGTCGCTAATCCTCACACCGATCGAGAAGACTCTGGGTGCAATCGGCACAATGGACACCACGATGCTTCCATCGATGGTTCCATCGATATCGGATCGGCATAGACGAGTCTGTCTGGCGCCTAAAACGGAAATATGAACGGGGAGCAGGTCACATGTGGTCTCGATGGTCTCGGAACGGCGCGCGCGACAGCAAACTGGATCTGGCGGCGTCAGGGAGGCGCAGTGTTGGGTTCAGACGGAGTAAAGGGAATGCTGTCAGGCAAAGGAAGAACGCCCTACCGTGTCTCACTCCGGCCTCCTGTCAAGGTGGCGCGGTTTCAGGCGGGGCTGAAGGAAACTTCAAGACGTGCGGGCGCCGGGTGAACGGTGCAGAGCACGGGCATGACAGGCAAGACCCTGGAGTTTGAAAAGAGCCGGAATGCAGACGTGACGATCGCATGATGCCTTCAAGCCGGGCCCCATGAATGAATTTTATTTACGCGCAACCCGGAAGGCTTTGGCGCTGCCGAAATCTGCTTGACTGCATTCGCGCGCATGCTTGGCGAGCGAGGTTTGAGATGCCGCCCAACGGAAGGGCAGAGTGGCGTGGATGTCGACTTCAGTAAGCGATGATGCCGAGCGGCTCGGCGTTTATGGGGATGCAACGGGTGGGAGCGTAGGCGCGAGATTGAGCATGCGAGACCCAACGATACGGAAAGTGCGAATGACAGCTATTGGCAGGTCTGTCCGAGCTGTCATCGGAAGAATCGATCTACAATTAGGCTTGTCGGGGTTCCGTATGGACCAATACGGGCGCTCAAAGAGATGAGGGGATGGGCCTCCATGCGCGCCCCGATCGTCACGTCGCGAAGGTTAAGGGACAAGCGAGGCGACCCCGCCGACCCGATGGCACCACATGGACGGTGGCGAACTTGTGCGATCCTCACTTGCATCTCTGTACAGTAGCTGCAACATCACATAGCCGATGTCCTGGCATGAGCCAGAGTCTATCCGAACGGCCCTTCCCTTTCCACCGGCTAAAGGAGACAATGATGTCGCGACGTCGCGTCAGACACAGGCTTGAGTCAGAAACAAGCAGCGGGTGTTGGACGCTTGACCAGCCCTATGGCGCTGTCGAGCTTAAGCTCCCTCGACATGGGGCCACAGCAGCCTGCCTCGGCTGCGTATTGCGCGCGAGAGTCGACAACCAAAGAGCCAGTGACGAGAACGGACCGATCAAAGAGCCAAGAGCGTGCAGAGCAGCATCGGGGATGATCGTATCGCCTCAGTGATGGTCGGGCTGCGCACGTTCCCGATTGCGCTCTCCGAGGCTGTGACGGGTGCCAGGTGCGATTGTAGCAAGCGTCACAGCGTCACTTCCCGAGGGTAAGCTGTCGGCACCGGCCAACGACTGCAGGGACTGCAATCGAGGAAAGACCGGAATCGGAACTTCTTGCATTGCAACCGCGGGAGCCGCAGACGACCTCGCGTCTGAGCTGTACCCGGCAGCCCGGGGCGCGTTGCCGCCAACCCTTCCTCGCAAAAGAAGCAGGCGACGGCCCGTGTCTGTGACGGGAATGCAGGCAGCGGAGGGAGCCGTCTGGTGCCTGTGCGGACAAGCCATGAGACCAATTTCGTCTCTCGGCCTGCCTTGATTGCATGCCGTGCTGCCGTGCTCAAGCGCATCGTGGGAAGCCGCGTCTCGCTTACGCCTCGCGACAGCTCCACAGGAACGCCCTGCATGCGTTGCCACCGCACGCGTGCAGTCCCATCTCCGCCTCTCGAATTTGCCACTCAAAAAACCATATTTTCTCAGCACGACGCAGCGTCGGATAAGGTGACAAATGGACAACCAGAGCCCGCGGCCGCTGGATACGCATGCTTCTGACGAAGTGGTGTGGCGTGCCACTGCACAGCTGCGCAGTCGTGCCGCTCCGACCCATTGTGCTCGCTGCTCCCGTGTCATTTTGGCCAACGCCACTGGTTGCTCTGCCAAGAACGCGGGACAGAGAGTTTTGTGTCTCCTCAACGGCAACACGCCTGGCTCCTGGCTCCAAAGGAAAGTTGGCAATTGGCTCCACGTGGCTGGTCGACGCCCCTGTTTCCGTCGTTGCTCAGGAGGACAAGGAGATGCCTTTGTGCTGCTCTCGTTTGCAACTTGGCGTGCTGTGCGATCTGCAGTTGGTACACCCAATGGGATGAAAAGATAAAGACCCTGCGTGGGTGGGCCTGCAGGGTAACAGCAAGCCATCTGGGCTGTGCTTTTCATTGGCGCCCCGCGCGGATCGGAAATACGGAGCGGAATCGCAACAGATCCACATCAGATCTCAGGTACACCGACACCGCGAAAGTGTCCGGTCGGAGTCCCGATTCGCACCGCCCTTGCCGCAACCCGAACAAAAGCTGCACGTGTGGATAGGGCAAGAGGCACGCCCGTTTCATGAGGGCGATCGACGCGAAATGACCAGCCACATTGCCATCCCTGTACCCTTCCACCACCAGCTGCCACGGAACACCATTCGACATTCCGCTCGTGCTTGTCAGCTGTTCTGCTTTGTTTGCAAAGCCGGGTCAAGGCAGCCTTCCAACGTGCGTCTTTTGCGTGGCTCGCACCAGCGTTGGCTCAGCGTGCACCGTCACGACACGACCCTGTCAGTTCCTGAGTCGGATGATGGGCGATGCAAGATCGATGCTAATGCGTGCCAGATCTGCGCGATCGGCCATCGTCCAACGCATCAGCTTGTACGAGGTTATGCGCCCCCTTACAGAAGCGCGGGCAACCAGTCCGAGACCATCTCGTGGCAGAAGCAGCATGGTCGGCGTGCGAACTCCGCTGCTCGTCTGGGGTTGGCCACAGTCTCCAACGGACAAGGTTTGGATGCACGTCGCTGTCGAGTCGCGTCCATCCGAAACACTTAGCCGCCCCAAGAGGCATGAGCCCCGGCCAGCCCGACAGGCGCTTCGCTTAGCCACTTTCTCCCACGCCCAAACCGCCACCATGGCCCAGAAAGAAAAAGAAAAAAAAAGAAAAAAGAGGAAAAACAAAAGAAATAAATTCTTTGTGAAGCGCTTAGGATTCATTCTGAGATTCGAGAGATGCACGGAATTAATCAATTGTTCAAACAAAAGAAATCCTCCATTGTCTCTCCTGTCTGATGGGTGGACGTGGCTGTCGATTCGAACTCGCAGAAGACTTCAGGCGCGTCGGGTGCCCATTAAGGATTAAACTTTGAGAAATGCAACTCAGCCCGTTCCGAGCTTGGCGGACTTGTCGCCTTGCCGCACTGTCTGCACACTGGGTCGCAAAAAGGTGAGCCCGTGCGCGGAATGCCAGCCAAGCCCCACGGCCAGTCGCCCTCTGGTATCCGCGGCCACTGATGCTCGCTTCCTTCCTTCTTCGCCTTGTCCCGCCATGCCAACACTGCCCGCGATCGTCCCAGCGCGGATCAGGCTGTACACCCTGCCACAGGGGCGGAGTGTCAAAACTGGCAGATGGAATCTCCAGTGTTTGGCAAGTATCACCCGAATTCCGACCGCAGGGCAGCCAGGCACGCAGTATGACGGGGTAGCGGCGTGCCAGTGCGTATGCAGCTGCATCATTACCTGAATGCAGTCGATCCAGCGGTTTTGGCGCCCAGCACGGATCTGTGTGTGGCAAACTTTGCTCCGCGCTGCAAGAGAGCATTGCACCATGTACCAGATCGAGTTAGTTGGATGCCCGGTGCAGCCGGAGGGTTACAGTGTATTGCAGCAGTCAGGGCCGTGAGAGTGCGTCGGGGCTGTCTCAGCCATTCCGTCATGCGTGTGCACGAGCGCCTTTCGTACCTGCCGCGATCGCTATCCTGTTTGTGTTTGTTACTGACACCTTTGTTTGCCATTGCCGGCAAGATTGACCGTCGTGGCATCGTATCATTTGGTGAGGCTTTGCATCACCACATCCGGTGGTGAGCTCTGCCCTCACCTTCGATCGCGTCACGTCGGACCGCGGACGACACCCGCGGTTATGATGAATGATAGAACACGAAGCTTCGGCAAAGATCCTCGCGTGTCGGAATCGACAGTGCCGGGCGCGGGCGACTGTCGCCACACGGCGGGCGTGTCACGCACGAGGGGCGCGGGGCGGCCGTGTCCCCGGCCCTGGAAAGGGTGATAGGGTCGTCTGCGCGTCTGCATGCGTTGCACACTCGGATCCATGGAGGCTGGCGCGCTAAGCGAGCCAAAACCAACACCGCTCTCGGTCGGCTTTCCGAATCCGTCTGCGAGGTGTAGTATTCCGTCGGAGACCCAGCTGCAAACCTTTTTCGAGCCTCTCGTGTCTGCGGTCGATTCACACTTGGGGCTTCAGTCTTGGCTGGTCAGGACGACCCGAGCAGAAAAGTCTAGCTGTCGCGGCATTCCAACGACCGCGCAGATCAACCTGGCCTGGAGACCCTGCGAGCTGTCGTACCGTTGTCGTCATCGTCTGCCGTCGTTGCGGTGCAGATGACGTTTCAGAAACGAGCCGGCAATTTGTGGTTCGCTCAACTCGAATCGAACTCGACGCATCTTCAGAACTTCGCGGTCAAAGGATGGGATCCAACTGAAGGGAAGCGAAAAAGAAAAATCGATCCCTGGAAATGAACTGGAAATTGGGGCTCCGAATTTGGCGAGCCGGGAAGCCCGAAGCGGAGCTGCTGTCAGGCCCGCAACTGACACACGCACCCGAGACCAACACGAAGCAATCACGCGCCTCTGTCCCGCCGACCGAGAGCGTAGCATGGCTCCCCGCCTTCGATCTTGCCAAGGACGCATGTCCACATCCCGGCCGGGAAATTCCCTCCCGTGCGAAGACGGCATCCAACTCACGCTCCTGGCTGGACGGACCGGGACGGAATAGGAAGCAAGAATTGAGACCAGGGTGGAAGACAGCTGGCCAGGTCTACCTCGCGAGGACCCTGGAAACGATCAAAGCTCCGAAGGAGCACAAGTCAGGCAGCTCGGGAGATGCACCATGCAGAAGCAGACGAGCCGAAAGCCTGTCCGTGGACGGCTAGTAGCGCGAGGACCACCATGACACTTCAAACGCCGAGCTCTGCTGCTGCGAGGGGAGAGTCACAGTAGACGCGCAATTGCGTTGAAAGCTCGCGCCTGCTGCTTGTACGAGCTGCGTCTGCAAGCCTCGCCACAAGCTTCCGAGCGCAAGTCGACAGATGTGCAGCATCGAAACATCGCGCGTGGATCGATGGGAAACTAGCGCCGCCTCGCCTGTGCGCCTCGCCAGCCATGGAACACATGCACAGGCCCTGACGTCTGTCGATCGGTTCATATCGCCATCGACACCCTACGCGCCCGTCGGAGCACGCAGACCGAGACTCTGCGACGCCTCTATTATTATAATAAAATTCAGACTAGCTCCACCAGATGCAGCTCCACCAGATGCAGCTCCACCAGATGCACCGAGACCCTTACCGCTCGCCGAAACAGCGGTTCGGTCCATACGCATCCGATCGTGGTCGCCACGGCTGCCTTCACCTTGGTTGTAGGTCGTGCGATCCGAACTGGCGATCGTGTGCGGTCTCAGCGAGGATCGTCGCAGCCTTTCATACGCAACACGAGTGCGCACGGTCGCATCGCTGGGTCAGGCGGGGTTTGGAGAAGCACGTCGCATTCCAGTCGCGGTCGAGCACCTCCCCACCTGCGTTCTCAGACCAAAATGCAGTGGTTTATGGAAATCAATCATTAAATAGTAAATTCGTCCCGTTTGAAAATTAATTTTTGTTGAGGGCGGGGAAGTGCCTGCGGCGTTGCAAATTTAATTCCCGAATTCGAACCTCAAGCGGCTGACCGCTAAAGACGCACAGCGCAAGCGCCTCTACCACCAATCGGGTGCGTCTGCTGGGCGGCTAAGCTGACAGCCCCTTGCGTCGGGTTGGCTTAGGCAGCTCCTTCTCCCTCTCTCTCTCACTGCCTCTCTGCCGCACTGCGCCCCCACCCCCTTTTTGAAGCCCAGCTAATTTGCAATTTACCCACTGATTTGCACATGGCTCGTCTCAGCTTGACACGAGAGCGGGCTCGCAAAGTGCGCTTGTGACCTTACCGCCAGCCAGCTGGCCGACGCGGTTGCCAATTAATCCATTGCGCCCCATGCCCAGCCGACAAGCCTCATTTTCTTGGACGCCCCGCGGTTCAGCTCAGCCCAGCGCAGAGCAGCCAGCGATGCAAAGCCGAGCCAGCCAGCCATTTGTCCATTGAGAGGGCCGCCTCAGCCGAAGCCGCCTCGTCTCCCCCCATCCCTCGCTAACAGTACCACTGGACGCGACTCTCCTGATGGCTCTAGTGTGTGGCAAATTCAGGTCGGTCTAGCAAGAGAGCGAGCAGGAGGGATCCCACGGTGAAGCCGGTCGAGGGCAGTGTCGAAGGCGCGAAGCAGCCCTTTTGCTCCCCACACCTGCCCCTTTTGGATCGCCCGTGTCAATCCACGGTCCCTGCCGCCTTGTCGCATAATTCAGCGCCATTCCAGTGTTGCTTGGGACGGCAAGCAGCTGCTGCAGCAGTGCAGCACGCCACCATGCGCTCCATCTCGCACGCGTGCCTGCTGAACTTGCCTCGTCCAGCGTGCGGCTGCCCGTCCATGCCGGCCTGGTTTGCCGATCATTCCTTCCCACAGCCCTGGCCCCAAATCTTGATCCCGGCGATTGGAGCGCTTGTGCATGCGACCTCTGCAGCTGCAGTTTTTCCCATCCGCCACCCAAGTGGCCCGCCAACCACCCATATTTCACCAACGCCTGGATTCCTGCCTCTTTCTGGGCTTCTCCCGCTGTCTTGGCCAACGTGCAGCTGCCGTTCTTTCGCCCGTGGCCGCGGGACCATGGCTGGACCTCATCAGACTCTGGCCCTGGCTCGCAATGCACCAGCGAGCCGTCCGCGTCCTGGCGTCGACCCGTAGCACCTGTCGGGTTGTGCCTGAGCAACTGTCCCCCTCCTGCCCTCTTAGCCGCGCGGGGACTCCGACCGTGCTGCAATTCTGCTTGTCCGACCAACACTTCCGCAGATCTTGCCTCAGATGGGCAACGTCGCTTGCCATGCGTGCCTCTTTTGGTTGCTTCCTGTCGCGCTCTGCCTCGCCTCTCGGCTGGTTCGTACCGCCAGCCACCCCCTCGAGTGCCGTACAGAAAGACGCCGGATCCTGTCGCTACTCGACACCTGCCGCACTACAGGGCACCTTGAGTGGCACTCGAACGCGACTCGGTCACCCCTTACCGTGGGTCACGTCCTGCACAGCGCTTACCCAGACTCCAGAATGATACAAAACCACATTGGCTCCGCCCTCTGCTCCCCTCATCCTCACATTTCCCCCTTTTCCCCCATCGCCCTGCTCCGTCCCCCACTGGTCCCATTTTCGTGCTTCCGCCACACCACAGCCTCTGCAGCATCACCTCATAGCATTCAGTCGTCCTTCCGTGCAGACTTGCCCAGAGCCGCCTCTTGAAGAGTCGCCCTCACCATCACGACCCAGTAGCTCTTGCTTTCACCACCCACATATACTGTGGCATCAGCGAGCAGCTAGCATCAATCACGACGACAAGCATCAGTTTTTCCGCATCCTCTCTATCTGCACGCCAGTCATCTATCTGCCATCCGACGTAATCGCCATCGCCATCGCCGTGCCAGATCTCCTAATACCTTAATCCAGCAGACCTCGCCATCGTTCCTCGTTACCCATCTGTCACGTACTACCTCTTCCCCATAACATTGCCATCATGTACGGTCCCTTGAGCACTCCAGACTCGGTCTCGAGCGATGCACATGACCTTGGTCACAACTCCCTCGGCTTGCTCGACAACCTCTCGCCAGAGCTGCACGCGTCTTCGGGCGTAGCCATGTCCGAGTCGCATTCGATGCCCCACTTTGGCTATTCTGGCAGCTTGCCTCACGCGTCGTTTGGTGCGCGTCGCAGCTCAGTGAGCTCGGCCGCCTCCTCCTCTTGCCTCAGTCTCGGCCAAGCATCCGACCACTCGAATGCGCCTGGCTCCTATTCGCCGCGCTCCTTCACACCCAACGAGTCGCCCATCGCGCTGCCCGGCTCGCTTACCTCGCTTTCGGGCCTGGCCCTCGGCACACCGGACGCACCTGGCCACCACGAGCTGCATGGCTACGCCGACCACGCTGCATTCCACCCCAATCAGCACAACGCCTTGCTTGCGCTTTCTCACGGCCAAGACGAGTTCAGCCTCGAGATGCCACCGCCCTCCAACATTCGTCGCCGGGCTGCGCAGTCGTTCGACGTCTCGATGCTCTCCACCCACCAGGCCGAGCCAAACTTCTACGGCCACTCGCAGAAGCTCAACGAGTCGGACGCTTCGGAAGAGACGACGCCCATGCCAGCACACACGGGCACCTTTGCTGGCCAGACCGTCCTCAACCTCAGCGACGGCTTCCGTGCCGCTCAGATGCCTGTGACTCCGCAGTCGGCCTACAACCGCGCCTCGCTCGGCCCAGGCCCGTGCACCTTCACGCCTGGTCACTCGTACTCGCCTGGCTCCACCCCCGATCACTCGATCCGCGGCGATGCCTCGAATCCCAGCTCGCCCTTCTACCCACCCTCGGCCATCGCGCTTCGAAGGCTCACGAGCGCCGACAGCATTCGCAACGAGTCGTTCGCTCCGCACGAGATCGGTACGCCCAGCAAGGACACTCCGCCGCTGCTCAGCCTCGCCGAACTTCACAACATGCCCAAGCACGAACCGAGCTTCCAGGCCAACCTTGCATTCCGGGACCACTTCCAGAGCCCACCCAACTTCCAGTTCCAGCGCTCGAGCTTGCCCGACACCTCGGCTGGCATGTCGTCGTCGTCGGCGGCCATGGCAAGGGTAGCCTCGGCGCCCATGTCGAGCCCGATGCCCCAGCTCTCGCGCTCGTCCACCTCTTCCGAAGCGTCTTCCTTTGCGTCGTTCCCTTCCACACCGTCGTCGTCGGTGGTCTCGGGTGGCGATGGCCGTTCCAAGGCCAACGTCATGTACCCGTCCACGCCGACGCACGACCTCATGTCGCCTGGCTTCGACCCTTACTACAGCGCGCCGCCCATGTCGGGCCACCGAAGCAACAGCATGATGTCGCTCGGTTCTCCCATCCACGACGGCTCGTTCACATCGATGCTCGACGGCCGAAGCCGCAGCGTCTCTGGCTCGGTCACGCGCACCACGCCTCGCGGCCGTGCTCGCAATGCTGGTCCTCCGCCTCTGATTGTCAGCTCGGCTGACAAGCTGCACGTGTGCCACTGTGGCAAGCGCTTCAAGAGGATGGAGCATCTGAAGCGCCACAACCGCACCCATACCCAGGAGCGCCCGCACAAGTGCCCCGTCGAGACGTGTGGAAAGTTTTTCGGCCGCTCCGACAACCTCGCGCAGCACCTCAAGACGCACTTCCGACCTGCCGGACTGGTCGGACGCTCGTCGGAGCTGCTCTCGCTCACAGCGGGCTCGGACAAATACAAAAACAGCGAGCCTCGCCACGACCCGTACGCGGCGGCTTCGGCTGCAGCGGCTGCCGCTGCCCAGGCTGCCGTCTCGGTGAGTGGCAAGCGCGGCTCCATCAGCCAGGCGTGCCTGGGCGGACCCATCGCGCTCAACAAGCCCTCGACGCCAAGACAGGCGCTGGCACCCGCCGGAGGCCTCAGCGCCAACTCGTCACCCAACATGCAGATTGCGACTCATTTTGTCTGAAATCCGCCCACACCCATATCCTATCCCGCATTTTCCGTCGTCCAGTCCTAGTCTTTGCAGTAATCACCTCGCTCGTCCTGCTTAGTATCCTTTCCCTTTTGCTCGCCTCGTTGTCAGCTTCGCTCATTCTTGTCCCTCGTCACGGTAATCTGTAGTTTGCAGGAATCGAATTCCAGTCCCCTTCGCAAATCTCTCTTCGTATGCAGCGTGTGATGGGAGCGGCGCGTGGTGTGATGTGACTTAGCGCGAAACACCTGCAGGTGGTGGGGCACGGCCGTAAGGTTCCTCCGATGCATGCCATGCGATTCGTGCTGAAATGTACGTGTGTGTCATTCGGATGAATGCCGCACACTCGGATGTCGGCACCCAGGGCAACGACAAGCTTGCTGGCATCGCCCTGCGTGGACCATCGTCTTCTGACGTAGCCAGCGGGAAGCACTTCGGCAAGGGAGGAGCAAATGGGCATGGAACCGAGCCAAACTAAACTTTGAAGCAACACACGTGCAGATATGTGCAGAGAAGCTGCTGGTGCTGCACGCTTGCTTCCCACATTTATTGCCGTCGGACGCGAGCGGGGCAGGAGGATGGTAGCGGACTATGGTGCCGAAAGTGGTTCGGACTTTTAATGTCTGCAAACCAACACGCCAACACGTTGAAGCGAGGCCACCTCGAGCTAAGACAACAGGACATCGCGTGGAACAGAACCACGCCAGTACCCATCTGAGCACAGCCCTGTCTGCAATTTATCTGATCCATGTGGCTTTCTCCCCGCACTCGAGAGTGCAGCGGCCTTCATTGTTGCACGTAATGAGATCTTGACCACGCGGAACATCGCTTCTTGAATCTCGCTCAACAAGACGCCCCTACCGCAGCAATTGGGCTCGTGGCATCGTGTCACCAGCTCGACTCGTAGCTTTCGTCATCTGGGTCTCTTCCTCATGCGACCTGTCGGGGCAACACCGCCCGCGACCTGGGCACATTCCGCGGAGTCATGCGGTCTGGTTGTGTTGCGGAAGGTGGAGCCGAGCGAACCAGGAGAAGTAAGGGTACCGCACGTTCGCTCGGCACAAAACTTGCCTCGAGCCAAATCGAACCAATCACCTGGAGCAAGCACGCCACCTTTCCTGGTCACCGTCGGGATCGTTGGCTTGGCTCCCATGCGACGGTCAGGAGCTTCTCACACGATAGCTGTAAATGCAGAATTCGATTCGGACCAGGCCGCGGCTCAGCTGACCCGGGCGACCCATTCAACCTGACCGAATCTGTGGGCGCGTTCCAAGACGGCTCGAGAGTACCGAAGCCGAAGCAGGGCGAATTTCTCATCCGAGTTTGTTAGCTCCTCACTGGGCACATCTTGAACGAAAAGGATGGCTGTCACAAATATCGATCTCACATTGTGCTGTTTTTCTCGCCTGACCGGAAGCCTTCTCCTCCACACTCGTGCCTGCAGTCGGTCATCGCTGACTGATTGTCCCAGTCCCTGCTCTGCTTCACCGAATCGGCATCGTTCCGATCACCACATTCGAATGGCTGAACGGGAGTGACACTCGTCATGGCTTCCTGAACCTCACATCGCTATCGAACGCATCGGAGGCCCTTGGCGTGTACGCACTCGGCTGAATTTCCGACATGCTTTCGGCCAGCCGCACCTGGATCGGCGTTGTGGTCGCCGTGGCTGGAAACGTAACCATCAGTCTAGCGCTCAATTGTCAGAAGCTCGCGCATACTCGGCTCCAGCACGCGCACCAAGGACACCCGGACTCCGGTCACGCATCCACTAATGATGCAGACGGGCACGCTGCAGAAGGCTCAGCTTCCTCGAGCTCGGAAGATGTACAATCTCATGGCGAGCATTCGCGGTCCACCCATCGCCATCACAACTCTGATCAGGACGATTCGAGGAACACCCAGAACGGCAATCAAAAGCTCCACAAGGATCATGGCGATCAAATTGGGCACAATGGAAACGGCAACGGCAATGGCAGCGGCAATGGCAATGGCAACAGTAATGGAATGGACACCATGTTCTTACATAGCAAGCTGTGGTGGCTCGGTCTCGCGCTCATGACGGTGGGCGAGGCGGGCAACTTCATCTCGTACGGCTTTGCGCCTGCCTCCCTCGTTGCTCCGCTCGGCGCGGTGGCGCTCCTCTCCAACGTCATTATCTCGCCCATCCTCTTAGGCGAGCGCTTCAAGCCGTCGGACATCGGCGGTATTCTGCTCGCTATCATCGGTGCAGTGACGGTGGTGTTCAGCTCCAAGCAGAACGACGTCCGGCTCGACCCCACGCAGCTGTTGCAGGCGATCAAGCGGCTCGAATTCGTCATCTACTCGGCTGTCTCGGTCTCGTCCGGCGTGCTGCTCGCCTTCCTCAGCACCACATCCCTCGGCGATCGCTGGGTGCTGATCGACGTGGGGACGTGTGCGATCTTCGGCGGCTTCACTGTGCTCTCTACGAAAGGCATCTCGTCGCTCATCTCGGGCGGGCAGCCGATAGAAGCGCTCAAATTCCCCATCACATACATGCTCGTGCTCGTGCTCGCAGCGACAGCAGTGGTGCAGATCACCTACCTCAATCGTGCGCTGCAGCGATTCGACAGCCGCGAAGTGATCCCGGCGCAATTTGTCTTTTTCACCATCTCGGCCATCGTCGGCTCGGCGATCCTGTATCGCGACTTTGAGAACATGGACGCTCATCGGCTCATCAACTTCCTCTTCGGCTGCCTCACCACGTTCGCCGGTGTCTTTGTGCTCACTTGGCGCTCCAACGGATCGGGCGAGCACGGAGAGGAGGAAGAGCAAGAGCAGATGTCAGGCAGCGAAGAGGAAGGCCTGGATGCGACAGCGGCAGAGGAAGGCGGGGAAGGCGGCGAGGCCGAGCCGTTGCTCTCGCGATCGTGGCATGGGGCCGAGCGTTTCGAAGATGCGTCTCCGCATGGCAAGAAGAAGGGTCGTACGCGCGTCGACTTCCTCCAACCTGCATTCGAGGAGGGCCGGCTGCCGCCAAGCAATGCCTTACGTGTGCCTGGTGGAGCGAGGCAGACAAGTTCGGGGGCCCGACCGCGCTCGCGCACCAATTCGCCGCACAAGGCGAGCGCACGTCTGTCCGGGTCGTTCGAGCGCGCATCAGGCCTCTCGCGATCCGCCACGAACCAGGCCAGCGCTGGTCTGCTCTCGTCGTCGTCCTCGGCCGGTCTGCGCACACCAAAGCTCAGCTTGATCAGCATGGATCGGCCAACGGGCCTGAGTGCGGGTCACTACCTTCTGCTCGCCACCCCTCCGCCGTCGTTTAGCCTCAATCCAGTCCCACCCGTGGCGACAAGCAGGAGTGGACTCTCCCGGGCCATACCCCAGTACGGCGCGACCGGGAACAAGGGCGGTCCTTCGGCGTTCTTGCCCCTACCAGTCACGATGGCGACCAGTTCGTCCTCTTCGGGTCGCAACGCGTCACAAAGTAGCCAGCAGCAGCCAAGCGCCTCGTCTGCGACAATTCCTCAAGGAGACCCCACGGCTGCAGAATCCATCGTCACGCCCGTCGCCGAGACTACAGCCGTAAACGAGCCTGACGAGCTCGCAGAAAGATTCGCCGAGCACGTCAGCCCCGCACATGCGTCTCGGAATCACTCACCACGGCGCACATGATGGCACTCATCCTGTGACCTAGACGCAGCACGATAGATGGAATAACTTCATGCACAGCGCACAGTCAGGTCAGCCATTCCTGATCCACCAATTGCGAACAAGCAACGCTGCAAACAGCATTTGAACCAGAGAGGGGTGATGCACTTTATTGGTGTCTATGCCATTGGAGGGTCGAGGTGATCTAGGCCCAGTCCTTGGGCTGTCGAAGCGCCGCCTGGGTCTTCTTCTCGGCCGCTCCAGATTCTTCATCACCAGCCTGGAGCTCGTCGGCAGAAGTGGTTGCCTTGCCGTCGCGGCCCTGTGCGCCTCCGCCGCTGTACTTCTCCATGTACTCCCATCGTGCCTTGAGCGGCAGACTCATGAGGATGCTCTCGATACGAGCGCCGGGCGTCTGCAGTCCGAACTTGGTGCCGCGATCGTAGACGAGATTGAACTCGACGTATCGACCCCTTCGAATCTGCTGCCATCGCTCGTGCGCCTCAGTAAAGGGCGTCCCCTTTCGCTTCTGAACGAGCGGTAAGTAGGCCGGGAGGAAGGCATCGCCGAGCGAGCGCACGGTCGCAAACAGCGAGTCCTGGTTGTGCTGCTTGGTCGAGGACACCGAGGGCACGAGCGGCTTGGAGGGCGTCGGCTTGGTGCCGTCCGACAGCGCGATGTAGGCTTTGGTCGAATTGCTCGACGCCCACTCGGGTAGGGTGAGATCGTCGAAAAAGATGCCGCCGACGCCGCGTGCTTCGCCTCGATGCGGAATCCAAAAGTACTTGTCGCACCATCGCTTCCAGGTCGGGTAGAAGGAGGCATCATGCTGGTCTGCCGCCGACTTGAGCGTCTGGTGGAAGTGCTGGGCATCCTCGTCAAAGAGGTAGATGGGAGTCAAGTCGGTGCCGCCGCCGAACCACCATGCAATCGGCTCATTGTCGTGCTCTCCATCCTTGCAGTTCTTCGGATGGCGCGGGTTGGGTGAGCCGTCGGCCAGCTTCTCGGGGTGGGTGAGCTCAAAGTAACGGTAGTTGAAATGGACGGTGGGCGCGAAGGGGTTCTTGGGATGTACGACCAAGCTGAGGCCTGCGGCATAGAAGGGTAGACCCTTGACGTCGGCGTCCTTGCCTTCCAGCTTGTATCCTGTTTTGTCCATGAGGCCGGCGTGATTTGCGCTCATCTGCTTGACAGCGGCGGGAGGGAGCATGCCATGGACGACCGAGATGTTGACGCCAGCCTTTTCGAAGGTCGAGCCGTCCTGAAGGACACACGAGATGCCCTCGCCGCCCTCCTTGCGTAGCCAGCTGTCGATCAAGAATCTGGCTTTGGGCTCTTCTCGCGACAGGGCCGAGACGATGTTGTACTGGAGCAGCTTGACGTAGGTCTCCATCCTCTTGCGCATGGGTGCCGAAGTGTCGGTCAAGAGCTTTGGATCGAGGTGCGAGATCTCTGGCAAATCCGACTGGTTGCCGCCCTTGATGGCGGATGCCGGTGTTGGCTTTGCGGCCTCGCATTCGAGAGGCGATACATGACGGGGAGATAGGGAGGTGTAGAGAGCGACGGCGCCCAAGACGGCAGCGGCTGTGGAAGCTATGGTGGTCATCCTGCTGCTTTGCGAACGCGAGGCGTGTCCAGACGTTGAGAAGGATGCAGAGGGGGTGACAGCACGTTTGAAAGAAGAGGAGGCAGCATGTTGGACAAGAGGTGGGCAGCGAGATGAAGTCGACGGCCGGAGCGCGGCGAGACGAAGCGACCGCGCGAGCATGGTAGGCAGTCTGTGCACGAAAAGCTCCGAGCGCTGACCAGTTCCTTCGTGGTTATGCGAGGTGCAGTCAAGAGAGGAAGGAGCCACAGGCAGGTCGAAAGGATCCTGCAGAAAGTGTCGAAGAGAGGCGGGGTAGTGATTGAAGGGATGAAAGGCCGGGAATGCTGGTGGGTCAGAAGAAAGTGGGGAGCACACCATTCCGAGCTTAGCCGAGCTCGCTCCAAGACACGCTCAGAAGTCACACCCCAAAAAGTGGAGTAAAATGCAGAGAGAGCGCAGCACAACGATTCGACGGTTTCGCACCAGCCGGCCCCTTTCTTCCATCTTTCTCCTCCATCGTTCGGCTGATCCGATCGCCAATTCATTTCGCCGCACTGTAGCAACCGCCTTTGGATGTCATCATTGATCGGAGCTGCCACGGCTGATCGATTGAATCGACGCTAGGCAGACCTCAAGCAGCAGCTCAGCCATGACTGCTCTCAAGCTGGTCCAGCTCGGATCTGCCGGCCGAGCACAGCTCCTTCGCCATGCGCTACCAAAGGCAGCTCGGACGGCGCTGATCTACTCATCCTCCTCAACGATATCGGTCGCGCCTCGCTCTGCAACCTCGGCCCATCTCCGACATGCCACGACCAAGGCAGCATCCTCGGCGAGCGAGTCGAGCCCCAAGAGCCCTTCTGCCGCCGCTGCTCCTGTTTCGGGTGTTCCGCGGCATCATCAGGCCAAGGTCGAAGTGCTGCCGTTCAGAATCTCTTCAAAGTCTGCACGCGAATACCTGACAACGCTCGCCAAGACCGAAGTCATGCCGCGGGTGATGACACAATGGGACATCATCAAGCACCAGTTCCGCTCGCTCAATCCCTTTCGCGATTTTGAGGCCGACGAGCAGATAGTCAAGCTGGAACGCATGACCGCGCTTTACCTCCCTACTTGGATCATAGACGCCTCGTTCGAGGCAAAATGTCGTGGCAACGACGGAAAGGCTGAAGCCAACTTCATCACCATCTCTTCGCGCTTTCCCGGCCATTCGTGGAAGCCCATGGACTCGCTCCCCTTGTTTCCTCCGCCTCCGTACGATATGAAGCCCAATCAGGCCAACTCCGCCGATCCTAGCCTAGATCCCAACGCCAACAGAGAAGCTTGGGAAACTCTCGCCATGGTCGACTACGAATCGTACGAGTCGTACCTCAAGACCAAGGGCAACTCCAAGGTGCAGATCAAGGGAGGCTTGCCCGAACCCCTTCCGTTCACCATCTCGCCGCTCTTTCTGCCGGACATGATCCGCGACAAGCTCGAGTCGGCCGATGCCACCTTCATCGCCGAGCTCGCCGCCGGCTTCGAGCTGCCTGGCGGCGACAAGCACGGTCTCGGACTCACAATGTCCTTGGTCGACGAAGACGGAAAGCCAATCACCAGCCCACCCGTGCGCTTCGAGCCGGGTTCGCTCAAGATCGACATGATGGCAGCATATCCGATCATGATGCCGCTGCACATGGCCGAGTTCAGCTATGTCGAGGCCGAAGATGGCGAGACGCGCCACTTGACGTTTGTGATGGGAGCGTGGGACACGAGCGGCCTACTCTTCTGCATGAAGGAGCAAGGCGAAGATTGGAAGCAACCCGGTCAAGGCGCAGGTCCGCTCCTCCTCCACTCTCTGGACCTGTATCCGCGACCGCCCATCAAGACGCAGCTCAACGAATGGTACGAGCGCGAGCGAGAACAAGAGAGGTCGACCCAGCGCAGAGATTGGTGGGTAGAGAGCAAGCTCGACCCGACTGACCCCTTCACTCGTCCTAACCTCACGCGGAAAGAAATCGAAGCCGAATACGATCGATACAGGGCGCAGTCGAACAAGGATCTGCAAAGCGACCTAGAGTCGCGCCTCAAGGAAAAGCTCAAGACTGAGCTGCCCATCGCGGCCGAGATCGAGAAGCGCAGCGCAGAGCTCCTGGAGCGCGCCGACTGGATCCACTGGGAACGCGACGAACGCGAGGCCTTCCAGGTGCGAACTGCTCGCTCCGATCCAGCGCGCACCATGATCACCAAAGCGCAGAAAGAGCGCTACGCTGCTGCCGTGGCTTCGGCTCGCAAAGCGCCCACGGATCCGAGGCCATTGCAATGGCTGAGCCAGCGTGACGAGCGCCAAGCGGAGCTGGAGCATCCGGACCGAGAGGCGGGGCTAGGTCGCTACATCTTCTGGAGCTCACCCCACGTGCAACGTCTGTCGCACAATGTGTATGCGAATCGTCGATATCTGCGCGAAGCGATTCCCGAGGTGCTCCGCAGTCGCAAGCAAATGGCTGGTCTCGCCGAGGGAGGCTACAACGTGGACACGTCGCTGATCAAAGTCAACCTCCAAGACGGCCGAAAGCTGAGCGGAGACGAGGCCTACCAGACCGTCGCTGCCAACGACCTCAGCATGCGACAGCAGCGCGAGGCACTCAAGCCGCGATGGCTCAAAGCCCTACAGAACTCGGTCATTCGTCGCTGAGATGCTTCCGCCGCCGAGATCTCGGCGTGATGCTGCCCAGGACAGGAGTCCAGCATAGATGGCATTCTGTATACACCTTCTCTCTCTTATCTGTGCAATCGCATCTCCACACATGTACTTTTACCATCCATTCTAGACTCCAGCGTCTTGTTGAGACGCCGTGCGCTTCTGCACGCAGCTGTCTCAGCGAATCTCGGTCGTGACGGCGATCCAGAGGCTTATGATATGAAGATGGGGACAAGTCCGTGGGAGAATGTCTCGAAAGTGGCTGTCGAGCATCGATAGGGGCTCATGAGGCGTTCCGCGATGCCGCACCGAAGTGAAGCGCCACAGATTTAGGCTCGTGCGGGTGATGGAAGAAGTGTGGTGTGATTCTTTATGCCCACGTCGATCTACCGGCGGTTATCCGAAGTGAAACGGCTTTGGTCGGTGAAATTATGTATTCACTTGCACGGGTTGGCCAAAACGCCCCCCACGCGGACCGAACGCTTCGAACGGGTGTTGCAGTTCGCTTCTGCACGCCGCATCGCTGGCGAAGCGTACAATGGCCAGCCCAAGTTCGCACGCATGAGCACATACCGCAGCTCTTCCCCCTCGAACACGCTCAAACCTCGGTGGTCGGTCGCACAGTCTCAAAAGTTCCACATAAAGGGACGTGCAAAGCTCGACAAGATGTGAGTTGCCCTCGTCATCATTCCCAGCGATCATCGATCGGATTCATCCTCACATCAAGAGCCCTTTGAGAATGCTGACACGCGCTCCACTTGCTTTGCTCGCTTCGCTCTCCTTGGCATTGTGCGCTTCGGCAGCCTCGGACACTTCAAAGCCAGCCAAGATGGCGAGCTACACCCTCTTCACAGCTGGATACAATGGCACCATCGTGCCATACTCGGTCGATGCAGACAAGGGCCAGCTCGAGCGTATCTCGCACGGCGTGCAGGTCAACTCGTCCGGTACTTCGCCCTCGTGGATCGCCTACACGTCCGGTCATCACGGCCACGCAAAGCACTCGGATCTGCATCTGTACTCGGTTGACGAGACCGCGCCGGGCAGGCTCTTCTCGCACACGTACCAAGCTGCCAAGGGCACCATCGTTCAGACGGGCACGCATCTGCAGCGCACCAACGGGACATCGTCGGGAGGCGATGGCCCCGTCAGCTGCCTTGTCGGACACGGTCCCAGCAAGGGTCTGCTATTTGTGGCCAACTACAATTCGGGTACCGCTGCGGTGGTTTCGATCGACAAGCACGATGGAACGCTCGCCAAGGAGGCCAAGCACGTGTTTCAGTTCACGCGCCCTGCATCCGCGCCCAAGCTGGGTCCGGTGCCCGATCGTCAGGACCACTCGTATGCGCACCAGGTGAGCATCGCTCCCTCGGGCCGCTGGGTGTACGTCTGCGACCTTGGTGCCGACCAGATCCACCACCTTCGCATCGACGAGTCGCACAACGTCGAGTTTGTCGCCAGCACCGATGTTCCCGCAGGCTCGGGCCCGCGTCACATCACATTCTACCGCGACTGCTCCGGCAAGGACTTCGCCTACCTCGCCTCGGAACTCGACAACACGGTCAGTGCCTTCGCACACGATGACGCCACAGGCAAACTGGAGCGCATCCAGGATCCTATCCTTGCCTCTCCTCCCGGCGAGCCTCTGAGTGGACCGGGCATTCTGCCGACCAACCGTACCACCGCCGAGATCGCTGTGGTCCCCGCGGGCGACTTTGTCTACGTCTCGGATCGCGGTGATGAGGAGGAAGACCACATCTCGATCTTTAGCAGGGACACCGAGACGGGCAAGCTGAGCTTTGTCGAGTGGATCAAGAGCGGTGGTCGTATGCCACGACACTTTAGCCTCAGCTCGGACACGGGCCGTGACGACAGCGCCCGCTGGCTCGCCGTCGGCCACCAAACCGACCAGAACATCGTCATCTTTGAACGTCATCCCGACACAGGCAAGCTCACCCGAGCCGATACCAGAGCCAACATCGGCCAGGTCGCTTTCACCGGCTTTGCACCTTTCTAGCTCACTTTGCGCGAATGACAATGCCGTCAAGACAGAAGATTGGACTGGAGTCAAATTGGCAAGACATGATGATGAAAGTGGGCTTCATCTTGAGACGCCGACGAGCTTGACGCCGGTGAGGCCGGTAGTGATGGTGTCCATGGTTTTTGTGTCTGCCTCGAGCGTGGAGCTGAGGTGGTTGAGGCCCTGCTGTTGCTGTGCAAGGATGCGCGTGACGTTGTCGAGGCCGGACTGGTCGACGACGGCCCACTCGGTGGTGGCGCTCCTTCCCTCGCGCGCGAGCATCTCGCGGCGCGCACGGATGACGCCGAGCTGAGCCCAGAGCTCGTTGATCCTGGCGCGCAGGCGCGCGTGCTGCACCGGCGTAGCATGCATGCCCACCGAGCCGCTCGCCGCTGCGCCGCCGTTGGAAGCTGGTGTGAGGGCGAGCGAGCGCGATGCGAGCGCATTGGACGAGCCCGTGATCTCGGCCTCGCATGCTTCGAGCACGGCCATCAGGCGTTCCTCTTCCGGACTGATGCTCTTGCCGCGCAGCACGGGGATCAGCAGCTGCGTCTTGGCCGCAAGCCCGATGAGGCGGTGGTGAAGCTGCGCCTGGCGACTCTGTGCCGCCTGCGTGCGCACCGAGTTGGAAAGGGAGTGCTTCTGCTCGAGCGCAGAAAGCCGCTGGGCGAGTGTGGCAAGCAGTGCGCGCTGGCGCTGCGCCTCGCGCGCCTGCGACTCGATACGCTTCTTGAGATCGTTGAAGCCAAGCGCCAGCACGGGGTACAGACGGTTGGGATCCGGATTCTCGCGCACAGCAGCCGTCCAGAGCTGGTCATGCATCGGTCCGACTGCATCCGGCCGCCTCCCTTGGATCATCCTGAGGTTCTGCGCGTTGCCGGCATTGTTGTAGAAGTAGTAAGCGAATCGACAGCCGGCAGCATTGTTGGTATCCCACGCGGCACGAATCTGCTCGAGCTTGGCCGAGAGACTGACGCCGAGCTTCTTGTCCGGCTGGGCAGCCATGCCCTGCTGTTGCTGTTGCGGCTGAGCGGAGAACTGCGTCTGCGCGACGGGCTGCTGCGCGCTCGTGGTTGCGAAAGACGAAGCCGGCGCGCCGAACAGCGACGTGGTCGATGGTTGCTGCTGCTGCTGCTGTTGTTGTGGTTGTGATGCTGTGTTGTTTTGTGCGCCGAACGAAAAGCCTGATCCTGCTGTGTTGGTCTGCGTGTTGGTGCTTCCAAAAAGCCCGCCTGTGCCAGAGCCAAATGTGGATGTGGCTCCAGCGGCTGGCTGTTGCTGCGGCTGTGATGTGGTTAGGCCAGCGGGCTTGGCGCCGAAGGAGAAGAGCCCGCCTGTGGATGCAGCAGCCTGAGTGCCAGGTGCTGCAGCATTCGACCCAGCAGCGGCCGCGGGCTGCGAGCTGCCGAATCCGCCAAAGAGACCTCCGCTCGACGTGGCTGGTGCGGCGGGTGCGCCGGCTTGGGCCTGTGGTTGCGATGCGGGTGTGCCGAAGGAGAAGCCGCCCGAGGCAGGCTTGTTCTGCTGCTGATGCTGTGCTGGTGTCTGTCCAAACGAGAAGCCGGAGGTGCCGCTCGAGCTGGCAGCGGGCTGCGATGCCGCGGGTGTGCCGAATGAAAACGCCATGGCTACGTGCGACCAAGCGTCGAAGGCCGCCAGAGAACGATGAGAGAAGTTGAGAAGGTGCGTGTTGTGCCTCGAAAGGGCCTATCAAGCCGGATGTGGTAGCGTCGAGAGAGCTGGAGATCAACACCACCGATAGCGACAACCTTGTGCGGGTTGGTGGATCTGTCACAAATCGCGATCGCGTCCACCAGAAGTTTTGGTGGGTGCGGAAAAGCGCCATCTGCTGGTCAGTCCGCGCTTCCACAACACAGAGATCGGCGCCGCGTTGATATTTGTTTGACCGCGTTCGAACTTACATTTCTGATTTTCGAGCGCTCGCTATTTTAGGCGCGTGCCACACGGGCCATTCCACCGTGAGGCGCGCCCGTTGGCAAAGGACCCTAGACGAGCATAGATCCACCAGGTGCAGCCATCAGCATCACGATACCCAACACACCTCCGACGACCCCGCAAGCGCGCACTCCCATCTCGAGACGCTCACGCCAAGAAGACCCTCAAACAAGATGGTTCTGGGACGACTGATGCACTACGCAGGCGATGCGCTGCTCATCTCCACCGTGCTCGCAGGCATCAAGCGCCAGACTGGCCTCCGTCCAGATATCGACCGCATCTCTGAACCTACAACCAAGGGCCTGCTCGAAAAGTACCTCGGATTCGGCGAATTCGTCTTCGACAGCAGCGTCGCCGCAGCACGCGCCTCGTCTCTCTTCCGGAAGGACCTCGTCGACAGGCTTCAGGGCCGACCTGCTCCTTAGTGTGCCACCACAAACCGCGCTTTGCCCGTCCTCAGAGGCTCCCCGTGACCCTCAAGGAGGACCAAATTGGCTCGCCTTAGTGTACCATCTCGCTCGCTTGCAGCAGTCTCATCAGCTGTCCTTGCACCTCAGATGCAATAGCGGGCGAAGGTCGCCCGTGGCCGACTTCGCAACTACCCCGACCGCCATCTGCTATTAGGCTGGCTTCCCGATTCCGAATGGTTGCTTTACTCGAGCCCCGGTCTCGGCCGAGGCAGCCTTGTAGCTCTGACAAATAGTCCCTGCTTCCCTATGGAGATGTCAGTCTCTATGCACCACTTTTGGTCCTTCTCATCTATTCTGTACATCAATGCTACGGATCGGCTCCTTGTATAATACCATCGACTCGACATCGCTTTCTGCATCACCTTGCGAGTGTGCAGCACCTTTCGTGGTCGCCTTTTGTGACTTCACAAGCTCTTGAAGCCATGACTTATCGGTTGCAGCTTGAGAAGAGGCTTCGACTGGTCCACGTCCCGATTGAGCAGAATCGGCGCACCGATCCTTTTGTTTGCCCCTATTTTCAGCGCGCGTTTTCTGTTCGCCGGCAGTTCCTTTTTTCCTGCACGACCGGTGCTTCGATTTTCAGTGACCTCACCACAATTCGCTGGACAGGTGGAGGCATGCCTGTGCTTACTCCTGCATGCCGCTCACGGACGATGCTGACATCGTCCCTGTCTGAAGTAGAGTAGCAGCGAATGCGGTCTGGCTCGAAGAAGACGCTTCGATTGGCACACGCTCCAAGCGGCCCGAACATCAGTCCCGGTAGCGGTGCATGGATCGCAAAGGTGTATGCGGGCGGTGCATCGTGTGCCAGCCGGACGAAACTCGCCGAACTCTTTCTTTCCTCTCGGTAATCCAACTCCGCGGCGTTTTTGCCGTTCCGTTGGTGCCAGACCTCATGTCATGCGTCCTTCCGTCGACGAAATACACCATTGTCTGCACGAGGTCTGGTCACAGCCTGCATGGTGGGGGCAGTGCCCTGCTCTTCGGCTGAGGTTACCGTGAATCGTTGTCTGGTAGACGCTCTTGACAGGGCTCGAGTCTGACGTTCGGCCCGTGTCAGTTGCTCCCGAGAGGCGGACAGAAGAGTGGAGGATCTTTTCCCGTGGGTCTTAGGGGCTCCTTCCCATCCCCGCACCATTCGTCGTCCCCTCCATTACCGCATTCCTAATCTGATCCTCAGCTGCGCGCATCGAGTTCGCCATGTCGGGCCTGGGTGAGGGGAGCAAGAAGCGAAGCTCGTTCTCAATGTTGACGCGAAAAGACCTCGCACCCTCGACCAAGCAAGAAACGGAAGAGGCAGAGCTGGCAAACGGCAGATTCATTCCGGAGAGCAAGCGAGGATGGAAGTACGAGCTTCGTTCCTCCCAGGCGGTGACGGCTTCGACATCCAAGCTGCATCACGTCGCCCAATCTTCAGCGTCCGGATCCACCATTGCAGCTGCAGGCACACCGCGGCGACCAAAAACGGCAGATGTGTCGGAGCTTCAGAAGGACAAGTCCAATGGTCCTGTCACTGCTGCATCAGGTCGTTTCGTGGGCGCAAGATCCACGCCGGTCTCTCCAAAGAAACGTACTGTCCCTCTCGCCGGAGCACCATTCGACGAGACTTCTTCCGACTCGTCTTCTGGTGATGAGCGCAACCGCAGCTCGTCGTCAGAAGATGATCTACAAGCTTCACACCAAGAGGCACTGCAACAGATGGAGACATTGAGAGACGGGGTGGAGCAACAGCGCCATCGCCATCCAGATGACCTTGTGTATCCGGAATCGTATCCGTGGAAGCCCTCGCGCCAAGACCCGCAGATGCGGTTCATCAATCCAGCCCATCGCAATCCTACCGCCAAACAGGCGTTCTACGACACGCACTTTGGCTCTTCGTCCAACTATCGAGGACTGCTTCCTGCGTCGGGATCGATTCTGAGCCTCAGCAGCTCCAAGACGGATGCTCGACGACAGTCCGACAACAAGGGAGCTGGAACTGGCGCTGCCTCGGCAGAGCAAGGAGCCGATGCGCAATCCAGCGGCTTAGTTTCCACCGTGATGAAGCCGTTTACTACGGCATCCAAGCTCATCACCAAGGCAAGGCGGAAGAGCGTGGGAAACAATCTCGAGCTGCCAGCGTCTGCAGCCGCTGCGTCGACGGACGCGGCCGTGCAGCAAGGGGAGGAGAAGCCGACTCGGCCGCATGCAGTGCCGCTCTTCCGCGCTGGTGGAGACGAGTTGGCTGCGCAGAGGTCTGGGTTCAGCTACGGCCTATCGATGGAAGACGCCGTACAGGTCGAGGCAGTGGTGTCTCGCCATTCATCGCGCGAAGATCTGTCGTCGCCCGACCGGCTGGCCGAAGAGCTTCTCGAGCCCCGCACACACGCAGTGTCGTCATCCAAGTGGAAGGAAGCCATGCACAGCGTCTGGGGCTTCCTACCTTCGTTCGACTTTCTCGCTTCGCCTCCGCCCGCCGATGCGTCCAGCAAGGGAACTCCGTCCGTGAACCTGTTAGAGGCCGAAGCGATCCCGTCTGTCAAGAAGGACAGTGGTGCACCGGACTACTTCAAGAACCTGTCTGGCAATGTGGTACTCATGGGTGGCTATCGTGGCAGCGTGCTGCGCGATGCCGAAACCAACATGATGATGTGGATCCCCATCAAGGTGGGCGTTGGTCTGCGCAGGCCGACGCTCGAGCTCGGACTGTCGCGCGAAGCCGAAGAGCATTCGGAGGAGCTCGTCTACTCGTCCGAGATGTGTTCGCACATAGGAAGGCTCGTCGACATGGGCAAGCGCCTCGAGGAGCGTATTGCCAGTCGACGTCACGCAAAGGTGTATTCGTGGGGCTACGATTGGCGGCTGTCTTTAGGGCTCTCATCCCGCAAATTGGTCGCATTCCTCGAGCAGCTGTACGAAGCATCTGCAGCCGAGCCGAGCAGGCGTCGAGGTGCCAAGGTCGTTGCGCACTCCATGGGAGGGCTAGTAGCGCTGCATGCGCTCGCGACGTGCAAAGATCCGCGCATCTTCGAAGGGCTCGTGTTCGCATCGACCCCCTTCTGCGGCACGCCCAACATCCTCGGTCCGTTCCGATTCGGCGATGCGGCGCTGTTCAACGACACCATCTGCTCGCCCCGAGCGACATTCAGCTTCCGTAGCAGCTTCTACCTCCTGCCCACCGACAAGCGGTGCTTTGAGGTTCCAGTCGGCGAACCCGACCAGGACGAAGACGCACTGACGGAAGAGCAGAAGCGCCAACGCTTCAAGGACGTCGATTTCCTCGATCCGCACGTGTGGGATGAGCTCGGACTCAGCCCTTGTCTCGAGCTTGGACGTAGGCAGGAGATTCTCGCCCTAGCACGCAAGGGAGCAGACAACGGCACGGAGGCGCATCCGGTGCAGTCCAAGCCGGAAAAGGATAGCGTTGACCCGGATAAGCTCGAGCGGGAGACTTCCGGTGCCAACAAAGCCAATGCTGAGGACGAGGAAGCACTGAAAGGCATCGGATCGCCCGACTCGAGCGAGCGTGCCGGACCAAACGGCCTAACGATGGGTCTCATGGAAGGCTTTTCTGACGGTGCTGCACTGACCGGCCAAGCAGGCGTAGCAGCTTCGCCCGACCAACAAGCGGCTCTGCAGCCCGAGAACCGCCAAGGGGCGCTGCGCAACGATGCCACCGCGTCCGACTCGTCTGCGCTCGCCTTCGATTCGCTCGATTACCCCGCGCAAAGCTGGGCCTACCTCGAGCGGACGCTCGGCGAAGTACGACAGTTCTGGGCAGACATTGAACTCGGGTTCGATCCCGCAAAGCACGCCGCTGGCCAGTATCCTCCTCTGATGCTCATGACTTCGGGTCGAACGCCATGCGTGCGTGGAGCACTGGTGGGCGTCGACTCAGCATCCCGTGCCGAGGACACGGAGATGCAGGGCTGGAAAGACGATGTGCGCGCGGGCGACTACTCGCGCATGACGTACGCCGCTGGAGATGGCGTCATCACTCGTCGTTCCGCCACCACCCTCCCTGGTCGCTGGTCGACCCTGCTCACCAAGCGTTCCGAGGCTGAGACCCTTCCACATGACAGAATCGGCAAAGGCCCACCTTTCACCTCCAAGCCGCCAGGAAAGGCAAGGCTGAAGATGGATCGATACCGCATGAGGTTCGACGGCGAAGGCATCGTCGAAAGCGCCCACCGCCACGTCACGCTGCTCAGCGATGTAGACGCTGTAGGCAAATGTCTGGAAGCCATCCGCAGGGCCAATATTGTCCGCAACCGGCTGCCCCTCTCCTCGCCCAACCCGGCCTCTTAGACACTCGGCTCGCATCGATACGAGGCGACACACCTCATCATCCAGGGTTGAAAGAGTAAGCAATGCTGATGAGCAAGCAAAAGTCCATAAAAATTGTAAAGGTGACATGAGAAGATGACTTGCTGGGATGCTGAAACGCGATGTGGTCGTACGCTTCGCTGTGGTGCTCAGGAGCTGTTTCTGGTAGGCAGGGGAGGCGGTGGAGGAGCCAGCTTCGCCTTGGACCTGGAAAGGAAGGAAGAGCTGGGAGGGATCGGCGGCGGAGGTCCGCGCTGGGAAGGAGTACCTGAAACTCCATTCGTCGCGCCGTTCGCTGTGCTCGAAGCGCCCTTGAACGACACCCACGACGAACTAGGCTGCATGCCGGGCCTCCTTGCGCCCGTACTATCGACCATGCTGCCGGACGTGAGGCCTTGACGTTCCTCTTCATCGTCCGTGGACGCCTCTGACTCGTCGAACCGTCCACCCGTCTGCTGCGGCGACATCGCAGACCCTCCAAATGGATCAGCACCATCCGAGAACGCCGACAGCCCCGTATGATTGAGCGACAGTGAGTGTGGCTGGAGCGCCCCCAATGGTCCCAGAAACGCGCTGTCCATCATGTTAACTTCGGCGCTGAGCTGCGACTCTCCGCGTTCATGGATGGTGTCGTGAGTGGAGCGGTTGCGCTGGACATCCAAGAAGTCCATCGCATCCGCGTCGGGCGAAAAGGGAGATGCGTCGTGATCCCGACCGTAGTCTTCGTCGTCCGAGTCGGCGCGAGAAAGCCTGAAGTCAGGCGAGGCAGTGCCATGGCCATTGGCAGCGATACCGTCGTGATCGCCCAGGTGAACGTCATGCGCGGACACGGACGGCCGCACGTAGTCGCGTGCGGGCAGGGCCGGGGGTCGACCCGCTTGGTTGTCGTCATCGTTGGTCTGCGCCTTGTCGGCGTGGTCCATCGAGACGAACCCGGGTTCCTTCTTGGAGCGAGCCATAAAGTTCCACTTGCTCGGCTCGCGCTCCTTGTCGGTGCTAGACGCTTCACCGTTGGAGCTGAAGAGAGTGGATCCTTTGGCGCGTCCAAACGACCCAATGCCGGAAGCCACAGAAGCGACGGTGTCACCAGCGCCGCTGAACGAGGGCATACGCAGGCGATTCTTCTTCTCCTTGTCCTTCTCCTTGTCCTGCTCCTTGTCTTTGTCTCGCTTTGAGTCGTCGGTAGCTGACGAAGGTCGATCGCTGCCGGCGAGACTGAGCGACGATCTAGATGCAAATCGGCTCGAGGAGGTCGAGATGTCGACGGCGTCCTTGGCGGACGAGCGACGCGAAATGGTTGGTCGAAGCTTGGGTCCAGACATGGAGCGCGGGCGAGTGAGTGGGGTCGAAGCTCCCGAGCGGGACGGTGCAGGCGCATCGGCCCACATGGCCTTCACTTGCTCCATGACCGCATGCGCCTGGCCGATGTAGTCGAGCTGTGCCTGCATGTAGGTGGTGAGGCACTGCCAGTCGTCGTATTCTGCGTCTTGGATCGCTTCTCCGCGAGCCTCGACGTCGGTGACAGCCTCGTCATAGGCGGCCTTGGCGAGACGGAGCTCCTCCTCGAGCTCGCGCTTCTCCTTTTTGCTCTTCTGCACCTTGGACTGTGCCGACTCGAGCCGTGCCGTAGCGCTGTCAAGCTTCTTGAGGGCGGCGGTGAACGAGTCGAGCGTGGCCTTGGAGCGCGCGATGCGTGCTAGGAAAATGTGCGACGTGTCCTTGGTGAACGTGGTCTGAAGGAAACCGAGCTTGGCGTGGGCCTCTCCGAGAAGGCCCAAGCAGGCGCCGTACGGCGAACCCTCTGGAAAGACGGCGCCGAACGAGGCCATGGCGAGGCCGAGTGCCTCGACGGGCAGCATCTTGCCCTCAGGTTTGGTGGAGACCGCATTGCTCGCCACCGAGGAAGCGTCGTCCACAGGCAGCGACGAGGTGTCGAAGGGCACAGGCTTCTTCTTGCCGAGGTACGACCAATAGGCTTCGGTGGAAGTGTAGAGGCTGTCGATGCCCTTCTTGCGCTGCTCCACCTCGGAGGCGATGTCTTGCTTGTCGCCGCTGTTGCCCGAGAGCTTGGCGCCCAGTCCGGCGGACCAAGATTTGATCTTGCCCATCTGCGGCCTTTTAGGGATGATGGATTTGTTGGTCGAGAGCGACGGCATCGCGACGATTGCCATGGTTGATGCCGTGCACGTTCGATTGCGTTGCTGCACGGCGACGTCGCTGTATGCAAACCAGTTTCGGCTGTTGGTCGGAACTGGAAAAGATCAAGGTGGTGGTTACGGTATGAGGTGGTCGCTGATAGACTCGGACTGCTGACGCCACTCGACCAACGGCGTAATGAGGGGCAGAAAGACGGTTCCGTGCGGTGTGACTGCACGCCATGCCGTCCAACGCACGGAAGCGTACCCGAGGCCACGCTGGAAGCCAATCTGAGCTGCCCGTCCAATTTGCCGGTGCAGCAGAGTGTTGGGTGGGCGGCCAACTGAACCCTTTTTTCGCCCTGGCTTAAGCGAGTGGCTGGCCGCAGGCAGTCAGGGGCCACTTCCGCCCACAAGGCACACCGCACCCTGGAATTCGACGTCCGACCACGCGAGCGAGCAACCGTGCCTCCGCACTCCGCCTCGGCCCCAGTTCGGCCGCTCCCCGCGAACTGACCCCTTTTCCACACCTCACGCACTGCTTCCGCACGATGCAGGATCGTATGATGAGATGCACGTCTCGGAAAGTGGGGGTGCAGCATGTGTGAAGATCACACCACCTTCGGGGGCTCCGATCAGTGACGGGATGAACGCAATCGCGCTCGGCCCAGCCGCCTAATCCGCTCAGGCAGTCTTGCTGCACGCAATTTACTCTGATGCCAGGTCTGCCGAATGAGGCACAGACAAGGCGGATGGAACGCTCATTTCTTGCGTACAAATGGCGTAGGAATGTGATTAGATAGAGGGGCTAGCAACACATCGGAGCTATGATCGGAACGCCTCAGCTGCTTGCCTCGGCCGCCTTGCCTTCGGTCTTGGACATCTCCTCGGCGGGATCCGCCATGGTCGCGTCCGAGGACTTGGTCTGCTCAACCTCTGGTGCCTTGCTGGGTGTCGCGGCGCCGCTCGACGAACCGGCGCCGGCCAGCTGCCAGGCAGGAATCGAGGGCTTGGGGATGTGAGGCGGGCTCGCATCGCCAGTCGGCGTACCAATCGTGGGCGAGCCGTACGAGCCTGCGCCGTAGCCAAGACCGTAGGGGCGAGGTGGAGCAGGCGCCCCACCGGCGTGCATGCCGGCGGTGGGTCCGCCTACAGTGCCTCTCGAGACCAGCAGCGACTTGAGGGACTTGAGTTCCGACTGCAGCTCCGAGAGAGAGTTGGTCTGCGCCTGCTTGGACTTTTCGAAGAGGCTGCCGAGCTCCTTGCGGATGCCCTCGACGTCGTCGCGGACGCGGTCCAGCTCGCCGTCGCGGCGCTTCTCGTTTTCGCGCACGCTCTTGACGCACTCGTCCACCTCCTTGATGCTCTTCTCCACCTCGGCCTTCTGCTCGTCTAGGCCCTGCTTGACCGCCAGCGTCTGCGCATCCAGCGCCTGCAGCTGGCTCGCCACCTCGTCGTACTTGGCTGTGAGCGAGTCCAGGTCCGCTTCGAGCACATTGGCGTTCGGCGGCTGGAGGTGCGGCATGAGGTACTTTCTGGCGAGCGAGATCACTCCGTAGCCGATCGTGCCGGACACCACGGCCATGATGAACCAGTCACGCCAGTCTCGGCCCTGCTGCTGCGCCTGTGCCGAGCCAGGGTAGGCGCCTGGGTGTGGCGCTCCGGCGTAGTAAGGTGCCGGAGGGCCAGCTGCATACGACGCATATCCGCTGGGTCCAGCAACTTGCGACTGTCCCGCCTGGCGCATGGCTTCGTCGATCTCGTTGGGACGCAGACCCTTGGATTCGAGGAAGCTGACCCTCTGCGACATGGTCGACGTCTGGACTTTAGGATCCGTAAGGAAGCTGATGGCACTCGCCACCATATCCGGACGGACAGGGCCCGAGGCCACCTGCGACTGGTGGGCCCCAACGGCCGAGGTGGATGGGTCCGACATTTGGCGAGCGAGAAGTAGTCGAATCTACCTGCGAGATTGAGATTGTGGGGTACCGGTCCTTGTTGACGTTGCTCTTAAACTAACTTCTGTGAGTTGGTTCGATGGGCTTCCCGAATGGGGCTTCGTGCTGCTTGTGACGATTGCGGGCGGGGTAGAAGCGAGAACGAGTGAAGGTGGAGAGAGACTGCGCAGCGAGCGCGGCGAGTGTGGGGTGCCCCGGGCTTTCAACGCACCGGTGGATGGCTCTCGTTTCGATGCGCGACTTTCGTATCCGGAGTCGGCTCCGCATTGCCGGAATTTCGCTCGAAGTTGTTAGACCGGGGCGCAACCCCGTGATTGTCGTGCGAGAGCACACTCCTGCCTTGATGGCCCGCAGCAGGAAGAAAAGCGCGGACTGCTGCGCGACTGGATGTGATCCTCTGGCTCGCGTCTCGATCGCATTTTCGACGCTGCCACCATCCAATCAGAAGGACGCCCCTCGGCCTCTCTTCACTTCGCCCTTCTGTTCATCTCATCCAACGCCCGCCAAAGTTTTCGTTGCTTGCAGAATTTTGACCACATAGCGTCTCCTCGTTCATCTGCGTTCCTCCCTTCCACCACCCTTGTACTCTACCGAGTCGAGGTCGTCATCGCCCCTTCGCCCAACTCTCACCATTGTTCAGGCGTCGGGTTCACCCTTCCACCCTCAACAAGCTTGCGGCACCAATTAAGGTAAGCTCGATTCTCACTCCAGCGCTCAGAGAACAGAAAGGTCGGCAGAGGGCAACAGAATCGGGCGCAGCTGGTCGAATGCATAGGCGCAGCTCACGGCGAAGATTACACTATATTCACACTGTTTGAGGACGCTCATCACGATACCTCTCAAACGCTGACAAGTGTGTCGAGAGGGTCTGGGGCGTCCACTGATTCCTAGACTACAACGGTAGATGAGCCAACAAGCTATAAGCTGCGCACGCGTCCTGTTGTCCTCAGCCCGTCTCTGCTCATGGCAACCAATGCTACGTGGAACAGCATGCTGACTCGAGTTATTGTTCAACACCTGCTCAGATCGATTGATCGCGGTCCATCATGACGAACGCCCCTAACCGATTCGACCTGTTCATCCTCGGTCCGGATGAGAAGCGGGTCGAGATTGTCGAGGACACCAAGATCCCCAATGCGGCGACGTTCTGGTTTAACAAGGAGGACCACACGCTCGGCAACATGCTGCGTCACGCTGTGCTCGCCAACCCTGCCGTCTTATTTTGTGGATACAAGGTACCTCATCCGCTCGAGCCCAAAGTGTTTGTTAAGATCCAGACGGACGGATCGATAACGCCGACCGATGCGCTCAAGCAGGGCTGCACCAAACTCATCGCTCAGATCAGCTCGCTCAAGGGCGCCTGGCGCACCGAAGTTCAGATGAGCGGTGCAGGAACCGTCGACGTCGGCGGGTTCGGCCGCCAAGATCCCTTTGATTCCACCGGCGCGGGCTATGGTGCAGGCGCAGAAGGCGCGTCTGGCTATGTCGACATCTAAGCATCTCACGCCAAGGCCCTGTTCGCTACCGCAGCTTCTCTTTCCAATGATACCCCTTGACGAATCTCGTCATCGTCCCGTCCTTCAGTGCCATTGACTCCCGCATGGTTTCGCACTGCTTTGCATATGTAATACCAATTGTAATTGTACCGCCTCATCTTCAACGCGTGTGCTTGAGCTGTCTAGCGAGCGTTACTGGACTGAGTATGGTCGCGCTTGTCAGGGGTTTGCTGCGCATGTCTACTTGGACGCATTGAAGTCGTCCCACCAGTCGAGCGGCCGCGGAACATAGTGTTGCGTGAGCCCGAACGATATGCTCTGTGCAGACAGCATGCCTGCTCGAGTGAGAGTCTGTGGCCGAACACGATCGAGTCTAGTCAGTACTGCAGAGCATGTGCTTCGTTGCAACCAGAATCCGACGGAACTTACGTCGAACAGAAGAGGGGCGGTCGCAAGCATCCAGGTCATGGTCCAGAGCCATCCGAAGAAACCACGGACGCGGTATCCGGTGCAGCGCTGCCACAGATGCTCACCAAAGATAGCTAGAGGCTGGATGATGAAGAACATGGCGACCTCCAGGTTTTTCAGGTTGTGTCCTGGTGTCACAGCGGCGCTGCCAAAGTTATGGACAGCGGCCGAGGCGAGAAAGGCGCCAAACGTGCCAACTGCGTAAGCTGCGCGCCTCCCCAGCATGCCTTGCACGAGGGGCCGGACCGGCCAAAAGCCGGCGGCGAGAAACGAGAAGCGCAGATACTGATGCCATCGCTTGCTCCAGAATTGATGCACCGAGGTAGACAGCCAAGGCTGCCTAAACGCAGGAGGATCCCATCGCAAAGGCAGGTCGCCGAATAGACCGACCGCGATGGAAGCAACGACGGCATGCTGCAGGTACATGGAGCAAGTGAATGTGACACCGTATGCAGCACAGATCAGATATGGACCGGCGGCACCGAAGAAGCCTTGACGACAATCCCAGATGCTACCGCCCGTGGCCGAGCCAGCGTGGACGTTGAAGCGATCGTCTCTAATGAGAGTGAAGATGGCGTCGTACACCAAATAGTAAAGAGGCACGGGTGCGAGAGTGCGTAAGACCCATCGCCAGCGCTGTCGGAGAGTGGAGGACGGCACAGGAAAAGCTGGGACACCGTCCTTGATGCCATGCTCCCAACCGATGCCCCTGATTCCGAAGAGAAGGTCCAGCTCAAGAGGCCAACGCGTACCCGGAAAGTAGAGAGGAAAGTCCTCGACTGCCGAGGTCTTGCGTCCAGACATACCGGCGCTCTTTGCGTTGTGTTCCGCTGGCTTCTGAGCAACCTTGAGCCTGGGACGTCGGCAGACGAGGCCCCAGTGGAAGGTCCAGATGATCAAGCACATGGCGGCGCATCCGACTGTAACGTTGATATGTTGACCTCGACCGTTCAGCTGATCCGCACCGGCGACCGCGTAGAAATGGGCATACGTGGATCTAAGGGCAAAGAGCGTGGCGATGGGGACGAGCGAGGCTCTCAGCGGAAGCGTGGTGCTCGGGTCGTACCGCAGAAGCAGGTGGATCTGGATCCCAATGATCAGAATCGGCGCGACCATCGTCCACACATTGGAGCTGTTGTACGGCGTCTTATCGTGAAAGTCCGGAACAGCCCACCTGGCAAGGTCGTAAGCGGCCTTTGACAGCGCCATCGAGAAAGGCTTTCGACGGCCGGCGTAGGACACCACCGCGGCACGCTTCTCTGAGAGTGCTAGGTCAGGTACCGATGTCTGCGAGAAGTTCGCCTGCAGAGCGTTAGCAATGCTGACCGAGGACCGAAAGGTGGTATGTTGGATGCGAAGCGATAAGAGGCAGTGGTCATGAGGGTTGGCGAATATAAGTCCGAGCGTCTCTTTGCCGCCGTACGAGGCTTGCACGGCGTCGCCGGCTCCACAGTGAAGCGGCCTTCGACATTCTGCCTGTCTCAGTGCCTCATTTCAGGATCTGGTGGGGATAAGTTGAGGTGTATGCGCACGGAGAAGGCGAACCACGGACAGAGCAGCCAGCCCTTGACAACAGGACGAACAGCGCTCGGGTCACGCCGGTGGAGCTTCAGAGTACGATACAGTGGGCTGCTGACTGATCCGTGCAGCCTCTGCCTGTGCTTTTGGTCCCCACTCAGGACCCCACTCAAGCCATCTTGGTCGTGGGAACGACTTCACGTCGACGATCGTGGTCGTGCAATGTGGCACTACTGCGGTCGAAGCTCGACCAGGGTCCAGTCAATCGAAGAAAGAGCTCAAGTTGAGAAGCGGGCATCACCGAGATTGCACCGCGGCCACCGGATGTAGCCAGGGCCCGCCGAGCCACAGTCTAAGCTAGAGCCAAAAGTGCTAGGCACAGCCAAAGCCACGAGTCGCGCGACACGATGGCGATGTTAGACCTGGGGGTTGACCAATCGAGACTGAATTTTCCGCAGCGGCGTGTGCGTGCGTGCGTTCGTTGTACGAGGATCTGATAGGTGCGCTAAGTCACTGCTGCTGTACGCCTGCCTGTCCAGTCGCCGGTCGCGCTTGTTCGTTAGCCGCGACAAAGGGCAGCACACAAAAAAAAGAAGAGACGCTTTGGGCTCTGCGTACAGCACGTTCATTTTTTGAGCCTCTGGAGATTGCACCCTGGGATCCGTTGCGACTTTTGACTTGGCTGCAGGCGGGCGTCTATTTCGCCCGTTTTCAGCTCACGCACGCCGGCCACGCCTCAGAACTGGCAGGGAGACTGCCGAGCAGCGGGGGCAATCTTCTCATGGCCATCTTGATGCTTTCAAGGCACGGCACCTCTTTACGGCTGCTGCTTGGTCACCAACCTCCATCCCTACCTTCTGCGTCACAAGTCATCGCCAGCCGAAGTGGGCCTGCCTCTTCGCGTCTATTACCCGACGTGCAGGCTGCAACGGCGTTGCTTCTCGCGCAAGCTCATTTGCCCCCTCCGCCTTTTTTCATTCCACCGCGACGATTGGATCTGTGTCAAATGCAGCTCAAGCTTCCGTCTTAGCTCGACTGTCTCCGTGAGGCTTGCCTCTGCACTCAGCTTTGGCCCTGCCGCCCTGTCGCTTAGCCTGTTGACCTCTGCCCACCTGCGAGCTCGGCGTACAATCGGGCCGACTCGTGCTGCTTCACGTTTCGGACCTTCCGAAGCTCGACCAGCACCGGTGACGTCGGCAAGACATCCGCCCTCTCCATAGGCCTCACTCTGGCTCAAGCTTCGGCCAGCCTCATCCACACCAAGATGCAGTCCCAGGTACCCTCGCCAAATCAGCCTCAGGTGCCGTCGCCGCACCAGAACAGCGACCCTGGCCGCTCCCTCGGCGCTTCGCCCAACAACCTGGATTTTGCAGCACAACTCAGCTTCAGGGCCGATTCACCACAGGAGAATGCTCGGCTGTTCCTCGCAGCACAGCAACGCTTCGACATGCGAAGTCAATCGCCTCTGTCCGCCTCGGCTTCCGCCGACCAACCCGGCTCTGGCTACCAATCCAGCAGCGCGCAGTCGGCGTCGGGCGATCCGAACGCTGACAACAGCGCATCCACATCGGCAGCTGGCTCTCGCAGGCCATCCTCCGTCGGACGCAAAGCCTCGGGAAGTCACCGAAGCCAGAAGCACCGTTGGTCGGCCGAAGAGACGCAGGCACTCGTCGATGGATGCAACAAGCACGGCGTGGGAAACTGGAAAAAGATCCTCTCCGATCCAGCGCTTTCGGGCCTCTTTTGCGACAGAACGGCGGGTGATCTCAAGGATCGATTCCGAACCTACTTCCCCGACGCCTATCACGAGATGTATCCCAACGCCAAGACCCATCTGAGCAAGGCAGTCAGAGGAAGGGACGCCGAGGGAAAGAGCATCTTCGAAAAGGGCAAGACCAAGGAGCGACGACCGTTCACCGCGGAAGAGGACGCCGCTCTCCGCGCAGGCTACCAGCAGTACGGCTCTCATTGGGCCTTGATAGCAAAGGATCCCATCTTCAATGGTCAGAGGCGCGCCATCGATCTGCGCGACCGCTTCCGCAATGCTTTCCCCGAAGACTACGAACGCGCCGGCTTCAAGCCGCGTCCTTCCAAGGCACGCAAGGACCGAGGCCCCAGCGCAGCCAAACCAGGCGAGGGTCACCCGGCGAGAACAGGCAGCTTGACCGGCGCGCTCTCAGACCACAGCCTCTCTGAGGGCGGATGGCGCGGAGCAGACTACGCCCTCAGCGATGCCACCAGCGACGGCCACATCACCGATCACGGCAATCTCACCGACTACAGCTACTTCACCGATCAGGGTAATCTCACCGACGGTGGCCAAGAGCCCCTCTTCTCGGGTCCCTCAAGCGGCGCGAGCAGCGCTCTGGGTCGGTCCAACTCAATGGGTGGGAACATTCCACGCCAAAGCTTTGGACAGGCATTGGCATCGCAGCTTCAGCAACAGCAGCAGCAGCAGCAGCAGCAGCAGCACAACATGCAGCCCAGGCCACCCTTCCTCTCGTCCAACACAGCGCCCCTACCCGGATCCAATGTGCCGCTTCGAGCATCTGACATGGTGACAGGCCAGTCCATCAACAGCCTCTTTGAGCAGCTCCAGCAAGCCAGCCTCGAGGGCGCCTCCACCACCTCCGAAACGAGCAGCATTCGCGAGCGAGCCACTCCTCCTAGTGCCAGCGAGGCCGACCCATCGCATCAGCAGCACTTCGTCCAGATGCACCAATCCGCAGCGTCAGCGCATGCCAAAGCAGCTTCCGCAGACGATGCTCGCAGGCAAGCGGGCAAACACGCCATCCACGACCCGATCAACCACAAGAGAAGGAGTCACGCCTCCCGAACGGGTAAGAGCTCCGCGCTCGAACGCCTGCCCTCCGTTCACGGACACATGCACGGCGTCCACAGTCACTCGCACGGTCATGCGCATCAAGCATCGACTTCGCACTCTCGTCCGCAGTCCCAGTCTTCGAGCCAGCACCAGTCACCTGCCGGTGGTCCCGTTCCGCCGCCGAGCAACGCACAGATTCCGCCGCTCTCTCAAACCAACGCCATCCCACCCAACGTACTGGCCTGGCTGGGCCCCAGCTCTCAGTCTATGGGTGTTGACGAGAGCTCGGTGAACCTTGACGATCAGCGCGCTGCCTTGCAAGCACCTTCATCTTGGTCTACCTACAGCTCGAGCGCCAGCGACATCTCTGGCACCAGCTTCAACGCGTCAGGGCCAAGTGGCTTCCTGGCCAACACGCAGAACATGTTTACCCCTGGGATCAACTTTGGTGGTCAGCCAGGCATCACCTCTCCCACCGGCTTCGGTTCCAACGCCTTCATGACCGGTGCCATGAGCGCAGCCTCCGACTCGTCCGCATCCTCGGCAGCGGGCTCTCGCAGATCCTCAAGCGTCGCAGACCCGTTCGCGCAGCAGAATCTCATCCAGCAGGACGCTGGCAAACCATTTGCAAATCAGCCATCGCAGATGCGCGACGTCGACTTCATGGTGAATCCTCTGCAGAACTTTGCTGATGCGAACAACATGGCGCAGTGGGATGTGGACTGGGCCGATCTCGGCAGCATTTCGGATTCAGGGCTCCAAGGCGACGACGTCAACGAGCTGCTCGCCTCGTTGCCCCTCTCACACCACCCATGGGCAGGCGATCTCCATCATGGAACCACGGCCGCTGTTGCGGGCGAAGCGCCGAGCTCAACTGCTGCCCAGCAGTCTTTGTCTCAGGGTGCAAGTCGCGGCCAGATGTCGAGCGACCTGTCCAGCATCGGCTTCTTGGGGCAAGGACAGGCCGCGGATCAAGCCATCCTTCGTCAAATGAACGCGCTTGGTGCGTCGTCTCAGCAGCACCAGCACCAGCAGCAGCAAAAGCACGAGCAACAATCTCCCACAGCCAACTTGCAGTCTCAGCCGGCCCCAAGCGGAAGTGGGCTTGGAGGAGACGGGGGCGTCTCCTTTGCCACCGTCACGTACGGCGACCCTCTGGTACGCGAGGAGAGAGAAGGCTCACCGGACTCGCTTGAACTGCAGCGAGAACAGACTTTCACTGCAAAGGACGTGGCACTTCGGCTGGCTCAGCGAGCGGAGGAGATCGACAAGGAGGAGGACGATTCCGATGACGATCAGCGACGCCGATCTACCGACACGCTTCGCCATGTTGAGGGTGCGCTTGAACAGGCCCTGGAGTCGGTCGAGGATACGCGTGCTCTGGCATTCGCACAGCAGTTCCACCGCGATTCGGACTCGGACTCGGACTCGGATGACGAGGCCGAAGACGATGGATACGAAGAGGACGAGGAAGACGATGACGAGCTCGACTACGAGCTCGAAGCTGGCGCGCCGGACTACAACTTTGAGCAGGTGCTCGAGGAGCTGCAGGCGTCGGACCAACAGCTGGGCGGCAACGGTGCGCTGTCGAGCGACTTTTTCGACGGACCGTTCTCGGATGCCATCACGCCCAACTCGGGCGCGCCAGGACCGCTGCACATGGGTCTGGACGACGTCGATCTGTCGCAGTATACCAATTCAACGCCGGCAGGAGGCAACGGAGCGACCAGCGCATTCCTAGACATGCAGGCCGCCGGGTGGTCAAGCAGCCCCGGTGATCAATTCAGCCCGAACTATGGGCTGCCGCCGCATATGGGCACGCCGTCGTCAGCTTTGCAAAGAGGCAGAGGCGGCAATGCAGGGCCTGCTTAGGGTCAAGTGTGGTAGACCCTGGCGATGACATAGGATATCGCACCTGGATTCGGACAAGGAGCATTGCAATGTAGACAAGTCAATCAGATGGCTGGCCGTGTGTGCTAGTGTTACAAGTTGTATTGCAGGATGAGGTGAATTAGGCATCGGGAAGGAGAAAGTCGTTGATCTGAGCCTTGATCTCGGCTCTGTTGAGGGGCTGGAGCGGGGTTGTGCTAGCGCAGTGTGCATTGTGGCCGCTGAGAGCTGGGTCCTGCGAGGTGGACTCGGCACTGTGAAGAGCTTCATGGGCATGCTCTGGGGCGTGCACTCCCACATTGGTTGGGTCTTGAGAACGAATGATGTGCTGGAGAACGTATGCAGGGAGCAAGGGCAGTTCCTCGTCTGCCTTGTTGGAAGTTGGGGTGGCAAGAACCAGCAGACATGCGTAGCAGAGATGATCCGAGAGCTCGATCCACTCTGCATCTTGCGTACCTTCCTGAGGCTGGGTGGGTGCGGTCTCGGCGAGGCTGGAGATGGTGATGTTGCGTTTCCAATGCCTTGCGCCTTGTTGTGACGGCATGCCACACAGTGCACAGCCTGCCTGCGTAGTCCATCTGAAACATCCGGCACTGGCCTGAGCCAGCTTGATACCTCTCGATCCAATACGTGGCTCTGGCGCCTCGTTCAAGGTCAGTGCGCTCATCTTGCCCGTTGCATCCCGCGAACGCAGTGAGACACTCGGACCAACGTGCTGGAACGCGCTCGTCGAATGCGCTGCACCCTCGGCACCAGCCCGATCCGAGGTCGGGTTGAGTACGAGCTTGCTGCCAGTTTTGCCGATGGTCGACACCGTGCTAGGCACGCCCTTTTCGAGATTGAGGATGAAGGTCTCGGTGAGACGAGCGATGGAGCTCTTGTCCATCGTAGGCACGTTTGCATCGCGATTCGCCAGGATGTCGGCTGTAGACACGAGCGGTGGCACGATGTGCTGTTCGGTCTCGAGCGATTCGAGGCCAAGCGCCGAAGTGTAGAAGAGCACTTCCTGCATGAGATGGGCTTTGAGAGGTCGGACGACAAGCGTGTCGTCGATCCAAGCAGCATCGCTGCCCTGGACCGCGAGCTTGTGACCTGCACCCTTGGCGAGATCCTCGATGAGCCGGATCGAGATGCGCGTCGCACTGTCGCCGAGCAGCAGCGCGGCACAGTCGTACTGGCTTGCTGCGCGGCATAGAAGCGTTTGAATGAGGACGCGGTGCAGATCTTCGAGCCGTGTTCGCGCCGAGGACGCCGCGGTGCGCGGAAGAGTGGAAGGGTGGAGGGCGGAGAAGAGGGCCTTGATCGCCTGTCTCGGGTCGCTCACGGGGGCCGATGCGCGAGAGAGCAGCTGTGCGTCGCCATCAAGTGTCTTCCAGGGTGATCCTTCTGCGCTGCCCTCGCTGTCGGACTGGCGATAGATGTCTTCGATCTTGAGAGGGATAAAGTGCAAGTCGAGACAGCCTTCCTGCTCGACCATGCTGCGCATCGACTCGGTGCGGTCCTCAGCATCACCGGGAATGACGGCGCTGTCGTCGACATAGAAGACGAAGATCTTGCCGATCTCGTTGAAGCGTCCGCTAGCATTCGCATTCGCATTCGTATTCGCGTTAGAGTTCTTCCTTCGACCGCCGTCTGCAGAAGCGGAGGCAGAAGCAGCGTCTTGGCCGTCGTTCTTCGCTCCGCGGCCCTTGCGGCGGGGGGCGGCGGACGAAGATTCTGGGCGAAAGTACTGCGTCGCTGTCCTGAGCAGGGCTCGAGAGCTCGGACCACCCGACAGTGCAATGGCAATGTTGGCTGAGACGCTGACTTCGGCATTGCCGGCGCCGTTGCTGATCGCTTTCGAGGACCGCATGACTTGCTGTTCGGAAGCATTTGACGATGCAGACGGCTCATCCGAAGACGGGTGCTTGGCGGCGGCCTTGGCCTTCTCGGCAGCGACATACTTTGCCAGACCAGCTCCACGAGCGAACTCGAGGCCAGACTTGGCCTTCTGGTCAAAGACAGCCAGACCGCAGGATTGGCAGTAGATCGAGTCGCGGAAGATGGCCACGGCCGGGTTGGCCTTGCAGCGCACACACACCGTCGCCTGGGCAGGCTCGGGTGCGGTGGCGGCTGCCTGAGGCGCGGGGTCGTCAGGCTGCGGACACGGCATTATCGGAACAGCCGACGACGGCAAGTAAAGGACGGCAGGGATTCGAAAGGTGGGTGACGCAAGTGACGAATGGACGCCGAGTGGAGGAGCGAGTCTTTCTTGAGAAGCTTCCCGCCACCAAAACTGCAGGCTCAGCTCACTGTGCGGCTGAGCGCGGCTGATCCGCCAAAAAATTTGGTCGCGATTCGGAACTCGGAGGGAGCCCTCATGCATACCCTTCCCTTTCCTATCGGTCTCGGCTCGCTTTCCCTTCTCAACCGCCTCTGCCAGTGTGCTTGACACCTCACCGCAGCAATCATGCCTTCACGAACTCGAGTTCGAAAGCCAGACCCGCTGCCGTATCCCACGCGACCCTATTTGGCCTTGGGCTTGGAAGGCAGTGCGAACAAGCTCGGCGCTGGAATCGTTCTGCACAAGCCTTTCGACCCGTCGGCACCGTCGTCTTCATCGTCCTCACCTTCTTCCATCTCCTCTCGCTCGGTGGGACAGGTCGAGATTCTCTCCAATGTGCGACACACGTACGTCACGCCCCCTGGCTCCGGCTTCCAGCCCAGCGACACCGCCAAACATCACAAGGAGTGGATCATCCGCGTCATCTCCGAAGCCGTGCGCCGCTCCGGACTCGAGTCGCTCGCCGAAGTCGACTGCATCTGCTACACCAAAGGTCCCGGCATGGGAGCTCCTCTTCAAAGCGTTGCCATTGTAGCAAGGACGCTCGCGCTCATGTACAAGAAGCCGCTTGTCGGCGTCAACCACTGCGTCGGCCACATCGAGATGGGAAGGACCATCACTGGAGCGCACAACCCGGTCGTCCTCTACGTGTCCGGTGGCAACACTCAGGTGATTGCATACTCGGCACAGAGGTACCGCATCTTTGGTGAGACGCTCGACATCGCCGTTGGCAACTGCTTGGATCGCTTCGCTCGAGTCATTGGACTCAGCAACGATCCCAGTCCAGGCCAGAACATCGAGAAGGAGGCTAGGCGTGGCACCAGGCTCGTACCCCTTCCCTACACCACAAAGGGAATGGATGTCAGCCTTGCCGGAATCCTGAGTGCCACCGAGGCATATACGCGCGACAAGCGCTTCAAGCCCAACGTCGAATCGAGCGCAGACGCCGGCTTGCCTGTCGGCAGTCTTGCCAACGGCGAAGTGTGGACGGGCGAGGGAGGCGGAAAGCACATCGTGAACATGGCGGAAGGATCCGCATCCGCTGTCAAAGCGCAAAGCAAAACCGACGAGGAAGATGCTGCCGCCGCACCCACCGACGCGGACGTCGACGTGTCACAATCGGGCGTCGCACAGCTCGACTCGTCCGTCGACACCATAACCGCCGCCGATCTCTGCTTCTCGCTCCAGGAGCACATCTTTTCGATGCTCGTCGAAATCACCGAACGTGCCATGGCGCACATCGGATCCAAAGAGGTGCTTATCGTCGGAGGCGTCGGCAGCAACCAGCGTCTCCAACACATGATGGGCGTCATGGCCAGCGAGAGGGGTGGCAGCGTATTTGCCACCGACGAAAGGTTTTGCATCGACAACGGCATCATGATCGCACACGCTGGTCTCTTGAGCCACCGCATGGGAATCGACACCAGCCTCGAGAAGAGCACCGTCACACAGCGCTTCAGAACGGATACGCCTAACATCGCCGTAAGTACGCCCCGCCGGCCGTCGATCCGAATTGATCTGCACGCGCATGACCGTCACTGACCCCTCTGCCTTTCCTCCTGTTCCTTCCTCGAACAGTGGCGAGCGTGAAATCAGACTCCATCTTCAATGTAGTTCAATCGTACAATCGTCCATGTGCCGAATGAAGCATCTCTTGCTGCGGCAGCATCGTTACATGTGGCGCCTTTGTGAGCAACGTGAGAATCCGCGTATGCGCAAGCTGCACGAGCCAGCTCGCAGTCGTGCAGGTGCCCCGCGCTGGTGCAGCTCTGGAAAATCAGGGTCTAAGGAAATCGCTGTGAAGCGTGTGTTGGTCTGGCAAGCGCGTCCTTCGAAGTATCGCTTAGACCTTATCCCATCACAGCATCACTCATATCCACATCTTAGGCCTTGAGGTGCTTCACCTGCTTCTTTCCTCGGACTACTCAACCTACAAGCAGCTCGTTGGCGTCGATTGGGGCCGCAATTCAGCACGCTGCCACCATGAGTCAACCGCCGCCGGCCTCGTCGCAGCAACGGTCTGCTTCGGCTGGCAACTACCCTTCGGCGTCATCGACGCCCGTCACTATTTCCACTGCTGCGTCTGGGTCTGCGTCAGCCACTACGACCCCTTTGCTTGGCCATGGATCGCTTTCAGCTGGGAGTCCGGCTTCCAATCTCCTGTCATCCTCACCCTACGGTGGCGGCTTCGCCTCGGCTGCGACTTCTCCAGCATCAATAGCGTTCAATGCCGCCCACTCCTCGCAGCCGTACGCATCTCCTGCGCAGAGCACCGCATCGTTTCGAAGGCTCGTGTGGGAAGGCTCAGTCCCAATATGTGTCTCGATCGATCCGACGGACCTGCCGCCCGGCTCGGATTCCTCGGTCGATTCGACCTACCTCGTCGTACCACGCGTCAGCTACTTGCCCCTCATCGTAGACGATGTCAAGAAGAATCTCCTCGAACTCGCCCTTGAGCAGCCAGCGCTGAATAGCATCAACGACAAGGACATCTGGTTTGAATACGAAGGCCAGCCTCTCCGCTGGCACTGGCAGATCGGCCTTCTCTACGATTTCCACACTGCAAACCCAGCACGCACTGCCGTCGCATACAATTCGTCGGCATCAAGTACTTCGGGTCTGGGATCTTTGCGACCGGAGTCGAGCACGCAGCCATCTAGCTCCTCGGTGGAGTCGGCCTTGCAGCCACCCAGGCTTCCGTGGAAGATCCGCGTGCGCTTGTCCAAGCCACCCACCGAGCGGCTCCACTCAAATGCCGGAGTTGAGTCATGCAAGACTTCGTTCATGTCTATGATCAAAGAGGCCGACTTTGTCCGCTATGGCTCCACCAAGAAGGTGGTCAATCTCCGCAAGCAGGAACAGGATACGCTATGGGACGGCGTTGTCGCCCACGACTACGAGCTCTTCTGGAGTGTTGCCCAAAAGCTCGTTCCGAACGCAGCCGTAATCGGCACTCAGACCGGCCCAGCGACGGCGACGGCAGGTCGGTCTCCCATCGCCTCACGTGTTCAGTCTCTCAACCTTGGAGGTGGCGCACACGACGAGCGGTCGACGACTTCGGCCCAGCGCAGCTTCACTTCACAGCCGAACGAGAGTGAGGCTAGCCTGGCCCCGAGCATGGCTTCGACCATCACGAGCACGACTTCCTCCGATCCACCCGCGGACAGCGGTACTGCGACACCCAATGCGAACAATGCGGTCCGAAGTATACCGCTCCGCTTCTTTCTGCCAGACAATGCGCCCATCGTGCAGGAACCGGTTCCGCCCATGCTGGAGGATGGCCGTGCAAACACGCTCGGCGCGGTGCTGTCGGCCCTGTTCCCGCTCATGTTTCCCCCACCGCCGAGCTTCAGCAGCTTCCAGGCGCCCTCTCCACCGCTGGCGTATGCGCTCGTACAGGGCGTCAGGATGCCTCTCGACGCCGAAATCGCTTGGCTTGGAAGCGCGTTGGTAGGACCCGATGGATGGGTGGCAGTCGTCATCGGCCTTGTTGTCTGAGGGGTCTCCGCAGCTTCGTTCGTTCTTCTCTCATAACAAAGCCCTTTCAGCGCTCATTTGACCGTAGACTGCCTGCAATCGAGATCACTATACCACAATGTCACCTTCTTTGCGGCATCTGTGTATAGCGGGGTTTCAGACTAGGGCGCAAGTCGCATTTTGAATTTGTTAGATTGTGGCACGAGATCGGCGATGGAGACTTCGCGATGGAATTCGGACGAGCTGCCGGTCACGCTGCACGTACGCATCCACCTTCGCATCCGCCTTCTGCACCATCATCCTGATCGCTACTCTTCGCTTCTTCGCGTTGTGTCTGGTTGGTCCAGTTTCGTTCGGCTTTTTCATATCCTCCAACACGGCTGAGCCAGTCCAGATCGCTTTTTCTCGGCTCCCTCTTCCGACATAGAATCGAGCCGTCGCGCCAGTCCTTCGTCCGCACGCGCGAGTCGCCGACCGCCTGGTCCACCAAGACGAAACGCGGCCCGCAGCTTCATATTGATCCGCAGCAATGAACAACCAGGGACAACAAGGGCAGCAGCCGGGCCAGCAGAATGCATCTGCGCCTGGTCAGCAGCTTGCGAACAACCAGATGCCGCCAGGAGGTCCCCAAACGGCAGCGCAGGCTGCGCAGTATAAAGCTGCGCTCATCCAGCAACAGCAAATCCAAGCCATGCGTGCCCAGGCACTTGCGCAGCAGCAACAGCAGCAAGGTCAGTCGTCGGCGCAACCGCAGCAACAACAACCACAGCAGGCGGCCCAAGCCGGCAACTTGCAGGCTCTCCAAGCTCTTGTGCAGAACAATCCGCAGGGTCTGGCAGCGCTTTTCCAGGCTGCTCGTGAAGGCAAAATCAGCCCGGAGCAGCTCGCTCAGCTCAAAGCCTTCATTGGTGCGCACCAACAGGCGCAACAGCAGCAAGGAAGGCCGCCTCAGCAGCAACCCAACCAACCGCAGCAGCCGCAGCAGCATCAGCAGGCCCCACAACAGCAGGCACCAATGAACGCGCAGCTCGCGCAACAGATGCGACCGCCACAGCCAGGACAACAGCAGCAACCTGGACAGGCCAACATGCAGCAGGCCCAAATGACCGCCGCACTGCAGCAGCAGCTTCAGCAGCAGCAGCAGCGCAACGCGCAGAACGCACAGCCGCAGCAGCCGAACCCGGCGCTTGCGCGACCGCCTCAGGGAGCTGGAGCGCCGGGGCAGCCGGGACAGCAGCAGGTCCCTCAGAACGAGCAGGCGCTGCTGGAGCAGTTCAACCGCATCGCGCAGCCGCTGCGCATGAAGGTGCAGGCGCTCGAGAGCGCGCTCAACAATCCGAACCTCAGGCCCGAGGAGCGTCAGCAGTGCCAGAATGCGCTGCAGGAGACACGCAACCAGCAAGCAGCGCTTGCCAAGCAGATCCAGATCGTGCGCGAGAGCTTCCGCCAGCAACAGTCGCAGGCCCAGGCGCAGCAGGCTGCGGCGGCAGCAGCGGCGGGCGGCAAGCCGCCTACTCCTGTGCAGCAGGCTGCTCAAGCACAGGCGGCCGGTGTGAGCGCGGCTACGCCGCAGAGTGCTAGTCCCGCGCCTGCGCCTGCGCCGGCGTCGGCCGCGACGCCTGCTACGCCGGTACCGGCTGCAGCGGCAGCGCCCAAGGTAGGCGCCAACAGCGCGGCCAAGGCGACGCCCAAGCCACCAGCCAAGAGCAAGGCCGCGCTGAAGAAGGAGAAGGAGGCCAAGGAGAAGGAGGAGAAGGAGAAGGCGGCCAAGGAAGCAGCGGCCAAGGAGGCTAAGGGCAAAGGTGCGGCGGCCAAGGGTAAGGCTGCGGCTTCTCCCGCGCCAGCAGCCGGTGTGGGCGCTGCCAATGGAGCTGCCAAGCCGTCGCCTGCTGCCGCTGGCGGCACTCCTGGAGCGTCTGGAGCTGCGGCTGGATCGACGCCAGCCACTCCCTCGGCCGGTGCAGCAGGTGGTAGGCCTGGTGTGCCCGTGCCTGGTCCGGGTCCAGCGGGTGTGACAGCCACAACGCCGACTGCAGCCACGCTGGGTGGCACACCCGTAACCGCCATGTCTGCGGCTGCAGCATCGTACGCAAACGTTGCCATTCCGCCCGTCCTCAACGTGTCGACGAGCAGCGCGCCCGAGCCGTATCCAAACCCCTCCGGCCCGCGCGCGAGTATGACGCAAGGGCTGGGTGTTGCGCCCGTGATCGGCACACCCGCAATCCTGACGCGTCCCAATCCCACTGGACCGGGCGCTTCCGATGATACCGCGCTCGACGACTTGCTCGGTCTTCCCACGCGTCTACCGCTTGCTACTGCCGACGAGCTACTCGGCCTACCTGCAGGCGACGATCCTTCCGCCGACGTTGCCTCTGCAGCAGTCGCAACAGCCTCTGCCGTCCTCTCCTCCTCCGCACCTGCGGCGAGTGCGGTCCAAAATTCAAACGGCATCTTGACAAAGCGAAAGATCGCCGACCTCATCGCAGAGCTCGACAGCACAGAGAAACTCGATGGCGCAGTAGAGGATCTGCTGCTCGAACTCGCGGATGAGTTCATCGACTCGGTCACTGCCATGGCTTGCAGACTCGCAAAACACCGCAGAGCCGATAAACTCGAGGTCAGAGACGTTCAGCTCCACCTCGAGAGGAATTGGAACCTGCGCGTACCGTTCCCCGGCGCAGTCCCCATCCCGCCCCCACGCACCAAGGTCGCCCCCGCGACAACGTCCGCCACTGCACCAAAGTGAAGCTGGCCCTCACTGCATCTCCCAATCCCACTTTGAGGAACACTCGTACACACTCCATGCTCGCAATCAACTTCTTCGAGCTGACTGAATTCGATTTGACTGGGCTACACGAGAAAGACATGCTGTGACAAGGGTAGGGGCAGGCTCTGTCTCGGCTTACGCCCGGAAAGGAGCGTGCCAGCAGTCGCGATACGGCCGCTTGCTCGGGCGGTAGCGCTTCTTCCACACAAACACCTCGAACTTGGGTTGCTTCTTCGGCTTGGCGGTATTCGGAGCAGGGGTGCTCTTGGCGACCTTGGCTGTGGCCTTTGCTTTGTCCACGCTGCTAGCACTGTTGTTGCTCGTGTCTGTGCGCTTCCTCTTTGTCTGTCCCGCAGCTTTCGGCGGTGTCGCAGAAGAGGTCAGACTTGCTGCCCCTCTGGAAGCCGTTGGAGTCGAGGTGCTTGCTACCGGGCCTGTGGAGGCACTTGAAGTAGAACCGTTCGCTCCCGGTCCTTTGGGGGCAGATGACGTCGAGACGCTCGCTCCGGCTGCAGGGCTGGTGGCGACCCTGCCAGAGGAAGGGGCTGGCAGGGAGACTTTGATCTGAGGAGCTGGACGCCAGACTGGCTGCTTGACAGAGGCAGGCGAACCAGCCAGCCCTAATCCCACCGAGGCAACACTGGCGCGGGGGGAGCCTTGCACAGTCCCGGAAGACAGCTTGTGGCTGATTGTTTGGGGCCTAGCTGGCTGGACTTGGAGACCGGCGGGGTCCTTGCCTGATGACGAGGCAGGAGCCTGACTCACTACCGTGGCGGGACCTCCGCCGCTCGGCTTGACGACCGAGGCTGGCCCTGCGGTGTGGTTCGCCTTGACTGCCTCGACCTTGCTGGCGACACGCGACTCTCCAACTTTGTCTCCGCTTTCTTGACCTTGGGCTTTGGCTTTCCCTTTGCCTTTGCGCTTACGTTTGCCCTTTTTCTTGGCTGCCTCCGAGCCATCCTTCGTACTGGAGGCTTTGCTGGCGCCAACACCGCTACCGACTGCTCCAGGGGTGCGCTGCTGCGACGTCCCGGCGGGGCCTTTTTCTTGGCCCTTGGTCGTGCTCTTCTTGTTCGAGCTCGCCTTTGTAGACGCTCCGCCGCGTGTCTTGGCTTTCGAGGCCTTCTTGCCCTTCTTGAGCGCGGCATTCATCAACATTTCTCTCCTCAGATGGGGACCGAGAAGACGCTCTGCTCTTGCATTGATTGTCGCCTCCATAGCCTCTTCGAAGTCGTATCCCATAGAGTAGGACTCGAGGAACTTCGGGTCGCTGGTCGGATCGTAGTCAAACTCGTCGCCGTAAAGATCGTCTTCGAGGCCGTAAGGATCGTCGCCACGATAGTCGAGATCGTCGTAGTCCCAATAGCCGCGCTCCTGCATCCATTCGTGCATCAACTCTTCTTCCAACTCCGAGTCGTAGTCAGACTCGTCTTCAGAATCAAAGTCGGACAGGTCATCATCCAGATGCTGCGACGCCTGTTCTGCTTTTTTAGCGGGCGCGACCTCCGCTTTGGCTGCATTCGCAGGAGCATCGGGACTCTTTGAAGCTGGAGGCATGGTCGGGGCTTGCCCGCTCGGTGCGATCGGCACACCATGAGGGCACGTGTGCGGCGGGCCAAAGCTGGACGAGACCGGCGGGTACGCTGGGGCTCTGGAGTAGACTCTGCTGGGAGTGGCTTGGGCGGCCGAAGCCTCCGATGGGTGGACCCAGTCTGGACCAAAGAAAGCGGTGAGACAATCGTCGCCGAACCTGATCAAAGCCTCTTTGCGACCGACAATGTCGTCGTCATACTTCGGGAGCTCAAGTCGGAACTGACGCGTCTTGTGGGCCAGATAGTGGATCTTGCGGACGTCGTGGTCGGTTGCCTGTCGAGGCGTGAGGGCGTGCAGGCGCAGTAGAGGGAAGTGGGTTGGAACGGGCGCCAGCGCTTCCTCGACAGTTGCCTCCAAGGGCACGGCGTCGAGATAGTGGTTTGCGATCGCCTCAGCCTGGCTGCGTCTACTCCTCTCCAGAGACTGGGCATAGCTGGCTGGGTCATTTGCCTGTGGTACTTGAGGAGCCGGAGGCTGGAATAGCGCCATCAGCACCTGCTGTAGGAACATCGTCCGATCGTCTGCCGAGGCCATGATGACGATTGAACCGCGCGACCGTTGCAGAGGCGGTGAAGGTAGGAAACAGGGCGGGAGACTATCACCGCTGAAGCAAGCAGGTGTGGGAGAAGAAGAAAGGGAGGGCGTTGCGCCTGTGAACACTTATACTCGCCGCCCAGCCTGAGCCTGGATGTGCATGGCTGCGCAACAAAGGGGACGCATGGAGGCCTATGCATGACGACTTTTTAGCCGCGCCCACCTTTCCATCCTCGCATCCCAGCAGTCTAGCAGAGGAAAATCAGCGCATCAGATAGAACAAAGGGACTCTCACGCTCTTTGAACGCACGGCCCCACCAACTGCTTTGCCTGCTGGGCGACACCCAGGCTCATTTCATCACAGCACCACGGGGCCAAGCCTGATTCATCCCCAAAATCCCACGCTGCGCTCTTCCATTTTTCGCATGCGCGCTTCAAAGTGACGATGCGATGCGATTTTCTATTCGTGATGAGCTTTCTGACAGGTGCAGCCACCGCGCCGCGTTGGGCCGGAGGCGTCGCTGCGCAGTGCTGAAAGTTACGCATCCGACGCACTCATGCAAAGCTGAAGAGCATGGCGCAGGCGTCGTGGGTGCCCGTCTGGTCGACCTTGCGCTTCTTAGCCCGCTCGGCGCTCTTGAGCTGCTCGATGGCCTCCCTCGCTTCGCGCTCGTCGTCGTCTTCGTCGTCGCCGTCGACGCCGAGCTTACGCTTACGCTCCTCGCGTTCGCGCTCCACCTCGCGCTGCTCCTCCTCCTCGGCTGCAGCCAGCGACGCCTTGGCCCTCGCGCGTCCCGATTCCGATGGGAAGATGTCGACGCGGTTGCAAGTCGTGCTGTCGCTCGAGCCACCGGCGCCGAAGCCGCCCGGCAGACTGTAAGCCAGCGCAGGCACCGGTCGACGCCGAGGAGTTCCGTCCGGCTTGGTGCCGAGCTTCTGCAGCGTCTTCTTCGCCTCGGTCTCGAAGAGCGTGCCGTAGGTGATGTCGAGGAAATCGTCGAGGTTGTAGCGCTCGCGTGTGAAGGGCTCAGCGAAGATACGTGCCAGACTCGTGACGGAGCCGAGGTAATGCGCCTCGCCAGGCAGGATGCTGCCTTCGTCGCCGCCCATGGCAGGACCACCGCTGTTGCCCTTGGCCACGGCAGCGGCGCCGAAGCTCGCCAGCTCCCACAGCGAGCTCTCGAGCGCCTGCGTCTTGAGCGGGTCCTGTTCGTCAGCGTCGAATGGGTCGTCGACGCCAGCAGGTCCGATGTTGAGGCGGTCGCCGTCCCACTCCTTGTGCACCATAGCCATGCAGCGCGGGTGGCGCTTCAGCAGATTGTACACGAATGGCACCACCGACGCGATGGCTGCGGGAGGCGCACGCAGACTCAGCCGCGAGAGTCGCTTGGCAAAGCTCGCCACGAGCGTCGCAGACAGATGCGTCGACGAGAGGAACGTCTCGAGCAGCCGCAGGAAGCGCGCGCGGTACTTCATGTGCAGCACCGACGCGTCGAGCATGGCGTACAGCCGCGTATAGAACTGCGGGTAGTCCAAGTTGTGCTTGGTGACGAGCGTGAAGATCGCATTGAGCGCCAGCAGAGCCGTGGCACCGCGAGAGTCGAGGCACGAAACCAGGAAGTCGTGCAGCAGCGTCGGCTTGCTGAGATGTGGCAGGATCTGCGCGTGCAGTCGTACCAGCACCTCGTGCGTGGCGGCCAGACTGAGCTCACCACCGATGAGCGAGCCTGGCGCGACGCCAGCGGCAGCAGCCGACTTCTCGGTCTGGCGACGAGGAAGCAGAAGTTCGAGCCACGCGGCCGAGAACGCGCCGCGCTGGGCACCGATGCTGTGTACCATCTCGTGCAAGGTTCGCCTCTTGCGCTTGGAGGCTCCAGCAGCGCGTGCGGCTGCGCCCAATCCACCAATGGCCTTCTTATCTGCTGCGCGACGCTGCTCGCCTTCAGTGGCACCCGCGCGCACGCCACCCTCGTCGTCCGAGTCCGAGAACCAGCCAGTCATGTCATCGTCCTCCTCCTCCTGACCATCGTCCGAGTCACCGTCATCCACCACCGAGAGGCCCTTGCCGCCAGCTGCAGCCTTCTTCTTCTTCTTCTTTCCACCGCTGGATCCAAGCGGCGGAATCGACAGCTCGTCGACCAGGAAGTTGTTCAGATCGTCGGCCGAAGTCGGAATTGCAGTGAGCTGGATGAGGAGCGCAAGCGTGTGTGCGCGAAGCTGCGTGTTACCGAGAGTGCTCGGTGCGGGCTTTCGCAGCGCCAGGCTGATCTCGCGGAGCGTGGCGAAGCGGACGTCGTCGTACTCCTCGAGGCCGCTCTGGATGAACTTGCTGCGCACGTCCTCGGGCACACCCGCGTGCACACGCACCACCTGGTAGCGCGTGCCTGCGTCGCCGTGCCCAAGCTTGGTAAGGCTAGGCGGTCCTGCGATGAGCGCAAGAGTCAGCGCACGCCACGGCGATGCCGACCAAAGGGCGGGCGTAGTGGAGAGGGATAGAGGCGATTCTTTGCTGGACGAGCCTGCTTTGGATGAAGCCTTGGAAGCGGCGGCGATACGCGTGAGAGAAGAGGAAGCGGAGGTCTCGAGCTCGACGATCATCTGGAGTGCTTCCAGGCGGAGTGCTTCGACCTCGTGAGCGAGCAGGGCGCAGAGGAGCTCGACCGTCTCGTTCCAACGCATCCTGATCCAGTCGGCCACCTTGTTCTGCGCCTCCTTGGCCTTTGCTGACGAAGAAGCCGCTGAAGCCGCTGCATTGTTGCCTGCCTTGGCACCGTAGGGGAGGATGTAGCCGTCCTGGTCCACATCCTTATCGAAGGCGATCCTGTCGTCGGCGCTGAGCGACTTCATGGATCGGACCAGCACGAGGACAGCACGGTGAACAGCGACAGCAGCATCCTTCTTTTCCTTGCTCGAGCGTTCGGTCGAGGAGGAAGCGCCGAGCTTGGCGAGCTTTTTCGCGAGGGCGAGGAGGTCGGTGAGAGGGTTGAGGTCGGACGAGGACAAGAGCGCCGATTGCAATGCCTGCACTTGTTCCAACGAGGTCGAGGATGACGAGGCGGACGCCGCCGATGAGCTGGCGCCCGCCTTCTTTGAGGTGCTGGTCTTCGCCATTGCGATGCGCAAAGACAAAAGTTCAAGGTTGGTGTTGTCGATGCTGGTGAAGAAGCTGCGAGGCCTTCACCCTGCAGTCAGGCTCCCGGAAATTTTTCTTCCACTCAGCTCCAGCCCCTGCCTGCCAAAGACGCGAAGTTCCTCCAAAAAAATAGAAGGCTCAATTCAAATCTCGGATGTCGGGGAAAACACTTCGCCACTCACTAGCCGCCCCTCCACGCCGAGGTGTCAAACGAGCCACAGCTAAGACACAGTCACACCCGCACACACCAGAACGAGGCAAAGATGCGAAACGTGATGCATGACGAACGAAGACGGAGCGTGCATGATATGGTGAGTGTGCGCGATGATGGGATGCTGGAGTAGTTGGGCAGAGAGACGCAGCACATGTACGGACGAGAAGATGCAGGTTGCTCGCGAAGCGTCATTAGGACGGCTTCGCTAGGATTAGACGGGAAATGATATAGATGCTTCGACCGCAGACGAAAACGGATCGCTTGGAGGACAATTGCATGGCGGAAGCTCCGACTTCTCAGCGAAGAAGAGGCTGGAATTCTTGCACCTGGTACCACAGCTCCTTGCGCAGGTCCTCCTTGGTGATGCTCTCCTTCTGCATGTCAAAGTAGAAGAAGTCCGGGTCGAGACGAGGTGCGCCGGGCTCATCGTCGGGGTCGTGGTAGGCGGAAAGGTAAGGGTGCTGCAAACATTCCTCGACCGTGAGGCGGTTGCGCGGGTCGAAGGTGAGCGTCTTCTGCAGAAAGTCAATCGCCTCGGGCGAAGCCTTGGGGAACAAGGTGCGGAAGTCTCTGCGCTTGCGCAAGGGCATAGAGCGGATGTAGTCACGCGAGCGACGGCTGTTGATGTTGTGAAATTCCTCGAGCGTGGGCGTGCCGAGCACATCGAGGATCAGCGAGAGCTGCTGATGGTAGTCGCGGCCAGGGAAGAGCGGTCGGCCGGTGAGCATCTCGGCCAAAATGCATCCGACGGCCCACACATCGATGGCCTTGGTGTACTGCTTGAAGGTGAGCATGATCTCGGGCGCGCGATACCACCTGGTAGCGACGTACTCGGTCATGAAGCCCGTGTCCTGGTCGGCAGTGAGCACGGAGCGAGCCAATCCGAAGTCGCACACCTTGAGGTCGCAGTTGGCGTTGAGCAGGATGTTGCTCGGCTTGAGGTCGCGATGGATGACGTCGGCGCAATGCATGGGCTTGAGCGCACGCAGAGTCTGGTACGTGAAGTACTGGCAGTGGTCGTCCGAGAGCTCTTGGGTACGGATGACGCGGTGCAGGTCGGTCTCCATGAGCTCCTGGACGAGATAGACCTCGGTGAAGGCCTCGTAGGTGCTGGGCTTGATGATGTCGAGGATGCTGATGATGTTCTCCGAGACGTCGCACTCTTGGAAGAAGCGCAGCAGCTTGAGCTCACGCAGCGTTCGCAGCGCAAACATCTGGTGCTCGAAGGGCTGGATCTTCTTGATGGCCACCTTCTGACCCGTGGCGCGGTGGATGGCGCTGCAGACGACACCGTAGGCACCTTCGCCGATGATCTCGCAGACCTTGTACTTGCTGCCGACGCGGAAGCTGATGGCGTTTTTGTATTTGTCGTTTCGCGAGACGGGTTGCGGAGCGGCAGCGGCGGGGGCGACGGCAGCATTCGCATTTGCGTGCGAAGGCGCCGTTGGTTGAGGGACGGACGGTTGCGGCGGTTGCGAAGGACGATGCGGCAGTTGATGTTTTTGCGCGTTGTATGATTCGGCAGCGCCCCGATTGGATTTGGCAATCGGTTCCATGTCAAAGCAGACATTGTCGACGTCGCAAGTCGGCGTTGAAGGACCGTTGGAGATGATGGAGGCGAGCGAATCGACCGAGGACGTCGAATGCGATTTCGACGGTGGGCGATGAGACGAAGCAGAACCCGAAGTAGCGGGCAGAACGGATGGGGCAGGATTCCAGTCGTGGTGTTGCGAAGGTCGCGAAGCGGCGACGTTGCGAGACGAGGAGGCGGACATGGAGCAAGACGCAGACGTTGAAGTCGCAGAATCGGAGTCCGTAGGCACGTCGTCGCAAAGAGCGCCAGCATGGCGTTGGACGGTGCGGTCCGACGCAACAGATGAAGGCGCGACATTGGCGATCGACATGTTGGACATGTTGTAGTGAAGAGCGGCGGCCGAGGTGGAGCAGACGTTGTCGAGGTAGACGTGGGCGTGATCAAAGGTCGCCATGGTTGCAAGCAAAAGCAGGGTGGGGATGAAAAGACGGATGGAAGTTGTCAGAAGATCCGTTGCTTTGCGCAGTTGGGTGATGGCAGAAGTTGTGGCGACGAGGATGCGGCTGAACTCTATATAGGATCAAGCTCGACGCGACGGCTGCGAGGCGGAACGACGATGCCGGGACAAAGGATCGAGATCAACTCTAATCCAGGGGCAGGCGACGCAGAGGCCTGATGAAGCAAAGAAGGCGAGAAAGAAGGACGATGCAGGACAAAGGAAGACGGACGGGATCAAAGGGGCCAAGGCAGGGATGAGTCGCTGATATAAAGGAAGACGGCGCCATCCCCTAGATGAGCGTGCAACGCCCGGACTGGGGCTCAGCGGGACTGCATTTCGATAGAGGCGCTTGGCAAGCTCCAGGGTCCACCTCGGCAGGGTGCGCCACGGCACCAAGCGTTCGGCGCAAAGTGACACCGAGCGACGACTGGCAGCCGATGGACAGTAAAGCGTGCCAGCAGGGCGCAAGACAAAGGAGAAGGAGGGGGTCGTGCGTGCAGCCCGAGGGGCCTGAGCGGCTTGGAAAGCGTGCTGCTGGCCTCGAAGGCCCGGCAAAAGTGTGACGCATGAAAAGCATGTGGATGAAGCACAGCCAAGGCGGAGCGCGAAGCGGCGTGGTTGGCGCAACTGCGGGTTCCCGAGCAAGAGCACCGATGAAGCCTATGCCCGCTGGTAGCAACTTCCGACAACGACAGGCGAAGCGGCCGCATGATGGCGCTAACGCCCACCCTGCTGCAGCCTTGCAGCCCGTGCAAATAGAAAATTGGGCGGAAGGGAGAAAAAAAAAAAAAGGGTGCCAGGCAGCTGACGCGCGAGGTTGCCATCTGCCAACCCTGCTGAGCAGCGTGGCGAAAAAAAAAAATGCAGCCACGTTGCATATGTTCGGATTTTCCTTCTGCTCGAGACCTGGTTCTGGGCTGCAAGGAGATACCGGCGACATACGGCAGTGCGCAACAGGCAGTCTGGTTCGCAAAGACCGGCGCCTTTGTTGTCCGCTTCTTTGCGTGCAGTCGCCCGTGGAGAGAAGGAGGTCCGTGTCGAGTGGGGGATCAAAGGGGGCGCACCCCGTTCAGCCGGTCGCAACTCTGCATGCAGAGTCGGCGTAACCAGCTGCACGAAAAAGAGGGTTTCTCGGCGCAGCGTTTGCACATTTTCGAGGGTTGCACTCTGCCTTGTGCCAACGGCGGGGATGACAACCTTGGCCTGCCCTTTGGCAGCCAGCCCCGGCCGGCCCACCCTCGAACGAGCGTGCTGCGCCGGGCAGCTGGAAATGCGAGCATCCACTCCGCTCCGCCGAACAAAGGGACCGCCAAAGTCGCCCTTGCCACGAGGCAGATGCCCCTCGGCGCTGAGAACTGGCACCGCGTCTGAAACCGACAAATACTCGTCGGGGCTGCAACTGAGACACTGCGAGCGATCGCGCTCTCGGCCAGGCTGTCATTATTAATACCATTCGGCCTGGATGACGATCGTCTGCGAGCTGGACGTGGAGCCAGGCATGCAGCAATCCCAACAGGCAACAGCGCAACGGAGCTACGGCGCCACAGAGCAACGGTGCGGCGATACAACGGCGCCTAGACGCAGCGAGTTGACAGCGCTCGCCTAGAAGCCAGCGCCAGCAGCCCAGCGTTGAATGCTGACAACCGACTCGCCGCGCCAGCGTGACAGCTGTCGCTCCGCGCAGAGAGCCAAGCGAGGGCGGGCGGCGCGAGGAGCCAAATTTGAAAATCCGACCGCTCGCCATCGACTGCTTGCCCATCGCCGATGCTAGAGCCGATAGACCATCGCCGAGATCTGCTGAACGGTTCGGGATGTCCATCATCTGGCAAGCCTGAGGTCCTCGCGTCGCCAGCCACATCGTCGCCAACTGAGAATTGCCGATACCGGGGATGACTTACCGAATCTTTCTGACCGCTGCCGACTGCGGGCTGTTGTCGGCTGCCTGATCCGTGTTGGTGACAGCCTTGTCGGTGGGCGCCAGGGCATTTCCGACGCCGTTCGCGGCTGCTTGCGCGGGCATCATGGCCGAGTCGCTGGCAGTGTTGGTGCTGACCATCGTCGAATCTTTTTGCTGCTGATCGGCTGAGTCGGCTGCCTGGATGCGGTTGTCTGCTTCGCCCGCTTTCGTCTCGGAAATGTCGAAGGGTGGCTGATAGAAGGACGATGTCCTTTGGTGATGGTGGGCAGGAGGTTGCTGAAGAGTTCCGATGTTGGCATCCGAGCCAGGAGCGTGTGACTGCGCCACAGCTGACGAGGGGAACATCTCCACCTTGCCATCCGTCTCCACTTCTTGTCCCTTCATCCCCGTAAGGGCATCGAACGCGCTAAGTCCTTCCATTTTTCACCTCGAACCGTCGAAGATTGATGAGGACAAGACGGAAAGTAGATGAGCGGGCAGAGGTGGAAGGTGAAAGGAGCCGGTCGGAGCGCGGCGTGGGCAAGATGATGGCCCAAGTCACACGTTGCCTTTCTTCTTCCGAGCCAACGATCGTCGGTCGCTTCCGAAAGCAAACTCATGCATTCAATCTCGCACGCCAGAGGGACCGAACCAAAATGCGTCGAGGACGCCCCGACCGATCGAAGTGGGATCTTGCAGATTGAAGCTGCCAAGCCTCATGCAACAACGGACACGCAAAGCTGACGGTCCGTCTTTTGTTCATTTCATATGCGCTCCCACTGCCGCCACCGAATGCACACACGGCGCGAGCGCGCGCAGCACGGACGCCCCTGCAGCAGCATCGGCGTCCAGCCCCCACTCTCTTCTGCATACCTCCTCACTTCGATGACCAGCAAAGAATCACGGTCAGAGAGCGGCCCCAGATACGCCACTGCACGTATCTGGGGCATTAAAGACGCATCTTGAGCGGTAAAGACCGTTTTCTTTCATGCATCTATTGCGCTGACTGACAAAGAGAAAGAAAATAAACATCTTCAGATGGCAAAGTGAAAGGAGGCACGAGCGCTAAAATTGGATGACATCGTTGGCCTCTTGTGACAGATGACGAGCGCTCATGGGAGAAGCGGCGTGAGCTCCGTCCGCGTCATTTTCCTGGAAGAGAGGCGACCTGGACGGAGCACACTGGCTGAACGTTGCACTGCGCTGCCGCACCGTACTTGTCATCGAGCGTCTCGGCGACAGGGCCGATGATCGACAAGGCGAACGGTCCTGCCATGTCGCCGAGTAGCAATCGTAGCCATCCCCAAGCCCTACTCCCAGCCAAGGCGACCCATGAGCGGCAGGGTTTTGGTCCTCGTAGGAGTCATTGTACTCGAATGCTGCGTGTGGCTCGCTCCGGCCTGGGGAAGAGTCGATCGCATTGCTGCCGTCTCTGCCACCTGCGAATGAGCGACGAAGCCTCGTGCTCGAACGCCAATGCGAGGGGATGTCTGGACCAGCGCGCCCAAGGCTGAGCGACTCGAATGTGGTCTCGTCCTCCTCGCTCCCTCGCGCTAGCGCATCCGACTCCGGCATAGTGCTCGACATCGACCGAGATGATCCATCAGCATGACCGAGATCGAAGCTAGCGACTGGTAGCGGATGATCCTTGTGGCTCCCGGTCGCCAGCGCCTCGTTGTTGAGTCGGATCTGTGATTTTCGAATCTTAGCCAGCAGACCGGCCGTCTTTGGGAAGACAAAGCTTTTGCGTGTCGACATGCGATTTACGACCGGGGAAGGCGGCAGCGAGTTGGTATTGTCCTCGAGCATCGATGGCTCGCCTGCCTCAGCTAGCTCGACAGGAGGTAGCGAGATGCGCGTGCTACGCTTCATGTAGTAGCTAAGACACCGATCAATCTCTTTGTCGTCGCCGTCATACGGACTCGCTGCCCTGATGTTGTCCCAGCCGCTCTCTGGCAGCAGCTCTGGCCTCCCAGATAGCGACTCCTGCTGGAGTTCCGAATGGCAGGAATCGGAACGTTGAAGCTGCGCGGCTGAATCATTGCAAGCAGGCCATTTGCTTCGTTCGCCGTCGACCAATGTAAACTCGCTCTGCTGGGCGTGTGCCATCGGTAGGCTGACATGACCGTGCTGCAGGCTAGTTTGTGAAGCTTGCCTTGACTCTCGATCCATCACCTGTGCCGTGTTGTTCACAGACTTTTCGCCTGGGATCTCGGGATGACCAATTTTGAGGCGAAGGTCCGGGGCAGAACCAGCTTTCTGGACCGCATCCCTAAGACGTTTGCGCCATAGGAAGATCGCTCCGAGTAGCACAAGCAGAAGAACGACTCCACCTGCAATTGCTGCGGATAGAATTTCAACGCTGAGACCCGTCCCAGCTGGTGATGCCTGGGCAGGACGCACGTCATTGTCCACGCTGGGTCCGGGCAGGCTGGTACGCTCGCCGTCTCCGTTTGGCGGCGCAGGGATCGAGGCTGTTGGCACTTGTGTTGGCGGTGATGGAGATGCGAACGATTCTGGTGAGGCGGACTGGGGTGCCTTTGCCGCAGACGATGCGTTGGGCGCCTGCGCGGACGGATCTCGTGCGTCGCCGTCCTGACTCAAACCTTTGTCCTTTGCGCCATCGTCTTTGCTGGCTTTTGGATGCTTTCCGTGTTTCTTCTTATGGTGTTTTTGTTTGCCATCGTCGTCCTGTCTCTTGTGATGCCTCGATCGAGGCTCTGACTTGAAGGACACCTTTCGCATTGTATACCAGTGACCGAAGAAACCGCAGAGATCCGCTCTTGCCGGAAAGAAATTGGCTCTCACGACAGAAGCAACACTGGACGAGGAGCGAGGACGAAAAAGAATGTGAAGAGATACAGAACGTACGACCAGCGCAACGGTGTCTGCAGACCTTGAGATCACGAGAGAAAAGGATGGAAGAAGGTAGCTGGACAGCCCCGGCGCGAATCTGCCACAAGTCTCAAGCTTCTTGCCTACCCTATGGCGTCCATCTGTTCGGCGTTCATAAGGTGGGCGAGGAGCAAATTGCTGTGCACAGGCTGTGGGTGCGAGGCGGAACCTCATCCCACTCAACCTGTGGCTGTTTGAGAGGCGAAATTGCGATGCATGGCAGTACATGAGCTCATCGAAAATTGTGGGCAGTCCAAACGATGCCGGAGCATCGCGGTTCCCTGCTGACGGTCATTTCATGGCCGCAGTGAGCGGCGATGTCCCCCAAAATGTCTTTCTTCCCCCTTCAGACAGACTAAGACAGACTGTTTGCTTGAGACCAAACTCTCCTGCTGTGGATATTTTTAGCAGTGCTCGGTGCTCCATATGCAAAGCTAGGAAGCGATTATGTCAAGCATGACTGACGGACAAGCTTTGTCAACCTCGAATTCAGCTCCTCAGACTCGATCCTGAAGGCACAGAGGATGAGTAGAAGCGGATGGCAAGCGTTGTATTTCAGCGGGTTGTCAGTGATCAGACTGCCGAAGTGAAGTTGGAGAGGATGATGGCTATTGAGGTGCGACCTTGTACGGGACGTAGACCCAGTCCTGGCCTCTGTCCATGATCACGCGACCGATGTTGAAGCCTGGGAGCTTTCTAGCGGGACTCGAGGGGGTAGCACTTCGATCAATCACGCCGATGTATTGAAAGTAAGTGCCGGGGCTGCCCTCCTTCTCGAAAGTGCGCCAAACGAACAGCTGCCATAGCGCTGGGCGTTGCATCAACATCCTGGATCCCCCTTCTCCTACAGTGATATAGGGTCGTGCAGGGTTATATTTTTCCGGAATTACATAGATACCGGGCTCGGCCTTGCGGAAGCGAGCTCTCGTGTTGCTGAAGGTCTCTTCGATCAGCGCCCACGGAAGCTTTTCATCGGTTCCCTGGTACGGACGGAAGGTCCCTAGCTCAAGTACCTTTGATAAGCGGCCGACATGAGTAGCAACGCGCGATAAGATCGATTGGCGATCCTCGAGGGACAGGCGTGGAGGAGCGTGAGCTTCACGCAAAAGAGCAAAGCTCTCCGGGATTCGAAGCGACGAGCCAGGCCCTTCGAGGTGAGCTGAACTGCTCTCGAACGGTTCCGCAGCGAGGACGGAGCCCGGGTGAGAGAAGCCAGACGTAGCGATTGAGGGCGCCGCGGGCTGGAAGCGAGGACCGGCTTCTCGAGCTCCACTCTGCCCTGCCTGCTTCCCTACGTCTGGAGCAAGCTCGCCAGTAGTCCGGAAGTGCATGACTCGTTCGTCATTGTCAGCGAGGTTTGCCAATTCTGCGACACCTCTCCAGAAGTCGTCACCAGCGCAGACGCTACCTGCCAGTGCGAGGACCGCCACAAAGAGAAGAGAGACGGACAAGCGCATACTGCAGAAGACTGCGCGATCGCGGAAACAGTGGGAAGGCGGTGGAGAGTCTGTGCGAAAGAAAGGCGTCAAGGTCATGAGACCGCTCAAGCCGCTTTTATCTGTATTCCCATTTGCCTGATGGGTACAGAATCGTGACTGACGTAGCCGGCTCTGTCGCATTGCTGCTCCAGCACGGCAGACAGAGCCAACCTTGTGAGGAGTCACCTTTTCCCTTGTTCGTGGGTGCCATACGGTTTCATATCAAACAATGGCTTGCCGGTGAGAACTCAGCAATCATCGTATGAAGGGCTTGACCTCCACCTACGATATGAATCGAGCTCGATCGGCCGAGTCCCGGTGGGGTTGTTAGACAAGCCTGCGACAACCGCATTATACCATAAGGCAAACAATACGAACTCAAAGGATCAACACCCACGCTTCACATGCGGCTTTCCGATATCATATCATAACAAAGCTTAGCCGACGCTGCGTTGCCTCTTCATCAAAGCCATCTGCACCGTCGCGAGTCACTTTGCAACTGCCGCGCATGACGCCCGCATCGAGCACGATGTACCATAATGAAGAGGTCTGATCTCGTTGCAACAGCCTTCTACACTTCCACAGAAGCTGGCAAAGCGACCCTCGGCTTTCTTGGAAGGTCCCTGCAATCGTCGCAGCATTTCATCTTACAGTAGACCGAGAGCGGAGGGCGACGTTTAATAACACGGAAAATTGTGGGACCTTCATATCGACGCCGGTCGGCATCTTGCGCAGACAAATTTGTGGCAACATATCCTCCTTTTGCTCCTGGCCGAGCGGTTGCCCAGAGCTTTGACTGTCTCTCAAAGTTCAGGCCAAGTTCAAGAATTGAATCGAACAACTGAAGGGATGACATTCAGCTGTTGCGCAGAAATGTATTGAACAGGCGACGCTACTACATAGAAGGACGATCGGGGTAAACCGGATACCGCACCTCGTGCGCAAACTTGACATACATGAGCGATGATCCCCACGTACGAATGCGGTCGATGCCCCTAGCAGTGCCCTTGAGCACATCCTTCTTGAAATCGTGGAAGCGACGCGGAGTCGGATAATTGAAGGCTCCAAGATACTGGAAGATGTGAGACTTAGGCGCGCCGACCTCTTCCCAGACACCAAGGTAGATATGATTCGTAGTTGCGCTGTTGAATCCGTGCACAGCTCGAAATTCCGGCGTATGGGCGAGGAGTTGAGCCATCAAGTAGCGGCGATCGCCAAGCTCAATGGGCCACATCCCAAAAGATAGTCCACGCCTGGTCGCCTGCACCAGGAAATTTTCAACGTCCGCCTGACTCGGGCGTCCATCGTATGGCCATGCTTTTTCTTCGCGCTGTAGCCTTCGCCAGCCGGTCTCGTCCAGAAACGTCTTCATGAAGTCGTGCAAAGCATCGCGAACTTCAACCGAGGTCAGTTGACGATAGGGGTGTCCGGCGATGTACTCGAAATCTTGCTGGAGCATGCTCAAGTCCTTGTCGAGCCCCTTTGCAGCCTGGTACTCGATTCCCGATGACGGCGCGTATGGATATACGCGCGCCAGGTCATCTTGTGTGACCATGTGCTCCCATTTGAGGGGTTGGTGTCCAGCAAGCTCAGCTTCGACCTGTTGGGGGCTCAAGCTGGACGAGGGCCGACGCGAAAGGAGCTCCTCCCTCGTAGCGGCAACCACTCGCTCGAGGTCACTCGGCAAAAGTCCGAAAGCCAGATGAGCCGCAATGACCCTGATTGCGACCCAAATGAGAGACAGTTGACGAAGAGGAATCATTCTGAAATGGAAAGGATGTAGAAAGCTGTCGAGATAGTGACATCAAGGAGGCTCATCGAGTGGACCTTTATATTTTTCGGCTCCCCATGCGGCTCTCCATGCTCAGAAGGTGAAATCGTCAGTGATCTATGCTCAGAAGGTCGGTCGGGATTCGGCGGACCGCCAATAAAGTTGACAATTGCCGCCATTTCGTAGGATATGATATCATTTTGCCACGTTGTCGGTAGTGGTCAGCTACAGTATGATAAGCTCATTGCAGCGACTCACTTCCGGATGTTGTGGAATGGAATTGTTCTGATGCAGCTCTGTGCAATAGTCCACATGCGACCCGACAGAGGCTATGAGGTCGAGAGGCTGCGAGCCATGAGGAGGCGTGTCTTTGCGAAGGAGATGTTCTGCATCGGGCCCGATCTGAGCTAGTTGCCGATTGTACGGTATTTAGCCGCGGTAGGCGCGGGACTTCTTCGCATGATGCGGGGTTGGACATGCATGAGCCCTTATCGGGCCAACCCTTGCTCCGGAACACCATCTCTTCTTCTCGCCACCGGCTCGCCTCTGCGTCTCGACCAGAAAAGGGCAAAGATGAGAGCTGTACTCCAGCGCGTCAAAGGCGCGACCGTGCATGGTAAGCAGGCGGCCCTAGGACACGAAAGACGACCCCGATTCCTGACGCAGCCGTTCACACCCCGCTTCTGATGATGCCACGATATGATCAGTCGATGGCAAGCTCGTCTCGAAGATCGGACCAGGCATTGTAGCGCTGATCGGAATCTCTACGGAAGACACTGCGGCCGAGATCGTACCGCTCGCGAACAAGATTCTGAGCACCAAGCTGTGGAACGAGAACCAGGAGGCATCACAGATCACCGTCCCCCCGCAGTACGAGCCAAAAGCCTCTGGCTCGACCAGTGCGAACGAGTCGACGGAGACCGCGGCAGCAGCTACAAACGGAGAGACGGAGGAGGCCAAAGCGCGTTCGGAACAGGTGTGGGGCGGCAAGCCGTGGAAGCGCTCTGTGGTCGAGCTTGGAGGCGAGGTGCTCTGCGTCTCGCAGTTTACGCTGTTCGCACGCACTGTCAAGGGGACCAAGCCAGACTTCCACCGCGCTATGGGCGGCAACGATGCACGAGTGATCTACGAGGCTCTGCTGAAGAAGCTGGGCGACAGCTATGCGCACGACAGAATCAAGGACGGCGCCTTCGGCGAGATGATGGACGTCTCGCTCACAAACGACGGTAAGCAAGCCAGCTTTGCCTTTCGTCGATGATTGCTCGCACAGATGACTGACAGACAATCACGCTTCATCTTTGCACTGATACGACCGAACTCCAACAGGACCGGTTACGATCTGTAAGTGTTCGGCATCATGCTTGCTGCTCTCGAGATCGAGCGAGGTTCGGCTGACAGACCATCTTCTACGCTTTCACATCCACAGTGCTGGACACGACCGAGAAGAAGTAGGTTGGAACGACGCAAATGGCATGCAGATGCGAGACACGGCAATCTAAGCATCATGTAAACTAGACACGACAAGGATCTCATTAGACGTAAGCCGAATAGAAGTTTCGACAGTACTTTTGGGAAGAGACGCAGTTGCGAGAAAGTCGTTGTGATGGGCTGCAAGAGTGCTTAGCTTTCACTCTTCCGAGGACCTGTTTGCTGCGGCTCGGTCTCGAGGCCGGGGGCAGCTGTGGGTTCGTGTACTTTCGCGTGGTTGCGTCGAAGAAATCGGCTTCTTGGTCCGCTTTGCCATCGCACTGGTTCGCGGTCTGGTCCCTCTCCACCACCCCCACTAGACGGGAGACCCCAGACATGCTCTAGTCCCTTCCAAGGATTCTCCCTTACGTGGCGCACCTTGCTGGGCCAGCGTTTGGCAAAGTCGCTGGCGACCATCCAGCGGTAGACGCCCTTTGGCACCACGACGTCGGCGCCAGCCATCCGAATGCGCGTCTCGATCTCTGCGCGCGTGGCATGTGCCAGATCCTGATCGGACATCTCGGACGGTGCTGTGATCTCGGATGACTGCGCGTCGGTGTCAAAGACGATATCGACGAAACGCGACACATCGACGCCTGTTGCCTCGGGTAGCAGCGACAGTGCGTGCAGAGACCCTTGACGCGATAGTTGAGAGGGTGAAGGATGGCGAGACGTGAGGCGTCGGACGAGGTTGGTCATTTTAACCATGTGCGAGAGGAAGAGTCGGCGCCGATGCTCGGCTTTGTGCTGCTTGCGCCTCGCCCGTCGAGCTTTTGCTTTCAGACGTGCGACCAGCGGCGGCGGATGTCGGAACGACGGCCTTGGTTTGGCAGGTGGTGGCGGCAAGACCACACCCTGGCTGTCGACCTCTGTGGTGCTGGACCGAGCAGGGCTGCAAACGGCCGCGAGAAATCAGTTTGCAAGAGATTCTCGTGTGCCCTCGAGGACGTCATCGTCAAACAGGCCAGCAGTCTCCTGCTTTTCCTCTGCAGACGCAGCACTCGAGGAACGAGCTGGCAAGATGACTTTACATCGTCCCGCTTCTCCGATCTGTGACTGAACGTCCGTTAGATGCGCCTGATGGGGTCGAAACTCATCGCAGTGCGCACGATGAATTTCATCCCAAAGCCTCAACTTGGTAATACCCAGCCCAAGCGGCACGGCACCGTCGAGTGTCGACATTGTCATCGCTCCTCCTTCTCCCCATCGACGCATCATGTAGGAGCTCGCTGACTTATATGTCTGAGACGAAAGCGCCTCTCGGGAGCTCGGTACCATCTTCGAGAGACAAGCTTTTCAGAAAAAGCCGCGCGAAGCGCCTTAACGTTTAGAGTTAGAATGAGATCGGCGTGGGCACCGGAAGTGGTGGCCCGGCTAATGACTTGCTTAGCCAGGTGTGGGGATCTATGACGGTCTACATTGATCTGTGACTACGTTCGGCCTGAACTATGCTGGTTCCGCGGAGAGCTAGAAAGTGCGTCCTAGTCCGCGCTAGAGGAAAGACACGGCAAGATGAGAGATGCTTTTGCGGGAACGTTTCGTGTCGTCTTGGCGACTCGGCCTGAGGCGAGCGAACGCCACCTCATGCGAAGCTCAAGTCCATGCTCGGCAAGGTTTAACCAGCCAAATCGGTGCATCGAGTTGGTCTTCGCTGGTCGTATCGTCTTCATGGTGATGGGCGGGCGAATTTTGCATGTGTTAGCTCGCTGTATATAGACATAGCAGCATCGCGCGAAAATCTCCAACTACGTCACAGGTCCGCAAGCCGAAAATAGCGCTGGGCTGTGTCACTTTCCACAGCGGGAGGGCGGGCGGTGCTCCACATGCGATGGGTTGGGGTAAACCCTGCGATTCACGCTCGCTTGTCTGCATGACAGCAGCCGGCCGCAGGCACAAGTGGCACGAGGTCCAGCGGAGCATTCCTGCTTTCAAGACCTGCGTTTCGGTCTTGAGGCTCAAACATAAACTGCTTGGACCGCCACGTAACGTCCTGATTTCCCCCCACCATCATTTCCTGCCCACATCCAACCTTGACGCTTCGAGTCTACCGTGCAGGCAGATCACAACACTCGACTCTCTCATCGACAGCATGGCGAGCTACGTGGCCAACAAGGTGACCAAGCGGTTCGTCTCTGGCCAGGCGAAGCGGTACGAGCCCGAGGATCCGCTGTACGAGTTCTACACGGGCAACGATGGCAAGCAGAAGCGACGCAAGCGTGCCCTCCCTCCCGGTCTTACTCGCAAGCAGGCGAAGCTGCTCAAGAAGATCAAGAAGCGCGCGCACTACCTCGACAAGGGCTTCTACGTGTGCGGGCTGCGCTTTGGCTGGACGTTCTTCATCGGCCTCGTGCCTGGACTGGGAGACATTACGGATGCGATCCTCAACTACACGCTCGTGGTGAAGCCGGTGCGACGCGAGCTGGACGAGGCGCCCGACTGGCTGGTGCGGCAGATGCTGTTCAACAATGCCGTCTCGGCAGGCATTGGTCTGGTGCCTCTGGTGGGCGATGTGGCTCTGGCGGCTTGGAGGGCCAACTCGAGGAACGCCAAGCTGCTCGAGGAGCTGCTGCGCGTGAGGGGCGAGGAGAACATCGCCAACGGACTGCCTGACCTCACGCCCCGATCGCCAAACGATACGCATCCCGGCCAGAGCGCCGCACAGAGCCACGTGCAGCAGTCTGGCGACGCAACCAGTTCGGCGGTGGGTAACGCTAGCACCGCTGGTAACTCGACGTCCAATCTCGTTCACAACAACAAGGCGGGTTCGAACCAGGCCGCGTTCCAGGCTCCCGCAGCAGCAGGTCAGCAGCCCATGCAGGACACCACGGCTGTACCCGCCTCGGGCGCCGCCACCAAGAAGTCGTGGTACTCCCGCAAGTAAGCTCTGGCGTTTTCAGCCGGCCGACCATATACCCACCCCAAGCATCATTTTTATTCGATCCCGTTCGTCGCACACACTCGCTCAATGAGGCCAGAAATACAATCCTGTTCCACCTGTCGATGCCTCAGCTTGTGAGATTGCAATGCAGAGATGGATGTCTACTTGTACGGTGTGTATCGCTGGTTTCGCGCGGGGGTGTGATTTCTCGACGCGGACCTGCTAGAAGTCTGGCTGTCTGTGCCACCTACCGCTGGTGCCGAGTAGGAGCCGAGTGTGGGAATCGAGACTGCAGCAGGGGTGGCAGAAGCGTTGTTGTCAAAGTTCCAGAAGCAGAGATTTCCGTCCTCACCACCGGTGTAGAGGGTGTTGGTGTTGGCGTCCCACTCTGCAGACCTGATGATATCGGCGTGACCGTACAGGGTGCCATCCCCCTGTTCGGGGAAAACCGCGCGGAGGTGCCACGACGATGGCTGGCTCGGGTTGGACAATGGGATGGAGATGGCTGCGAATGCGCCTTCCGACCTGCCGACGAACAGCGTGAGGTCCTCTGAGCCCGGGGCGACGGTGGGGTTGGGGAACGACGGAAGCGTGCTGAAGGCGTCGATGACATAGTCGGTCGACCACGGCGGTCGCAGGCTGTTGGACGAACGCACATCGGTGGTGGGTAGCAGCGGGTCGAACTTGTCCGCGTCAAAGAGCGAGAGGGTCTGCATGTCGCCAATCGCCCACACCTTGCCCAGAGCACGACGACGCGCTTCCGTCTCGACCTGACGCAGGTCCGACTCTTCACCTCCATCTTCCATCGCTGTATCCATCGCCGCAGCCGACGACGAGGATGGTGTGGAAGAGTAGATCCATCCGGCACGTGCGACCGAGTTGCCCGTGTTGCCCACCGAAATGACTGCATCGTCTTCCTCGGCGATGGTCGTGTCGATGGCCGAGACGAGGCCGTCGGTGGATCCGCTCAGCAGGATGCCCTTGTGGTTGACCGTGTCCGGATGGTACTGTAGCACAGTAACATCGTCGCTGTGCACCTCGTTATACTTGCTCTGTGGTGCTGCTGCGGATCGGATGTCCCAAATGTCGATGTCCGAATCGCCGTGTCCATACTGCTCGGTACCTGCTACGACGATATTCGCATCGTGCGGCGCGGGCTCCACACAAAGATACGGTGCCTTGGATGCGCCCTGAAGCGTCCACACTGGGCGTGCAAGTCCGGCTCTTGTGTCCCAGCACGCCACGGTGCCGTTGGATACACTGGCGACAAAGCTGCCCGAGCCAGGCGCAAGAGGCTTGGCCTGCGTGATGCGTGCATCCTTGAACGCACGCTGCGATTCGGCGACCACGCCGGACACCTTGTCAATCAGCGTGAGCGTGCTGTCGTCGGCAACGGCAAGCAGCGTGGGCACTCCGTAGGATGTGCTGAGCGAGACGAGGTGCGTGACGTAGGCGGGCGAGGCGTTGGGCGCCGCGTGCGGTGGAATGGCTTGTACGTGAAACGGTTCCTGGGCGCGGTAGAGGCTCGAGATGGATGCGAGCGCAGGAGCTCGCGCTGCTCCCGAGAGCGTGAGTTCCATGTCCTGGTCCATGGTGGCTGATGTGGGTATGTAGGTGGTGGCAAGAGGGTGTCCGGAGTGAACCTCGATGGCCAAAGCAAGGGTGCTGCTGGGTGGAGGCAGAAGAACTGCAAAACTTCGTGAGCCTAAATTTTTGAGTGCATTGCCAGGCGTCGATTTTTTCAGGTCGTGGGTGTTAGGCTGTTGAATGGCACGGGGGAAGTTGGTCGGGGTCCAAAACCAGCCCAAGCTGTGGCCTGGACACGCGCAGTGGACCGCACAGGCACGGCAGCAGATGCGTCATCCAACAGGGGCCAGGCTCAGCACCAGCCAGCATCCACCATCGCCCGATACTGCGATACACACCTGTCGCGCTCGCATCCACCATCTCCGCATCACCATCCATCTTTCAGCGTCACTACACACCTATACCGATCAAATCTTCGAATTCGAATACATCGTCAGGACCACCGTCAGCGCCAAAACATCACACGAGACCACCGCCTCAGCACCCGAACTCGTCGCAGGTCCACCAGCAGCTTGCTCTTGACGCACTCGCACGCACACATTCGCCTCACCTACTCCAGCACGCAGGCTCACAAGCTCGACTCCACCTGGTCACACCTCCGCAATGTCATTCAACGACTTAGAGCGCGGCTCTTCCTCATCGCGCGGCGGCGGTGCGGGCGGCAGTGGTGGCTCGCGCAAGACGCCGCTGCCATTGTACCGCGACGAGGTATCCAACACAGTACCGCCAGAGTTTGAGAAGCTCACGTCCAAGATCGGAATCCAGATCTTCAAGATCAACTCGAACGTCACGGCCATCCAGAAACTCATCACGCTCTCGTCTTCGCCCTCGACATCCAGCGCCCCGTCCAAAGCCGCAGGTCAGGACTGGAGCAAGCGCATCAACGACTTGATAGAGACCACGCGCGAGCTCGTCAAGGATGTCACCACCGACATCAAGCAACTCTCCGCCTTCCCGCTCGGCTCCGCCAGTGGAGCGGCCAAGCTGACGCAGGCCAAGCTGCAGCGCGACTTCCAGTCGGCGGCAATGCAGTTCCAGCGCGTGCAGAAGGATGCGGTGGCCAAGACGCGCGCCAAGCTGGAGCAAGACAAGCAGAAGGAGCGCCAGATGCTGCGGTCGCGCAACTCGCAGCTGCTCATCGACACCGAAGAGTCCGACCGGGGCGCGGCGTCGTCGCAGCAGCAGCCGGGTGCGGACGCGGGAGGCGTGCAGGCAGAGTCGCTCGATTTGCTACCCGAGGGTCCGAGCCAGGCGGATCTCGAGTATCAGGAGTCGCTCATCACCTCGCGAGAGGCCGAGATCCGAGAGATCGAGTCCGGTGTGCAGGAGCTCAACGAGATCTTCCGCGACCTGGGCAACATTGTGCAGGAGCAGGGCGGCATGATCGACAACATCGAGTTCAACATCAATTCGATCGCAGAAAACACCGCGGGAGCCGATAGGGAGCTGGTCGTGGCGCACGAGTACCAGCGCAGGGCGGGACGAAGATGCATCTGCCTGCTGCTCGTTGTCGGATTCGTCGTGGCCATCGTGCTGCTCGCCATCCTCAACTAGTCGCATCACCCCCACGGGCACGCGACTTGTCTGTCGTGACCATGTGTGCGTGCTTCTTGTTTTCTGCCTGTCCAGTGTGTCACCTGTAATGGACCTTTGATCTCTCAGCATTCTGTACTCTCCTGTGCATGGCCGTCGGGCAGATGGTGCTTGTTGGCAAGTCTGTGAGTCGATGTGCGGATTTGAACCAACGAGACACATGCGATCTCACACTCTGCGGTGAAAAATTAACTCCGGGTTCCGAGTCCCAAAATTTTCCATAGGCGCTGCTACCAAACCCTGAGCAACTCGATGGCCTTCTCCATACTTGCCGCCACCTGCAATCGTGCTCCAGCGGCGTGTCTCGATTCTTTCTCATTCTTCGCCAGGACGGATCCATACAAATCACCGACGCAACGAAACGCAGTAATCACAACCGTCGTACGAGGCTAGACAGCTACGACCTGGAACGGCCGTTCCACGACTTCCAAACGCTCCTTCACATCTCCGACCTTTCGTTCTACCATCCCGAAGGGCATCGAACATGAGGCAGCTCAAGTTTCACGAGCAGAAGCTGCTGAAAAAGTAAGTAGCGCGCGGTCTCGGCTCACCGTGGATGCAGACATACCTGGCCAGAAGGAAGTAGCTGACAACCATTCACCCCCTCGACTTGTTTCGTAGGCATGACTTCTTGGCATGGAAGCAAGATGCTGGTATGCGCGAGGTGAAGGTGATGCGGCGGTACCACATTCAAGACCGCGACGACTACCACAAGTACAACAAGCTCGTAGGCAAGCTTCGACATCTCGCGCTGCGTCTGTCGACTCTTCCCGTTGCGGATCCTTTCCGGGGCAAGCACGAGCAAGGAATGCTTGCCAAGCTGTACGATATGGGACTTCTCGACACGGGCGCCAAGATGTCCGACATCACTAACAAGCTCAACGTATCCGCGTTCTGCAGGCGCCGTCTTCCCGTGGTAATGGTGCGGCTCAAGATGTCCGAAACGGTCGGACAGGCGGTCAAGTACGTCGAGCAGGGCCACATTCGTGTGGGACCGGATACCATCACGGACCCAGCGTTCATGGTCACAAGGAACATGGAGGACTTCGTCACCTGGGTCGACACGAGCAAGATCAAGCGCACCATCGCCAAGTACAACGACGAGCTCGACGACTTTGACCTGCTCTGATCCGACGATCTACACGCAACTGTTTCTTCATACTGGCTCGGTCACTGTCACCACTCGACCGGTGCCGGCTCTTATCTCTTGGCTCCTGGCTCTTCGCATCTGTATTTGTATCTGCAATCATATTGTACTCTTGTCCCACCTCGGCGTCAGACTGACGACTGCAGGCTCTGTGCTTTCAATGAGACCTGAATGATCCCCCACATTATCGCTGACGGCCATGGAATCGTGCTGTCTCAATAGCAGGCATGGCAAGTCAACGACAGGTGATGTCAGTGCTGGTGCTCGATGCCGGTCATGACTAGCTAGATGGAGGGGCGGCTGCGAAGAACTCGGCGCAAGGTTGCACAGCGGCGGAAATCTTTTGGAATCCAAAAATTGGGCCAGATGGGCGAATCGGGCTGCAGGTGATCGTGCTCCTTTTCGCCGCTGCTGAGCGACCGAGCAACGCGTCCTCTGCTGCGCCGTTCTTCTCGCCGCCGCCCTTTTTGGTGCGCCAAACTCCACTTGGCAAGCAAGCGGGGTGGCGCGTCCGTGCCCAGACCAACTCAGCACGTTGTATCCCTCGCACCTTCTTGCTACTTTCGCCGCCTTTCTTCACACCACATCCTTCCATTCGGAGACCGCGCGCACTTTGCGAACGTCTTCTCGCCTCACACACACACACCCATGGCAAAGATGGCTTCCACCATCCCCATCAAGGTCAAGCACAATGGCAAGCTGCACGACATTGCGCTCGACACCGCCCAGCCCGCCACGGCGTTCAAGCAGGCGGTGTACGAAAAGACGGGCGTGCCTGCCGACCGCATGAAGGTCATGGTCAAGGGCGGCATGCTCAAGGACGATCACGACCTCACCAAGATCGGCGCGCGCCCCGGACAGACCTTCATGGTCATCGGCACGGCGGGCGAGCTGCCCAAGGCTCCCACGGGCCCCATCACGTTCATCGAGGACATGACCGAGTCCGAATTGGCGCTCGCCACGCAGTCGCGCGTCGGTCTCACCAACCTCGGCAACACGTGCTACCTCAACTCGACGCTCCAGGTGCTGCGTGCCATCCCCGAGCTGCAGACGGCACTCGGCAAGTTTGACGGCGGCCTCGGCGGTGCGGACGGCGAGCGGAATCTTACTGCCGCGCTGCGCGATCTGTACAAGAATCTCGGCCAGACCACCGAGCCCTTCCCGCCGTTTGCCTTCCTCACCATCCTCAGGCAGGTGGCGCCGCAGTTTGCCGAGATGGCCAGGGACGGCCACAGCTTTGCGCAGCAGGATGCCGAGGAGGTGTGGGTGCGCATCATCCAGGCGCTGCAGAACAGCCTACACGGCCTCTCGGCGCCATCGTCGTCGTCCGAAGGCGCTGCAGCTGCTGCAGGAGCCGAAGCGGCCGCATCGACGGCCGATGCTGCGGCGGTCGACTCGTCGCGTCGCTTTGTGGAGCAGTACATGACGGGCCACATGGTGATCAAGCGTTCGAGCGCCGAAGCGCCGGACGAGCCGGCATCGACGTCCAAGGACCCGTTCAGCATGCTGCAGTGCAACATCTCGTCGACGACCAACGAGATGACGTCGGGCATCCTGGACTCGCTCAACCAGCAGATCGAAAAGACCTCGGCCTCGTTGGGCCGGCAGGCGGTGTACGACGAGACGAGCCGCGTCGATCGGCTGCCCGCCTACCTGGCCACGCACTTTGTGCGCTTCTACTGGCGCAGGGACATCAACAAAAAGACCAAGATCATGCGCAAGGTCAAGTTCCCCTTTGTGCTCGATGCCACGCCCTTCCTCACGGACGAGTTGAAGGAGAAAACAAAGGAGACGAATCTGGCGATCAAGAAGGTCGAGAAGGATCGCGATGAGAGGGCCAAGATCCGCAAGCGGGCCAAGGCGAGGAAGGCGGCAGAGGACAAGGCGGCGAGAGAAGCAAAGGTTTCCGGCGACGTTGCCATGACTGATGCCACCTCCTCCACTGCCACTTCCGCTGGAGCTAATGAGGGAGAGGACAAGGATAAGGAGACGGTACAGACGCTTGGTCAAGCGCTGACGGTGGAAGAAGAGCTTGCTGAACGCGAAAAGGAACGCGCCTCTATCCGCGCCACTGTCCATCCGGACCTTGCTGCCGATGTAGGATGCAATGCCTCGGCACTTTACGAACTCGTCGGTATCGTTACGCACAAAGGTGCAGCAGCCGACGCGGGACACTACATCTCGTGGGTCCGAAAAGATCTCGACGAATCTTCGGCAGACCCAGCCGACCAACTCGAACACACCGACGCAGACCAACAGTGGTACAAGTTCGACGACGATAAAGTCTCCACCGTCGCACGCGACAAGATCGCCCAACTCGACGGAGGCGGAGAAGACAGCGTCGCCTACATCCTCCTCTACCGCTCCAAGCAAATCTAACCCCTCCCATCTCCCTTACCTCGTCGAATGTCTGCATCTCTCGTGTCGAATGAAACCCATTGATGGAATTCTTCCCATTCATTCTATTGCAACGTGCGGCGCGATCTAAATGTTTCGTATCTTCTGTACAAATCGACTCTTGTTTTTGTCAAGAGCGTGGGGTTTGGGGACCTAGGCCAGGTTGATGTGCATCTGTCCGCGCGCAGCGTACGTGAGCGCCATGCCAAATACGCACAGCGACCTGCGCTCCAGCGCCGCCTCGAGCCGGATGCGCTGCGCGTCGGCATCGTGCCGGGCCTCGTGCGTCTCCGAGCCAGCGGCCGACGACGCGCGCGGCGGCGAAGCAAGCGGATCCGTCGTCGTTGCCGACACGGGCGGCGTCGCCGGCGCTCCTCCGGGCGCAGGCGATTCCGACGCCGGCGACGCGCGCGGCGACTGCGCGCGCAGCCCGGCAAACGAGAGGTGGAAGCCGCTGCGTGCAGTCGAAGTGCTGCGACGCCAGAAGCGCGGCGGAGCAGTGGCGCCCACCGTCGCAGCGCCAGCGCCGTCGGCAAGCGCCGCATGTGCCGTCGAGCTGCGGCGCGGCGAATGGCCCGGCGAGACGCGACCGCGCGCACCACCTGCGTCGCGCTGCGCCTCGTCGCTGCTCCTCCTCGTCTGCGCGCTCGGCTTCTTCAGCTCCGGCACTGACTGCGACATTGCCTCGGCCGCCTCCTCGTCATCGTCGTCGTCTTCATCATCGTCGCCCTCGGACGACGGCTTGGATCCGCCTCGCGCAAGTGCAGACCCTCCGCGCGCCGATGAGCATCCCGACACGGATCGAGCGGTTCGTGGGCCTCTCTGCTCGAGAGCACCAAGCCTCTCGGCGCGACGCTGCTCAACACCCTTCCACGCCTTCTCCATCTCGGGCTTGTAGCGCAGCGCCACCGCTTGCGCCCACTGCTCGCCGCCCGCAAATCCGGCGATCGCCTTTTCGTAGTCGGTCCACGTGTAGCCGAACAGCGCCGGCGGCGACGGCAGCTCGAGCCGGCCCGCGCCGATGGGAAGACGCGTGTAGAGGACGTGCAGAAGCAGCAGGTTCGGGATGGCGTCCAGCGCCTTGGCCGCCTCGGAACCCAAGACCGCCGACGCAGCCGCGGGTCCAGCCGCAGCGGGCGTGCTGGGCGTGCCTGCGTCGGATCCGGTGAGCGAGTCGGCACTGCTTTCGGCGCCTGGAAGCCTCTTGAGCGCCTCGAGGCCGGCACAGATGGTCGCCGGCTCTCGCTCGAGGCATTGCAGCACAATGATGGTGGCGCGCAGCGCATGCATGGCCTCGGCAAGCGCCGCGCGCGCCAGCTCATCCTCCTCATCCGGGTCGTAGGCAGACAGATCCAGCGGCGCATTAGAACCACCGAGGCTGCTGGCCGCACCCGACGAGAAGAGCGCAAAGCGCGATCGCTTGGAATCCTTGCCCGCCTTCTTGGACTGCGTGCCCGGCTTGCGGAGGAAGCCGTCGCAGAAGCGGAGCATGAGCTTTTCAAACGTCTGCAGCTCGGCGAGCTGATGGGCGCACAGACGCGCGCTCACCAGCGAGAAGGGCGTAGCCGAGCTGAGTCCCGAAGCGGAGCAGTGAGAGGGGCTCTGGCGACCCGAGTCGGAGGCGGCGCAGGTTGCGTCGGGACCCTTGCTCTTGCTACGGGCCGAGCCGACGCCGACCGACTTGAGAGCCTGGGCAAGCTGGGCGGGCGAAGGGCTGCGCTTCTGGTTGACCTCGCCCATAAGACGGTCGAAGGCGGAGGTGCTGGCGGCGTTGGATCCGGCGAGCAGCTCGGCAGCGGCGTTGCTGGGCAGCGAGACGGAGCGCGAGGTGAGGATCATGAGGCCCTTCCAGATGACGTGGATGGCGACCGAGATGAACCAGCCCTCGCCGTCTTGACCGCAGCGCTCTTCGATGCGAGGCAGCAGAAGCTTTCGCGCGCCTTCGAGACGGCCATCGAGCTCGCGCAGCCAAGCGGAGCCGGGACCGGCCTCTCCAGGGCGGAGAGGGGGTGAGACGTTGCCAGGGACCGCACCTGGAGTGGTCGCGGCTGCGCCAACAGCGGCGAGCGGGGGAGAGGCGGTTCCGCTGTCGGATGGCAGAGCGGCAGTGGCGCTGCCCGAGGTGGTGGAAGGCGAGAGGGCGACGGTGGAGACAAAGGGGGTGGGGACGGCGCTCGAGATGCATCGCGCCATGGAGGCCTTTGTCTGTGCGAGGATGGGCTGGATGATGTGCAGGATGGTTCCCTCCATACGCTTGCGAACGGGCGTGAGGATTTCGGAGACAAAGTGGGGCATGCCGTCGTGTACGGCGCCGTTCTCGTCGGCGATGAGCTCACCGTGAGCGTCGCGGTCGCCCTCAATGCAGCGCTCAAGGCTGTCCTCGACGATCCACTCGAGGGTGACGAGGCCGAGGTTGAACTCCATGGCTGCGGGGAGGTGGAGGCCCTCCTTTGCGTTGGTGGGGATGCGGAGCGCACCGGCGTCCTTTGTGGGCGAGACGAGGAGCGAGTCGATGCGCGCAGCAAAGAGGGTGAGCGCCTTGAGGATCTGGCGCGAGACGGCGCGAAGGAGGTAGGCGTCGACTGCCTCGGCGTACCGGAGCTCGCCAACGACGACCTGTGCGATCTCGATGATCTTTGCCTTGTCCGGCAGATGCTTTCCCTCGTAGGTGATCTGGTTGATCTTGGGGATGGTGGGTCCCTTGGCAGCGGCGGCGACATTGGAGGCGACAGAGCTGGTTGTAGTGGCGGCGGGAGCGCTGCCAGGGGAGCAGGTGACGAAGGCCTTGTTGACGAGATCGCTGAGGAGGAGGGAGAAGTGGGTGAGGTGAGAGGGGTCCGGTGTGGAAGGCGGACGCATGGCGGCAGCGTGGTTGTTAGCGGCGGCGGCGACAGGGTTGGCGAGGATGGCAGCAGCGGCCGCCACGTTGTCAGCAGTGCTCTGAGGCGAGGGCGACTGCGGTGTGGAGGCGCCAGACTTTGTGCGACCAAAGGACATGAGGTCGACGGCCTTGGGTTTGGCGCCGGTCAGAGAGGCGAGCTGGCCGAGGCCGCGGCCAAAGCTGGAGGAACGCTTGGGCTTGATGCGCTCTGCGTCTGGGTGAAGAGCAGCGCCAGGGTCGGCGGCGGCAAGCTCGGGCGATGCCTTGGTGGTGTGAGTAGGAGGCAGCATGTTGGATGCGGGGGATGCGATGGCTTGAATCGGTTCCTTGTGGCGACGAGGAAGGGCGAGTGCTACCATTCCCGTTGAATCCGGCTACGTGTATGCAGAGCTGGAGTTGCTACGGGAAGAGGGCCGAGGATGAGAAGAAGTCAAGATGCGTAGGAGCGGTGGTGGCGGTGGTGCGGATCAAGGTGGTTTGAAGGTGGTGCTGGGATCGGGGAGGATGGCCCAGCAGCGTGGGATTCAAGCCAAGCGGGTGGAGAGACGGAGGATGCCGAAGATGTGGGCGATCATGGGTTGGCTACAGCAGGCGGTTGGCAGGAGAGGCCAAGCTCGTTGTGTGTATGGTGCGATGCGAACGCGCGTTTAAGATGGTGTGTTGTAGCGAGATGCGCGGGTTAAGGAGGACGGTCGGAGGAGTCCAGGAAGAGAAGCAGTTGACCCATGCAAAGGCGGCTGGCCTGAGATCGTACAAGACTATTGGCATGAGGAGGCAGGAGCAGACATGGTCAGACGAAGCGCACAAGACATGGCCGAGTGGTGGGGGGGTGACTTACGATGAAGCACGCAGATAGGGTCTACAACTGGGGTCGAGCATAGGTTGGCTTGATGCGGAGAGTGGAATGAGATGGAGAGGATGTGACTCCTTGTAGTTGGGGTTGATTGAGATGGTGGAATGAGAGTTAGGCTGGTGATGCTAAACGGTGATGGAGTCGACGGCGTGTGCAACCCTTTGGCCTTGGTCACTCTGTGTTCGGTGGTCGCTGTTTTTTGGCGCACAAAGCCGTGTGCTGCCAGGAACGCCTTTTCGGTGGGGTTTTGGTCCTGGCTCTCCACCGAAACGCGGCGCTGAGAGTTTGCGGTTCGGTGCAGCAGAGATCCACGCCTGGCATCACCCGCTCGCTTGGAAAAAAAAAGGCGAAAAAAAAGGTTGAGCGGCCAGCGGATGCAGAAGCGAGAGAGCGTCGAAAAATTCAGACTGCAGAGTGCAGTGACGCAGCTGCATATGCGCGCCCGGCTGGTTGGCTTGCCCCTTGCCCACGTTCCCAAGCTCGCGCAGAAATGACATCGACGTCGACGCACGCCTGCTCTTTCCGTACTCACCTCTGCCAGCATCCGCTGAAGTTGATCGCATCGGCTCGCCGCATCCACCTTGCAATGCTGCTGACACCCATTCAGTCTCTCTGTCGATGCAAAGACAGACGCGGGCTGAAGCGATAATCTCAACGATACGCGGAGCAGGGACCGGCGTTGAGCATTGTGCTTGGAAATACGAAGCCTCCGAGCGGACAGGACAGGCTCAGCGGTGGGGACAGACGGGCAGGCAATCAGCAGAGGGCGATTTTGCAGCGTATCGCGTGGTGGTGCGGCGTGGGTGGGGCGTATCGATTTTGAATTCGTGAGGCGGTGTGATTCAGCCTTGCCTTGCCTTTGCCTTGCCTGCTGAGCGAGCCTCGCCCAGAAAGCCTAGCCAAACCGGACGTACTGGCCGTATCTCCCCTCTGGCCAGCCCCGCCCCGGCCTCTCGGACTTCGGCCCTTGACCGGCAATTCAGCGGCAGCAACGGGCTCCGTCCGAGCCTCCCGCACGCAGCCTTCCTGCGCTGTGGGCGAAACCGCATCCCGTCACTTTTCCCGCTTCATCTCTCCAGCCTGTTTCTGTCGGTAGAGCCGCCGAACAGTCTCGCTGGCACAGCCCAGCCCGGTCACGCTTCCAAAATGCAGGAGGAGGTGACGCCGCCAATTTACGCGTCGCTGCACTCGCACGGAAAGTGTTGTTCTCTCGGCGGCGCGTCGGCGCGCTCTGCCTCTCTGCTGCTCCACTTGTCGAAGGCAGCAGTTTTTGGTAAGCGTGGCTCAGTCGAGTGCATTAGTTGCTCCCACCATCTCGGCCATCTGCGGTTCGAGCAGCAGCATCGTCCTCTCCTTCACCGTCCGATTACGCCCACACCACCATGGCCTTCTTCGCCGTTTGCAGTCGCAGCATTCCGCTCTGAGCCACATCCGACGCACATGCTTTAGTGCCTTCGTATCGAGTCGCAGCAACCATGACCACACTGGCACCCGACCCTTTCCACCGTCCAGCCATGCCCTACCCACCGTCACATCCTCGCCACTACAATGGCGACCCCGGACCCAGTCAGCCCTCCTCCGCTTCTCAGCGCCTTCTGTCTCAAGTCCTCCCTCTGCAAGCTCCGCCATCCTCATCTCAATTGCAGCTGCAACAGAATTCAATAGCAAACTCGTCTGCAACAGCTGAAGTCTCATCGTCAGCTTCATTTACGGTACAGCGCGCAGCTCACAGCTTATCCTCCAACGCCGCCTCTTCTCCACCCACATCCACCTCGCAGTATAGCCATCCACCACCGCCACCTCCGCGTACACCCTCTCACTCGGCCCGTGCGACGCCCCAGCAGAAACGTGCGCGCCTTCATTACGACTTTGGCACATCCCCCACCTCCACCACAACTCCCCTTCCATCCATCGCTGCTGCATCCCTTGTCTCACCCAACACGCACATCACAAGCTCTACCGCCACATCCGCCGTCAGACCGCTTTCGGGCATCGCAAGACCGTTGCCAATGCCACCCACACCAACGCCTCCGCAGCGCTCTCCGCGTTCCGTCAATTCCAACCAACCCTTGCAGCCATTGCCACACCGCTCCGTACACGACTTTGAGAAGCTCATCCCGCAGCGTCGTCCTCCACCTCCAATCGCAAATGGTCGAGTCGCGCCACAGCGTACACTCTTGCAGGCCATCCCTCCACAGCCTCCCCCCGTGCAGCCTGCAGTGCACCATCCCGCCCCGGCTCCGGATCGGCGACCACCACCTCCAAGCATAGATATCCTCCCGCATAGGCCCGAGAGTCTTCTGACAGGATTTCGCTCCCTAGACCTTGACCTTGATCGCATCGCCGAGATCGCGAGCCTCGAGCATGCCCATGCACACAACCTACCGACATCACATAGCGCTCCTGGCACAGACTTGCCGCAATGGCTCCATACATCACGCGGTCTCCCATCAGGATCCATCATCGAGGCCATCGGACCTCCAGGTAGTGGCAAGTCGTCCTTCGTCGTCCAGACGGCGGTCACCGAGCGTCTCAGGTCCTTGGCTCGAGCACGCAGATCCCTCGAGCATCAAGACAGCGACCAAGACACCTCGCAAGCAGAGATCGACCGACAACGTCCGCCCAGCACGGATACACATCCGCACGCCATCTTCTTCACAGACGACTTTTGGGACGCCGAAGTGGCCAGCGCCGATCAGGTCCTGCTCATCGACTGCGAAGGCGCACTCACGCCCGAAAAGATCGCAGACGCTGCGTGGAGCACGATTGCATCTCTGTGGTCACACGCAAAACAGCAGAACCCGGCCAACGATGCAACCGGACGGGCCGACGCGGCGGCGCCGGACTCGGTAGCGGAAAGTCGTGCTGGCATGCCGGAAGTTGTGCGTCGCTTGGTCGCGGCCGTTTTGGCAGGCACCCACATCAACCGCGTCACGAGCACTGCGAGTCTCGTTGCACTGTTGATCTCGCTGCGGCCCACAGACGAGCTTCAAGATGGCCAGGCTCTGCCCTGTTGCATGCCTCCACGCACGTCTCTGATCCTCATCGACTCGCTCTCGTACCACCTTCGGCTGTCAGGCGCCAGCAGCTCGGACCGCAAAGCAAACCAGCAGCTCAGCGAGCGCATCCGCGACATGCTACTTCGGCTGCAGAAGCCGTTTGAACATCGACCCAAGCCGGATCTTGGCCCTGAAGAGCGCGATGCTGCGCGACAACGCGCCACACAAGCGGCGCAGAAACTGTGTCTGCCGACGATCATCTTTACGAATCAGATGGGCATGCGTCGCGATCGAGCCGAGTTGGAGAGCTCGGGTCGCAACAGTCCGTCTGGCTGGGCTGCTGCCAGTCCCGGCTCTCGGTCGTTCCGTAAGAATGCCCCGCGCGGCGAGGGATCTTCGATGCTCGCGCCGCTCTTGAACGGACAGCGGCCGCCGCAGCCTGCAACCATCCGCGACGCGCCGCCTGCTCCGAGCGTGGCGCTGTGCGGACCAGAGATGGGCGAGGATGGCGAGGCGTTGCTGCTGCCGCGCATGTCACAGCAAGCATGGAGTCGTGCGTCCGGACAGGCGAGTCCGCAGCTGGGACACGATCGAGGTTGGCCACCGAGCTTCCTCGGGCAAGACGTCTGGAGGATCCTGCTCTTTCGACACGGCACCGCCGGCCGCAGATTCGCGCAGATTGTGTCGATTCCGCCGGCGGTGCAGAGCGAGCTCAGTGAGCTGTGGGTCCAGACGAGAGCGCGTGCACGTGCGTGCGCAAGTGCCGCCTCGGGCCAAGACGCAAACACATCAACATCTTCTAACGACGTGGCCCAAGCTGCCTCTGATGCGGATGGTGAGAATGAAGCAGCATCTTCGATCTCGGCTGAAGAACAGCTGGCTCGGGACAAAGACCAGCGCATATTGGAGCTTCTCGCCCAGCTGCGCGCAAGCTTGTACCGCTGGCGCCCATTTCATGTCGCTTCCGCCGGCCTCATCTCTTAGCCTTAGCAACCAGCAGTAGAAACGACTACGTATTCGCGCAAGCGATCACCATGCAGGTGTAACTCGGTGCGTCTTAGATTCGGTCCCGTGTCTTTGGCAATGCGTTGGGAGCACGACGACGGCAGGCGACAAGGCATTCGGCTGAGATCTCACATTCCCAAAAGCTATTTGTCATGCTTACAGTGACCGGCTGCAGGTCGAGCGCGAACCCTGTTTGAGCAAAAGTGGGAATTTCCTCTGGACTGAAATTTTTGCTGGCCAGGGTGCGGCTGTTTTTTGCTTTTTGGGCGCCGACTCCACCTCGAGTTTGGAAGAACGGCTGAGCCTTGCTGCACGCTTCTTCTGCGCACCACCACCCTTCTCACCTAGCACTGTTGCCTTGCTCGAGAAGCTCTCCGTCACCAGAACCAGCACAACCTATCTGGAGACTCGACTCGTCACAGCACGAACAGCATCACCGCCCTCGGATCCTAGCAAAGCCGGTGTTGATCTCGAGTCGCGGCACCGCGCACCAGAATCAAAGATGGGCAAGCAGACCAAGGGGACCAAGAAGTTCCTGCGTACGCAGCTCGACAGCACGATCAAGCGACGACGCGAGCATCAGAAGAAGCGCAAGGTCATCGAGCGCTCCGCAGCCGCCAAGAAGCAGAAGCAGCTGCGCAACACCGGCAAGAAGGGCAAGGGCGCCAACCGCGAGGAGGCGCCCGAGGATCTGGCCGAGTTTGACGACGACGACGATGTGGCGGACAAGATGGCCGCCGATGCAGGCAAGAGCGGCCTCAAAGGCATGAGCGTCGACGACTTCCTCGGAGGAGGATTTAAGAGCGCTGCTGACGATGACGAGGATGCGGAAGACGATGATGAGGATGATGACGAGGACGCAGCCGACGATCTCGAGGACGTCGAGGAGATGTCGGACGAGGAGGGCGTCGGCATGCATGCCCAGGATCTTGAGAAACTCAAGGAGAAGGACCCAGAATTCTACGCCTACCTCCAGGAGAACGACAAGGAGCTGCTGCAGTTCGGCCAGGAGTCCGACGATGACGAGGATGACGACGAAGAGGAGCAGAGCTCTAGCAAGGCCAAGGCGACCACGTCCAAAGCGGCCAAGGCGGAAACAGGGCCGCAGCGAGTCACGATCAAGATGCTTGCCGGATGGCAAAAATCGATGCTCACCCATCGATCTCTCAAGGCGCTGCGCCGATTGCTCATTGCCTTCCGCTGTGCCGTCAAGCCCGAAGAGGAGGACCAGCGTGCGGAAGGTGCCTCGTTCATCATCGAAGAGGCGCGCGTCTTCAACAAGCTCGTGCTCACCGCGCTCAAATACACACCCGTCGTGCTGCAACACCACGTGCCGCTTTCAGAGGACAAGCAGGGCAACATCAAGATCCCGTCGAACAACAAAAAGTGGAATCTGATCAAGAAGCCGATCCAGTCGTACTTTAGCAACCTCTTCCTGCTCACCGAGACGCTGACCGAGCCGCGCATGCTCGAGATCGTGGTGCGCGAGAGCACGCGCATGGTGCCGTATGCGCTGTGCATCCCCAAGACGACGCGCGAGTTCATCAAGGTGGCGCTCAACCTGTGGTCGAGCCAGGTGTCGGAGGACGGCGTGCGCATGTCGGCCTTCCTCACGCTGCGTCGACTCGGCATGGCGGGCGGCACAGCGTCGCTGGAAAACGTGCTGCGTGGCGTCTACTCGTCGTTCATCCAGTCGAGTCGCTCGGTGAGCATCCACACGCAGCCCATGCTCAACTTCATGAAGAACACCGCGGTGGAGCTGTACCTGCTCGATGCGGACGTAGCGTATACGCAGGCGTTCGGCTTCATCCGTCAGCTCGCCATCCATCTGCGCAACTGCATCAAGACCAAGACCAAGGACGCCTTCAAGGCGGTGCTCAACTGGCAGTTTGTGTCCGCGGTCGAGTTTTGGTCGTTGCTGCTGTCGCGCGCATGCGACGAGGAGTCCGAGGCGCAGGCGGGCGTCGAGTCGCCATTGAAGCCGCTCATCTATCCGCTCGTGCAGGTGGCGACGGGCGTGGTGGGCATGGTGCCCAACTCGCGCTACTTCCCCTACCGTCTGCACCTGCTCAAGGCCATGATGCGCATCGTCTCGCGCACGGGCACCTACATCCCGCTGGCGCCGCTGGTGCTGTTTGTGTTTGAGTCGCCCGAGTTCCAGCGCAAGCTCAAGGGCTCCACTGCGGCACCGATCGACTTTAGCACGACGCTGCGTGCCCCGACGCAGATGGTGCGCACAAGACCCTACTCGAACCAGCTTCTGTCCGAGTACTCGTTCCTGCTGCTCGAGTTCTTGGCGTCGCAGTCGAGGTCGATTGCGCTGCCCGAGCTGGTGCTGCCGCTGCAGATCCAGCTCAAGAGGCTGTCCAAGACCACGACCAACGCCAAGTTCCAGGCAGAGGCCAAGCAGCTGCTCGACAAGTCGCACCAGACCGCCCTGTGGGTGGGCAAGCAGCGCGAGGCGATCGACTTTACGCCCAAGGACCTTGACAAGGTTAAGAACTGGGAGATGGACGCAAAGGAGAACCCGCTCGAGGCCATGCTCCGGCTCGCAAAGAAGGTGCGTGCCAAGCAGGAGGCGCTCATCAAGGCGCAGGCACAGGTCGTTCGCGATGACGACGACGAGGACGACGACGAGGACGAAGAGGATGACGAGGATGAAGATGAGGACGAGATGGAAGTTGATGAGGAGGACGAGGACGACGAGTAGGCGGCCGACCTCGCAGTCTAGCTTCCCGTGTACGATTTAGCAATTACTATCTCACATTGCCATAGCAGCTTGGTGTCAAAGCAGACTTGTCCGTGTGCTGTGTGACAATGATGAAGGGTCAGTCGACATCACACAAATGGTGCGGTCGCTGTGGAGGTTCTTTTTCGGCTAATTTTTGCCATTTTTTTTTCCTCGCATTTTTTGAAAGATATCTTTCGGCACGGGATCGGGCAATTTTCCGCTCTCCGGCCTCAGCCGCACCAAATTTCGGGTGGTGGCGATTTTTTCAGAGGACCCCTTTTGAGAAGAAATGTGCATTGGCCGTGCTGAGCTGAGCTGAGCTTTTGAGCAACCTGCAGCACCGCCAGCATCACCTTCCGCTCCCACCTCATCTTGCAACTCAACATGCTGTCAAGGTCAACGCTCTCAATAGCGAGCGCCCGCCGCGCAGGCTGGGCAGCGTCGACGTCCAGCGCCCGTCTTGCGCTCGCATCGACATCGGCATTGCCAGCTGCTACATTACGCACATTCGTCTCTTCGTCACCAGCCGAATCAGGACGAGGCGGAGACCGACCATCGTATTCGAATCGCGACGCAGACCGCAACAATGCACGACGTCCTCGCAACGCAGACGCAGGCGGTAATGCAGTGCAGCAGTTCAGCCGCAATCAGCGCTTTGCACCCGATGGCACCAGGAAGCGCCTCCCGCATCCCAACGCCAGGCCCCGCTCGCAGCATGGAAAGGACCGTGGTGAGCCCCGCTCGCATAGGCCGCAGCGCGAAGACGAGTCGATGCACAAGTTCGGCTCCGCCGAGCCATCGTCCTCGCCAGCTTCTAGCAGGAGGGACTCGACCGTGTCCAGGATTCGAGCTCGCAACGCTCCAGCGGCTGCCGAGCAGGAAGGCGAGGATATGCGATTCGGCGAAGCAGACTCAGCAGATTCTGCAGCGGGGTCAGCAACAAGGGCCGACGACGAGGGCATCTCGAGCGGTCCTCGGGCGTTCGAAAAGTCCGATCGACACCACGCCGCCAAGCAAAAGAAGAAGGAGGGCCGCGGATCCTTGCTGGACGCAGATGCCGACTACAGGCGCGGCGCTCCTCGTGCTCAACAACACGACGCCCACACGCGCAACGCTCACGCACGCCGTCCAAAGGGACCCGTCAACGACGCCTCGAGCGCAGCCGAAGCCGAGCCCGAGGTCAAACGAGGCGCAGCCAAGCCCAAAATCATCAAGGTGAAGCGCAACCTGTTCCTGCCCGAGGTCATCTCGGTCATCATGCTTGCCACGCGCATGGAGAAGAAGCTGCGTGCGATTCAGAACGTCATGGCCGACCTCGGCATGCAGGACACGCGTCCGGATTGTATGCTCAAGTTCGAGGACGCCGAGATGATCGCGGCCGAGTTCAATGTGGTGGCGATCGCCAACGACGAGGCGAGCTTCGACCTGTTCCCGCGCCCGCCGCCCGAGACGGAGAAGGAGCGCGCGAGCTTCCCGCTGCGCCCGCCCGTCGTCACCATCATGGGCCACGTCGACCACGGCAAGACGACGCTGCTTGACAAGCTGCGCAGCACCTCGGTGGCTGCCGGCGAGGCGGGCGGTATTACGCAGCACATTGGTGCCTTCAGCGTGCCGATTTCGGGCGTCGAACAGGATAAGGGCAAGCGCAAGGGCTACAAGGGTATTCAGACCATTACGTTCCTCGACACGCCGGGGCATGCGGCATTTACGGCCATGCGGAGTCGAGGCGCGATGGTGACGGACATTGTGGTGCTCGTCGTGGCGGCCGATGACGGTGTGATGCCCCAGACGCGCGAGGTGATCAAGCTCGTGCACGATGCCAATGCCGAGGCGGCGTCGTCCGACGGCATCGAGCAGCACAGGGTGCAGATGATCGTCGCGCTCAACAAGGTGGACAAGACCGATGCGGACCCGGAGCGCGTCAAGCGCGAGCTGCTCGCGGCGGGCGTCGAGCTCGAGGAGCTCGGTGGCGATGTTCCCTGCGTCCATGTCTCCGGCAAGACGGGTAGGGGTCTGGACGAGCTCGAAGAGACGATTGCCGCCGTGGCGGAGCTGGCGGATCTGCGTGCGGAGAAGACTGGCCTGCCCGAGGGATACGTGCTCGAGTCGCGCGTCGACAAGGGACGCGGCAATGTGGCGACGGTGCTCATGAAGCGCGGCGAGCTGGTCAAGGGCGCCAGTCTGATTGCCGGGACGTCGTGGTGTCGTGTGCGAGCGATTCTGCACTCGAGCGGACGACCGCTGGCCAGGGCGTTTCCGGGAGATCCCGTATTGGTGGCGGGATGGAAGGGTTTGCCGACGGCGGGAGATCTGATGCTGGGTGCCACGGACGAGGCGTCGTGCAAGAAGGCGATCGAGAACCGCACCAAGGCGATCGAGCAGAAGCGGCTTCTGCAGGACGTGGAGCAGATCAACGAGGCGCGCCGCATCAAGGCCGAGCTGGAAGAGGCCGAGGCGCGCAAGGAGTTTGAGGAGCGCCAGCGCAGGCGTGCTGCTCGACTCGCCGCCAGCGACGGCAAGGATCCGCTTGCGGCAATCGCTGAACTCGACGAGGCGGCTGAAGCAACTTCTCGCGCTGCTGCGGAAGAGCAAGTCGAGGTGGAGACCAGCACCGAGCCGGAAGCGGTGGGCAAGAAGATGCTCAACGTCATTGTCAAGGCCGACTTTAGCGGCACGGTCGAGGCGGTCGTCGGGGCAATTGCTTCGATTGGCAATGCCGAAGCTGGCGTCAAAATTGTCTCGGCCACTGTAGGCGAGCCGTCTGAAGGTGATGTAGCCAAAGCGGCTGCACTGGATGCAACGATCATCGGGTTCAACGTGAACCCATCCAAATCGGTGCTTCAAGCAGCTAGTCGAGCCAAACCAACGCCGGTGCGCATTATTGCCTCGGACGTGATCTACCGCCTGATGGAGTCGGTCTCCACCTCGGTGGCCGAGCTTCTTCCGCCGCTGATGGAGCCGCGCGTGCAGGGCGAAGCGGTGATCAGCCAGATCTTCGAGATCAACCTCAAGAAGAACGCCACGCGCAAGATCGCCGGCTGCAAAGTCACCAACGGCACCATCACCAAGTCGGTCGGCGTGCGTATTTTGCGCGGCAAGGATCGCACAGAGGTCTACAGGGGCAGACTGGACCAGTTCAAGCATCTCAAAAAGGACGTCACCGAAATGCGCAAAGGCACCGAATGCGGTATGGCCTTTGAAGGGTTCCAGGACATCCAGCCCGATGATGTCGTACAGAGCTTCACTGAGGTCGCCGTACCAAGGACGCTGTAACTTTTCGATTGTGCAACTTTTCGATTGCGATGCAATGATAATAGACTTGCAATTGCGATGTGTGGGGGGCAGGGTTAGGCCGCAAGAAGCGCTCGACGCTGTGCGAGGAGCTGACGTGCATGCTCGCGCGCGCGATTCGGCGCCGCTGGTCGCGTCGTAGGGACGGCCGGGAAGGCAGGCTCTGCCATCTTTTCCGCCTTGACCACCTTGTCAACTTTGTCCGCCTTGTCCACCTTGCCCAGCTCTTGAGATTTCTGAGCGTCTTGGGGCTTTTGAGGTTTCGTGTTAGCCCGGAGCGATTCGGGGAGGACGTTTTGTTTGGGCTGCTTGAGGGCAAAGCGCGCGTTGCGCTTGACCATGCCGAGCTCGAGCTGCTTGGCGGCGAGCGCGATGGACCAGTGCACATTGTCCTGCGCTAGCGCGTCGTGCGCCTTGCGCAGCCGCACGAGCTCCAGCTCGGCATTCGCCAGCGAGCGCTCCAGCTCCACCACCCGCTCCGACCCACGCGTCGATCCCTCCTGCTGCGACTCGGGTTGCGGCTGTGGCTTCGCGTCTCTCACCGCGGCGCGGGCGGAGAGCAGCTCTTCGCCGAGGCGTGCAAGTTCTGCGTCCTTGTCGGCAAGCTCCGAACGTAGCGTGGCCAGCTCCGCGTCGAGTTGAGCAAGATCGCCGTCCTTGTCGGCGAGTTCTTCGCGTAACGTTGCGAGCTCGGAGCTCGCGGCGGCTGGTTCGGCGAGATCTTGCTCGAGTTGAGCGGCGTGCTCTTCGGCGGCGTCGCGCTGCGCAGCGACGTCGTCAAGCTCAGCGCGCACGTCGCACAGCTCCTCAAAGCGCCGGTCGAGTTCAGCGGTCAAAGAGTCGACTTCACGCTGCAGCTCCACCTCGTTCCCTCCAGCCTCTCTCTCATCTGCGGCCGCGCCAGAGAGGCTGCGAGAGGCAAGCTGTTCCTCGAGCTCGCGAATCCGCGCTTGCAGCGGCGCGTCTTCCATCGCGCGACGCACGGCAAAGTCCTTCTCGAGCGTCGCGCGCAGTTCCGCTTTCGCCTGCTCGATCTCGCTCGCCCTCTCTGGACTGACACCGCCGTCCGCTGTCGGTGCCGGTGAATCGTACGCCTCCCGCGTGCTGGGTGCCGACCGGATGGCTTGCATGCGCACCTCAAAGTCGCGCCGCTCCACCTCGCGTAGTCTCCTCTCTTCCTCGAGCTGTCTCTCCAGCTCTGCGGCACGCTGTTCTCCTGCACGCTCCACTTTGCCCTGAAGCTGCCCGACCAGCTCTTGCATGCGCGCATCTTTGGCCTCGGCGTCTGCCACCAGCTCTGCGTACTGCGCCGAGAGTTGCGTAAGCGCTGCGCGCACCTCGTCGAGATCGGCATCCTTGGCGTCCCAAGTGGCGCGCAGCTGTGCCTCGTCGCGCTCCTTGGCGTCGAGCGCAGTCTCGAGCGAGTCGATGTAGGCGGTCGACGCCTGCAGCTGTGCCAGCAGCCGTGCCACGCGCGAGTCCGAGAGCTCGGCCAGCGAGTCGAATGCCGATGCCACGCCTGCCAGCTCTATCACGCCGAGTTCGGCCACAGGCTTGGCGGGCCGCCGTGCCAGCTGCATGCGCGAAACGCGCGCGGCTGAGGGAGAGTCCGAGTGCTGTGGAGACCACAGCGACACCTCGCGCTCCTTCTTGGCCGATGCGTCGGGTTGCGCTTTTGTAGCATCGCTGCTGGTGTCGGCGGCAGGCTCGGGCTCGCGCGAGTTGTCGGCACAGCCACTCTGCTTCCTGCCGGAGGAGGAAGAGCACGACGACAACAAGGAGCGCGAGTCGTGTTCGTCGATCTGCGGCGATTCAGACGTCGTCTGAGGCGATGCAACCTTATCCTTTGTGCCAGCGCTTGGCTGCACTGCTCCCGGGGCGGGCGAAGGACTCCATTTCGGGGTGCCGAACGCAGGCTCCGGAGTAAGGCTTGCTTGGAATGCAAGCTTTTCCGCTTGAGAGGTCGTATGCGGCGTGGTTGTCGCTTGCTGTTGGCGCTGCGAGGCGGGTGTGGCGAACGAGGCGGATGTTGCGGGAGACCACATGCTAGAAGGTGTGCTTGTAGCTTTGATGACTTCCGAACCGCCTTTGGGTGTTTTTGGGTAGGGTGATGCATAGCTCTCCTTCGCTGGGCTGCGTGCTGCTGGAGTGGCAAATGATCTCTCTTGACTTGGCGGCTCCACGGTGCTGCTTGGTGTTTGAGGATTGTTCCTGGCAGAGCTGAAGCTGATCGACGGTGAGTCCATCCTGCGCGGTGGACCAGGCGTGGGGCTGGAAGGCGAGGTGCCAGAGGTGCCTTCGCGCGGCGAGTCGCGGGAAGAACTGATGTGAGCTGCCGCTCCTTCCGGACTGGCTTGACTGCTGGGACTCTGCCACTGCCGCGAAGAGGCAGACGATGCTGGTGAAAAGTTGACGACACGTGATAGGGGCGACGACCGGGCGGGCGTCACCATGCGGAGTCGCATAAACGACTTGGGAGTGTTGGTCGAGCGAGGTGCCGACTGTGGGGTTGGCGGCTTCGACTGAGGGAGGGCTGATGCAGACGCTGCTTTGGGTTGTGCTGGTCTGCTCGATTCGCCGAGCGGGGTCAGCACGGCTCGATCGGGCGAAGGGCTCGCCAGTTGAGGTAGTGGTGGACGCTCGACTGCTTTTGAGGCGTCTAACTGCCGCACCGAGTGCGTGGAGGCATTTGCAGAGTTCTCTTCCTCGACAGGGTCCTGCGCCGACGACTCGTGCTGAAGCTTGGCATTGTCTGCTTGATTTGGGGGGGAAGCCGGTATGCTGGAAGTGTCTTGCACATAGGATTCTTCGGGGACCATGGAGAGCCCCTCTTGCCAGTCGTCGTGCGCTGCGAGCTCCGTGCTGTAGTCGGTGGCTTGATGGAGCCTTGAACTGATGCTAGGCGAGTACAAGGCTGGTCCGTGTTGATCAGAAGATGCATTCGAGCGCATTGGTGACAGAGACGCGTTGGGAGACGGCTGAGCGTCCTGGATGTCCTCTTCCTCATCCTGCACCTGGGTGGCATTGTATCCTGTTCTGACTGTTGGACTGCGACTGGGGCTACTGCCATCGGAGGAGGCTGGGCTGTCGAGCATGCCAGCCTCTGCCATGCGGGTGCGCAGACTCTTGCCTGTGAATGGCGTTCTGGGATCTGGTTGAAGCGGTCTTGCGGTGACCGTGGGTGAAGAGGAGGTGCGGTAGCGTGGTGAGGAAGATGAAGGCGAGGGAGATGAACGCTGCGTTGCTTCATCGAGGCCCGCGAGCATATGCGCGCCCGCCTGTCGGAGGAAGCTCTCGCTGAAGGATGCATTGCTGTAGTCGAAGGTGGCCAGGCTGGACCCCATGCTCTCGTTGGCGTCCCTGGCCATTCTTGGCGAAGATTTGCGCGCGGCGCTCACGCGTGTGGCGGAGCGCGATGACGAAGCATCCGGGCTGGGAGTCCATGCTGCACTAGATTCGCCGCCCAGTCTTGCCGGAGTGGGGCCGACATGACCAGTTGAGGATCCCGAGACGCGAGACACGGGTGTAGTCGGAGGCAGACGAGATGAAGAAGGCGGCGACAAGACGGCTGACGATGGTTGTGTGGTGCGGTGCTTCTGCTGGTCGGTCAGAATGGGCGAATCGTCGGCGAGATATTCGGCCATGCTCAGATCGGATGCTGCCGACAGGTCCGAGAGACCGCTCTGGTCAGCGCCGATGGATGCATTCATGGCGTCGGAGTGCCGCTTCTTTCCCAATCGATGTGATGTGAACAAAGAAAGGGCGGTGTCGGCGTGACGAGGATGAGTGGTGGCAAACGACGAGCATCGAGCCGACTCTCCAGCCGCGGATGTTCCGAAGCTGCGAACCCTGCATCTTTGCGCTGGGCCAGCAGAGCAGTCTCCCCTGCCTCCTCCACTCCTTCATCCCGACAGCCGCTGCTCCACGGTCGGAAAGAAGCACACACACCGAAATCACAAAAGCGCGCTCCTCCGGTGGGTCAAAAATGCGGCCTCGTGTTTTGGCGCGTTCGCCCTAGCACGTCACGTGCCTTGGAATTTTTTCGGGCGGTCCACATTTTTTGAAAAAGAAAAGAAAAAAAAGTGGCCGCAGGGCCCATCCGAGCGAGGCTACAAAAAGCTCAGCCCAGCTTCCCAAAGAACTTTTTCGTCCCCTCGACAGCTCCTTGGCGTCCACCTTCCCCCAGTTCCCTTTCCATATACCCAGTGGCTCGTCCACACACACACCACACAACCGCCATGTCGCGCTTGATCGTTCGTGGCCTGCCCACGTACCTCACCGATGCGCGGCTGCGAGAGCACTTCTCCCAGAAGGGCGCCGTCACCGATGTCAAGCTGATGCGTCGGCCCGATGGAACCTCGAGAAAGTTTGGTTTCGTCGGCTACCGTTCCGAGCAAGAGGCCCAGGAGGCGCTCGACTACTTCAACCGCACCTTCATCGACACTTCACGCATTACGATCGAACATGCCAAGAAGATCGGCGACGAAGAACTCACCAAGCAGCGCGAAGACCGCATAAACAAGCGAAAGGCCGCCGCCGGTCAAGACCCGCAAGCGTCTACCAGCGCACATGGTCTTGACGGTCCCAAGGGCAAGCCGAACAAAGATGACGCAGAAGGCGTCAAGAAGAAGCCAAAGAAGGGCGGCGCCATCTCGTTCGAAGAGTTCATGTCGGTCATGCAGCCCAAGGCAAAGCGAAAGGCATGGCAGAACGAAGACGCCATGCCCGAGCAGACCATGGACGACATCTTTTCCGGCGTAGAGGCCGTCGAGAAGAAGGCCGCCAAGAAGGCCAAGAAGCAAGCGAAAGCCGAGGCGGAGGCAGCTGCAGCTGCGGCCGCAACAGAATCCAACAGCGCCAAGTCGGGCGCCGACGACGCATCCGAGCCAGAGGCAGATGCAGCAGTCAACGACGTCGGTCTCACCGACGAAGAGTACATGCGTCTGCGTATGAAGCACCGCGTCGGCACCGACCTCGATACCCAAGACGATCCCACGGCTCCTCAGTTTGAGCAATCCGACGACGAGAAGGACGACAAGGCCGCCGCCTCTGCGTCGGACTCGGACTCGGACTCTGATGACGAAGCAGACGCGGTCAATGACGAGGAGCTCGAGCGTAAGCAGGCTGCTCAACGCCGCAAAGCCGAGCAGGCCGCCGCAAGGGATCAAAAGCTCGTCGACCAGATCATGGAAAGCGGAAGGCTCTTTGTGCGCAATCTCCCCTTCACAGCCACCGACGACGACATCGAGAGCTTCTTTGAAAGCTTTGGCACCGTCAAGCAGGTAAGTCCGCCCTCCTCGCTACCATCACAGACGTGTCTACATGAGCCACACCAGCGACCAACACCGACGACCGCGACGGCTTTTCGTGATGACACTATAGTATAGGGACAGCTGAGCTACAAGCCGTGCTGAAAAAAGTACTGGAATCAGATAGTAAAACATTCTTTATCTGACCTAAAGTCGTCGCCGTCGTCGTCATCGTCGCTGCCGTGGTGGCTCAGGGCCATCCTTACTTTCACCAATGATCGTAGAGTGCAGCTTGCTGACAGACGCTTGCTTTGGCCTTTTCACGACGCAGGTGCACATCCCACTTGACAAGCAGACCAAGGCATCCAAGGGCCTTGCCTTTGTGTCGTTCTCGGACCCCGCGCACGCGCTCGCAGCGTATCGAGCCAAGGACGGCTCCACCTTCCAAGGCCGTCTGCTCCACCTGCTCCCGGCTGTCAACAAGGACGCGCCTGCCGACACGGACAAGAAGGCGGCGACGCTCAAGCAGACGCGCGCCGACCAGAAGAAGCAGGATGCGACCAAGGACTTCAACTGGTCCATGCTCTACATGTCGGCCGACGCTGTGGCCTCGTCGATCGCCGACCGGCTCGGAGTGAGCAAGTCGGACATCCTCAACCCGGGCGCCGACGGCGGGCCGGACAATGCGGCCGTGCGCCTCGCGCTCGCAGAGACGCGCATCATCCAGGAGACGCGCGAGTTCTTTTCGCAGGAGGGCATCAACGTCGACGCCTTCGGCACCGGTACCAAGGCCGGGCGGTCCGACACGACGATGCTGGTGAAGAACATCCCGTACGGCACGTCGGTCGACGAGGTGCAGAAGCTGTTCGAGGAGCACGGCGAGGTGGACAAGGTGCTCATCCCGCCGAGCGGCACGATTGCGCTCGTCGAGATGCCCGTGGTGTCGGAGGCCAAGGTGGCCTTTCGCGCGCTTGCGTACAAGCGCTTCAAGGGCGGCATTCTGTACCTCGAGAAGGCGCCCGTGGGCGTGTTGACGACCAAGACGGGCGGCGACAAGGTGGTCAAGCAGGCGCCGATCAAGGGCAAGACCATCGACACGTCGGCAAACCCTTCGGCCAATCTCGCTTCTGGCGTTGCAGACGACGAGGCGGCCGAGGGTGCGACGCTGTACATCAAGAACCTCTCCTTCTCCACCACGGACGACCGGCTGGCTGGTGCGTTCCACGGGCTTTCGGATTACGCGTTTGCACGTGTGCAGACCAAGCCCGACCCGAAGCGACCTGGTGCGCGTCTCTCGATGGGGTACGGTTTTGTTGGGTTCAAGTCGGTCTCTGCCGCGCGCACAGCGCAGAAGGCTATGGACGGTAAAGTGGTGGACGGACATACGCTGGTTGTGACGTTTGCGCGTCGCAATGCCGAGTCTTCTGCCACTGCATCGCTCACGTCTTCGGGTGGATCGACCAAGATTCTGATCAAGAACTTGCCATTCGAGGTGACCAAGAAGGACATTCGGGACTTGTTTGCGTCTCAGGGTCAGCTCAAGTCGGTTCGTCTGCCCAAGAAGTTTGACAACACTACGCGCGGGTTTGGCTTTGTCGAGTATACCACCGTTCGCGAGGCACAGGCTGCATTTGAAGCGCTCAAACACACGCATTTGCTCGGCAGACATCTGGTCCTTCAATGGAGCAAGCAGGGCGAAAATGCCCAGGACCAGGTCGACATGCAGCGCGAAAAGACAAAGTCCGCCTTTGTTGCAACGGGCGATGCAACCGCCAATGCCAAACACGCAAAGATCAAACTCAACCACGCCCAAATCACAAGCGCCGCCCGCTCCGCCCGCGCCGCAAACAACCAAGACGACGACGATGACGAGTAACTCCACCATCCCGTCTTGCCACTTTCACTTTTCTTTGCATCCCTTCCGCCATCTTTGTACCGCCTACACATCTGTATTCTAGTCCCATGCACTCTCAGCCAAATCAGCCCCATTCAAGCGTCGGATTCGCACGCCATGCACACGCTCTTGCTCTGCGCGTGCTTCTCCTCCCGTGTATGAATTTCTACAAAAAGCAAAGAGACAAAGCTGAACACATGGCCAAGAGATGCAACGACGTCAAGCAGCAAGGGTCCAAACACGCTGCGCGCCAGACTACTGCTGGTTGAAGCTGACGGGCTTGCCGGGCAGGCCGTCCGAGAGCAGCACCACGGCGTACTTGCCGCTGATCCTCCATCCGGGCTCCTCGGCATCGAGCTTGTTCGACACTTCGCCTGGCACGCCCACGACGACGTCCGACTTGATGGTGCGCAGCGAGGCCACGGGGGGCGCGCCGTCGTCGCTGGCGAGCGGGCCGATGGCCATGTCGAACGGCGTATCGCTGGGCGCCTGGCAGTCGTACGTGAGCTTGCGGTGGTTGAGGTCGCCCTTGAACATGACGAGGTCCGAGCCGGCGAGGTGGAGGAACAGATCGGGCGCCTCCTGCGAGATGGACCAGAACGTGTAGCCGGTGCACCAGAACGGATGCTGCTCGTAGATCCACTGGCCCTTGCGTTCGTAGTCCTTCCAGCGCAGGCCCATCTGCTTGAGCGACTGCACCTCGGCGTCCGAGGCGTGCGGGAAGAGCGAGCCGTAGAGCATCGAGTTGAGCAGCCACTCCCAGTCCTTGCGCGTGACGTCCGAGACGAACCAGGCGAAGCGCTTGCCGTGGAAGTGGATCTCGTTGGCGATGCCCGACTGGATGAGCCAGTCTGCGTAGACGCAGTCGCAGTAGAGCTCGAAGCCGGCGTTGTCGAGCACAAAGTCGATGCGGCCGCCCTTCATGTTGCTGACGAGCTTCCAGAGGCGGTCGAGGTGGTTGCCGAGGATGTTCTTCTCGGTGGCGGCGAGATGCTCGCCACCGGTGGACTGGAGGTTCTTGATGTCCTCCTCGGTCATGTTGATGAGCAGCGAGAGGTCGGTGGCGTTGCCCCACAGGCATACCTGGGTGAGCTCGTGGAAGAGGAGCTCGCGCGCCTTGAGCTTGTCGCTCTCGGAGGCGCCCTCCTCGTAGGCGAAGGGTTCGGCGAAGCGCGTCGAGAGCTCGAAGACGGCGGTGCCGGAGCGCGAGAAGGTGTCGCACTTCTGGCGGAAGAAGACGTCGTAGTCCTTCCAGTGCTTGGAGATGCTGAAGCACTCGTGCAGACGGCGGTACTTGTACGCCTCGGCAAAGAGCCAGGGGGCGTTCATGAAGTCCTTGCCGCGGAAGAACTTGGCGATCTCCTTGTTCCACAGCGGGATGTCGCCCTCACCGTCGTCGATGATGGGGCGCAGCTTGGCGTTCTTGTGCAGGTCGTCCATGAGCGTCTGCATGCGCTCGATGCACTTTGCCAGGTCGAGGATCTTCTCCTCTTCGTATTGCTCATTGAGAGTCTTGATGACGTCGTCCACCGCCTTGCCGAGGATGGTGGGCAAGCGCTTGCCCATGGTTTCCTGCGGGTGCGAGAGCGCACAGAAAGCAAGCAGGTCAGCATCTGGATAGTAGAGGTCTCAGGCGGCGAGCGGGGTGAGCAAGCCAGGTCTACAGCCGCAAATACTTACATGCGCAAAGGAGAACTCGTGGTAGCCACGGTATGCGGGCCAAGGCGGGTTGTTGGGGTCGACACGCGAGGGGGTGCGGGCATACTGGGCGGCGGCGCCGAAGCCCTGCTTCTTGGGAGGGAGGTTGCCGAGGTTGAGCACCGTCCTTGCGGCGGGCTTGGCGGAGGGGTGACTGCGGTCAGCCATGATTGCGGACGGACGACGATGCGTCGGCTAGAGGCGAGACAGAGGGGGAAAGGTTAGGAAGAGTGCCGGTCTTGTGATGGGACCAAGACGACAGGCGGGTATGTATAGGCCGAAGAGGCAGCAGGGAATAGGAGCCGATGAGGATGGTGATGGTCGCAAAGCAAGAGGTAGCAGCGGGTTCACTGGCAGGAGAAGGACCGACTCGAAGAGGGGGAAGGAAGGCTCAGCCTGGATACGAGTCGGCACAGCCGAGACCAGAAAGTGCGGGAAAGCGCGGTGGGCGAGCGGGGCTGCACCCGTGTATCAGCATCGGCCAGCGGATTCGGGGGCACGGACATCACAGCACGGCCGGGCTTCTCCACTAAAGTCACATCGCAGGCTCAAGACTCTAACTCGAACTCGAAGCAACGTTTCGGAAGATCCGCGCGCTAAGCCTGTCGCAGCCACGAAGTTCGGTCGGATCAGGGCCCAAGATCGTGAGTGCCGGCGTCGCTGGGGATCGGATAGAGCGCGGCGTGGCTGTTAATGGCTGCATGGCGCACTGACCGTCCGCTCTCCAAGATGGCTTCGTTTGGCTTGGCCCAGCTCTCCACATGCACACTGGAACACCGCCTGCTGGACCGCGTTCCTCGATTTGGCACTGAGACGCCCCCTCGCTTGCTTCCCGCCTTATGATGCCTCCACTTGTCAAGCGTGCCCCACTGGATTGAATCGATCGATTGCAAGCTTGCTCTCGCGACTCGGACACGACTCGAACACAAATCTGAGTTTCGGGTTGGCGCTGCAAGGAAGGGCGACACGGTTGACTTTCGAAGAGGCGCATGAGAAGCGCGGGAAACGCCTCACTCGCTTGGTCGGGAAGTCAAAGCTCACGTTGCTGGAGTTGCGATGAGTGAGCGATCGAGCAGTGCACCAGCACTGCACGTCTTCGCTGAGCTGCAGAACGCGCGCGCGCGAGGGCAGCCATGACGGGCGGGGTTTTCGCAATTCTTCTACCCCGCCCCGGTGCAGCAACGTCATTCTGCTTGGCCGACGTCTCCACGTTCTCCCTGGCCGGTGAGCCCGCGCGCCGTGCCCACTTTGCAAAAACACCTGCCATACCGGTTTGCTTGGCGCCGTCAACGGATCCAAAGAACTTCCTCGCCAAGCTCGGAGTATTGAGGAAGCACAGCTGGAGCAGGCTGCCTTGGTCGCGGGCCGAGGGCGCCCGGTTCAATTGAGTGTGGAAGGACACCTAATCGATCCGAAGAGGTAGCGATGGATTGTGATTTTGGAAGGCGGTTCGGTACGGCGGAACGGTCCGACCCGAGCCCTTCTTCCGGCCCTGGTGGGTGCGATGGGCGCGGCGTAGTGAGGACTTGCCGACTTAACCCTGGGCTGCACCCTGGACTCGCTTGTGCGGTCAGGCTGCATGCTGCCATAGGCCCCTTGCCGCCATCGGAGCCAGCCCGGCTTAGGCGTGGTGGTGGAGCGCCCACGCCGACCGCATTGCTATCGTCGGCCATCTCTGTTGCGCTTCCGCCCAAACGAGTCCGGACATCAACTTTTTCGAGACGCATCCTTGACCCATCTCGATTGAATCATCGGATCTGGCCGAGAGCGGACAAGGCACGTGCCATTTCCAGCCCGGATTCCGCCGCACCGCCTCGATCCACCCATTGCTGCCTACGACCACGTCGGTTCTCTACTCGCATCCATCTCATCGACTCACTCAAAGACTCGGGTCGCGGACAAGGTGGGGTCACCGCGTGGCAACACGCACGGCGTATACCAGAGAGAAGTGCATTGCAAAAGTCCTGATCCAAACATCCTGCCCTTAGATTGGGAGTAATGACGCTCCGCCTCGCAGGATCATGCTCCCACCATACCGCAATGTGGTGGTGCCGCCGGGGAAGTATGCGGCCAAGTAAGTGATGAGCGCACCCACCTGGATCACGGCGAAGATGAGCGTGGGCAGCATCTTGCGTGGGCCGACGGCAAAGTAGATGGTGAGGGCAAGTGACGAAAAGTAGGCGATCGAGAACGGCAGTCGTTCTTTGCTGCAGATGTGCTTGAGATGCGCGAGCGGTCCCGAGAGTACCGAGAATCCGATCATGAACAGCATGCTGCCCAGCGAGAAGGCCAGCGCAAACTTTTGCGGTCGCAGCGCCAGGATGGGCGGCGAGAGGAAGATGAAGCTGAAGAAGAAGCACACAGCCGCGCCCGCGATGCACGCCAGGAAGCCCAGGAAGCGCTCCCATCGACTCAGGCTCAGGTACGCCTCTTCCTCGTTGGTGCGCTCGTTGGATCGCAACGGCACGTAGCCCGATATGCTGTTGGTGAGCGTCGACAGGTAGCTCGACGGCCCACTTGCCGCCTGCGGACGCGAGTCATCCGTCCGCCCTTGCGCCCATCGGAAGCCCGAGAGCTCGGAGCGGTAACTGGATTCCGTCGTAGCCATGATGTCTTAGGTTCAGATCCGAGCAGCGGCGGCAAGACCTGAAGGTGGGACGGTCTCGCTCTTCGTTAACTTGGCGCCAGGAACCGAATCCAAAGATGGCAGCGAAGAGTCGTCGTGAGTGGTCACGGAGTAGCCTTCAAGTCCGAGTACGCTTGTGGGATAGGTGAGTGTGCTACCTTACAAGTGGTGATGATGTTTGGCGTTGAACCCTGGCGTGACGCTCGGAGGTGTGTTGAAAGCGAGGTGTTGCGGTGGAGGTCGCCAGGCCGCGTGCGCAGCGTCACCGACAGACGTACGCGGTTCTCGTGCGAAAACAATAAATGCGCCGCGCTGGGCCTGCAAGAAGAAAAGCGAAAGGGCGAAAAAAGGTTCCTCGCGCTTCGAACACGACGGGCCGCCGCACCTCCGCTGGACTGAGCGGCAACTTGGCTCGGCCGTTCCGCTGGACAAGCAGAGGCGCGCTGCAAAGACCAACACATTCTCACTCGACAAGCAACGCACGCGGCAGTCATCCTTTCTTCCCGGACACCTCTGGCTCACCGTCACACCTTTCCGCCAACCATACCCAACTTGCGTGCGTTCGAGTAGGACATCGCCTCCTCGTACGCCTCACGAGTCCCACGCCATACGAGCGTAGCTCCCAACCCTTCAACCGCTTCAACCGCCCGACCATCGGCGATCGACAGCGCGCCCACACTTGCACCATGTCGGCCATCGAGCTCATCAACCCGCGCGCCGAGTCGGTGCGCCGCACCCAGGCGCTCCAGGTCAACACTGCCGGCGCCATCGGCCTTGCCCAGGTGGTGCGCTCCAACCTCGGTCCGCGCGGCACCATCAAGATGCTCGTCGACGGCTCGGGCAACCTCAAGATGACCAAGGACGGCAAGGTGCTCCTCACCGAGATGCAGATCCAGAACCCCACCGCCGCCATGATCGCACGTACCGCCGTAGCGCAGGACGAGCAGTGCGGCGACGGCACCACCTCCGTCGTGCTGCTCGTCGGCGAGCTGCTCAAGCAGGCCGAGCGATACATCCAGGAGGGCGTCCATCCTCGCGTCATCAGCGAGGGCTTCGACCTCGCCAAGACGGGCGCGCTCGACTTTCTCGAAAAGTTCAAAAAGAGCCCCGACATGGACCGCGCCACGCTCGTCAAGGTCGCCACCACCTCGCTCTCCACCAAGCTCCACTCGAAGCTCGCCACGCAGCTCGCGGCGGACATTGTGGACGCGGTGCTGGCCATCAAGCCCGCCACGACGACGACCATCGAGGCGCCCAAGCCCACCGCCGACGGCAGCAGCGAGAGCGTGAGCGAGTGGAACATCAAGGACCCCATCGACCTGCACATGGTCGAGATCATGAAGATGCAGCACAAGACCGACACCGACACGCAGCTCGTGCGCGGCCTCGTGCTCGACCACGGCGCGCGCCACGCCGACATGCCCAAGCGCGTCGAGAACGCGTACGTGCTCACGCTCAACGTGTCGCTCGAGTACGAAAAGACCGAAGTCAACTCGGGCTTCTTCTACTCGTCGGCCGAGCAGCGCGAGAAGCTGGTCGAGAGCGAGCGCAGGTTCGTCGACGCCAAGCTCAAGAAGATCGTCGAGCTCAAGCAGGCGGTGTGCGATGCGCCCACCGAGGGATCCAACGAGAAGAAGAAGAACTTTGTCATTTTCAACCAGAAGGGCATTGATCCCATGTCGCTCGACATTCTCGCCAAGAACGGCATCCTGGCGCTGCGCAGGGCCAAGCGCAGGAACATGGAGAGGCTCCAGCTGTGCTGTGGCGGTGTGGCGCAGAACAGCGTGGATGACCTCAGCCCGGACGTGCTCGGATACGCCGGGCTGGTGTACGAGCACACGCTGGGCGAGGAAAAGTACACGTTTGTCGAGGAGTGCCGCGATCCCAAGTCGGTCACCATCCTCATCAAGGGTCCCAATGCGCACACCATGACGCAGATCCAGGACGCGGTGCGCGATGGACTGCGCTCGGTCAAGAACGCCATCGAGGATGCTACGCTGATCGCGGGCGGTGGTGCGTTTGAGATTGCTGCATCCAATCATCTCACCACCACCGTTAAGAAGGCTGCCAAGGGACGTGCCAAGCTGGGTGTGCAGGCGTTTGCCGATGCCATGCTCGTCATCCCCAAGACGCTCGCTGCCAACTCGGGATTCGACGTGCAGGATGCGCTGGTGGCACTGCAGGACGAGGTAGCGGAGGGCAACGTGGTCGGGTTGGACGTCCAGACGGGCGAACCAATGGATCCAGTCTCGCTCGGAATCTGGGACAACTACAGGGTCAAGAGACACATGCTCCACAGCTCCGCCGTCATCGCCTCCAACCTGCTCAGCGTCGACGAAATCCTGCGCGCAGGAAGAAGCTCGCTCAAGTCCGAAGCGCCCATGGGCTAAAGATCTTGGCCAGTTTCCTCGTTCAGTTGACGTTCAGTGTAAAAATACAAATGCCCAATTCCCACTCATAGCGTTGCGTCACTGTGCGATTGTTGGTGAGATCCGGTCTGGATTGATTGTGTATGCAAAATGGTGTGAAGCAAGGCGAGGCTTTTTAGTGCGTGGAAGTTTCCTTGGGTGTAGGCGGATGCAGTTCGTCAAAGTGCACTTCGAGGAATCCCTTGACGGCCTCGTAGGTCAAGAACGACGTCCCGATGCTCGGCGCCACCTTGAGCAGGTTGGGTAGCAGGCCCCTGTAGAGGCCCGTGATGCCTTCGGCCTTGAGGATGTTCTGGATGGCGTTGATGGCGTTCTTATCCTTGTACCCAAGCCTTTCCTGGCTGTCCTTCATACCTGCCACCTGCATCCTTCGGCGCAGTACGTCGAGGGGATACGTGACGGTCTGCGAGATCGAGCCGGCGAGTGCACCGCATGCGAGCTTCATCAGCGCCGAAGGCTCTGACCCGTCGAGCGGGGTGATGCGCTTGCGTGCGGCTTCGTAAAAGTAGAAATTGAGCGCCACGTACGGAGCGACGCCGATCGAGGTAGGTACGCAGCCGCGATACAGGCCGCGCAGCCCTCCTTCCTCGCGGTACACTTTCGAGGTCATCTGCCAGATGCCCGGCACTGCCTTTTGGCGCGCCGCGATCTGTTCCCTCAGCACCTCCTGCGACACCTTGGCACTGACTTGCGAAGTCGCCTCGCTCTTGGCCTCGTTGTACATGTTGGCAGAGGCGATGCTGATCCTCGAACGCACCAGGTCCAGCGGATAGGTCGACACCACACTCGCGATGCCCGCCACGGCGCCTGCGCCGAGCTTGCGCACAACGTCGAGGTCACCATCGCCGTTGCGCAGCCACGACTTGCAGAGCTCGTAGGTGGTGAACTGGACGGCCGAGTAAGGCGCGATGCGCAGGCAGTTGATGCCGTTGCCGCGCATGAAGCCTGCAAATCCTTCCTCCTGCCACATTTTGACCAGCCCCGTCCAGACGCCTCCGTACGCGCGATTCTTGGCCGTGGACGAGAGCTTGCCTTTCGCTGAAGAGGCGGCTTTGGACGATTGCGGTTGCACCTGCATGATGATCTTGAGCCGCTCGAGGGGCGAGACGACAGTGCGCGAGGTGGCGCCCGCAGCACCGCCAGCGACAAAGTAGGTGATCAGAAACGCGTGGTTCGTTGCTGTGTGTGCATGGTGTTCGCCTTCGTCCTCGTGCTCGTCTTTGTATGAGGAGCTGGAGACGGTGGATGTGTAGGAGGGGGTGGTGGTGGAGCTGTCGGAGCTGTGGACCTGTTGGTAGGCACGGGCACGAGCAACCTCGGTCGGGTTGCTGATTGCCGCTGCTGTGGACGCGGATGCTGCGGTAGTGCGTGCACCGGGGGAGAAGCGCGCTATTGGGGGCGTGTCGAGCTTGGGTGCTGCTTGCGAGACGAGTGAGGCTGCGGTGTCGAGGAAGCTCTCGAGTGTGGCTGCCGACGTGGATGCCTGGCTCGAGCGGGTAAGCCCGGCCCACGACGCCGAATCTGCTGCGACCATGGTGCCCGCACTATGCTGCTGCTGCTGCTGCTGCTGCTGCTGCTGCTTGCTGCTGCTGGATGGAAAGCAGTGCGATGCGCGCTATGATAGCATGGCAAGATCCCGTATGGACACGCAGGACGGAGATGCCGAGGTGAATGTGACGTTCGAGTTGGGTGGAGGAAGGCGTGGGAAAGAGCCCAATTGAGTTGCACTTCGGATCGGCGTGACTCGTCGGAAGTGACCGGTTAGGCACGCGCTTGGCTCGCTCGGGGCTTGGCCGAAGAAAGGGCGCTTTGGGCCTGTGTGGCTGTTTTTTCTCCGAAAATGCGGGAGCGGCAAGCTGCCGTCAACCGTCGCCGTTGAATGCAGTGCGCTGCAAACCCTGTGACCACACAAAGGGTTGCGCTCTCAAACACGACAAGGTAGCCAAAGCCGTTGCTGGTACTCTTGCGTGCGTACGAGCGACCGTTGCTGTGGGCCGGGATCGATACCTTTTGCTTTGCGCACCGGTAACGCAGCGTCGTGTTGCTGTTGTAATCCTTTCTTGGTCGACGCAGCGAGATGTGCGGTTCGGCTTGATGCCCCGGTCAAGCGTTGAGAGGACGAAAGAGAAGCGATCCTGCGACCAGGTCGAATGAAAGGACGCAACGGAGTACAGTGGACGCAGCAATCGGTCGGACGAGCCTGTATATATTCGAACGCGGGCTGAAGTACTACCCTCTTTCACTCGGCTCTGTGCCGCTTGGCCCGGCCATGATGCGCAAGAGCTGCGTTTCTGTGGAACATGATCGTCATGCCATGCCACGGCCCCCGGCCCTCGCTTCTCGCTTCTCCGGCTGTTGTGCGGGGGCCCAGCAGAGCCCGGTGTCACACCTGAGCCAGCACACCTGGCGAACAGCGACATCCGCCGAGTCGTTGAAAGCCCACGTCGGAACCTTCTCCACATTTCGCACCCGCCGTTCCCTCCCGACAGCGCGCCGCTACCCGAATCGCCGATTTTGACCAAATCCTTCCTAATTGCACCGATATCGGGCTCTCTCTACATCTCACTGTCTTAGTCTGCCCCACATACGGCGGTCTTTGTATTCAGGGCTCATCTCGAACATGCACACTCACAGCCGCACGGAGGTGGTTTTCGCATGTGAGAAGTTTCGCTATTGCACGAAACTACTGGATAGTCTTTCGACCGAGGTTTTGGGTTGTGGGTGAAGTACAAGCGATGGCAGATGCATCAACGAGAGAGAGCGCAAAGAAAGGGTGGTGGGAGGCGCATATGCAAGAAGAAGAAAAAGTCGAGAGCCAGTGATATCCAAACACGACGACACCATTAGATGTAGGTGTCGTAGGCCTGGGGAGCGAGGGTCTCGGGGGTGTTGTTCTTCATCGAGAGAGTGTGGGCAACACGGGGAGCAGCGGGCAGACGCTTGAGCTGGACGCGCTCGCCCTTGGCCTTGGCCTCCTTCTTGAGCTCGGCGTTGCGCTTGACACGCTGCAGGAAGTCGTCACGGCACTTGGAGTGCTTGACGTGCTCGATGCGCACGTTGACGCGCTTCTCGATGTATCGGTTGCCGACCACCTTGTAGATGATCACACCAACGGCACGGGGAGCAACGTTGAACACAACACCGGTGCGGCCGTGGTAGTACTTGTGGGGCATGCCCTTCTGCTCGGCGGCGTTGGCCTTGATGTCGACAATGTCACCGGCGTGGAAGGGACGCAGGTAGGTCGACAGCTTAATGGGACCATGCTGGCGGAACTTCCTCGCGAAGAGGTGGCGCGTGCGGGCCCTGTAACCGAAAGAGTGCTGTGTTTTGGTGATGCCAAAGTGCGGAAAGGGGTCAGTACGAGACCACAGTGATGTGAAGGAGTCACAAAGATGCAAATGCCATCCTCGCATCGACGTCCTGTCGAAGTGCCGGTACGGTGGTGCTAGTAGAGTTTGTCGGTAGCTATCGCCATGATGTTGTTGCGATAGTTGCAGAAATGCGAACAGTGCTGCTTGCACAGGGCATGCACAGGGCAAAGAGGTGGCAGTGTTGTCCGCGTGCGAGCGTGTTGTTGGGTGCAAATGACGGCGTGATATAGGCTGGAGACACAGGGACGCTAGGGCAAAACGTTTGCACGAATCACCTGCTGCAACGATGCGATGTGTCACGACTGCGAAGGCGGATGTCTATTCGAGGCAATGTGGCGATGCATGTGAAGAATGCTTCGATGGTACCGGAAGTGCTCGTGCCGCATGGACATGACGCTGAGCCGTTCTGAAAGCATGAACATGCAGAAACGGCGATGCTGAAGCATGTGGCAATCGCGACATGGCCGGAATACCAATTGTCCATGCTGGCTCCAACGCCATCTATCGTCCTGCGATCCTCCATCAATCCAGCCCCGCCACTACATCTACGCTGCAGTCGCTTCGCCGTCCGGATTCCTCTTTATCGTCCTGATGGTCGGTGACGGTCTCCGGTAAAAGATGATCACAATAACGACATATCTGACGCAGGATATGCTGTTCTGCGATGGATCATGCCTGGATGCTCTTATGCTTCTTTGGATAGTCGGCTGCTGTGTTGGGTATCTGGCTGGATGCTGGAACTTGTCGATGCGGATCGGCGTCGTGCGGCCGTCGATGATGCGAGGATTGACATGGCATCGATGCATGTTGTCGCATCAACTTACAGGCATTGTGACTTAATGATCTCTTGAGGTGATGATGGTGACGAAGAAGATGTTGCCCGCAGCTACCTCCAATCGCTTTGCACTGGCGCACGCACTGGAATCGCCTCAACTTGCCTCAGAGGACTGCAGGCCAGTCTCTCGCAGCCCTTGGCCCTCCAACTTCTGGGCGGCCCCTCGTTGCGCTCGCAGACTCGACACCGACGCCCGGAGCCGTTTGGACCTGTCGCTGCTGTCCTCCTCTTCCAGCACCTCTGAGGGCTGCCTGTGGTCTGTAGCCGCGATTCTCAGTCGCAGGCCAGAGACTGCCCCGCCGCTGCCTCTCTGTGGCCCAAGTCGAAATTGGAGGCTTGATTTCAGGCAGCGGATGCAAAGTCGAAAGCTCGGCCGAAGTCTGAATTTTCTCTTCATCGATCACGTGCCACGCTCTGCACCTCGAAATTTCGCCCTCTAGCCTAGCCAGGTTTCGCACTGCCGGTTCGCAACCACAACTCGAAGTCCCGCACTGGAGGGAGCAGGCCACGGGGGCAGAGCGAGTGGCAGCCAGCCGCGCCATGAAGACTGAGAAGACTTGGACCAGTCTCAACGCGACCCTCGAGGCGGAGAGGGAGCAGACAGGCTACGAGGCAGCAGTCGCTGATCTCGAGGCCCAGGCAGCGGCGTCGGCGTGCGGATGTGCGTGCAAGCCAGCAAGGTCTAGTCGCCAGAAGCTCGAGCTCACCATTGCCTTCCCGTCTCTCACCATACCCATCAAGGTAAGTCGCACCGATCCCATGCGGTCGTGTGCTCGAGATATGCCCATGGTGGCCTCGATCCAAGCATCCCGACACATGCCGACAATGGCACCAACGCCAGCAGCGACAACGAAAGAGTATCCGACACGATGATGATCCGACGCCAAAGGGCGCAACCTTCAGCATTGCAGCACCGCCCATTTCAGCATACAATCACGAACACCACTCATTATGGAACAATGTCTGCAGCACATCGTCGTCAGCTACCACCTGCGAGCAGGCCCCTCGTCGCTCTCAGTGTCAGACCTTCAACACGTTGAAGGAGAGGTTTGCCGAGTGCAGCCAGCACCACGCGCATAGCATTGGCCAAGCAGCATCGCAAGACCAGCATCTCTTCGCATACACGTCGACCAGGATGCTCTGCACGACGCATCTGCAGTCGTTCTCTAGATACACCGACGCATCAGCCGTTCTCAGTCTTTTGCCGACCAATTCTCGACACGTTACCAGCATCTCAGGTTCGACCCCAGCCGGCAGGATGTGAACTGGCTCTACATCAAGAGTCTGTGCCTCGGGAACGGACAGTGGTCGCCGGATTGTCGCAATCCGGTGCCTGCTTGCCGTTTGTCTGGGATGAGGACGCTAGAGCCAGGATCTTTCCCTGCCATCCCGACGCTGATCACTACTACCGCAGCATCATCATCGTACTCTTTCCTTGTTTGTTCCGGCACCAAGGGTGACTTGATCGAGGCAACCTAGCATTTCAAGAGCTTTGACCCTCGCATGCACAAATAGGCATCTACAGCCGTCGTCAGCCCAACTTCGATACTGACCACGCTGTTGCCCGCCCTTGTTTTGATCCGGCTAACTCTCGTTCTCTCCTCGCTCAGACAAGATGCCTCGTGCTCCTCGTGCCCACTCCAAGACCGCCAAGGTTCCCCGTCGTCCCTTCGAGTCGGGTCGTCTCGACAGCGAGCTGAAGCTCGCTGGTGAGTACGGTCTGCGCAACAAGCGTGAGATCTGGCGCATTGCCCTCACTCTCTCCAAGATCCGTCGTGCGGCTCGTGAGCTGCTCAAGCTCGACGAGAAGGACCCCAAGCGTCTGTTCGAGGGTAACGCCATCATCCGCCGTCTGGTGCGCATCGGTGTGCTCGACGAGACGCGCATGCGTCTCGATTACGTGCTCGCGCTCAAGATCGAGGACTTCCTCGAGCGCCGTCTGCAGACCCAGGTGTTCAAGAGCGGCCTCGCCAAGTCGATCCACCACGCCCGCGTGCTCATCACCCAGCGCCACATCCGCGTCGGCAAGCAGATCGTCAACGTGCCCTCGTTTGTCGTCCGCCTCGACTCGCAGAAGCACATCGACTTTGCCCTCACCTCGCCCTACGGTGGTGCCCGCGCCGGCCGTGTCAAGCGCAAGCGCGCTGCCGCCGCCGCCGCTGCCGCTGGTGGTGACGACGCCGAGGAGGAGGAGGAGTAATTTACTTGCCCTTCCCCTCTAGCTTCGTCATCTCTTTGCGCTTCGTCCCCACCTACATCCCATCCCGCAACGATGCCCGTCGCCATTTCGGCGCGGTGATGGCTAGTCAGCCTTTCAGCCGTCGCAGCGTCGGACTGTCGGCGACCACGGCCTCTCGCACCCCACACATGCACACACACACACACATCTTTCATGTTGTATTTTTTTCCATTCTCTTCCCAAAAAAGAGAGCCCGACAGACGGCGCTACTGCGCTGTCGGTCCATCCTCATCCCCCCCACATATCACACCAAAAGAAAGGCAATTCACAGGTTCTTGCTTCCCACAACGTCGTCTGAGGGTGCAGTCACATGTTTGAAGCGGAGATTGATGATATTGTTATTGAGTGTAGGTCATGCGTCGAGTTGGAACTCGACGATTTCGGCGTAGACTTCCTGCATGAGATCTGCCAAGTCGGCCCTTGTCTGTTTGACTTGTGCATCGAGCGAGTGTATTGACTGTCTTGCCTCGTCGTCGTCTGTCTGTGTGGGATTGTCGGTGTTGGGTTTGAGCACCGACTTGCGCAGCTGGTCTCGTTGGACGGTGGCTCGGAGTAGAGCGTTCTCGCGCGTCTGGATGCGGTCTACGAGCGTGGCGAGCTGCGGTGCGGACGAGTGCGCGAGTTCGGTCTGGATGGTGCGCAGGCGGTGGCCGCACTCGATGAGCGCCTGTGTGGTGATCTGCAGAATCTGCGCAAGCAGCTCTTCCGTCAGCGGCACCGTTGTCGTGCTGCACCCCGCACATCCCCGACCCCCATTCGCAGCTCCATTCGAGCCCACCGCATCGAATTCGTGGTCAACAGGTGGAGGTGTGGGGTTCTGAGATCCGTTGACGGGTCCGGACGTTGAGGTGGAGGAGAGAAAGGTGTCGAAGGCATCGTCGTATTCGCGCCAGACGCTGATGCGTCGTTCTTGCACCTCTTTCACCGCACGCAGCAGATCGAACGGCGTCGATCCGGACGCTTCATCTCCTGGCGCATGAGATGTACCGTTGCTTGTTGGTTCTGGCATCTTTGCTATGAAGCCGAGGCGGTGAGTTGATCGAGGAGCGTCGTTGAGCGGCGTCGTGAGGGAGGGTGAGGGTGAAAGGGGGTTTGGTCCGAGTGGAGGCGGACGCAGCTTCTTCGCGAGCGGAGGTGATTATGTCACGCTGACCACTCCACACGCGACTGGGCGCAAAAGGGTGTGGAGTTGGCCGCCGCCGCTTCTGACAGTTGGCACTCTCAACACCTTCTGCTGCTCCCGTCCACTCCACCCTTGTTCACGTCGACCTTGCAGCTGCCATCTCACGCACACCGGTATCAGTGCGAAAGCTCGACACAACAGCGCAACGCACAAGGCTTTTCAGCAGCTCCCATATTCACACGTCACACAGCCGTAGGCATGTCAGAAAGAGTAAGTCCGCATCCTACCGATTCCTGGGATCTTTTCGCATCGACCCCTTGCTGACTCTAATCTCTCCACGGGCTCTTCCGGACTATGTTCTCGTTCGCTGCAGGGGCGAGGGGGACGAGGCGGTGCGCCTTCACAACGCGGTGGACCGCGCGGCGGCGGCGGTCGCGGCGGCAACTCGGGCGGCCGGGGCGGCGGACGTGGCGGCCACAACTCGTCGGAGCGCCCGGCATCGGAACGTCCCAAGAAGGAAGCGATCCTCGACCTGACCAAGTACATCGACACCAAGATCCGCGTCAAGTTCGCCGGCGGCCGCGAGGTGTTTGGCGTGCTCAAGGGGTTCGACCAGCTCATGAACCTCGTCATGGACGACGTGCACGAGGCGCTCCGCGATGCCGACGGCAACGTGGGCGAAAAGACGCGCAACCTGGGTCTGGTCGTATTGAGGGGTACCGCACTCACCGTCATCAATCCAGCAGACGGATTTGAGTCGATCGAAAAGTAAGTCGCATCGAGACTAAAAGGATGTTGGACATAAGCGCTGACTGGAATTTTGTCGAATCGTTGCGTCTCATACAGCCCGTTCGCACAAGCCGAGTAGAGCTTTGACATGCACGCGGTAGGCATTGCGAATGGCACAGAAAAAGCTTACAAACCCGGTTTCGAGCGGCATGAACAACGGCAGTGGTGCTCAGCACCAAAAGCAACGAGACCCGAGAGACTGTACAGATGGAGAGAGTCTAGGCACGAAGCTGCTTCCAACCCGGTGCATCGAGGACGTACCCGTCACGAGGCTCGCCACTGACTCGATGCGCGACGTCGATCTTGAGATGCGACCTGGGATCCCATGTGGGCACCTCCTGCTCGGCGTCACCCAACATCCACACGCTGACGGCGAGGATATTGTCACCTCTGTGGTTGAGCACGCCGCTGTGCACGGGAAACACGGTCTGAGGACCGAGCGCATTGACGAACTTGCCCATCTGCCAGCCATTGACGTACAGCTGTGCACGCAACTCCACCCCGGGCAAGGTGGCGAACACGAAGCTGACGCCGACATCCGAATCTTGCGGCCCATTGAGCTTGAAGGAGGTTCGGTACATTGTGACTCTGCCCCTCTGGTGCGTGAGTGTGTTGTGCCAGGTGGAGGCGTCGTAGCCGGGTAGATGCCAGCCTTGCACTTCGGCGTGCAGGCCGCCTTCGTTGAGACTACGACGCACCGTGTCGCGCGCCTGCTCGCCGCCCAGATTGCCCTGCACTCTCCACGTCACTTTCGGCTCGGGGCGCGAGGCGGTACGGAGCGAGGGGAAGTTGAATGCCACAATGCCGCGCGGCAGCTTGACGGCTTCCAGCCCGCGCTGCTCTTGGAGGCCGATCGGCAGCTCGCCGGCCTCCATCTCGATGCCCATGTGGTCCTGGAGCACCGTCAGCACGTTGTCCCCCGAGGTCTGCAGTGCATTGCTAGGAAGCGAGAACGTTGCACCCGCAGCCGACTTTTCTCGATCCGCCGCAGCGCTGCCGAGATACACGCCGTTGAACCACACGCTGAATGCCGATGAGCGTCCGCCTTCCACTCGGACGTGCACGTCGCATGGCGCATCTTGCGTGTGGTCGGGCGTGGCAAAACGTCCTCGCCATACGATGTTGTTCGCATGGAAACCGTATTCGCTCGCAAACAGAATCGCGCCTTGCGTGTCGAGCGAGGGATCGCGCGTGTACGGGTTGGCAGACTGGGTCTTGTTCGCCTGCACCCACGTGCTGTCGTCAAACGCAGCGGAAGCTTCGGGCATCGAGTCGCGCCACCTCCAATCGAGCTGGTCCGACCGCGGTGGAGACCATTCCAGTGCGGCCCGAGACGGACCGGGTAGGTGGATGCGGTAGAACCGACGACTGACCTCGTCCGCCTGCGCATCGATGCGCTCGCCGTTCCAGTAGACGTACTTGAGGTCCGGCAGCGCGTTGAGTGCCGTGTGACTCTCGTGGGACAGCGAACCGCACAGGTACAGCGTATCGAGCGGCGAATCGGTCGAGGCGTACGTCGCGTTGCGCAGCATGTCGACGTGCATCACCACTACGCTGTCCTCGCTGTGCCCGAAGAAGCGAGACACGAGGCCGGAATCAGGGCGATGCAGCGACAGCCCGGCGCGGCCCGACGTGTAGCGCGCAGGTACCGAGAAGAGGCCGCTAGTAAGTGCGGTCTCGCTGAACATGATGATGATCCACGCCGCCTTGGCCGTGCGATACACTACGTAGCGGTCGTTCGCTTCGCCACTCGACATGCGCGCTCGAATGTTCGTCGGATCCGACTGAATGTCAGAATGCATGGCGACGAACGTGTCCCACTCGCCGTTCTGAATCTCTTGAATCCCGGCTTCGGATACACGCAAGAGGTGCATGCTTTCGATGTAATCGTCTTCGCTTGTCGCGAGTGAATACTCGACCAGCTGGCCGGGCGTCCAGTCGAGCGAGATGAGCAGCGCATCGCCGATCGTCGTGACGAGGTTGACATTGGCGGTGCACCAGCGCATCACCAGTCCGCCGGGTAGCTGCTGATCCACGGGGATAATATGGCTGTCCCTCCCGGCAAGGAAGTTGACCCCAATGCGCTTCTCCACCTCTTCGTCCTGTCGTGCGCCGATCACCTCAGTCTTGCCCTGGGAGACGAAGTGGAGCGCAAAGCGCGTGCGGCGCGACACGGACGTATCGTTGTGCCGCACCACGTAGAACCTGCTCTTTGTCTGCGGATTCTCCAGCACCGTCGTCCTGATCGACGCCGCATCAACGCTGACACCCTCGTCGTCGAGATCACCCACCTGCGAGATATTGAGCCCGGGCTTGTCGGCGATCTGCTCCGTCATGGCCAGATCCGGAAAGGCGGCGATAAAGCCCGCCTGGCGCTTGAGTTCAGCGTACTTGTCGTTGGGCTGGCGATGCTCGTTGAGCGCGGCGCCGTAGTCGTACGAGCTATACACGTCCGGCTCGGCGAGTCCGCCCCAGTTGGTCCCGCCATACACCATGTATAGCGAGAGCAGCGTGACGCGCTGTGCGATGAGCGCCTGGTTGGCGACGCGCGTAAAGCTGGCGTTGGTCATGCGCGCACACGCCTCGTACCCCGGCCCGGCGTAGGGATCGTAGCTGCCCGCCTGGAACTCCGGGATGTAGAACGGCTGGTCCGGGTTGGTGTCCATGTGGTACTGCAGGTAGTCGTCGCGCATCGGCACCCACGTCTCGGGATGCGAACAGTCGAAACGCTGCGGATACGAGTCGAGACCATACAGATCCACCAGGTCCACAAAGTTTTGTTCGCGACCAGGGTCATTGTACGTGATCGGCACGGTGATGCCGTTCTCCTTGAGCGCGGCGACAAGTTCCATCATATATGCGCGCTCGGCCTTGCCCGTCTTGTACTCATTGTCCGCCTGGACCAGGATCACGCTGCCGCCATGCAGCTCGTCAGGCCGCGAAGCGTCGTGTACAAGCTGGTGCTTGACGACGACGCGCGAGATCGCGTCGATGTAGGGTCTCCAAGCCTCGCGCCACGCAGTATCGTTTGTACGCAGCACCGCATCCAGATTCACCGTCCAAGGTGCCATGCCACCCACCGTCGTCTCGGCGTTGATGTACGGACCCGGACGCACGATCACAAACAGCCCTACCTCTTTCGCGAGCGCGAGGAAGAAGTCGAGATCATTGACGCCCGTCAGGTCGATCGTCTCTGCATCCGGCGAGGGCTGGATGAGTCCCCAGTGCGTATAGATCGACACCGTGTTGAAGCCCGCCGCGCGGATCTTCTGCAGCACATCGCGCCACAGGCTGGGTACGGGCAGACGCCACGGGTGGAACTCGGCCGCAAGCACAAAGAGCCTCTGCTGACCCGCGCCCAGCGCTAAGCTGTACTTGTCGAATACGACGGCCGTGTTGTTGCTGCCGCGAGGAAGTGTCCATTTCGTCGCGGGTGCAGTCGCATGCTGCGGCTGCGTCGAGACGGAAAAGGGAATCTGCGCCGCTCTTGTCCCCAAAGGGTGCGGAAGCAGCGCAAGCCCCCACGCAAGACAGCCCCAAAAGGCCGCAGTCGAGACCCTCATCCTAGAGCGTGTGCCTCCGTCGAGACGAAATCAGTCCTTGAGCCGAGCGCCGAGAGAGCCCGGTCGTATGGATGAGGTCGAGACAAGAGGCAGGATGCGAGGCCCCGCTGAACCGTGCGTTTTGTGGAGGGAAGCCGTCAAAAAGCGCACCAACACGCGCCCGCTTCGATGCGTGATGCGCTCGCATCTCGCTCCGCCGCATGGCGTCTCATTGCCGATGCTCGATCCGATCGTCGGCTTTCTCCTACGTCTCAATCGACCCTCTGCTCATTCCAAGCTTCAGGACGGCAGCCAAATTCAAGCTTCACGTCCTCCCTCGCCCACTTCGTCAAAGGTCCTCGCCATAGTCGCATCTGTGCGCCGGTTGGTCGGCTGGTTCTATGAGATGTGCACTTGATTAATCCATATGGCACCAGGGACGTGCGTGTTGAGGTTGTGTGTATATTACAACGACGCCGGAGAAGAACGACAGGGGGATGAAGAAATGAGGGAAGTGATGGTAGGCATGCTAGGGCGGTGCTGTGCAGGCTGCCGCGTCAGCTGGACGAGAATGTGAAGACGGCGGTGGCCGCACGTAGCTGCTGCAGACGAGATTGCGGGCCCTAGCTCTGACGGCCCAGCCGTTGGTGGTGGAAGCCGCGGCTGCGCGTGCTCAGTTGTTGACGGGCGGGACGGGACCCTCGTCCTGGCCCGAGTTGTCGATGTTGTGGAAGTCGAGGATCTCCGAGTACATCATGACCTTCCAGGTGTCTACGGGCAGGTCGGCGTCGTTGAAGGACCAGTCGAAGGCCTCTTCGGCCTCGGGCTCGTCGGTGGGGTCGTGGTAGGGTGCGAGGTAGGGATGCGCGAGCGCCTCTGCGGCGCTGATGCGTGTTCTCGGGTCGAAGACGAGCATCTTTTCGAGCAGATCCAACGCCATGGGGTCTGCGTTTTTGAACTTTTGCGAAAAGGGCACGCGCTCGCGCTTGGGCAGCGACTGTACGAAGCGCAGCGTGTTTTCGGAGCAGATGGTCTTGATGACCTCGTCTGGTGGTGTGCCGAGGAGCTCGGTGATGATGGAGAACTGGTTGACGTGGTCCTTGCCCGGGAAGAGCGGCTTGCCCTCGAGCATCTCGGCAAAGATGCATCCGGCGCTCCAGACGTCGACGGCGACGTCGTACTTTTGCCAGGTGAGCATGATCTCGGGCGCGCGGTAGTAGCGCGTGCTGACGTAGCCGGTCATCTGCGGGTCCTGGATTCGTGCCAGACCAAAGTCGCAAATCTTGAGATCGCAGTTCTCATTGACGAGGATGTTGCTTGGCTTGAGATCGCGGTGGACGACGCCTGCCGAGTGCACGTACTTGAGGCCACGGAGGATCTGGTAGAGGAAGTACTGGATGAACTGTTTTTCGAGCGGACGGCTTGTGAGGAGGCGGTGGAGGTCGGTGCCGAGGAGTTCGGTGACAAAGTAGATGTCCTCGAGGGGCGAGATGAAGATGTCGCTAAGGCTGATGATGTTCTCGTGGCGGATGTGTTTGAGCAGCTTGAGCTCGCGGTAGGTGCGCTTGGAGAGGACGGGGGTGGAGAAGGGCTTCATGATCTTCTTGATGGCGACCGAAGTGTTGGTGAGCTGGTCGTTTGCGGAGCAGACGAGACCGAAGGCGCCCATGCCTACGGGTTGGAGGTCGACATAGCGGGTGGTGACCTCGAAGACGGTGCCGAAGATGGAGAGCTTGACAAAGTCGGCCATGTTGGAAAGACGGAGCTACGGAGGAGCAAAGCGAACGTGAGGGATGCGGACCGACGGTGGCTTATGCGGCAGTGCGGGAGGATTGTCTACAAAATGCGGACGTTGGAGGTGACCGAAACGAGACCGGAGTAGGCTTGCTGAGCTGCGGATGCAGATGCGGCTACGTAGATGCGCTACTTTTTCGCTGGACGGGCTTGGATTTTGACGCAGTAGCGACGAGCGGATGGATGCACAGAGCAGTCTGTCGGAAAGCGATGCAGCTAGCAGGATGAAGCTAATGCCTTGATTCGATGCGTCGACGAGAGAGCGAGGATCGAGCGAGATGGACGCGAGGCAGCGAAGAGGAGCGCGCGAGGAGGATGGGCTCGGAGAGGTAGAAGGACCACAAGACGAGTCTCAGCTAAGGCAGACGGGTGATGATGGTGCGGGATGAGAGATGTGTTGGTGGTGGTGGAGGAGGCGAAAAGAAACGCGCGGCGAGAGGCAGGCAGGCAGGCGCGGGGACGGGGGGCGAGGGCCACGGCGAGGGGGACGAATGAGTGCAAGCGAGACGGCACGTAAGCCAGAACGGCGAGGGCTGGCTGGCGTCGACAGGTCAGCGCGAGGACGAGCAACAGCCAAAGGCGAGCCAAGTTGAGCCAAGCCAGCCAAGAGGGATTTGAGCGATTCGAGGGATGAGCCGACTCTCTCTCACACTCTGCGCTCGGTCTGTGCAGTGGAGTATGCAGCCTGCCAGTTGGAGTCCAGCTGAGCCTGGCCGAGCACTGGCCCACTCGGTCAGATTTGTCGGTCATCGAGCCGCGCTCACTGCTGGGACGCCCGAGCCACACTGTCCAGACTCGCGAATAAAAACACGCTGCTGACCCACTCGTTTTCAGCCCTCCGCAAGCAACAACCGCCCTTTGTCGACTTGCATTCACTTGACTGCGCTGAGCCACGCGCCATCTCGAGCCATCTGGAGCCATCTCGAGCCATTCGGATGCTGCGCGAAAGATGAAGTGATGCAGAGCCTTGGGGCGACGACGCGCTTTGCTCGCATTCAAGGGCCCAGTGCGAGACAATAGGGCCATGCGATGGAGAGATGCATGGGGACGCTCGACAGACGGAAAAGGGATGACCGTCCGGAAGTGCACTCGTTGGCCGCTGCTGAGCAGTCCAACAGGTCGGATTTCAATTTTGCTGATTTGGAGAGAAGCGTCTCGTGCCTTGCCCGTGCCTCACTGCGCGTCGGAGCAGAGACGAGCAACTCTGTCGGATGTAGCCAGGATCGCCCGCCCGTCTCTGCCTTGCCGTCCTGTTCTAGCTCCCGAAACCTAGACGGACCAGCACAATGCTGCTTTGCTGCACTGCTTGGCATATGCATCCACACTGTTGCTCAAACATAAGTAACAGACGCAAAGGAACAGCTCGAGCTTCGACGAGCGGCCTTGTTGGTGACAACTGAAAGGCGCACTTTTGGCGAGGTTGACAACGGGCGAGGGTCCAACATGAAGCGCGGGCAGAAGCGAGCCCAATTCAAGGGTTCTCAGGAAGACTCCAGCTCGCCTTCTCCATAGCCCCAACGCGTCGCCTTTGCCACCGAACCACTGTAGCTGAGACAGGTGCTCATTACGACAGAGCGTTGAGTCGAGTCGAGTCGAGTCGAGTCGAGTCGCCACTCCGCTCAGAGCGTGCGCGTCCCGCCAGAGTGTTGCGGCTCTGCCGATCCTGGAAGCGTCGGCGGGTGCGCATCGTCGACAGCAGATGGATGGCGTCACTCTGCTTGCGCCTCGGCCACGCATCGCAGCCGCACAAACAAGGCGGCGCGCCATCCGAATTTCGAGGCTGGCGATCGGCAGCTGCACCCTTCTTTCCGCGCATCGCTTTGCCAGATCCGGGCTTCGATTTCGCCTCTCGTGCGTGTGGCGATATTTGCGGGGGATTCGGAACGTGGAAGTTGGACGCCGCCTCGTCCATCGCATCAGCATCGGGCGGCTCGTAATCTGACACTGAGTAAGTTCGCGCCGCGTTCGGGCCGTGGAGGCGCAGCTGAGCTGCAGCGCACGGTTGCACCTCTGCTCGCCCCCACACGCTGCTTGCACGCCTATGAGCTGCATCCCTGCGGATCGGCAGAAGGAGTCTTTCTTTCCATCCCACATCCCTCATCTCCGCTCCACACGCTCCCCTAATCTTCACAGCTCTATTGTTCTCGCCGTCAAACCGTCCAAGGAAAATAGGCTACTGCCACCAGCCCGTTCATCTCGGCCACGATCACATCCCTCCAACACTCATTCCAACATCGGACCTCTCTCTCTCTCCCGAGTTCCGCCGGTCCAGCTTCGTCGGACGTAGACAGCAGCGGCGTGGCTCCTCGTCCTCTTCTTCACATCCTTGCATCTAGCTAGATAGCCCTTCCGGATGGCGGAATCCAACCCCGGCGCCGCGTTTGCGCCCAACGCCTATGCAAACGCCTTTGTCGCCGCCAAACCTCGCGATGCGGCCAACCTCGTACAGCAGAGGCTGCGCAAGGCGAAGCTCTTCAACGAGGAGCTCGCAGACTACTTTGCCGCGCGCCGCGAACTCGAGGAGACCTACCTCAAGCAGCTCCAAAAGATCTCGAAACGCAGCTTCCTCTCCGACCCGTCCTCCATCCCGCCTGGCTTCGCGCCCGTCTACGAGCGCCTGGTGCAGGAGCTGGCGGAAGTAGCAAGCGCGCACGGCGAGCTCGAGAAGCGCATCGCCGAAGACTGCGAGGCTCCCATCCGCAACGCCAGCTCCAAGGGCGAGTGGAGCCGCATCAAGGACCACGACGACTCGCTCGCCAACACGCTGCGCGAACTCAACTCGCTCGAATCGCAGCTCCAAAAGGATCAGAAGAAGCTAGAGACCGCTTCGTCCAAAAAAGCCTCCCAGGCCAATGCGAAGCTGAGCGAGACCGAGCGCTCCATCGCACAGACCATGGAGCTCTGGGAGACCGAAGCGCCCTTCGCCTTCGAAGCCTACCAGCGCATCGATGCGCAGCGTCTCGAGCTGCTCAAGGAGACCGTCGCCAAGTTCGAGACCGCACAGAGCGATGCCGCCCAGCGCATCATGTCGAGCTCCGAAAAGACCATGCAGCAGTGCCTCTCCTTTGATACCCAGGCTGACATGCAGGACTTTATCCTCAAGAACGGCGTGCTCGGTGCCGACGCCACCGCACGCAACGGCAGGAGGCCCAGCGCACGTCCGCCCACCACGTCTTCCATCACCACTGGTCTCAATCGGCAAAACTCGGTGGCTGGTCGCAGCATCAGCAGCCGCACGGGCGCAGACTCGTCGATGCGTGCACCTGCAGGACGCACCAACGGCACAGGCATGGGCGAGTTCGGCGCCTCGTCGGCATCCATCCATTCGGCCGACCGCACTGTGGGCAGCACCAACGATGCGTCCACGCCCAGCAAGGGCGCCGGCTCCACGCTCAAGAACGCCTTCAGCCGCTTCGGCCGCAGCCGCGCGAACAAGGACTCGGCCAACACGCAGACGATGTACGGCGGGCTGCCCGACGAGCCCGCTGGCGACTCGTCGTTGTCGTCCATGACGCGCAGCAACACGGTGCGTCAGAACTCGGCCACGGCCGGCGCTGGGTCGTCGTCGCGCAACCCGACGCTGCTCACGCCGGGCGACGAATCGATCGACTCGATCGGGCCGGGATCCGTCACGGGGCTCATGGCGCCGCTCACGCCGTCGACCGCGCCCGCACGCAAGAACTCGGTGCTCGCCTCGTCGGCGGCTGGTGCCACGCCCGCACCCAGCGCTGCGCCCGTCACCACGGGTGCACCGCCCATGGTCGACTCGGAGGGCTACTCGATCCCGCCGCCGGACCGCAAGCCGTGGGAGACGCCTGCGGCGCTCGGAGCTGCGGGTGGTGGTGCGGCGTCGGGCGCGTCGCTGCTGGACGATGGCGAGGGCGATGCGTCGCGCGACACGTTCGACACCTCGCTCAACAACCGCGTGAGCACGATGAACATCAGCAGCCAGCCGATCGCCGAGGATGCGTCGCGCGACAAGGCGGCGCTGGAGCGCATGAAGTCGACGCTGCTCACGAGCGGGCCGCCGTCGCGGCGCGGAACGACGCGGCGCGACCGCCGTGATGTGCGCAACACGACGTACAACCCTGCCTTTGCCGGCGTGGGTGCGGGCGGCGACGAGAGCCGGCTGAGCCAGTTTGGCGCACTCACGGCGTCGCCCAACTCGAGCGTGCCCGGTTCGCCCTCGCCGTTTGGGGCGCAGTCGGCGTTTACCGGTGTGGCGGGGACGGGCAGGCATCGCACGCAGAGCATTGCGTCCGTGGCATCGTCCACTGCCAACGCGAACCCGTTCGAGGCGAGTGCGAGCACGTCGCCCATCCGTGCGAGCCTCACCGAGCGCGTGAATGCCATCTTTGTCGGCCGCGACGTGTCCAAGGTGATGGTCGTCGGCGAGCTCAGCGTTGCAGTGGGCGCGAGTCTGGGTGCGGCCGAACCGGTGCATTTGCGCATCGAGGCGTTTGAACAGCTCGAAAAGGCGGCTCCCAATCCGGCGTTCCTCAAGCCCGTACCGGGCGGTAGCACTCCGGGCGAGTATCTGTTGGATGTCAAGGCGGTTTTGGAGCAAGGGGGCGGTGTGGGGTTGCCGGGTAGTGGAGCGCAGGCAGTGGTGCTCAAGTATCAACTGCATATTTCGGACAGTAGGAAGAACGACTTTGTTCCGCTGCAGATGCATGCACAGTGGCGGTGCGAAGCGCACCAGACTTCGTTCCTCATGACGTACGCGCCCAATGCGGCGTGCAGGTTGACGGATGCCGACACAAGCGCGGCGACACCAGCCGTTCTGGAAGACCTCCAACTGGCGGTGAACATCTCGCCGTCGAGTGTGACCAACATCATGTCCAAGCCTACGGCGACGTTTGTGGGCGATACGAGCAGCCTGTTTTGGAAAATCACCGATGCCCTTTCGCTCGCCGATACCGAGCCGCGAAAGGTGCTGGCAAGATGCCAGATCGAAGGCAGCCCTACTGTGCCCCAACCAGTGCATCTGCGTTGGAAGATCAAGGGCCGCTCCATCGCTCCCATCGCAATCGCCGTGCGTGGAGATCACGCCGTCGGAGAACTCATCCGAACCTGCACCGCTGGAAAGTTCTTCGCCTCGCCTTAAAGTCCTTCTTCAACTTGTCACTCTCACTTGGTTTCCTTCCCCCATGTCGCTCTAATCCGCACCTCCCCTTCGCCAACGACCAGCAAAAAATGTGCCAAATGGGATGTGTTTGGAAAAACCATGGAAGAGTGTTTTTTTTTTCGGTACATGAGTATATCACCGCGATGCGGCGTGGAAAGCGGGCTAGTTGTTCTCGGGCTCGAGCGTGGTACCGCGACGCACGGTTCCCCAACCGACGAGACGCCAGTGCTTGTCGATTCTCCTGGAGAGGGCGATCTTCTCGCCTACCTCGGTGCACGCCGGGCTGGTGAGGAAGATCTTTGCGAGATCCGCCTTGACGCTCATCACTCTGCCGCCGGTGGAGGTGGAGCCGATGTTTACCATGAGCACCTCGTTCTTGGCGAGCTTCTGCACCTTGGTCTGCTTCTTGTCGTCCGACTTGACGCCGAGCAGACGACGCAGCAAAAAGTAGTTGATCTCCAGCTCGGTGTAGATGGCAGGCAGCTGGCCCACGGCGCCGAGCACCTGGCCCACCAGACGGTCCGCACGGCACAGCGTCGGGTCGATCTTGGTGCCCACGCCGATCAGACCGCCGGGCACGGCAAACTGCAGGTCGTTGTGCTCGGCGAGCAGCGACTCGACGCGCGAAAAGATGGGCTTGCAGTGGATCTTGCCCTCGTTGTCCTTGGTGACAATGCCCGGGCGCACCTCGATCTCCTGGCCGATCTTGAGCACACCCGACAGGATCGAACCACCGGCAACACCGCCGCGCAGCTCCTCGACCTCGGCACCGGGCTTGTTGACGTCGAAGGAGCGGATGACGATGAGGCGCGGTGGCGAGGTAAAGTCGCGCGTGGGCACGGGCACGCGCTTCACGATGTACTCGTTGACCGCGTCGATGTTGTACTTGAGCTGCGCCGAGATGGGGACGATGGGCGCGCCGTCGGCGACGGTGCCCTTGACAAAGTTGATGATGCTCTTCCAGTGCTCCTCGGCCGCCTGTTCGCGGATGAGGTCGACCTTGTTCTGGAGGATGATGATGTGCTGGAGCTTCATGATTTCGACGGCGGCAAGGTGCTCCGAGGTCTGGGGTTGCGGACACGACTCGTTACCGGCGATGAGGAGCAATGCGGCGTCCATGACGGCGGCACCGTTAAGCATGGTGGCCATGAGAATGTCGTGACCCGGGCAGTCGACAAAGGAGACGTGGCGGAGGAGGTTCATCTTGGCGCCGCAGCCGGGCACCTCGCAGTCGGGGTGCGGCTCCTTGTCCGAGGGATATGAGCGGTAGCACTGGGGACGCGGGCACTCGTCGCGCTCGCACTTGTAGATCTTTGCGTTGGCGTAGCCAAGCTTGATGGTGATGTTTCGGACGAGCTCGTTCTTGAAACGGACGGTCTGGACGCCCGAGATGGCCTTGACCACGGTGGACTTGCCGTGTGCGACGTGACCGATGGTGCCGATGTTGATGGTTGCCTGCTTGGCAATCACCTCGGGGCTGAGCGGGTTGAGGTTGTCATAGTCGATGCTGACCGCCTGCAGGTCCTTGGTGATCTGCTGGACGTCGCCGTTCGAGGCGACTGCTGCTGCCATTTTGGGGGGATGGTGTGGTTTCTAGCGGGATGACCCTGGTAATGGTCGTTCTTGGCGTGCTGGCGAAAGGTGAGCGCGAGATGCAGAGAGAAAAAACAGACGAGAGCCAGAAGCCGGTAACCGATGCCAAATGCCAGAGACGAGACGAAGAGGTGATGCCAACGAAACAAGCGCCAAGGTAGTGTCGGATGCTGTTGTGAGCTGCCGACTGGAGTGACGATGCGTTGCGAGACGAGTGTCGGAAGGAGGATGAGGAAGGGGATGGTGGTTGTAGCAGGGAAGTGGGCGGCGGTTGCAGTGATCACTCGAGCTCGCTGGCTTTGCAGCGCCGATTGGACTGGCTCTCGCCCTCACACCTCACACCCAAACCGCACCTGCAACTGAGCACCGAAAGCGCGACACAGCAGGCCGAGAAAATGTAGAAGAAAGGTCCCTTTGACAGGCCGGCGCGGCGAGAAGAAATTGTTGCATTTTCAAACTGCACTCAGGTTGCGAGTGCTTGCACGCCGCCTTCTGTGAGCTTTGGAGGAGTCATTTTTTTGCGCAGCACCACACGGGCGTCGCACGACTCTGGCTGGCTCAGTCTCACCCTGCCAGTCCACCCGTGCGAATGAGTGTGTCTTTCGTCTCGAAGCTTGAGCTCCATCTTCCGGCTCCTCGGGACCATGCTGCCCCCGACTCGCTTGAATGTAACACTTCGCTCTCATCCGGACCGGCATCTATGAGCTTGTACAAACCGCCGATGCAACACGACACACGAGCCAGCCATTCTGGCAGCGAAACATCAGTCTAAAGCATGTTCTTTGCGCTTACAACGTCCGACACGAAAACGACGGGCGAGTCGATGGCCAACGCAGCCCCTCCACGGCATGTGCAGGATTTAGTGGTGCGCCTCGACCTTGACGTCGGCAGCGGCCTCGCGGAGGAAGGCGTTGACGTCGCCGCCCTCGGTGAGCGCGCCCTCGGACGACGAAGCGGCCACCTCGGCGTGGTCGGGCTCGGCGGCAGCGTATGCCTCGAGCTGCGACGAGAGCTCCGACGACGAAGGCACCGCGGGCGCCTTGGGAGCAGCAGGGTTCTGGAACTCGCGGACCTGGCCCTTGTGCGAGTCGGCAGCCTGTGTGCATCGTGCGGCATGGGGTGTGTATATCGTGGTGCGGTTGGTGTCAGTATGAATTCACATGCGAGGTTGGCTTGGCATCGGTGCGGTGCTCACCTTGGGGGGAGCCTTGTAGCCCTTGAGCTCCTTGACGTAGAGCTCCTGGATGAAGTCTGTGCGGGCGAATCATAGCCACATGTACGGCGAAAAGGCGGTGATACCAGGGTCAGTTGGGCGTTGCGCGTCGATGGATTCGTCGAAATGTGTGTGGCCAATGCGTACCCTTGGAAGCGACAGCCGAGCTGGAGAGAGCTCGCACCTGGGTGCGCGAGGCCGATCGGACCTGTACAGAGCATCAAGGATCATCGCCAGCAGCAAAGATCGGGCGAAGGTGGTGTAGGTTGTCAGTCGAGCCGTCCATTATGGTATTCCTCCTCGTCGTCGTTGTCTGTCTGCATCATACGACGGTGATTGGTCGGTCGAGTCGTCCAATGCGTGTGGGCGAGATACGTACTGCGCCGAAGGTGGAGCGGGCGACGAGCTGTGCGAAGACCATTTTAAGGGATGTGTGTGGGGGTCGAGATAGGATGATGGTGATGGAGTTCGTCGCGCGCGAAGAATTGCAGCTGTCACTCGCTGAGAGCGATGGCGAGAGGTGCTCACGCCAGGGTGCTCGAATTGGCGGCGAGGCGTGGCTCGGCGGATCCGCGCTCAGCTGCACTGGCGGCGACGAAATTGTAGGAAATCGAGATTCCAACTCCTCGCCACAACACAGCGGCGAGCAAGCACCCCTTCCCGATGCGCCTCTGCGAGCAGCGACGGTTCCGAGCAGACCCGCTGCACCCTTTTGGGGCCCAAGTCTCGATCGCGTCCTCTCGTGCGAGTGACGTGCTGCTGCCAAATGACGTTGATCCGTGCAGCAGCCCGGCAGAGGCTGGCATGCTCCGCTCCACATCTGGGCTTCAGCTGCGCACTGAGCATCTCGTGCTCAGCCCGACCCGGCTCCCTCGACTCGCTACAACCCAACACGGGTCCCTTTCTTATCCTTTCCTTGCCCTCCAACCATCACACCCATCGTCCAGCTTTGCAACATGTCTCTCCTCCGCGTCTCCTCCTCCACGCTCGCCCGAGTGTCCAAGACCCCCACCTTTGTCATGGCCACCCGTGGATACGCCGACGGCCCCACCGACAAGGCCGGCGCCACCGCCTCCTCCAAGGGCTGGCAGCAGCGCGAACAGGTACGTCTCCATCCCAAACCCCCCAGTCTCTGTGTACATCAGTCGACTGACTCAAAATTGTTGTCTGTGGTAAATTCAGGCCCAGGAGAACCAGTACGTCCAACAGGCCGAAAAGGAGAAGCTCGCCAAGCTCCGCGAGTCGATCAAGAAGCAGCGCGAGCACCTCGACCAGGTCGAGAACCAGCTCAAGGACCTCGAGAAGAAGTAATCTGCGTTCATGCCTCGCCATCTCACCACCTCTCGCTTCTCGAAAAGCAATCCCGTGGCATATGTTACCATTGCAATAAATTCAAATGCATCGCCATTCTAGGCGCTCGAGCGCTCGGCCATTACGTGCTGCCAATCGGCCGCATCCGCCAGGCTGTGCGTCTCGGCCGCATCGACGTCTTGGTCGTCATGCTCGGCCGTATCGACGATCTTGTGCGCCTGCCCGGTGGTGTAGACTGCGCCTTGTTGCTCGAGATACTCGGCGTAGCTCTTCAGTGCGCCCAGGTCCGGGCTCTCGACGCGGCTGTAGGCGGCTTCGCTCAGCTGGGCGTTCTTGAACGTGTCGATGTTGCCGAGCACGAAGAGCGCGCTCTGCGCCCTTGTGAGCGCCACATTGAGTCGCCTCCCATCGGCTAAGAATCCCACATAGCCCTGTGCGTTTGTGCGCACCGTGGAGAAGAGGATGACCTTCTTCTCGCGGCCCTCGAAGCCGTCGACCGTGTGCACATCGATGCATCCGAGCTGCGACGACCGCGCCCCCAGCGCACCCGCTGCCCTCCGGCGTTCGGCCGACGTGTCGTTGTGCAGCATCTTTTCGAGCAGAATCTGCTGCCCTGCATACGGCGTCACAATCCCAATGTCGTCGCCCGTCAGATCCGGATTGCGTCGCAGCACATCCATCGCCACATCCACCGCCAGCCGCGCCTCGGCCACATTGCACAAGGACAGCGAGTTGTCCGCCTTCGACTCGCGGCCCTTGTGGTCGATAAAGCACAGTCGGTGTGCTTCGTCCTTGCCTTCCACCTGCGGCCAGTACTCCGACTCGACGGCAGGGATCTTGTCGGTGCCGCTGCCGTTCTCGAGTGCGCCGCTGTAGAACGTCTTGTTGGGAAACTCGGCGAGTCGCGGATGCATGCGGAACTGCACGTTGAGCATGGTCGACGGGATCTTGCTGCCGTCCGCGGCGGTGCTCTCGATGAGCCGTTCAAACAGGCTCTTGCTCAGCCCGCCCTGCTTGGCCTCGGCACTCGTCACCACCGGCGGCAGCTGCTTGTGGTCGCCGATGATCGACAGGTGCCGACATCCCTTCATGAGCGGCACCAGCGACACCGGCTCCGTCGCCATCGACGCCTCGTCGAAGAACACCACGGGCAAGTCGATCATGTCGAGCTCCGGCGAGCCAGCGGCGATGGCCGAGCCGCAGATCACATCGGCGCCGTTGAGGATCTCGCCGCGGATCGAGGCGCGCAGGAAAAAGTAGGTCGCCTTGAGCCGATTGAGCCGCTTCTTGATGCTCTCGTACTCCTCGGACGCCGTGCCGCCTTGCAACTGTGCCACCTCGCGCTCTTCCTCCCGCTCCGCCATGACATCCTCCCACGACAGCGCCGCACCTCCGCCTGTAGCACCAATGCCCTCCTCGCCTTCGTCTCGCACAGCAGGCGCAGCCACCGGTCCTCGCACCATCTCGTAGTCGCTCTTGAGCTTTTCGAGCGTGTCCATGCGGCGCTTGATGTCGTCGAGGCGCGGCTTGGCCGGATGGCGCAGAAAGTGCGCATCGAGCGTAAACTCGTCGATGCCCGCACGCGCGCGTGCCGACGGGCCGATGCGCACCACACGCAGCCCGGCCTTGATGCAGCCGTCGGCAAGGTTGTCGACGGCCACATTGGTGTGTGCGGCGAGCATAACGGGGTGGGGCACCTGGAACTCCTGCTTGAGCAGCTTGATGGCGGTGACGATCGTGCGAGTCTTGCCCGTGCCCGGTGGGCCTTGGATGAGCGAGACGCGCTCGCGCAGCATCATGGCCACCGCCTGCGTCTGCGAGCGGTTGAGTTGCGGCTGCGGATCGCCATCCACCACGACAGGATCGGGGCGCGAGAATCGGTCGTACCAGCTCTGCACACGAGCGTCCTCCCAGAATGCGCCGCGCGTGACTCGGTCGGCGGGAGGCTCGATGCCCAGGATCACATCGCTCAGACGCGTGCCCGAGAGGATGTACTGGAAGCGCGAGCCGTACTGCGTCTCGATGAACTCGACGTCGTGCTCGATGGCCTCGAGCGCCGCCTTGATGCGTTCGAACGTGAGGTCGTTGAAGCCATAGTCGAGGCGCCACGAGGGACATGCGACGAGGTCGACATCCTCGTCCCTTTCGTCAAACTTGAGTCGCAGAAAGGTCCGCTGCCGTTCCACCACCTCGGCCTCGATCACTTCTTCCTCGGCGAGCGGCTGCCCCGCATACGGGCCGCTCGTTGTGGACGGCATGATGGTGACCTTGTCTCCGGCCCGGAAAAGCGTGCGAGGCAACGGCTCGGCAGCATCGAGCTTGAAGACGGCAACCTTTTTGCCGAAATGACGGCGACTGTCGTCCTGCCAGTACGCCTGCAGGCCGTCGATGGCGATACCCTCGTCGACGAGCTTGTCGATGGGCGCCTTGCGTCTTTCGGCGATAGCAGCGAGTTCTTGGTTGCGCTCATGGTCGAGCAACTGCGTCCAGTTTTGTCGGTAGAGCCGCGCCTGCTCTCGGATGGGCTGGCGCTCGCCGTTGCGCTGAATGAGCTGCGCCGCTTTTTCGCGGCTCATCCGGAATGAGCGGTCGTCCATCTTGCGCTCGGCCGTGCGGCGGGCTTTGGCGGCAAACTTGCTCTCCTCACCAATGAGCATGGAGGCGGATGCCTTTCTGCGCTGCAGCGGTGTCGACTTGGACCCGGACCGGACGACGGGCTGCGATGGGACCGTACATCTTCTTCTCCAATCGAATCGGTCTGGATGCGCAAGGTAGGCGTCTCGGTAGAGATCTTGTGGGCGAGAGGGGCCGAAGGGCCAATGCGATGCTGCCATGTGGCGATCTAGGTCGAGCATTGCATCCGAGCATGTACGGTCGACCTGGGTGAAGGATGTTTCGCCAGTCCACCATGGTCCTGGTTCGCTACCGTGGGGCTGGGGGCGGTCGGGTACATGTGCACGGGTGCTGCGAGGGCTTGCGTCGGTGCCTCTGCGGCTGTACTGCGCCTTTTGCGTCTTTCTAGGGGTGGCGGACGGCGCGGGTGCTACTGTGCGGGAATCATTTGTACTGAGCGGCCCACGCTTTGCGGCGTGAATGAAACCGGGTCCCGAGTGGGAGCTCGAATGAGCATGGCGCGGAACGGAAGCTGTGGGGAGGCGAGAGGGTCCAGCAATGCACGCTTTCTCCTGCTGCGGCAGATGGGCAGCCGCCCAACGAGTGTTGGTCACCGCATGCCTAGCGAGGTGGTGGGAGGCGAGGCCGAGTTGTGAGGCGGGAATGGTGTCGAGGGCGGGTGCGCGGACGAAGATCTGCTTGCTCAGCTGTGCGCCTTGCAACGACCTTTGTGGATGTCTTGGAAGCGATGTGGTGAGGGTGATGCAGTAGCAATAGTGATGGTCGTGATGATGGCGGTGGCACATGCGATAAGCGGGCCTTGAAGAAGTGGCTTCTGCGCTCAGGGTCTTGCGAGCGGTGGCGCAGCTCACTCGCCGTCGTCTTCTCAGGAGTGTGCGCCCGGCTGAGTCTCAAGTCGCCCGCAATCCACCGGATCTTCGCCTCGTGCGTCGAAAATTGAAAATGTGGGATTTTCTCTAGATGGCCCGCTTCAGTCGCGGCTGCTCAGCGCGCTCTCGTTCACAAAAAGGGAGGCAAGAAAAGAGGAAAAAGAAAAGGCACAGCAACGTCTTTTCTCGACGCATTTGGGGTGACAAATGCCCATTTCCTCGAATTATTTAAAGCTTGTGCGGACGCCGGCAAGATGCGTCGCGTCAGAGAGCGCCAAACGCGTCTGCTGCGCCAACACCGCGGCCTGCTCCGCCAATGGACTGCATACGAGTCCCTGGCGGCTGTCCATGGTAGCCCGCGGTTCTATTGCTTGTCCTACAGTGGCTGCTGCGTATCGTAGCAGACGAACCTCAGCCAGACAGCTCGACCCCAAAGCAGAGGGTTGTCAAAAGTCTCATGCCGCCACTCTCGGATGCGCGGGGGCGGTCACTCTTCCGGTTCGTAGAACCAGTGCAGGTGCAGATGAGTAGTACGGGTGCGAATGAGCAGTCAATGATGATGGTATAAGCTGGGGTTGACGAACGGCAATGCAGTGGTTTTCTAAGCGTTGGAAACGCCGATGCGGTCACCCACGCGCACCATCGTCTCGATGCCGTTGGCCGAGTTGTCCTTGAGGTCCAGGTCCCACTGTACCTTGGCCTCTGGCGGGAAGACGCAGACGATGGTGGAGCCGCCGTAGGCAAAGTAGCCGCTCTCGTCGCCGCGCTGAACACTCGTACCCTGGTTGGCATTTGTCCACCCGATCGATCCCACCAGCATGGCGCCGATCGCCACAAACGCGACCGGGATGACTGGCGTCCCGGCTCCTTTGGGTGTCCAGTTGAGCAGCAGCGTGTCGCGGCGATTCGACGAAAAGACGTCGAAATTGGCATTGACGGCTTGGGGCTGCCAGGACGAAAGCCACGTGGTCGAACGCAGGCGATGTCGATCAAGTCGCACGCATAAAAGAATGTCAACGAGGTGGTGCACAACGCACGAGCAAAATCGATGCATATAAAGGGGGTCACGAAATTCGCAGAGAAAACAGAGCGGTCAGTAGGCCGTTTCAAAGGCAGCGTGAATGCAAACGCGCACAACCAGCATCGACTCACATTGACGGTAAAGTACTCCCCAGAGATGTGTCGTGTTGGTCCACACACTGTTGGTCCGACAGGGTGGTGGTAGCGGTGGTAGTCCGCCGGCGCCAGACGGAAGATGGCAAGCGAGCTGCCGGGAGGGAAGCTCCTGTCTGCCAGATTTGTGTCACCGATGAGCCTGTTGATGGTGAAGCCGTCACCCTTGATCCAGTACTTGGTCGATGCGGCCACGTTGTCGAACACCGTCAGCCGGCAGTCTGCGCAAGACGACACGATCGATGCATTATCCGGCTCGGCGATCGGCCGGGCACCCGGCCTCAGCTTGCGGAAGAAGAACGAGTTGAAGTTCGGATACTTGGACGGATCCGGCTGCAGCAGCTCTGCCGTATCGATCGAGTAGGTCGCGATGAACTTTTGGATATGCTCCAGCACCGCCTGTGGATCCGACTCGTCGTCGTACACCTTGCCCTGTCGGACCGAGACGGTCTGCAGCAGCTCCTCGACCGACTTGTAGCGCAGGAACGACTGCTCCTTGCTCTTGTAGAACAGCAGATGCATGCCTACACGCACGTAGATCGGCATGCTCTCAAAGATCCTTTTGCCCGGCTGCCCTCGTACCGCCACATAGTTGCCCATGTGGTGGGCGGCGAAGAGCCGGTCCAGCGTCGACTCCATGTGGCCAGGAAAGAAGCGACCCCACCAGTGCGTGTGACCCTGAACCGAGATCGGAGCTGGAGTGATGGCGTTGTGGTCCGAGGTGCCCGGCTGGAGCTTGTCGGGGGTCTTGTGCACCGGCCCGGCCGATACGAGGTGCTCGAGCACCAGGGCGAGCGCCTCGTGCTCGGCACCCTCCGCTGCGTGCTGTCCAGATGCCATTTCAATGCGACTTTCTCGAAGCCAAATGGGAGCGTCTGTTTTGGGCTGTTTGAGAAGATCGTTGCAGGGTGGCAAGGTGGTTGTGGAGTGCGAGGCACGTTCGAGTGTCCGGCCCGTGCGTGGATGCTGGTCCTGCCACTCTCTCGAACCGGCGGCTCATCTTAGGGGTCCAGTGCGCCAGTTTTTTTGAGTGAGAGATGTCAGGTCGAACATAAAAGACATTATGGAAAAAGCCCAACTCGATCGAGGGAAACCGCGGGCACCAGCCATCCTAAAACCCCGTCCCCAAGTCGAGAGATCAGAATGCAAGCCTACGCAACCACTATCCGTACGCGGGCGTTTGGCACGGGCCAGCGCCACCGCCCAGCCTTGCCTTTGCAGTCTCTGCGCACAGTCGCCTCTCTGCGTCCCTGCGCTGAGACTTCCGGGCACTTGGCAGCTGGTCTCTGATAAGCCGACCGAGATGCATCAGTCGTACTGTGCTGTACAAGGTGATGGCGAGACGAGACTTGAGATCCACGAGTCGATGTCAGCGTTGCGCGTGAAGCAACAGAAAGGGTCCTTGCATGTGCGCATTATTTTGAAGGTCGCGACGTGCAGCCTGAGCGGTCCGTGTGGGAGATTGGTGCCGATGCAAGAGCTTCACGATGCTAGCATTCGAGTCGACATCATGCCACACTCGCCGCTGCTCTAGCTCAAAGAGGCCGCCTATCTGAACGCAGCGCGACACTCGTTGGGTACGGGCAGTCGATTGTGCCTGCGTGCCTGCTTGCGTGCGTCGCTTCGTGGCGAGCTCGATCGAAAGGCTGGCTGGCTGGCTGGCGGGCGGGCAAAGACCCGCAAACTTCGTGCCTGCACGCCTTGGACGCCCGTGTTGCGGTGACGCAGAGGCCAGCCGCGTGTTGAGCTTGTGGGATTTGACTGCTCTCCTGCCGTGATCTCGAGTCGAGCCCGCGCCGGACTTGGCTGAGCAGACGCGAAAAGTCAGAATTGACTGGCGCACTGCCGCACAAAATGGCGAGGCGCGTCGAGCCTGACTCTGGCAGCGCAGCCAGGGCGAGCCAGGACCAGCGAGCCAGGACCAGCCAGGGCAGGGCCACTTTTGGCGGGCTCACTCAAAACCCCCCGCCAAATCGTCGCCCACCCAAAACCCCCCTTTGCCTTCCCTCCGCCAACTCTCCCTCACCCACACCACACACGCTACCGCCCGCACCCCCCGCCAACAGACATACACAGGTGAGCATATTCTAAACGCAACCCGCCCGCTACCGCACCGACGCGTCGAGACGTGTCAATGCCCCCCTATGCCATCGTCAATGGTCATGCTCCATCGCCACATTGCTCTCGTCGCCATCGCTCATCACGATCCGCTCGCGATCACGATCGACGCGTCGCCATCCATCCAGCCACGCACACATCCGTCAACATAGCTGGCGGGCATGGCGGCGCGAGCTCAGGCTTCGGGCGAGCCACCACATTCCAATTACCTGTCGCGTGCATCGTACGGCGGAATGGCCTCCTCATCGCCTGTGGATGGGTCGGATTTCGTCGTCGTCGCCATCAGGGCCAGACGGATGAAGCTCACACCATCGCAACGCGCACCGAGCCGGTCCTGGCAGAGCAGCTCCGCGTGCCCAACGCGTCTCGCTTCGCGTCGACGGACCGGAAATTCGCCGGTCAATTAAAAAAACTCGACCGTCGTGATCCTCGCTACCGGATCGCAGCATACTGACACTCTTGACCCTTCCTCGCCTCCTACTTGACCCGACGCGTTCAGTACCTCTGACCAAGATGGCCAAGGCAGACACCAAGACCAAGTCGTCGACTTCGACGCAGAAGCGCACCACCAAGTCCAAGAAGGACCCTGCCGCCCCCAAGCGCCCGCTCTCGGCATACATGTTCTTCTCGCAGGACCACCGCGAGCGCGTCAAGCAGGCCAACCCCGAGGCGGGCTTCGGCGACGTCGGCCGCCTGCTCGGTGCCAAGTGGAAGGAGATGTCCGAGGCCGAGAAGAAGCCGTACAACGACATGGCCACGCGCGACAAGGCGCGTGCCGAGGCCGAGAAGGCTGCGTACAGCAAGCGCCGATGATCGCATCGTCCCTTTCAGCTTCCCGTGATATCCCCCCTCTCCTGGCCTCTTTTGCACCCCTTGGGCGTGTCCGGCTCTCGATCGTGTACCATCTGCCTCGTTCCCGTTGGCTCTAGCTCCGTCCTCCCTCCCTCTTATTTCTCTCTGGCTTCGTTGTTGTCGCTAGCTCGATGTGTCGGACGCTTGCTTGGGTCGTGTAGGCCGTGACAGCGGCTGTGCCAACACTTGTACTATGATGTTTTCTCCCTTTCTTTCTGGTCGTGTGTGGGTTCAAGGCTGTGACGTGCGAAATTGCAGGGGCGAAGAGTCTACATGGTCTTGGCGCCGAGGACGCTCATGATTTCTTCGTAGACGGTGAAGACGATGCCGCCGGAGAGGACGAGGCGGGCGAGACGCGGAGTGGCGCCGCGCCAGAAGGCGAGCACGCCCTCTTCGCGCAGCGTTACGGCGGCACAGTTGAAGGTGTTGCGGTACTTTGTGCGTGCCTCGAGTGTCTGCATGCGCGTCTTGATCACGCTGTCAAAGCCAGAGGTGCAAGAAGAGGCGAGCGCGCGGTGTCAGCGTATCAGTTCATCAACGAAAGGCCAATGCCTGGGTAACGGAAGCGGAACTTACTCCAACGGCATGGTTGCATCTGCACAGTGGTCGATAGGGGACGATGGAACAAGGACACGAGATTGTCAGTGATACGAGGACGACACGAAAGCAGAGCAAGGAGTGACACTTACACACGGTGACGATGCCGGCGATGGCGCCGATACCAAAGGTGATACCGCCCGGCAACGACTGACCGGGCCTTGCGCTGCCGCTGACAAAGTTCTTGAGCGTCGAGTAGGTTCCGAATCTGACTGCCGAGTTGGCGCCCTGTCGGAGCATGACGGGGAAGAGACCCCTGTAGATGCCCCTGATGCCCTCCTCGCGCACGATCGCCGCGGTACCCGGCACGAGCCCGCGCGGATACTTGGGCACGGCGCGCTTTCCGTCGTCGATCAGCTTGGTCTTGATGGTCTCGGACGGCGTGACGGCAAACACTGCCTCCATCATACCTGCACCCAGTCCGGCGAGCAGCGAGCGCGGGCCCGAGAGCTTGCCGTTCTCGTCCTTGAGCATGGTCTTGAAGTGGTCGTAGCTCAGGAACCTCACACCCGCCTTGATCGCATTGCCCGTCACGAGCGCGCCGCATCCAGAGTAGAGGCCGATGAAGCCGTCCTTGGCGATGGTGTTGCGCACGATCGTGATGGGACCCGGCGCCTTCTCGCCCGCCTTGGCCGCAAACTGCGACACGGTCTTGGTATATTCGATCGGATACGTGGTGAATCCCTCGACAGCACCGGCGGTCGTACCGGCTATGAGCGAGTAGAGCGGCTTGTCCTTGCGCTGCGCCGTCTGCGTTGGCGTAGCCGCCGCCTTGCGCGGTCCCGGAGCTACATCCTTGACCGCACTGTACGCGCTGGAAGCGGCGTCGGCGATCGATGCGGACGCCGACGAAGACGAAGATGCGGTGGCGCTGCTCATAGCTCGTTCAGATTCCGAATGCTGCTCTGCGGTGCGGTGTGGGAAAGGGAAGCTGTCCGGGTGAGGTGGAAGTGGAGACAGAGGAGATGAGGTGGGCGTGAGCTTGCAAGAGGAGAGCAGCTGCTGACTCGGGCTCGTGCAGTCATTCTGCAGCGTCCAACTCTCTCTCCGGAATCGCTTTGAGCCCTTCTCTCTGCGCTTTCAACGGCATTTCGCCGATATCCGGTGAGGGGATTTCTTGAGAAGCAGCGAGACTATGGCGGTGTAACATCGATGCTAATTTTCAATCGATGGCCAGGCACACGTGACGCTGCTCCGCAACTGTTCGTCGGCGTCGACCTTCTCTGCCCCGCTCATACGGTCAACTTCCGCTCTTTCAACATTCATCACTCGCACCAGCAGCGACGGCGACATATTCAGCATCGCCAGCATCGCCAGCATCGCGCCCACGCTCCTTCTTGCGACGATAACCAACTCAATTTGCGTCGAGCGCCTCTTTACGCAACTCCATCTTACTCCGCCGCTACTGAGCAGCAGGCCGACGCCGGCACCATGGTGTACATCAAAGACTGGCCGGAGTTCCAGCAGCGCAGCATCAAGCTGTACCGACACAATCCGCACAAGGCGCGCTACCTCGTCAAGTCGCGCGCATCCACGTGCAGCCTCACGCTCAAGGTGACCGACGACACCACCACGCTCAAGTACCGCACGCGCTCGTCGGCGATCCTGGGCAGGCTGGAGATCTTCAACAAGGCCATGATGCTCGCCATGGCAGGCTCGGAACAGCCGCTGCAAGAGGCGAATCCGGAACCGCAACCTGCGCCCGCCGCCGCAGCACCATCACAACCCACAGCAGCAGCATCCGCTACCAACCCAGCATCCAACGGACCCACCTCCGCGACGTCACAACCAGCCGCAGCATCCGATAAGAAGAAGAAAAAGAAGAAGGGCAAGAAGTGAGCCCGTCTTCCAAGCATTCAAGCTGTAGCATACCGCAATTGCAACCCGATTCGCACAGCACACACGCTCGCACACTCGCACGCTGGGATGGAGCATCGACTCGAGAGATCGAAACTTTGAGAACGGGTTGCGAAAGCCTAATCGCGAAGGTCGAGGCTGGACACGAGTCCGGCTTGGAAGGGAAGGTCCTTGATCGTCGTCCTGCTCCTCTGGCTGAGGCGGAGGTATCGGTAGAGCAGAGACGCCGCGTCCTTGAGCACCACAAACGCGCCCGCGCCCACCGCGTTGCGGAACCAAACCGGATCGAGATCGTCGTAGCGCTGTGCGTACCCAAGCAGTCCCAAGCGGTCTCGGAACGCGCGCTCGTCGCTGCTGCCTTTGGCGCGATAGTCGGAATCCACACCCGGGAGGTTCCCACGAAACAGCGCCGCCATGGGTGAGGGTGATGCGGCATCAGCCGAGGTCTTTGTCGGCGTGGGCGTGGAAGTGGTAGTGTAGTACGAGCGCAGTAGAGAGGATGACGAGCCATCGTACACGCCTTTGATGCCGAGAAAGCGGGCGAGCGTCGGAGAGCCGCGCGCGAGTCGGGCAAGCAGTCGACCCATGAGATTGGCGATGAATGGCATGGCGAGTGCGCCGAAGAAGACGCGCGTGAGCGAGCGGTGCGTCACATACACCGTCTCGGTCACGTCGTCGGCAGCCGTACCGGCGCGGCCTTGGTGTGCGATGCGCAGCTCCATGGTCGGCTCTTCTGTCCCCTCGAGCGGTGCGGGTGTTCCCAGATCCGGATCCGAGTCCAACAGATAGCTGTCCGGTTCGCCTACGATCACCACGCGTCTGCGACGTCTGCCTGTCGAGCCTGGATTGGCACTGGTGCCGTTTCGGCGGTAGAACGGCTGCAGCACTGCTCGATACACTCTTCGTTTGAAGGCGAGGTAGAAGACGCGCACCCACGGCACGAGCAGCACTGTAAGCGCCGGTCCGGGCGGATACGAGCGGTTGCCAAACACGCTCGACTCGAGGTAGCGCTCAAACAGCCTTCCGTGCGCTGCGGTTGCCGTGATCATGGGCAGACCCGTGAGCGGAAACGCCGCCAGCGTAGGTACCCACGTCATGGCCGAGTCAAAGATGTTGAGCCTCGATGCAAACAGCGCAAACGGGATGAGGGGGATGTCGATCCAGTAGTGCCACGGCCACGGCGATGCGAGCGCCCTGCGTGCGGCGTGTTTGCCGAGAAACATGCGCATGGCCACGCACCCGTACGTCGTACACGCCACCAACACCGATCCTCCCACCAGAGCCACGGCGCCGATGGGCTGCGCGAGTGTGACGAGCCGGTCGACCGAGTCAAACAGCCGCAGCAGCGCCGACTTGTTGTTCAGCACGACGTACGGCGCTTTGCACTGCGGACACGTGACGCTCTTCTGCAGCGGATGGTCGCGGTTGCTCTGGTCGATCCAGCGCAGCAGACAGCCCTCGTGCGCAACGAGCGTGCAGTTGCACGGGTGGACGAAGCGCCGTCTCCGCGCCGCCGTCGTGCCAGACGATGAGGCGGACACAGAGGCGGTATCTTCTTCTTCCTCGGAGCAGATCCAGCAAGTCTTGTTGCGCAGGTCTCGCACCGTGACTGTGCGCTCGTTGGGCGCAGGCTCGCCTCGGTCTCCCGCGAACCTCGGCGGAAGCTCGTTGGGGAAGCGATAGACGCGAGCCGAGCCGTCGACGTTGCTATATGCATCGCTTACGGAGTGGCGTGGCTCGGAAGCTGTTGGTGATGGCAGGAGGTCCCTTTCGAGTCGGGCGACATCCTGCGACGGAGTCGAGGGACCAGCTGCTGGCTGCGATGTGGAGGTGGGGCTCGAGGATGCCGGTGCGGCGTCGTTGGAGTGATGCGGCTGCGACATATCGCGAAAGGACTGGATCAGGCGAGGAGAGCGCGGTTACCAGCTGTCAAGTGCGGTTGGTCGTGGTTCAAGGAAAGGCCTGCTAGGATGACTTCAAAGGGTAGGTACAGACAATGAGAAAAGCGAGCAGCTGGCCCGGCAATCGGCAATCCGAGCGCACCGCTGTCAAATCGCCGATCGCCTCCACTTTGTGCATTTCGGGGTGGCGCGTCCAAAAGTCACACCAATCCAACTGCGCACCGCGGCTGCCTTTCTTCCACGACTCAGCACCGTGCCACCAACACCAACACCTGCGCCTACCACCGACCACACTTGCGCCCACTATGTCGGTGCTGGAAGCGCCGTCGCAGGAGCAATGGGATCTCGAAGCGCATCGCATTCGAATCCCGTCAAATGCTGGTCCGAACCAGTTCGCCTCGACCTCGACCTCATCCTCGTCTGCCAGCTCGGATGCCAAGCAGGGTGGATTCTTCTACATCCCCAACTTTATCACCGAGGACGAAGAGCGCTTCCTGAGCGAATCAATACTTTCGGCGCCCAAGCCCAAGTGGAAGATGCTGCAGAACCGACGGCTGCAGGAGTGGGGCGGCCAGATTCATGCGAAGAACAACACGCTCATGCCGCAAGCCATGCCCGACTTTTTGCGCACCTATCCGGACCTCGTGACGCGCCTGCGCAACACGCATGCGTTTGATGCGGCGCAGCACGGCGAGCCTAACCACTGCCTCGTCAACGAGTACCTTGCTGGCCAGGGCATCATGCCTCACGAGGACGGGCCGGCATACTTTCCCGCCGTCGCCACGATCAGCCTTGGCTCACATACGCTGCTCGACCTATACCGCTACGTCGACGAGGATCTCCAAAAGGACTTTGACGAACGCATGAAGGAGCACGACCAGAAGACCACACAGCAGTCATCTGTAGGGACAAACGAGGATGCCGAGGAGAATGGATCGACCAAGTCGCCGATCGTGCCCAAGGAGAGAGTGGAAGGCAACGTGAGGATCGTGCGTGGCGCGCGGGCCAGGGAACCATCGCCGGTGTTTTCGATCCTGCAAGAACCGAGATCGCTGCTGATCACGACGGGGGACGTGTACAAGAGCTACCTGCACGGCATTGCCGAGCGCAAGGTGGACACGCCGGCGCATCTGGCGCACGTCGTTAACGCAGAGCTCCTCTCGGATCCGCGCTTGCGTGCTGCGGTCGAAGAAGCCAAGAAGAATGTCGGCAGCGACAGCCAGGATGCAGAGGGCCTCGAGAGGGACACGCGGCTCAGCCTCACATTCCGCGACGTGGAGAAGGTGAGCAAAGGCGTGGCGGCCATGATGGCATTCCTCCAGGGCGGAAAGCGTTAGCTCAATTTCAAAAGATACCTCCGATAGAGAAAAAGCCATCTGCCGTCTGTCTCTGCATTGCAGTTTGATGTTTCATTTCACGAGCGTGATGGCGGTGGAGTGCCGATAGCGAAGTGTGCGGCAGCGTCTAGGATGTGCAGCACGACTTGCGCTTCGTCGTTGTCTCTAGGCGCGTACACGAGGCAGTACGTCGGAGGCAGACCCATCGCCTTTGTTGCTGTTCCTTGTTGCGGCACCGAGCTGTTTGACCACCATCGGGCCGGGAGTTTGGGTCGCCAACGCGCGAGCCAGGCAGGCCAGCCTATCCAAAAGCCTGAATACGAAGGAAAGCCGGCCAGCGGGTGAAGTTCACCCCAACCCAACTCCACGACGAGCGCAGCATCGTGCGGGTGGAGCGTAACATGCAGACTGCTATCGCGTCCGTCTGGATTGGGGGAGCGCGTGCAGTGGATATGAGCAAACTCGCCCTGCAGAGACGAGAGGAATCGGCGCGAGAGCGTGCTAGGGAATCGAGCTGATCGCGTCGAGCGCGACACGGCCTCGGACTGCGTGACGAGCGTATGCGACACGGCGAACAGCGCGCTCGAGTCGGGTTCGATCTGCGAGCGCCCGAGCCGAACGTGCGAGGGTTGCTCCTGCGCCTGCTGGTCGAGCGCCGCCAGGACACGTTCCAGCGCATCATTCGCCGCACTTGATGCAGCTTCAGCGTCTCCCTCGATGCTGCTGCTGCTGCGAAACTGATCGATCTGCCGGTGCGGAACGGTCCCTGCTGTGGTGGGACGAGCGCCGTTGCGTCGGGGTAGCGATGCACCAGTAGTGAGAGATCGATCCTCGAGAGAGGCTTGCTGCATGAGAGGAAGGTAGGATCGAACGAGATTGCCGCTCGTCCATGACCGTGCGAGCGAGAGCGGCGAGAGCGCAAAAAAGTGCACTGCCCAGCCAAAGATGTTCTTGGGAAGCGGCCCGCCTGGAAGCGAGACGAAGAGCCGGTAGTCGAGCCACGCTGTCGAGACCACGTTGGAGATCAAGTAGGATGCGATGAGCGAAAAGGTGACGGGTGCCCTGCGGTAGAGTGCTACTGCCGACTGGGTCGCCGCAATGACGTGCGAGCGATCCATGCTGTGCGTTTTGGATGTGGACGTCAACAGACAAGGCAAGAAGCTCGACTGCGCCTCCACTTTGATTTACACGACGCCAACCAACACCTTTTCGACCCGATTTCGCGTTTCGCAGCCGCCTAAAAATCTCCGATTCCGACGCGTCCTTTCCGCGCAACACCGGCGCGCCTCAGACGCTCTTTCAGGGTCCGCCGCGAGAGCTCCACTCGCTGCTCCCTCTCCTTCACCTCTACCCACCACCACCTCGGCGCACATCCAATCAGCATGGAGGTCACACGCGTGGCGTCCACATCGCGCGGCGCGAGTACCTCAAGTGGCCCACACGAACCGCCCTCGAAGCGTCGCAAGCCCGACATGCTCGCACCCTCATCACCCTCCAAGTCGCGCGACCTCCTCCACCAAAAGTTCCACGGCCGCACCGCCAGCTCCATCGCCACCAGCATCGAAGAGCAGGAGCGCATCCAGGCGCAGCTGCTCGCATTCGCAGAGACACGCGCGCGCGCATCCTCGTCGCATCAAATCGCCCACCACTTGGACGATGACTTTCGATATCCTCCGGGCTACGAGCATGGTGGCAGCGCGGATGCGCGTGGACTGCTCGAGCAAATCAAGAACCGCACAGCCCAGCCCAAGGCCAGCAACTTTCTGCAGAAGGCGAAGCAGGTGCAGCAGGCGCTGCTCGACAAGCAGCGGCGCTCGGCGGATCTGCAAAAGGCACGGGACGACGCGTCGCTCAGAGAGAGCCTTCGCAGCTCCGGCTTCGGCGATGAGAATGCCAGTCGGGTCGAGCAGAGCCGTGTACCGTCGAGCGCAGCTGCCTTTGCGCGCGGCACCCAGCGCGCGCCAGAAGCTTCTGATGCCGAATCCGACCAAGACGACGCAGACGACTATGAGCACCCTCTGTCCGACACGCACGTCAGGCGCGATGATGACCTTGCGCTCATCGAGAGCCTGCGTCCAGGTCCACGCGCCATCCCGCCGAACCCAGACGACCCCAAGTGGGAGGCGATGGAGCCGTTCTCGGGCCACCGTCTACGCGAGCGTAAGCTCTCCCATTCGCAGCTCAAGGAGCACCTGCGCGCGCGGTACCACATCCCGCCCTCGCTGCTGTACTCGATCGCACGGCCCATCTCGGCGCACACCGGACACGGCAGGCAGGCCGACTGGAAATCTGCGCGCAACGGCGACTTTGAGGTGCCTGTCGACGGAGATTGGATCGTGATCGCGACGATCGTCGAGAAGAGCGACCTGCTGCTGACCAAGGGGTTTGATCCGAATGCCAACGCGCCTCGCACGTCCCATGGCAGACGCGATGAGGTCGACGACGACCCTGTGCTGTTCAAGGACGCTGCGACCGGTGCGAATGGCCGGCTGAGGCTCGATCTGGAGCCGGGCAATCCGAATGCGTTTGCCGACCCAACAGCCGCGGCCAAGCCCTGGCAGCACAAGGGCACCGTGACCGAGGTGGACGAGGAGCTCGATCGCCGCCGCGAGCAGCAGCGCCTCGCCAACCGTCCGCGCAAGTTTGTCGTGCTCAAGCTCGTGGATCTCGGCGTGGACCGTGCGCAGGCGGACGGCAGCGGCAGCGCGGGGCGGGGCGACAACTATCTGTCGCTCGTGGCGTACGAGGCGGACCAGGTGGACACGTCGAACGCAAACGGAGCGCGCAGCGAGGTCGCCGAGGTGCTGGCGCAGACAAAGTGGGTCAATGGCTCGCGCGGTGCGTTTGAGCTGCTCTACCAGCAAGCCGAGGGCACGGTGGTGGCCATCATGAATCCCAAGGTGCTCCGGCCGTTTGCGGTGGGCGCCAAGGGGGCGGCGGCGACCAAGATGCTGCGCATCTCTCCACGCTCCGCCGAAGACTGTCTGGTGATCGGGCAAGCTGCCGACTACCGCCGCTGCTCAGCGATGCGCGCCAATGGTCAGCGCTGCGCGAGCTTTGTCGATACCAAGGCGCGCAAGCAGACGCGCGCCACGGTATGCGACTACCACCTCAGCCGCCACATGGACGAGATCTCGCGCGGGCGACCCGAATTCGCCGCCAACGCCACCACGCGCTTCGGTGGGGCGAGCAGCGGTGCGGCCGATGGGAACACCGTTGGGGCGACCAGCACGTATGCCGCGCCGCGCAACAGTGATTTCTTACAGGAGCTGTATGCTCGCAAGCTCAACTCGTCGTTCGGCAACATTGGCGATGGAATGTCGGGTAACGGTGGGCAAGTTTTCGTGTCCGAGTCTGCGGGTGAGGCCTCGGTGCGCGCATCGGACCCAGGCAGTTGCAAGTACGCCGTGGCGGAGCGGTACGGTCGAGGCGTCACCGAGAAGCAGTCGCGCATCAAAAAGCAGATCGAGGAACAGCAGCTGATGCGCAACATCGAGGCGCGTTTTGCGCCCCGTCCTGCACCGAAAGCGCCCAAGGAAGCCGAACCCAAGCTGCGCGATGAAGCGGTCCTACCAGTGCTGCCAAACGGTAGTGCGGACATGATCAATGCGGCCTATTCGACGCTCGATGAGCGCAAGCGTACAGCGGCGCTGCAGCGGCAAGCGGCGGATGCAAAGCGTCGCAAGTACACCGGCACCACTACCGCGGTGGAGACCGAGGTGCACGAATCGAGACTGCGCTTTGCCCAGCCAACGCAAAGTGCGGGTGCATTTCCCATTGGGCCTAGTCGAGACCGCTCGCAGGGTGGGAGTTCGCGAACTGCGCTGCTGTCGCTGCTCAACAACCGCACACCCGCCGCGGCCGAACCGAGCCTAAAGCTCAATCGTGCCCATCGACCTAAGCTGCGCCGTCCTGTGGAGGAGGGCAATGCAAAGTCCGACCTCACCGTCGTAGGTGGAGAACTGGTGCATCTCCAGGATCTGGATGATTGGGCAGACGATCTCGACGACCTGCCAGCACAGTCCCAGCCTGCACCAGATGCGGACGACGATTCGGATCTTGAGATCGTATGACGGGCATGCAATACATTCAGCATTTGCGTCCTGTCTATGCCTGTGCACAGGGTAGAGTTTTGAATGTGGTGACGTTGAGGGCGGAACAGTCGAGTGACAGCAGGAACTTCCTTGCGTTGACGGAGCGGACCTTCACCTGTGGCTAGTCTTTGCAGGATGCTCGGACTGAGATCGTCTCCCGATGTGGCTCCGTTTTGAGTTTTGCCTCGAGTCGCCGTGGTGACACGGCGGCCCAAGCAACCGCTCTCGCACATGCGACACACTCCGTCTGCTTCCGCACATCTCCCCGCATCACTTCCACAGACTTGACTTAAACCCTCGTTCAACTATGAATCAATGAATGTCAGCGCGCAAAACCTTCCTTTCGACAGGCAATTGCGTCCCTGTTTAGAACAATGGCTGCGACGGTGTGCGAGACGGTCATGCGTCAGATGCTGGTTGGATTCGTGACAACTTGTAGTGAGTCCGTGCTTGCACGGTTTGCGGACAGGCTTGCTATGCCTGTGCGCTTGTCTGTCTACATACGGACAGTGTCATTTGCAAATCTCACGCCAGACCCGCTTGGTCTTGAACAAACCCCCCAAATGCCCTTCTCGGCGCTCGCACAGTGCGGGTCGCAGCTCATGTATGCACGTTTCCTCGCTGCCTGAAGTTCGACACGCCGCGTCAAGTCCTCCGCTCTGCCTGAAGTTCTCACCGCTACCTGACGGACACATTTGCCTTTGCAACCCACAGCTCGGTAGGAAGCTGCGATGGCGCGGCGTGCGCTGTTGGCCTGAATCACATTCCGATCAACACGAACAGATTTCCCGTATGTGCTTCTGCGATCCACTGACAGCGATTCATTCGTCATCACTCCGCTACACACCGGCCGTGCAACTCAAATGCAAATGCCCGCCCATTTCACATGTTCGATGTGCTCACACCGATTGCGTCCGCGTCCGCGGGTCAGCAAACACGAGTGATGAGCCTCAACACACTCACTGCCTGACCAACGAGACCCCACAGCCTCTGACACAAGCTCCGTGTGAAACGAAGCTTCTCCCTCTCCCCTTGCGTGCCCACAGCGACGAAAGCTTCTGCGTCCGCTCGCATAGCAACGCACGAGTGACACTTTTCTGACACAGAGGCTGTCACGGAGACTCACCCTCGACACACAAAGTCACGCAGAACACCGCACAGGGCCAACCAAGCCCTGTGTGATGCCGAGCTCCCTCTCTCCCTTACACTGCTGCGACGTGGTCAAATACATCCTCGTTCATCGAAACCTAGTTGAGCCCAAACTTTGTCAAGCTCGGGCTGATGTGCACGGCTCCCCAGTCCGGGCCATTGTTGGGCGTCTCGCTGTCCGCCGGATTGGCGTTGGCGAGCACGAGCGCGGCGGCATCTTTGCGCGTCTTGATGTACTGCAGCTGTGCCCTAAAGTGGCGGAGGCACGAGTCGGGCGTGGTGGGCATCTCCAAGAACCCACCGCCCACAATGGCAGGATGCGAAGCGGGAGCCCCGGCATCCGGCTCGGCCATGAGCGAATCCAAACCATTCGAAATCAACTCGACGAGCGAGTTGATGTACTTGGGCGCCACCGCTTCCACCTGCTGCTCGAAATAGTAGAGGTACTGATCGAGGGCCGAGCAGAAGATCTCGACGGTGCTACGTTCGTCGATGCAGCTGTTGGCGATGCGCAGCGACTTTTGCAGACATTCGAGCACGCGCTTGCCGTCCTTGAGCAGGATCGGTTTGGACTCCTTGCCAGCCGCTCCGTTGCCCGGCGCCCCCACGGCCGCACTCGGGTTGGCAGCCGCATTGCCCGTCGCCGACGACGAACTGGTAGCCAGCCGCGACGGATGTCCCGGCACCTCGGTCTGCCACCACAGATGACTCGCCATCATGACCGCCGCCGCCTGGTGCGGCTTCTTGAGCAGCTTGGCACCGTGCAGCGCCGCCTTGGTGATGAGCGTGTCGTAGTTGTCCGTGCCAAACACGCGCGCCGTCTGCAGCGTGCTGATGATGAGCCCGATCGCATGCAGCTGCGCGCGCGACTCGGAGATCGACTCTTCGTAAATCGTAAACGACTGCACGTAGAACTCGTACGCCAGCTCCTCGAACCCACTCTCGTCCGCCGACTGCGCCGCGAGCAAAAACAGCCGCAGACAAATGTCCGACGACTCGACCTTGTTGTACAGCACCGAGATGACCTGGTGCACAAACTTGTACAGCGTGAGCATCTTGGTCTCCCACGCCTCCTCCTTGGACTCGCGCAGCTTGTACCGCCGCGCCAGCTTGATCGCCGAGGTGATGAGCGGCGGCAGCGTAAACTTGATGCGCTCGCCGCCGTCGACAAAGTGCTTGCGCGCCGTCTGGAGCAGGCTGAACTGCGTCTCGAGCTCGTCGGCGCGGAAGAGGTGGATCATGCGTGCGATCCAGCCCTGCTCCTCGGCCATCTCCTCCATGTCGTACTGCATCATGTGGTGGCGCCCCATGCCGCGCGACCCACCTCCGTACGCGCCCTGTGCTATCCTCGGGTCGCCGCCGTAGTGTGCGTAGGCGGCGTGCCCGCCGGCACCGCCCGCAGCTGCATGCATGCCGGCGTGCGGGATGATGGCGTCCTTGTGGTCGCGGATGATGGGGCTGCACAGGTCGAGCACGCCGCTGACGTCTTCGGGCGTCGACATGACCGTCTCGTTGCGCAGGACGGACATGACGACGGCCTGTGCGATCGACTTGCGCGTCGTGTACGGCTGCACGGACAGCAGCGAGAGGTACGACGGCAGCGCGAGCAGCGTGAGCACGGTGAGGTACGAGTTGATGGGCGAGAGCAGCAGCGAGTTGAGGTGCGTCGTCGTCGCCGGGCTGTGCAGGTCCGGGCTCTGCTCGAACTCGACCACCTTTTCGCGCGCAAACGCCAGCACCTGGTCGACGTACTCGAGCTTGTCCGGGTAGCAGCTCAGCGAGAGGTTGGCGAGCGAGACGAGCAGCGCGGTGATGTCCTGGATCGAGAGGTCCGGGCGCGCGCGGATGAGCTGCACGATCTGCTCCCAGAATACCTCGAACAGACGCACATCCTCGGGGATTCCGCGGAACTTGCCAACGGGCTTCTCGGAGAGCGCGGCTGTGCGCTGAGCTTGCGCCGGTGCTGGTGCAGCGGTCTGCTTCTCGGCGTCGTTGCCGTTGGTCGCTGCTGCGTTGCCGTTGGTGCCATTGGCAGCGCCAAATCCGGCGGAGGGAAACTCTTGGGCGCGAGCATTCTGCTCCTCGCCGCTTTCGCCTGCTTGCGTGGACGTCGCTCCGGTGTCTGCGGTGTGTGCTGTGCTGCTGGCTGCAGTGCCGTCATCGGTTTGGGATGCCCAGGTAGCGGAAGCGGAAGCTGCGACGGATGCGCTGCTGGGGGCGTTGCCTCCCGAGCCCCAAGCGTCCTCGTCGAGGCCTTCGGGGATGCTGCGGAAGACAGGCTCTTCCGAGCTGTGGGTTGCAACGTTGGGTGCGGCGGCCGAGTCGCGGTCCGCGGAAGCCATGCCGAAGCCACTCGGCTCGACGGGTGGTGGGGGCATCCTGCTGAGGTCGGCGGCGGTGGGAGACGCGGGTTCGGCAATGTCGGCCTTTTTGGCTTTGGGGTCGCCCTGAGCGGTGACCTCGTCCCAGACGGAGCTGGGGCCTGCACTCTGACCGGTCATCCTCATCTGGCGGGTCTTTTCTGCCAGACGGCGGCTCGCCTCCTCTTCTTGACGCTTGATCTCTTCGGGGCTGTCGTTCTCCGCCTCTCGTGCGGCGTAGGCGGCGAGGCGGTCGATGAGGGCGATGACGATCTGCTTGATGTTGACCTTGGGATGGAGTGCGGCGCATGCGGAGAGGAAGGGGCCGAGGGTGCGGAGGTGGAAGTCGTCGGGGAAGACCTGGATGACGACTTCCATGAGGTACTCTTGTGCGATGACGTCCTTGCAGTTGACGACCTGTTCGAGGATGGAGGGGAGGATGGTGCGGCGGTACATTTCGAGGTCGACGCCCTCGAGCTGGCTGAGGCGGACGAGGTTGGTGCCGACGAGGATGCGGAGCTCCTTGCGCTCCATCTCGCGCTTCTCGCGGTCGCGCGAGTGGCCCTGGTGCTGGAGACGCACCCAGAGCTTGTTCATCTCGATGAAATTGGTGAGCACAAAGCCGATGCTGTCCTGGAGGTTGCCGCCGGGGCCCATGTCTTGGCCGACGGGCAGATAGTCGCGGGTGGCACCGCTGAGGTAGTGGCGGAGGAAGAGGCCGCGGGTTGGATGCTGGACGCCCCGGCTCATCTCCATGACGTCCTTCATGATCTCCTTGATGGGAGCGTCGGGTATGGACATGTATACGCTGCCGACGGTGATCATGAGGTAGAGGCGCGGGACGATGTTGCCGCAGTACTGGACGAGCTCGTAGAGGTCGGCGAGGTGGTGCTTGCCCGAGGTGTGAGCGTCGTAGAGGTAGATGGAGAGATGGCGCAGGGCGTCGAACACGGCCATGTCTGCGCGAAGAGAACAAGGGAGAGCATGGGGTTAGTCAGTTGGCCTCCTGCACAAGGGTCGCGGTGGATGAAGGAAGGGTTGGCGACTTACACAGCTCGTAGTAGTTTTTGGGCGAGAGCGTCGAGGTGCGGAGCTCGGAGAGCATGGTGGCGGCGCTCTTGAGCGCATCCATGACCTGGTCAGCATCGAGGCATCGCTTCATCTGCACGAGCTGCACCTTGACCACGTTAAGGGCCTCGGAGAGGACCTTGGCGGAGTCGTCCATGGTTGCGAGCCGGCGTTATCGCGAGGAAGCTCGTCCGGGGTCGTGTTTGCGAAAGTGAAGGAGCTGGTGGGAAGGAGCGTACCGGTCGAGTCGCGAACGCCGGTTGGGGATGGGCGAGGCGAGTGTGCAATTGTTGTGCTGCTGTGCTGTGCTGTGCTGTGCTGTGCTGTGCTGTGCTGGGTTGCATTGCTTTGGATCTGTGCGCACGCACGCTCGGACGCGCTCTGCCTCGCTCTGCCTCGCTCACGAACTCGTCTCGGGTCTGCCGCCCCTTTGCTGCTTCGATTGTCGCTCTTTGCTGCCCCTCTCGCGGCGAGGTTGAGGTGGAGCATTTTTTTTGGAATTTACGCTGTTATATCTACGTGTCGTTGTCGATATCTCCATATCACAGCTCTTTCTTCTGCTACAGTTTGTGTACGCAATGTTCGCTCTGGCCAACAAGCAACTGTCTTCGTGGCCTAGTTGGTTAGGGCGTAGGTCTCATACGTACACCAACGATCCTGCTTGCAGGAACAAACCTACGGAACGTAAAAGTTTCAGAAATCCTAAGATCGCGAGTTCGACTCTCGCCGAGGACATTTTTTTTTTTGCTATTGTTCGCCGTCGCCGTTCTCGTCGTCCTCCTCCTCCTCCGACTGGCGGCGGGCGCGGAAGCGGCTCGGCTGCAGCTGCGGCTTCAATCGACGTCGACGCGATCCGCACCACGCTCCTCGCACAGCGAGGCAACAGCTTCCGCTTCCGCACTTTGCTCTCGTGTACAGCGAACTCCGCTTCCGCACTTTGCCCTCTTGTACAGCGGAGGCCAAGTAGCAAGTGCGGAAGGGCATCGTGTATATATTCCGCCACTCACACTTCTTGGTCGTTTCCCCCTCCTTCTTCCTCATCTCTCGCTCAGTCCCTCATTCCATCCATTCCTCATTCCAACATCGAACCGACAACCATACTGCATTGTTCCATCAACACCTTTGACTATTCCGACATATCCTCCGCCTCCTGCTCCTCCTACACCATCGGTGATCGTTTCGTCGCTGGTAAGTTCAAAGCAGCTCTGACCCTTGGGTCCTTGTGCGTATGCTTGTCGTCGTCGTGATGAGGGAGACACACTGACATCTCCACGCAGCACTGAGCTTCGCACCTCTGGTCACCTGACCGCCTGACGCCGCCGCCGTCATCATGGCGACGCAAGCACCTGCTGACTTGTCTGTCTGGGCTCGTGGGCTCGAAGTATTACTGCTCACAATGAACCAGGTGCCGCTCGAGCTGCAGGAGAGGCTGCTCGACAGCAGTGCTGCACGCAGGGCGGTACTCGACGCTGCCTTTGGCTTCCCACCTCTCTTCAGCAACGAAGAGGCCTCCACCTTCCTTGCCGCTTGGATCAACCAGAACGCATCTCGTCTCCTCCAGCCTGACACGACTAGCTTTCAGCCTTCCACGTCCGCATCCAAACACCAGCAGACGACCTTTGGACGCAGCCGGCGACTAACCGAGGAGGCTACGCATCTGTGCATACGTCGCCCACCATCTTGGCTCATCCGAGCCCGACCCCTTCGCCAAAGCTTGAGCCACTCGAGTTCTTCACCCACGATCCACCGACTCTCGCCCTGCCACCTGTGGCGCTCCAGCACTCCGACCTGTCTCGCGGCCCTCATGCAGCCGCTGCAGCCGCCAATGAGGAGAGCGCGGCCACCACGGACACTTGCACTCTAGACGTCGACACTTCTGCTTCCTCGGCAACGCATGCTGCCCGTCCTCCGAGCAAGAAGAAGCGTCGCGTAGGCCAGTCAGCCGCTGCTGGCGATGCATCTTACGCGGCCTCCCCCCGCACCCGCACCCGCACCCGTTATGGCGATGGCCGTGAGCCCATCATCCTTCGTGGGCCCGAGCTTTCCAGCAACGACTTCACCTGCCCGAGTGTCCTGCGCAGCACGATTGGCACACTGAAGGAGCCGATTCCGTTGAATCTTGTGGTGAAAATTCGCAGGAACAACGGCACGCACTCGCGCAAGACGGCATTCCGCAAGATGATTGTGGACGTCGGCGATGGCGAGAACATGGTCCTGAGGGTTGACAAAGGTACCAACCTCTACGGATGGTATGGCGAAGAATCCGAGCTTACAGACGGTACGGTGGTGGTTCTGTGGAACTTGGAGACCAAGAAGGCAGCAGGATCGAGCCAACTCGTTTTTTTTAGCGCATCGTCAGTCGCAAAGGTGGTCTCTGCCACATGGATGGACGTCCTCGAGTGGCATCAAGCAATGCAGAAAAGGCTGCCACAAGCAGAGACCAAAGTGTTCGACGACATCCCGGAAGACTAGACCTCAAGGTAACGATCGCAACAGAGCGACGCGATCATGGTGCAAGAACAAGCTTGTACGATTCGTGTAACGTCGCATAACGAGAGACCATGCCTTTTCCAAATAATACTTAACGACCACAGACATGGAGGATAGTGTAAGGGGATTGCATTGAGTGACTGGTGTGGTGACAGTTGCACAGTGTTACGGGTGACAAGTGTAGTGCGGGAACGAAAGCTCAGCGCTCGGGCTTGTTGCGGAAGCGGAGCAAGGGGGCGAGGCTGGAGAGCGGGCAGGCGGACTGGAGGAAGGGATGGTGGAGCAGCTCGTCGGCGGAAGCACGGCTCTTGACGTCGGCACACAGACACACGGCCAAGAAGCTCTTGAGGTTCTTGGACAAGGTCTCTGGCTTCTTGAGCGTGGGCGTGCCGTTGGTGGCAATCAGATACAGCGCCTTGAGGGGCTCCTCGTCCAGATACGGGGGCTCGTTCTCGATCATCTCGATGGCCATGATGCCGAGACTCCAAATGTCGACCTTGGCACCGTACTCCTTCTGCTTGACCACCTCGGGCGCCATCCAGTAGGGCGTGCCCACCATGGTGGCGCGCTTCGACTTTTGGTCGGTGAGCTTGGCGCAGAAGCCAAAGTCGGTGATCTTGACCTGTCCACTGGCATTGAGCAGCACATTGTCCGACTTGATGTCGCGGTGGATGATGCTCTGGCTGTGCAGATGCTCGAGCCCCTTGCACGTCTCCATGCAGATGGCCGCAATCTGGTCCTCCTCGAGCGTGTTGTTGTCGATGACGTCCGTCAGCGCACCCCCCTCCATGTACTCCATAATGACCCACAGCTCGTTGTTGCGCACGAGGAACGAGTTGAGAAAGTTGACAATGTTGGGATGCTGCGACTCCTTCATGACCAGAATCTCGTTGACGATGAGCTCCTTGCGCGGCTGCTGCGAGAGGTCCATGGTCTTGATCGCCACGCGCTGGCCCGTCGCCAGCGTCTTGGCCACAAAGACGGATCCGGACGCGCCCTGGCCGACCTTTTTGATCTTGCTGTAGAGCATGTTGGGGTCGTCCGGGCTCACCACCGAGCGCAGCTTCTCCATGATCTGCGCCTCGGACATGGTGCTGATGCGGCGCTCGGCCTCCTTCTGCTGCGCCGTCTTCGCGCCGCCCTCCTTCTTGGCCATCTGCAACGGCTTGACCTGCGCAGGTGCGCCAGCCTGCGCCGCCGGCGCCTTGGCCGCAGCGGGTGCAGCAGCAGCTGACGGCTTGGCCGACGAGGGCGACACGCCGGCCGAGTCGCTGCCGAGCTTGAGCTCCTTGGTCTTGACGTTGAGACCCTGGACGCCGGCGTCGTTGGCCCTCGAGGCAGCCGAGGCCGACGGCGGCGGCGGGGCGGGACGCGTGGAGGCGAGCGTCGAGGCGGGCGTGGAGGCCTTGGGCGCACCTGGGGCGGCGGGGGCCTTGCGCGAAGGTACGAGGTCCGGATGCGCCGAGCCGGCGGCCGAGCTGGAGGCGCCCGGAGCGGTGCGACCGTACTTGGAGTCGTTGGATGCGGATCCGCCGCCGAGGCGAGACGAGGAGGCCTGCGAAGAAGCCGGGCTGGAAGCGCCGTGAGCACGGCCACCGTCATCGGACGGACGGCGGGCCATGGAGGCAGGCTGCGCGGGCCGCAACGCGGACGACGACGAGTTGGCGGCGGGTGAGCTGCGGAAGGCGTCCGAGGGCGGCTTGGGTGCGGTGCCGGGGTAGTGGGGCGCGTCCTTGGAGAGGTTGGAAGCCGAGTCGGCACCTGCACTGCCGGCGAAGCCGGTGCCTGCGTTGAAGCGGGGTGCGGACGAGGCGCCTGGGGCGTCGTTGGGCTTGCGGCCGGCCTGGAGGTTCATGGTCGGGGCGCCGAGGCCAAAGTCGTCGCGCTCGCGCTTCTGGATGTCGGTGTAGAACTCGAGCACGTCGAGGACGGCCTGGGGGTTCTTTTCGTAGTCTTCGCGCGTGATGGCCGAGGTGGTGAGCAGCTTGGACCACTGTTCGGGGAGGCCTGTGAAGGCGCCGCTGATGGGGTCGAAGCCGACGTGGACCTGGTGGACAAAGTTGGTGGGGGAGGAGACGCCCATGAGGGGCGAGCGGGAGTAGATGTCGTCCATCCAGCCGTAGAGCTCCTCGTCGCTCTTGAGCTGGAGGTAGAAGGTCTTGTCCTTGGTCTCTACTTCGATGCAGTAGGGCTTGAGGTCGGTGCGGGATACGTTGGAGATGTCCTTGAGGAAGACGAGGGCGACGGCCTGGTAGGTGGTTTCGTTCTTGTGGAAGGTGAGCGTCTGTTCGCGGAGGGCGAGCCAGCGCTTGGACCAGATCCAGGAGCGGATGCCGTCTTCCTTGACGCTAACCCAGCCCTTGCGGACGACGGCAGCGCCGCTGGTGGTGGCGCCTGGACCGGCTTGTTGCCAGCCGGCGTTGGAGCCGAGATGGGAGGCGGGGCCGCCTGCGCCCGAGGCGGTGGCGCCAGGGCCTGCGGGGCGGAGGGGCCCGGTGTAGGAGCCGCCTCCTGCGCCTCTGCCCATGGAGCTGGAGGCCGAGTTGTACTGGGAGAGTGGGGGTAGGAAGGGGTCGTTATGCTTGTTGGCTGGGACGGGCGGTGCGGGCCGCGATGGGGTTAGCGAGCCAAACGCGCCGGACTGGGAGTCGGGGGCGCCATTGGAGGCGCTTCGAAAGCCCGACATGGTGGCGAGTGTGCGGAAGCGTCAAGCAGAGAAGCTGCGATGGTGGACGTGCATAAAGTAAAGAGGTGGAGCGAGCGTCAGCGGAGTTGATTCGAAATCGCAGGATGGAGAGTGTGGACAAAGGGACGCGCGCAAGCGGAACCCCTTTGTCGCGCGCGTGCGCCATATCGCAGCGAGAGTTTGGAGTTGGAGTGGAGACTTACCTTGAGCGAACCTCGGGCGAGTACGATAGTATATGCCAGCTGGAGCTTTGGTGGGACGCGATGAAGGCGTGGCGTGTGGCAGCGGCCAAGTCGAGGAGAGCTTGCGCGCGAATGCAGATGCGCACCGCGCACGAGACGAGAGACGTTCGAGATGCGTGCGGCGCGGTCGTACCGGGCGTGGGTTGTGGCAGCAACCGTAGTCGTGGTCGTGGCGTAGAATGACGGACGTCGAGGGCGACGAAGTTGAGAGGAACGGATAAGGTGTTGGGGAGAAGAAGAAGAGCAGGAGTGTCGGAGTAGTGGCGCGCTCCAACGCACACGCAACGCACGCAACGCACGCAACGCACACTCTGAGCGGGGGAACACGTCGGTCGAGCTTTGGGGGAGGGGCAAAGGCGCAGGTGCAGGGCGTCTGAGCGTATCGGGGCGACGTGCAGCTCTCTTTGACTGCTTTGCTTGCTCGGCAGCGGCTTCGGCGCGTTGACTGCTTCTCCTCCTCAGCCGCGCGGAGGGGCTGCGTGTGCGTTTTGGCTGTGCGCGAATTGCATGTTCGTGGCGTGTGAGTGGGCGTTCGGATTGGCCTTTCTGGGGCGCCGTGTCTCAGAGAGCTCATTTCCACTTCCCACCGCCAGCAAGGCAGTCTCGGCGCAAGCGAGGCATCGCCATCAGTTCTAACAGTCGATAGCAGCACTGTTAGACCCTCGCAAATGCACGGGAATGGGAATCTCGCCGCTCAGGGTCCACTTCCTCTTAAGAAGAGGTGGAGCGAGGCGCACAGTTCACCCTCTTCATCCTCGCCCCACCATCTTCACTACACAGCCGTCATGCTTGCCACAACCACGCCTGTCCACACCACATAGCAAGCGCGACCATGCCCGTCGAGGCTCCCTCGCTACGCCGCGCACGCGACCATCCTCGCTGGTCGTCGCTCGTCGCCAGCACCGCCTCCTCCTCTTCCTCGCTTCCAGCCGAACAACGGCAGCAACGGCGCCAGCACATCGCCCAACGGCTGGGCCTGGCTCCATCCCACACCGAGTCATCTTCGCCGAGCGGCGCAGGGACGTCTGCACTGGGCCCGAACTACAGCGCACGCGAGGCGACGCTGCGCAACGACTATGCGCAGCACTACGTCGACACGCATTCGCTGCCTTCGAATGCGGTGCGCAATCCGTCCGCCTCTTCGCGCTTTGACGAGTATCCCAAACTGAAGCGGCTGGTGGAGCTCAAAGATGCGCTGGTCACGCGCGCTGCCCACCCACCCACTTTTCTGCGTACGGATTTGCGTCCTTCGTTGCTGCCGTTTCGCGATCCGCGCAGCACGGGCAAGTTTCACCTGGGCAGCCTGATCCCCATCAAGTACGACGTGGTGCTAATCGATGCGCCGCTCGAAGCGTATGCGTGGGAAGCCATGCCGACCGCATCCACGTGGACCTGGGGCCAAATCGCCGCTCTGCCAATCCCCAATCTCGCGGCCAAGGAGAGCTTTGTCTTTCTCTGGGTCGGCAGTGGCGCGGGCGATGGGCTGGAACGCGGTCGTGAAGTTCTGGCAAAATGGGGTTACCGCCGCTGCGAGGATATCGTGTGTATCCAAACCAATGCGGAAGGTGAGGAGGTGGGGTTGGGTGACTCGGTGTTGACTCGGTCGGTTCAGCACTGCTTGATGGGAATCAGGGGTACGGTAAGACGGTCGACGGATGTGCGCTTTGTGCACTGCAACATCGACACCGACGTTATCCTGACTCCCGAACGGGATATGCAGTGTAAGCCCGAAGAACTGTATCAGCTCATCGAAAACTTCTGCCTCGGCACCCGGAGGTTGGAACTCTTTGGACGCAATCGCAACCTGCGTCGCGGTTGGCTTACCGTTGGACTTGAACTTGGACCCGATTGCCCACAATGGCCTACGAACGGCGTAGTACCACTCCCAACACCCGGTCTTGGCGTGCTTCAACAAGATGCCCAACAAGATGCATCGCTGTTATCGCATCTTGAGCAGCTCACATATGCTCAGGCCTATGATAAGGCGACGTACGATGGGGCGTTTGGGGTGGATCGACCGGGCTGTGATTTGCGCGATCGCATCAACCTCGTACCCTTTGACGACGCAGTCGAAGCGCTACGGCCAAAATCCCCCCCGCCACGCATCCGCACTCGGGCACAAAGAGGCATGCCCAACGGCCTTAGCAACAATCCAGCCCTTCGAAACCCCCCGCCCTATCCTACTGATCCACCACCCCGAACACCACGAGGTGCTGGACTCTCAGGGCTAGGTGCAGGAGGTCGACGCACTGTCAGCGTCCCCAGCGGAAGCGACACCCTCAGCGGCCCCCAAGCAAGCGTCCTCAAAGCTAAATCCCTCAAACCTTCCTAAACCCCCACCCACCCTCATCTGCTCTAATACAAGCCAGACTTTGTCCGTGAAAAATGCTGCATTGCAACACTGCGCGTGGAATTTACGACCCAAGCGGACGTTCGAGTGTGAGTGCGATGCGGCGTTTCTTCTTGGGTGCCTCGTCCGCACCCGTGTCTGCACCTGCACTTGCTGATGGAATCGCCAATCCCAACCCAGCCCCCGACGCCACCGCTGGAGCCACTGTCGTCGCTGTCGCCGTACCGCCAATGGCGCTGGCATACGCCTCTGCCGCGGACCCCGCCGCCGGCACAGGCACCGACACCAGCTGTGCGGGACTCGTCATCTTGGGCGTGCTCGGCGCCGAGCCCGTCGTCTTTCCCTCTGCAATATGCGCCGGCGCAGGCACCCCTGGCGCAGGAGCCTTCAACGCCGGCTGTGCCGCAAACGCATACGGCACCCCCAACTCGGCATAGTCAAACACCACCACCGAACAGTACCCATCCGTCGACGACATCATGAGCGTCTGTCCATCCGGCGACCAGCTCAGATCGGTAAAGCTCGCATAGTGCATGTTGCTGAAGCAGCAAATCGGCCCCGTCTGCTGCGTGTCGTAGATCCACACGCTGTCCTGCGTCGCCACCGCATACACCATGCGGTACGGTAGCCCAATCACGCTGATCCCGCGCGGCGGCGAACGCGCATCCTGCCGCGACACGGGCGGAGGCGATCCCGCCGAACCCACCGGACCCGCCGAACCCGCCATCGCCGCCTCGGTGCGCAGCGACACCGTCTTCTGCTTGCCCGCCTCGAGCGGGATGGTTGGATGCGGCGCAATCCCCTCGTCATCACCGCCCGCTGCGCTCGAGCCGGCGCGCGGCGTGCGGCGCAGCTCATACAGGATCGGCGAAAAGCGCACCACGAGCGTCGCCGTCTTGTGGCCGGGCAGCACGGCGATGGGCGCGTTGGAGCGCGCCAGGTTGCCGCGCGCATACAGGTACACGGCGCTCTTGTTGGCCCCGCCCGTCGGCGCCGGCTGAGCAGCAGTCCCAGCGGCCGTCGCAGGGTTGAGCGTCGCGGGGCTCTTCCGCGGCGACAGATTCACCGTGGGCGAAGCCGGCTGTGGCGGCGGGTCAAACAGTCCACTAGGCGTGACGAGCAGCCCACCATCCGGACTGAACGACAGACGCCGGAAGAAGCCGCTAAAGTTCTCGTCTCCATACAGCCGCATCGACGCCTTGGCAAGCGGACCACCCAGGCCGGAAGCCGCCGCGGCCTGCATGCGCTGCTTGGGCGACGGCGGCGCGCGGATGGCAGGCAGCGGTGGGATGGGCGAGGGCGATCGGATGCTGCGCGTGCGCGACCCCGAGCGGCTGACGCTGCTGCCTCGGCGGCCGGCATCGCTGCCTGCCACACCGGCAGGCACGGGCAGCGTGTGGTCGTGAGCGGCCGCCGCCGCTGCCGACGCCGCTGCGGGCTTGTAGCCGTGTGATCCGGCGAGCGACGAGGCAGGTGCGAGCGAGGTGGTGCTGGTCGGAGGCGATCCGACGTCAATGTTGCTGCCGCTGAAGCTCGATCGGCGGCTGGGTGTGGTCTGAGGCGGATTCATGGCGTGGGCAGTGACAGCAGCGCCGTTGGACGAAAACGGACTCGGCGGTACCGACGCGCCTGGTGTAGGCGTTCCGGCGCGTCCCGACGGCACTGCGGCAGCAATGGCGGGCGACGCAGCCGAAGGCGCCGGCACCGCTGCCGAGGGTGTGCTGGCGCGCGCGACGGCTGCCGTGGTGTGCGTGGGATCGATGGGCGTGCTGCTGCGCTTGGATCGGCCTCGAAGGCTGGCGACGAAGCTCTCGCGTGCACCTTCACCGTCGCTCGCCTGGCTGGCGTGGCTGCTGGTGCGCCTGGGCAGCGCGGGCTTGGTGTAGTGCTGGTCCCACACGAGGCCGCCGGAGCTGCCGTTGCGACGATGCAGATCGAGCTTGGCGTTTTTGCTGACGAGCTGCGACGAGGCGACGCCATCCGAGCTGGTGGCATGGCCATGAGCGTGGTCGCCGTGTCTTCGCGTCTGGAGGTTGTGCACATGCACAGAGCGGTCGCTGCTCTGGGTAGCGATGAACTCGTTGAGCGGGTCCCAGGCGATTCCCTGGACGTAGTGGTTGTGTTCCGAGATCTCGCGGATGACGTGGCCGTCCTGGACGTTGATGATGCGCGCCACAAAGTCGGTGCCGCCGACGGCGAGCGTCTCGCCGTTGGGGCTCCAAGCCATGTCGTAGAGCTCCTGCTGGGTGGCACGGCACATGAGCTTGACGCGCCAGAACTCCTTTTCGAACTGCGTCTCGCCCTCGAGGTTGGTGGAGACGTCGCCGAAGCTGGGTTTGCTGCGGTCGCTGGGCACCCAGAAGAGCACGTTGCCGTCGTCGCCGGCGGTGGCGAGCAGCTCGCCCTTGGGACAGAAGCGCACCACGTTGACGACGCCCGAATGGCGCTGAAGCGTGGCGAGGTACTCGACGCGCGGCGGATGCGGGGCGACGACGGTGGAGCCCGAGACGGCCGCGGCGCTGGCGATGGCAGCGGGCGAAGGGATGTTGGGATGCACCATCCAGATGCGTGCGTTGTTGTCGCCTCCGGCGGTTGCGAGCCTCCAGCTCTGCCCGCCGGCCATGACGGGGGGATGGGCGAGCTTGGAAGACGAGGCGGCGGATGTGGATGCCGAGGCGTGCGAGGATGACGTGGACGTCATGGCGGCTGCGGCGGACGAGTCGAGCTCCGAGAGGCCCTTGCCCGGAGCCATGCCGGCGGCTTGGCCCATGTTGTGGTCGAGCACGCGCCTGAGGTGGTTGGCGGGGATGGGCTGGAAGGAGCAGCTGTAGATGGGCTGGGTGTCATGCCAGCGGATCTCGAAGGTGACGGATCGCACCATGGTTGCTTAATGACTGGCCTCGGCCGGGGGAGCCGACGGTCGTCAAGGTGTGCGCGCTGGCTGGAATGGCTTGGAAGAGCCAAGCAGTGTTGGTGGAAGGCGCAAGGGGCCGTGCCGCTTTGTCGTCGTCGTCTGCTCGAGCCGAGTGTGCACTGGCGCCGAGGGCGGCGTATGCGACGCGAGAAGGAGACCGAGTAGGACGGGCAGCCCGCTACTTGTTTGGGGCAGGAAGCTAGAAGTGCGCTGCTCGCCTCGTCCAAGGCGCCGTCGATGGTTGAGAGCGTGCGCTGATGGCGAGTCGGAAGGATATCGCACTGGGGCGCCGCAATGAGGTTGCGCACGAGGATGTTTTCGTATCGAGAGAGATGGGAGGAGGAGCGGTGGTCGAGGCGGTTGTGGAAGCGAAGAGCGAGCGCCGGGATCGAATGATGAGCACGAGCAGGATGGCTCACAATGCTTCATGCACAGAAACGGGGGCTTGCGGGCTTTTGGAAAAATTGCCTCGACTCCAAGAGCGGGAGCGGGCGAGAGAGAAAGCGAGCGGGAGAGAGGCGCGAAATGCACAGTCGGTCGGTCGGTGAAAGTGGGAACTCTGCCTAACGCTCGAGCCGGCCGTTTAACCGCGTCTACAGTCAGTCGAGCAAGAGGAAGTCGCGGATTCGCGCAGCCGGATGGCACCAAAATGAAGGGCTTTGTTGTCCGAGCCAAATGCCTTACGAAGCGTGGCGAAGCGTTGCGGGCTTGCGGTGGAAGAATTCTGTGCGGAGCGGAGAGCGGCAGCAAGGAGGTGTGGTGGGGGCGGCGCCGGCTTTTGTCACTTCTCTCTCATCTCTCGGTGATGGCCTGATAGCGCCGCGCTGCAAGCTTTTGGCGGATGTGACTGTGGAAAGTGCAAATTCATTCATAGCGAGGGTGACACATTGGATTCGGATGCGCATGCAAGCTTTAGCCTTGCTCTGCGTTTGGCTGCCTTCGGCTGCCAACGTCGGCTCAGCTCCTGCTCAGCTCCTGCTCAGCTTCTGCTCAGCTTGATGCTGTTCAGTACAGCAGAAGGGCTTGAATGAAGAGAGACTGTTCAAAGCACACATGGCCAAGACGAAGGACCGCCCGACCGCGACGAAAAATCGTGGCGAGCAAGGGCTGCCTCTTTCTGCTCGCCGAGGCAATATGCAGTCGGCAGAGATGCGCGGCACCTCCCACATGCTGAGCTCTCGATGCGTGCCAAGTAACCGTGCGGGATCGCCGCCGCTCATGCCGCCCTCTCGAGGCTCGATGGCGCGCCAGATATGAACCTCCCTCCCAGCTTACGAACCAAAGCTGACTTGGCCTCAAAGGCGGGCAACAATGCCAAGCGAGCCTCAACACTACGCATCTGTCCAAGTAACCAGCCGAGCGAGGCGCGGTTCTGGCGCTGGCGGCCTCATTCGCAGCAGCAGCCGACCCGCAGCAAACCCCCAACCGAGCCGCGGGATGCAACTCCCACTCGACGCCATGCCTCATCGTCAGGAGCTCGGTGGACACCCGCCGTTGGGTGGGCATCGCGCTGTGCGGTCTGCGGGACTCAGCTGCGCGCGGTCCGAGCGGAGACCGTTGCTGCTGAGCGGAGTCTTGACCTGGCGCGCCCATCCCTCCTCGCAACACCGCGATCGTGACGGTGGAATGCAGCCACAGCTCGTCCCCAACGCTCCTCATCGAAATCCCTGCAAATCTTCGGCTCGCCTTGACCTCCTCGCCCCCTCTTTTGACCCCTGCAACAAGAGACTCCTTGCGTGCAGTGCGCCTGCCCGCGGAACAAGGGTCCTCCTCTTTTTTTTTGGGTTCGCGACGCGACGCTCGGGCCATGTCTTGGATCGGCCAACCCGATCTTTAACCCCATCTTCCAGCTCAGCTCGTTGCTGCTTTCATTCAGCGTCTTAACGACATGAAGCCTGGATAGCTGTATAAAAGTCGGTGACGGTGTCGGATCGGCAAAGCGTGCCGACAGGCTGCGCAGATCGTGCAGAGCGAGGCGGAAGAAACATGACCAAATCTGGTCGAGCCCAAGCCAATCCGACGACGACGCGTCGCGTAAAACACCTCTGAACCGAAGCCTGCTCCTTCAATTTTCCGACCACTCGCCCACACTTTCGATCTCACATTTTCGACCAAAATTTCAATCTGTCACTCCTTGGGCGCTCTTGCAAGTATCACACACGGACAGCCTTGTTCCTTTCGCAATGGTTGTGAGCAAGAGGATAAATTGCATCACGGCTTCATCCTGGCGGGCACCCATCTGCGGATGGCCACCTCCTTGACAGCATAGCTCCTGCGCATGCGTAATGCCTCGAAGAACGCCGCGGGCGACTCGAGCGTCTCGGGCGGACACCTCTTGATGGACGGGACAAACACGTGGGCCAAAATGAGCGTCTTGAGCACCTGGCTCTGTACTCGATTCGTCGTACTAAACCATGTCCAATCTTTTCTCCCCGCATTCGGGTGTGGTGCGAAGGGGCCGGTTTGGACATCCGCCTCGTCTTCGTACGACGGGATGATGACGACGGCAAACTCGGCGTGCGAAAACACAGGTCCGCGCTTGTACAGCAGCAGATCGGCGCAGAATTTGATGCCGCTCTTGACCACCCAGCCGAGCGATCGAAAGTGGTGGTAGGCAACATAGTTGATCAGGAACGGATTGTCCGGTCGTGCGCATAGCGACGCAAGGTGTCGAGAAGCTAGCCCGCGCGAACGAAGGTCCAGCAGCGGCTGCGGTAGAGTCGATTCCAAGCACAGCTGGTAGAACTCGTCAAGCCCCAACGGTGTGCTTGTGTGCCGACGCGTGGTGGTGCGGATGTCCAGACAACCAAACATCGACGACAGGAAAAACGCCTCGACCAGAGACAGTTGCATCCTCTCTACGTCCACAACGTCAATGTCGGAGGTGTCGTTCTCTTCGTCCTTTGAAGCGGCGGTCTCGCTGATTTGGCCATCGACAGTGCTGGACTGCGCAGCTTTGCGCGCCTGGCTCGCTTTCACCTCTTCGGCAAAGTATTTGAGACCTTTGATGCGCGCCACACCGGGCGTGATATCCGGCACCTCCTCCTGTCCCGTCCAAAGCGCCGACTGCGCCTCTCCACCCATGCTGGCATCTGCATCTTGGTCGTGCGCCGCATCTTCGTCGTCGAGCTGTTCTTCCACCTGACGTTCGATGTCGGCCATGAGTCGGTCGTGCGAGGCACCGGGCGCCCTATCCGCCTCGGTCACCTCGCCGCCGAGAGCGAGGATTCCATCGGGCAGCTGCTGGCCTGCGCGCACGGCCGCTCGTGCGCGTTCGATCTTGAGTGCCTTGCGCTCCTCGCGCCTTTGCTGCGTGAGCTGCTCGGCCGTCATGCGGCCCTTGCGCAGCGCGTCGATCTCGTTAACCTTGCGCTGCCGCCACGTAGGCTCGGACCTCGACAGATTGCCCTTGCCAAAGAATCCGCGCTGCCACAGAAGCCTCACGCCCTGGTCGAGGTCTTCCACCCACACCGTGTTCAGGTTGGCGTCGTAGCAGACGGCGACTTTCTCTTTTTCTTTCTGTGAGCTGGGTGGTTTGCTCGTGGAAGAGGAAGTGCCCAGCGTCAGCAGCGACAAGAGACTCGACCACAGTGATGGCGCGGCTTCGACCCCGGAAGTGTCATGCTCCGAGGCACCGTCGAGTTCGACGGGGAGCGGCTTCGAATAGAGCTGATTTTTCTGCGCCGTCGCCTTCTTGCCTGCACCTGTGACGCGGTTGTTGGGCCCCCGTCCACCGGACTTGGACGACCCGGCTGCGTTGTTGTACGACCAGCCGGACGTGTTACGTTGCTTTGGCATTTTGCTGCTCGCAGCTGCTCGTGGATCGCTGGCGATGCTGTTGATCGTGGGTCTGATGGTGGTCGCTGTCTGCAGCCGGCTGGACTTCTCAAAAGACCCTGAATTTTCGGCGCGAGAGAGCTAAGCGGCAGTTGGCTAGAAAAAAGTGGAGTCGGATGGCGGTCGCAAAATTAGCTTAGTCACGATGACTGTGCTTTGTGGCGAACGGAAGAGCGCGGAGAAAGCTTAGTTGAAGGCCGTCATCCTCGGAAGGACTGAGCCTTCAACTCCATCCCAACCCATCCTCATCGAACACACCGGTCTATTGGATCGCCTCACGATAAAAGGAACGGATCGAACATCTCCGACTGCACATCACTCGTATCACACGTCATCATGTCGGTATCGGCTCCATCAAGGTCGCAGATCCTCCAGCTGTACCGCAGGTATCTGCGCACCTCGCAGTCCTTCGTAAGTGTCAACCCCAATGGCTTCGCCTCTCCGGCCTCTGTGCTGACTCTGACTGGATCCTTGTCTTGGTTTGGTCTTGATGCAGTCGTCGTACAACTTCCGCACCTACTTTTTGAGGCGGTCGCGCGACATGTTCCGTGCGACTCTGCTGCCGACGGAGCAAGCGGCTCAATCGTCACCGTTCTCCAAGCAGGGCTCGACGACTGCCAAGGTGTCGCCATCCACACTGCTGTCTCCTGAGCAGCTGCGCCAACCGTCTGGCAGTGGCGAGTCGATCTCGGCAGCATCGCTTACAGACCAGGAGAAGCTGTCCAAGTTCTACCAGACGGCGCTCGACGACCTCAAGGTGCTCCAGAGGTCGGCACTCATGAACCGCCTGTACGAGGGCGAGAAGCTTGTTGTTGAAAAGCCAAGACTCATCATCGGCGGCGGTGGCGCTGGTCAGGAGGCCGCCGTTGGTGGAGGAGGCCAGCCGACCTCCGGCCCACAAAGCTCCGGTGGCGCCCCTCCCAGCTCGTAAGCTCGTTTTCTCTAGTCTCTCTACGGATGAATTCATCACATAACCTCAGTATGATTGGAATGTGTGGCTGCACACAGGCTTATTCTCGCCAGACCAAACTTGTTGTGCGGGGTGCGTGGTGGTCTGCAACACCTGCTCGGCAGCGCCGCAACAGGTGGGCATGGCAATTGCAATTTGCTGCCAGGTGTTGTGAGTGAGTGGCCGTATTTTGAGCTAAAGTACAAAGGAACAGGAGCATGGTTGTGTGCAAATGGCCGCGCATGGGTAAATGAGAGAGTAAGATCCTTTTGATGCGACGAGCGTATGTGGAATGTAGAGATGCGCTGAAGCAAGCGCGGACAGTCCTTCGCGCCGCCTAGTAGTAGTATCCGCGTCCACGGCCGCGCCCTCGCCCACGGAAGGGACGGCCACGACCGCGCCCCCTGCCGCGCCCGCGCGCCGCGAGGCCGGGCATATTTGTGCGCTTGGCGGTGACCTTGATGAGCCTGCCACGGAAGAGCGACTCGTTGAGCACCATCGCATTCGCCACCAGCGACGGATCGGCAAACTCGACGTACGCGTAGCCCTTGGGATGCCCCGTAAACTTGTCGCACAGGATCGTGACGCGGTTGATGGTGCCGCAGCTCTGGAAATGTTGTTGCAGCTCCTCCGGTGTGGCGCCGTAGTCGACGTTGCCGACGTAGATGCTCCTCGAGTCCACCTCCTCCCTCTCCTCTTCGCTAGGGTGCAGTCCGGCGCCGCCCGCTTCGCCCGCAGCTTGTTGCAGCTCACGCAGCTTGGCCGCCTCCGCCTCCATTTCGGCTACGCGCTGCTTCATCGCCTCGATCTCGGCATCCTCGTCCGTCATGGCCGTCGTCTCTCCACCTTCCGCAGCGGATGTTTCGCTGGTGTGGTTGTTGTCGAGCGATGCGAGCTCGCTGGTGCCAGGCTCCGAGAGCGACACTTCCTCTTCGCGTGCCGACATTGTGTCTGTCTTTTGTGCGAGGGAAGAGAATTCGACTGTGGGTATGGGATACAGCCGCGTGCTGAGTCTGGAGAGAAGCGGATGGTCGTTGGTTGACAGGGCTGAGTCGCAAGTGGATGGCTGGATGGGTGGATGTGGTTGGGGGGAATGCTTCAAAACGGAAGAAATGCGCACTTTGGGCATTTCGAGCCGGCTCGCGTCACGTGATGCCGAGTGGAGCAAAAGGTCTGGATCATCGACTCGCGACACCTCCATCACTTCCCTCATCCACCACATCCGACATCGCATTCATACCCTGGAACGCCCGCATCACGCGCACATCCGCGCCTGCACGACACCGTACAGAGCACACTGCATCGCCGTTTTCACGCACTCCGCCTTTTCGACCGCAAAGTCCACGCTCTTTTGCCTCCACCCGTCTCGACCGCATGCTCTAAGTCTGCATCCTTCCAGCAGGGTGTTTTTCACCCTTGCTCACCGCGTCCTACGGCGCTGAACCAAGGCTTCAGACGAGCCTCGCTGCCACAGCCATGGTCGCGCGCCAGAAGCCGCCCACGGCGGCCGCCTACTCGGCGTCGTACATGTCGCTCGCCGTGCTGTCGCTGCTCTCCTCGGCCGGCTTCTCGCGGTCATCCGCGGGTGCGGCAGATCTGCTTTCCGAGGTCATGCAGCGGTACATTCAGCTGCTCGGCTCCACGTGTGTCCAGCATGCCAACCACGCCGGCCGCACCGTCGTGTCGCCGCAAGACCTGCGCGCGTCGCTCGAACACATCATGGGCGGAGAGCCGATCGAAGAGCTGCTCGACTGGGCCGAGAGCGAAGAGCGTCTCGAGCTGCACGCACAAGCTCACTCGAACGGCGTCAACGGTGCACATGCGGCAGCACAAAGCTCAACGGCGTCGGCGCTGCTCGATCCCATGCGCGGACAGGACCTCGTGCGTGTGCTTAACACCGGCCGCGTGGCGCCGTCGCCCAACGATGTGGAGCGAATCCACTTTGGCGCGCTGCCCGCCAAGCAGTTCGAACAGGCCGCAGCAGAGTCTCTCATTCGCGAGGGGCTGACCAACCAACTCGTCTGGCCCGCAGGACACGCCAGCAGCCAGGAGTCTGCATGGTCAGACGAGCTCGTATTCTCCGACGTCGATGATGCACACAGCGAGGCGTCGGACAGTGAACAGGCTGCAAATGATCCATCTTCAAGTACAACAGGACACCAGCCGAGCAAGCGCCGGCGTGTGTCGGTCGACGATTCCGCGCCGAGCAGGCGGTTTGGCGACGCGGTCATCGACTACGTCCCGGCATATCTACCGCTCTTCCCCGGCGCCTCGTCGGCAGCCGAATCGTCAGAGGCACCACGAGGCAGCAGGTCGGAAGAAGTTGCGACAGGGTCAAGCACAGTCAAGGCCGAAGTGGCGCCTGTCGAGGTGGATCCAGAGCATCTGCTGGAGGAGCGAAAGCGGCGGGAGCTTGCGCAGCGCAAGGCGGAGGAAGCGGCCGCGGCAGCTGCAGCCGCCGAAGCCGAAGCGGCCCAGAAGGAGGCTGCGGAGGGCGAGGGCGAGGGCGCAGCGGCCGTGCAAAAGACGGCGGAAGAGAGGGCGGCCGAGGCGGAGAAGGCGTTCGAGGCTCTACAGGCGCGGCGGGTGCTGCGCGATTCTTGGCTGGAAACGGTGCCGTACGACGCGTCGACGCTGGCAGCGACGTACGGCAAGGCGGAGCTGCGCGATCTGGAGCACAATGTGGCGGCGGTGTTGGGCGATGCGTCGGTCGCGTCGATCGGGGCGCCGACGTCGTCGCTGCGTGCGTTTGCTGCCGACTACCAGGCGCTGGTGGAGGACAGTACATCAAGTGGATCCGCAGGCATCTACCTGACGCCATCGGCGGCGTCGTATCAAGATGCGCTGGTGAAGCGGCGGCGGTTGGCGCATGCGCTGGCAGATGCATCCCGGTACGCGCCCAATGACAGTCTGTACGCTGCTGTGGCGGCGCGCCCATCGGTGCTGCCGTTTGTGCCGGGCCCGAGTTGGCTGGTCTCGACGCTTCCGCCACCGACGCTGTACGAGGACAATATCGAGGTGGCGAATGCGCTGTCGGCTCCTGTGCTGACGCCGTTGCGACCGCAGGGACGACCTGCCGCGCTGATCCCGCCATCGGGGGCGTTGGTGCCTACGCTGGGTCATCGACATCCGTCTCATTTGACGACGGGCGCGCGCGTGGTGGCTAGCGCGGAGCTGCTAAAGCGCGTGTCGCGGTACGACGATCCGATCCCCATCCTGGACGACAAGCACGCCGAGCGCTTCTTCCACGGCGTACCTGCATCGCGTGACCTTCTCGGCGGATCGGGGTCGAGCAGCGACCTGTCGTCCAACATCTCGTCTACACGCAGCAGTGGAGGAGGAGGATCGGGGAGTGGCAACTCGACGCTTCGACCTGCGCTCGAGAAGCTGGTCCTGCAGATGCGCGAGAAGGAGGCCGAGATCCTGCCCGAGGAAGACAAGGAGGAGCTGCAGAGGCGACAGCAGGAGCTGCAGCTGCAGTTGCAGGCGGCGATGGCGTCCGAGGGTGGAGCCAAGGACTCGGTCGTGTCGTCGGGATTGATCGCCGACAGCTATGCGAGTCGCATCCGGAACGGCAATATCACCATGGTGCATACGTGGGATTGGACGCCCAGAGACGCTTACGATACCGCCTTGCCCGGAAAGAAGGTGCGCAATCCCGGATCGAGAGGTGTGGGACCCGTGGCGCTCGAGAAACGCACACGCACCGAAAGCGCCACCTCCGACGCGGCCGACCTCGCACCCTCTGCCAGCACATGACAAGCATCTTTTGGAAGCAATGGCAAGCCGCTCTATTTTTGGATCGACTCGCAGTGTGATTGGGACTCTATGCTATGTGAGTGGGATGGAGACGTGTCGGACGACGGACCAGGAGCGGTTGCAAAAGCCGCGCAGGTTCCAGGGCGAGATCTTGGGCTGTTCCACGCCAGCCGCGGTGGCTGGTCATTGAAGAAGCAGGGCTTGCTCAGTAACGCTTCGCTCGGTAGTCTCGATTCATGGTGTGGATTGGTGGTACTTACTGCATCTTGCAATGACTGCGTAGCTGGTACTGGCGCTTGGAACGGGCAGTTGGACGTGCCACAGCGTCCATGCCCAGCTCCAGCCTGTTTGCGGTGGGTTCCCAGCGTTTTGTTGGTGGATTGAGGCTTGGCGCCAATGCAGATCATCGGGCAGGTTACGAAGCAGGTCTTCCGTGTCGGTATCGTTGCCTGGATCAGCAACGAGTGCAACACAGACGTTGGTTGCCGGCGATCCGTCCTGACCAACAGCATACCCCTTCACAGCCACCTTTCCGTCGACTTGGTCGAGCGGCTCGGCATCGTGCGCAGGCTGGGTGATGGCGCAACTCGCCTCGAGCCGTTGAATCGGCTGCTTCTTGTCGAGCTCGCGACTGCGAAAGTCGCCATCCTTCGCCTTGTCCGAATACTCCTTCTCGCGTTCTTGCGTGTTTCGCGGCGTAAGGAGTTTGTAGTCCTCGCGCATGGGGGGAGAGTCGCTTGGTGACGTCGAGACCTTGAGCGCGGTGAGCCACTTTACCCACCGCGCACCCACATGCCCGGGGACGACGGCCCGCAGCGGCGCGCCGTGTCTCGGTGTGAGTGGCTGGTGGTTGTACTCGTACGCTAGCAGGCAGGACTGGTTGGGATGCATGGCGGTGGTGAGCGGGATGGACGCGGCGAATTGGGCTTGCTCGGCGTCGTTGGACTTGCTCTTTTGCGCGCTGAGCAGGTGCAGATGCAGCGATTTTGCCCACTCGGCAGCCTGCGTCGAGCTTGACTCTTCGGACGGCTCTAGTGTGCTCAGCTGCTCGGAGGCGTGGTGTGCAAAGGGATCCGCTACACCCGCTGCGAGGAGCATCGAGCGGAGGGAGGCGCCGCCCCAGATGACGTTGGCTATCACCGCATTGCCCCACTGGATGCCTTCGGGTTCAGGATGCGAGTCGGCCAGCTCGGAGCGTCTGTTACCGGCACACTCGAGTGTAGCGACCACCTCGGAGAGTGCGAATTGACTTTGCAGCTGCTCGAGCGAGAGCACACGCCGCGAGCCACGGAGAGAGCCAGTGTACTTGTCGTCCGTCCCGTCGGCCGATACGGTCACGGTCCAGTTTCCGGCACTGGCTGAGCCATTGCTCGTGGCATCTTCGACACTCGAAGGCAGGGCGGATTCATGATTGCGGTTGAAGACGAGCTCGTTGGGCGTAATGTAGGCGTCGGTGAGCTTGCCCGAGAGGGGCTCTGTGTTGAGCGGCTGCGGGTGTTTAATGTCAGAGTCAGCTGCCTGCATCCATTGAGCCTCAGCCTTGGCCACGGTGAGCACTCACGCTTTCCTGCCTCACCACCTGTGACATATCGACTCGACCGGTTGTGGGTTGGCGGGACTTCTATGGTGGTTCGAGCGAGAGGATCTGTACGAAGCTGCATGCATGTGGGATTCCGATGTGGAGGGCGAGATTCTCCACGTGTTAGGCTTGAACAGTAAACAGCGTAAGACGGTTTGGGTTGGCCGGGCAGCTTAGGTAACGCGGCTTTTCGTGCGGAACTTTGGGTGACGACAGTTGGCGGTGCAGCGTTTGAATTGTGCCCAAAATATGCACGCTGTTTCGCTCTGCATGAGCTCCGAGGGTGCGGTGCGGCGTCGCTGTCGAGCCAAGCGGCCCCAACGAAAAAGTCAGGCCATTCTCGAGAGCCGCACCAGAGCGGCGTGAAATCGGTCAGCACAGCGCAACGGCAGCCCAGAAGAAAGTCGCGAGTGGCCACCAGAGTGAGTCCTATTTCACAGTCCAACACGCTTGCTTCCACCAACGTGTCAAGATCAACATTGCAGCTACCTTCTTTCTTACTGTCCACCATCACGCCACATCATCACACCTGCCATCTACCTCATCGTATCTCCTCAATCATCCTGCGCACATCATCAACACCATAACCGTGACCACTGGGCTTCTACACGCACCCACGCCCCAGCTGGTCAGCCCTTTCTTGAACACCAACCAAATCGTCATCCTTGCTTCGTTCCAACTTATACACAATGGCACCGACAACCGCCAACACACGCCCCGACATCATCGTCGTCGGCGCAGGCATCGTCGGATCTGCGCTCGCCTACTCCCTCGGCAAGTCCGGTCGCAAGGTCGCCCTCTTCGAGCGTGACTTTGACGAGCCAGACCGCATCGTCGGCGAGCTCCTCCAGCCCGGCGGCGTACGTGCACTCGCCAAGATGGGCATCGTCGACACACTTCAAGACATCGACGCCGTCCCCGTCGAAGGTTATCACGTCTTCTACGGTCCTCGCTCCGTGCCCATTCCCTATCCCAACGAGAAGCCCGACGAGGCCGGCAGAGGCGTCGTCAGTGCCAGCGGAAAGGTAGAGGGTCGCAGCTTCCACCACGGCAAGTTTGTCCAGTCCTTGCGCAAAAAGGCGCTCCACCAGCCCAACGTCACGCCCTATGAAGCCACCGTGCGCGACACCCTCAAGGATGCCAGCGGAACCGTGGTCGGCATCAGCGCCACCTGGAAGAAGGCTCCCGAGGGACAGTCCGACGCCTTCGAGGTGCGCGCGCCGCTCACCATCGTCGCCGACGGCTGCTTCTCCAAGTTCAGACGCACCCACGGCAGCTCCATCCAGCCCACCGTCCGCTCCAACTTTGTCGGCCTCGAGCTCGAGAACGCTCCTCTGCCTGCTCCGCACCACGGTCACGTCGTCCTCTCCAAGAGCGGGCCCGTGCTTCTCTACCAGATCGGCTCGCGCAGCACGCGCATCCTCATCGACGTCGCGGGCGAGAAGCTGCCCTCGGTCGCCAAGGGCGAGCTGCAGAAGCACGTCAACGAAAACGTCATCCCCCAGCTGCCCGAACAGCTGCGCGAGTGCGTCGCCAACGAGATGGCCAAGGGCCAACGTCTGCGCAGCATGCCCAACTCGTTCCTCCCACCCAGCATGCAGGGCCAGTCGCAGCACGCAAGGGGCGTCATCGTCGTCGGCGACGCCATGAACATGCGCCATCCGCTCACCGGCGGCGGCATGACCGTCGGTCTGTGGGATGCAGTCCACCTCACCGAAGCGCTCGGCGGCTCGGCGTGGACGCCACTTGGCGGCGACGCGCCGGCTCGCAAGCCACTCGAACTCGCCAACTGGACATCGGTCACGCCGGCGCTCCGCTCCTGGCACTGGAACCGCAAGGGTCTGGCGTCGGTGATCAACATCCTGGCGCAGGCGCTGTACAGCCTGTTCGGTGCCGACGACGAGAATCTCGAGGTGCTGCGCGAGGGATGCTTCAAGTACTTTGAGATGGGCGGCGAGTGCGTCAACGGCCCCGTGTCGTTGCTGTCCGGTCTGGCGCCGAGGCCGATGCTGTTGGTGGGCCACTTTTTCGCCGTGGCGCTGTACAGTATCTGGGCGCTGTTTGCGCATGCGCGCTACTACGAGGCCGAGAAGCGTACACGCACACCTTCGGTGCTAGAGTACCCCGCGCTTGTTTGGAGGTCGATTATGGTCTTCTGGACGGCGTGTGTCGTGTTGCTGCCCGTGGTGTTTACCGAGATGAAGGCGAATGTTCCGCGACTTAGTCCCGCGGCGTCGGCGAAGGGTGCAAAGGGCTCGCATCGTGGCTTTGTCACGGACAACTTTGGCCTCGTCAGCGCATCGATCTTGCTCATCGGCACGATCATGCTCTGGGGAAACGCGCGCGATCCTGCCACTGCAAGGAATCTCTCCAACTGGCTCGTGTTTCCCAAAGTGTCAGCTAGACCCATGTAGCCTACGACGCTGCTCATTGCTCTCAAGTATACCCTCATCTTCCCCACTCTCTTACGCACGACGATACTAGAAATGCACAGCATCTTGCTTTTTGATTGCCTCAAATGATGGCGGGGTGTGTTCTAGGTGTTGACGCGCGCCATCTTTTTGTCGTGGCCTTGTCGACGCGCTTTGTTGCCCTGTTTCTCCTTGTGTTTGGCTGCGCGTTGCGAGGGTGCCTGTTTGGGAACTCCCTGCCCCGTCTTGCCCGGTTGAGGATTGGGCTTGGGCATTCTTCCGCCGCGACCCTTATCTGGGCCGAAGAGCTTTTCTTCTCGCGCCGCATTGACTGATGCAAGATGGTCATCCAGTTGGGCCTGGGACGCCGCAGCGAGCAGCCGATCTTTGCGGGGATTACGATCCAGCATGACTGCCCACGACTCGAGCAGGTCGTCCGACCATCCTGTTGCATCGCGCAGCTTCTGCCTCTCTGCACTGCGTCTAGCCGCGGCATCCGAGCCGAAAGACGAAGCTCCCTGTTCGACGTAGTGGCGCAACAGCATTCGCTCGCGCACCTTGGCCTCTGCATCGTCTTCGTCGTCCGACGCGGCGCGCGTTTCGCGTCCATCCTCATCGAGGTCAAGCTCGTCTTCAACACCCACAGTGCGTGCCGGGGCCGCGAAGGGATTCCACTCCTCGTCCTCGTCCGACGACTCCGCTTCGGCACGCGCCAGAATCGCCGCTTTCAGCGAGGGTGTCAGCTCATCCACCCGCGCCGTACGCGCCGTCTTGGATGCTGCGATCGTCGACGCGTCAAAGTCAAACGCACCAAACACGTTCGCTCGCGACTTGACCAGCGACCGCCCAACCTCGGATGCGCGGGCCTCCATCGCAGGCGCAAGATGCGATGTACTTGCTCCGGCTTCCACGCTCGGCGACGCGGAAACGGCGGCACCCTCGTCGCCTTCCAGCAGACGCTGGATGACCATCTCTGCATTCTGCCCCACAAACGACGGCTGAGCAAGGATGGTGCGAAGCCGCGCCACGCCGTAGTGTGGCAGCACCGAGTCGACTGCCGCCACCACCTCGTCCGATACCCCCGCCGCCGCCGTCGCCGTCGCTACGGACGAAGGTGCACGCGGGCCAGAAGTCAGACGCTGCAGAACCGACCATGCTGCGCCGCTGAATCTGGGCACCGTCGACGTGAGCGCCTCGATGGACGACAAGGTCTCCCCGTACGAGCGATCGTTGGCAAGCGCGGCGAGGATTTGCGCGCGCACTGCGAGCCACGCATCCGCCGTCGCAGCCACATCGAGTAGTGCGGTCGAGTTGATGAGCGCCGACGATCCGCCTCGTACAAGCAGCTGCTGCGTAACGGCGAGCGCCTGCTTGAGCTCGCCCGTCAGCGCGATGTAGCTCTCGAGGCTGGCCAGCACGAGCACGAGCAGCTGCAGCACGTCGACGCGGCACGTCAGCCACTGTGCCTGCCAGCTTCCTGTGTCTACCTGCGCTGCGTCCAAACTAAGCACCTCGCCCGCTGAGCCTCGTGCGCCTGCACCACCTGCAAGGCTAGCGGCGTGCGGAAGCGTCTGGTCGTAGAGCTGGAAGCAGGTTCGCGCGAACGCGGCGAGGGTGTCTGCGCTGTCCTTGAGCAGTCGTGCAGGGCATGCGCTGAGGAATGCATATGCAAGCCTAGCCAGCGTACGCGTCAACACCACCGCACTGCCATCTTCGGACGACGAGCCTGCGATGCTTTCCAGCTGCGCGTGCAACCCTGCGAGGATCTGCTGCGCGTTGCTCGTGTCGAGCAGGCGTTCGAGAACCGCCACCAGCAAGGGCGTTGCCGTTGGCGGCGTGACGATGGCGAGGTCGACGAGCGCGCCGTGTGTGGGTACGAACGTCCTTGCGAGGGACGGATCGCCGCGCTCGATGAGTCGTGCGAGGATCTCGACGTAGCTCTGCGCGTGCGAGTGTACGTTGGCGGGCGGCACGAGGCTCGAGGCGGTATGCACGGCCAGCGCATTGAGCGACGCAGCAAAGACGCGAGCGACTTCCGGACGCTGCAGCGTAAAGCGCGCCAGCTCCGAGGTGGGGAGCCCTGCTAGGCAGCGGATAAGCTCGTGGGCCGGGTCCGTGCCGCTCGTCCCGTCGGCGGCAGCCATGCTGTCGTGCCGACAACGAGCAGCTCGCTGGGCGGGAAGTGCAGGCGTAGGAATAGCAGCACCGCTGTGTTCGCTCGCAAATGTTCGAGAGCTACCGGTCGCGTCTTGCGCGGTGGCTTGATGTATGCTAGTGATGACGATGATGGGAGCTGGTTGAGAAGGCTCGCTGCGTCAACTGTTCCTGGCCTTGGCTGAGTTTCGAGTTTCGAGCTTCGGCTTCTTCTTCTCGAGGTGTGCCTGACGTGTGATTTTGTGGAGGGCGAATCGCAATCGCCGATCCGCCGCCTTTTTCATTTCGCTATCTCATGTTTCATACCGCACCGGCCCTCGCTGTCCCAGTCGCACCGCCTCGTATCGGCAGCTCGCTGGACTCGTACAGACCCAAAGCAGCACGCTGGCTGCATACCGATCCGAGATAGGGCGTGAATTGAGCAAAAGAGCGAAAGCACACGCCTGCTGACGGGAAGTTTGCACCACAGCGTTGCGCAAGCGGAATGGTTTTGTGGCACGAAAGCATCAGCCGCAGTCACTGGGGGAACAGGACTGCGGGCAAAGAGCAGGCGTGCCAAAAGCACTATGATCGGAGCCGACGATAGATAAGCTCAGTCCTTCTTGGTGGAGACGTTGCCGGTGGCCTTGGCGAGTTCGTCGCTGAGGCGGTTGTACTCCTGCTGCTGCTGCTTGGTCTGCTTCTTGAGCGTGTCTGTTTGGATGAAGCGTGCGATGACAAACGTCAGCGGGATCGTCCGACAAAGTCGCCTTGCCGAACTCGCATGCGACTTACCAATCTCCTGGAGGTACTTCTTCTCGATATCAGCGCCGGTGCCAGTGGTCTTGGACTGCGTCGGACAAAAAAGCCGAGAGAGAGATAGCTCAGTGACTGTGGCCAAAGATGAGGTGAATGCTGCGATATGGCTGTACTAACTCCTTTCTTGAGTGCAACAAGCTCCTCCTGCGTGTTGATCAGGTCGAGGATGAGCGAGTAGGTGCGCGAGAGGATCCTGTGGGTGAAGAGCGATCGAAGCGTACTTGGAGTCAGTTACCTTCATTGAACACCGTACGAGCAGAAGTGACACTTACAGGCTGAGGAAGAGCGTGAAGCCAGTCAAGTACATGTTGCGCTGAGAGTAGAACTTGCGAGCGGCGTAGTTGGTCTCGGTTCGGACGTCCTGGACGCCGCGGTTGTCGCGGGCAGTCTCGCCCTCGCTCATCACCTTGACCATCCTCTGGACGGCGTCGACGAAGAGAATCGCGACGAAGCTGTGTATCGCAGCGAGATCAGCATATGAGAGGTGGAAAAGAAATCAGCAGCTGGGAATCCCACTATGTCGGTACGTGACAAGAGCCGTTACTCACATGAACGTGATCTTGAGACCATACTGGATCTTGGCGACCACGGGGTTGGTAGCGAGGAAGTGGAAGAGCTTGCGCCTCCAGGTGAAGGGCAGGGGGACCTGGCAGGATTCAAAGCGTCGACTTGTCAGCGCTTGCTTCTATACCGAATGCTGCGGCAGGCGGGCGGATTGAGAGTCTACTCACGATGAGGACCATGAACATGGACATCTCGAAGCACAACAGTGCAAAGACGATGCTGTAGTAGAGCGTCATATTGAGTGATGCTGCGTGTTGAATATGGTGTCGGATTGATACGGTCGGTGATGGGAGGTGGAAGCTGGGGAGGTGGAAGCTAGAAGCTGGATGGTTTTTTGCCAGGGCGGTGTTGCATTCCGTGTGGAGCTGGAGCTCGAGCTCGAGCGGCGCGAGGCTGAGTGAGTGGGTGCAGTGCAACACGGGCCATCTTCGTGCCTTCAGTCGCCCTTTTTTCCCATCACCTCTCTCCCATTTTCCGCCTCAAATTCCAACAGAAAAGGCTCCGCACCAAACGCACTCTGACGCAACACGACGTGGCGTGGGGGGGAAAGCAGCGGCGGCTGTGATCGCAGTATATTTTTGGCAAGCTTCTAGTCACACGCGCCACACCATCACAACCATCAATCACTGAATCGGTTTTGTTCTGCACAACAAATGGCGCTGCGCAGCGCTGCCAAATGGTCCATGTCACAAAGCAGTCGCAGCGCGTTTACGACGTCTTGCTCTTGACAAAGTCGCTGAACTGCTCCGTGTAGTCGGCGTGCCAGCGCGACAGAGCCGGGCGGTCCTGGATCACATCGTTGACGTTCCACTCCATACGCGCCAGGTCCGTCTCGCGCGGCGTCTCGTTGTCGGGACAGAGGATGTAGAACGAGCCGGCCTGGATGCGCTGCCCCATGAACTCGACCGTCTGCTCGGGCGTCCAGGCGCCATCTGGCTTGGGCTTTCCGTCTTTGGCGCCCGTCAGTCCCGTGTGTACCCAGCCAGGAATGAGCAGCTTGACATCGACCTTGCTCGCCTTGTCTTCGCGCAACTCGTGAGCAAGCGACTCGGTGAACACCTTGACCGCCGCCTTCGAGATGTTGTACGCCGGACCCGTGCCCGGCGGCGTCGTGATGCCCTGCTTGGATCCAGTGTTGATGATGAGCGCTTCCTGTCCGTGCTTCTTCAGATCAGGAAGGAATGCCTGGCAGCTGTTGTCCCAGTCGGGCAAGAGAGTAAAGGAAATAGGAACGTCAGTTCGTACTCCGGCAGCGAGAATCCGATTTCACTTCAACTTACACATTGACGACGCCGTGGAAGTTGGTGCTGAGGATTCGATCCCATCCCTCCGACGTTGAAGCCTTGGTAGGACCACCGACGCCTGCATTGGCCATCAGCACCGTCAAGTTGGCGCCACCAAACTTTTCGAAGACGCTTCGGCGGAAGAGCGAAACGCTCGTCTGGTCCGACACATCCAGCAACCCGACGTATGACTCGCCCTTTTGCGCCAGCTCCTGGCTTGCCGACTGCACGCTCGCCTCGCTGCGGTCGCCGATCGCTACCTTCATACCCTGCGAGAGGTAGTACTTGGCAGCCGCAAGGCCGATGCCGCTGGCTCCTCCGCTGATGACGGCCAGGTTGCCAGCCTTGATGGCAGCGTGAGCAGACATGATGATGGTGTTGTGGATGCTTGTCCGAGAGGGCAAAGATGGCTGGATGAACTTTGTGCGAATGTCTCGCTGTAAAAAGGATGAAAGCTAGGTGCAAAGGTGGCGAAGTCACTAAAACCACCGCCCCGCACTGACCAGATCGACCTTCCCGGCGGCACAGGCCAAGGTGGATAGCCGCAGCCAGAACTACTCGTACGAAAGAACCATCTCCTCCTTTGGCCCACCTCCTCTGCCCAAGTCGTTTCTCGGCGGTGAAAGCATCCGGAGCTCTGAGCGGTAGCTCCGAAGGTGCCGATATCATACAGCCTTCCTCGTCGCTAGTCGTTCTGTCTGATGAGCAAAAAAGCAGGTCATGCGAAGAATCCCTTTCATGACCGTCGTCTGCGGGGTGAGGCTCAACCTCGGAGGCTTTTCGCGCCACCGTCCAATTTTGCAAAGGCGGCCATGTGGCACGGCAGCCTCCTGCCGAAAAAAAGGGTCCGAGCCGCCAGACAATGCCATCCCGCAAACGCTCCGAGGGATCCGTGTTGCAGGTGCTGGTGGGCTTGGTTTCCTCAGAAGGTGGGTCGCTTTGGGACCAAGTGTTCTTGGACAGCTACCACCATCATCTCTTCTTGATTCCTCGCTTGGCACACAACAGGCATGACGCTGGAACGGCGGCACGGCTCGCCAAGCACCGCAGGCATCGGCCTCCTGCAAAACACACGCACCGGCGATCCTTGGATAGGTCAGCCCAAGTACACCAAAGGCATCGTCGCCACACTCTCGATCATCATTGCCATCTACGCGCTTGCCTCCCTTCGTTCTCGCTGGCAACAATCCCGCCGCTCCTACCTCACACGCTCCAGCGACGCCGGCACAAAAGCCTCAAAGTCGCGCCCCGGTCCTTGGGCTCGCGCTGTTGCCGCCCTGCGCGTGCTGGCGTACCGTCGCCTGCCCAGCTACCGCTTGGGTCTCATCAACTTGCGACTACCTGTTCTCGGCGCGACGCTAGCGCTGAGTGCCTTCATGCTCGGCTTCACCATCTGGACGTTCGTCGTTCAGCCCTACTACCGTGTGGATCGCAGCTTCGGCAGTCCACCGCTGGCCCTGCGCTCCGGCATGATGGCGCTCGGCCTCATGCCGTTCATCTACGTGCTGGGCTCCAAGGTCAACTTCATCTCGCTACTCACCGGCGTGAGCCATGAGAAGCTTCAAGTGTACCACCAGTGGCTGGCTCGATTCATGCTCTTCCTCTCCACCGTCCATGCGCTGCCCTTCATCCACCAACCTTTGGCCGATGGCGGCGTCGAGGGCCTGCGAGAAACGTTCTTCTCTGACAGCATCAACACCACGGGCGTCATTGCATATGCCTGTCTCTTTGTGCTCTCGTTTGCGAGCATGACTTCCATTCGCGAGCGCTGCTACGAGCTCTTCCTGCTCATCCACGTGCCTGTGGCCATCATCTTTCTCGGCTACATGTTTGTGCACTGCCAGGCAATGCTCACCTCGTGGAGGTATCTGTGGGCCACAGCGGCCATGTACATGCTGTCCGTCTTCTTGCGCTTCGCCATGCAGCTGCGCCAAAACAGCTTCCTCACCCTTTCCAGGTGCCGCATCGAGGCTCTTCCCAGCAGCCTCGCCAAGATCACCGTCGACTCGACCATGCGATGGAGGCCCGGTCAGCACGTCTTTGTGCGCTTCCCGGGGCTTGCGCCGCTCACCGCACATCCATTCACCATCGTGTCCATGCCCGCGCCCGACGAGCAGCAGCTCGTGTCGACGGTCGTCTTGATGGCCAAGGCACGCAACGGCCTCACCAAGCAGCTTTACGAGCTTGCGTCCAAGGCGCAATCAAATATCAGTGCATCCACGCTCTCGGCCATTCTCGATGGCCCCTATGGACAAGACGCAAGTATCGCAGGCTACGACCACGTCCTTTTGCTAGCAGGAGGCAGCGGCATCACCTTTGTGCTCGCTTCACTTCTCGAGCTGGCGTGGCTCTGGGAGCAGAAAGCAGCAGTTACTCGTCGAGTCCACCTCGTCTGGTCGGTGCGAGATGATCAAGCAATTTCATGGGCTCGCGAGCACCTTATCGCCGTCCATGCCCTTGCCCCACCAGGCTCGTTGCAAGTCTCGATCTTCATCAGCGACCCTGCAGCGACGTCCCGCAACCTGGATTTGCCGGCAGCCTGGGACTTGCAATGGGGTGTCCGTCCCGACGCCGCGTCGCTCGTCCACGAATCGGCATCGAGCACTACGAGCCAGCCGGTTTCTGAAGCGGGCGACATCGAAAAGACGCCGAGCAGCCCAGAGCACGAGCGAGCATGCAGCTCATCCACCGCGGCCGTCGTCGTTTGTGGGCCCACCGGCATGGTCGAGGACGCCTCGAATGCGGTGGTGCGCGTCCAAAGCGACATTGCGCGCGGCAAGCTGTCCAGCCTTCACGGCCTCACCCTCATCACCGAGAGCTTTGGCTTCTGAGCGCGGATGGCTTTGTCGCCATGGCTACAGCAGGGCTCCGGCTGGCGGGAGCGGCGGCCTGTCGCTCGGCCTAACAAGGTCGGGCGTAGTCGCACGCGCGCGCGCGCCTGTCTGAGGCGACTCGTGTGAATGCGCATCGGGAGAGCTTCTACACAGCGCGTGCAGAAGCCTCGGACACGTCTCTAATCTCTCCGCATGTGGGCTGAATACAAAGCCTTCTATGCAGCCCCTCACGGCCGTATTCAGCCGACGCACTCAATCGAACGAGCAAATACAAAAATTCAAATCGGTCGGCTCGACTCAGCCATGGCTGAGGTGACGCGTCAGCCAAACAAGGTTGGAGAGCGCAGTTGCGGGTTTTTTAGAGTTAGAATCCCTCTGCTCAAGTGCCTCATCGAAAATTTTCCAGCGGCTGAGCGGTGTCAGAGGTGCGGAAGGCCGACTTGTATATAAACCCCAGGTGGTTCCGGACGCATCCCCCCGAATTCGAATCCGAATTTTCCGCCTTCCCTTCTCACCACATCCATCCGCTCGACACTCAGTCTACGCGATCCCTGCTGCTCTCGCCCTGCTTTTCGAGCCTGTATCCGCCCCATCATAGGCAGTACAGCTTGTTCTTGCATCTGGTTGGCATTTCATCCTCGCACCATCCTTGGCGTTAGGTTCCAGCATCGCCCAAGCCTTGTTGCAGCTTGACTCCGCATCGCCGCACGATCAAAGAGGTCTTCAGTGACTCGCCTTTGTTCCACCGCGACCGACCGTTGCCTTTATCGACGACAGTCTCGCCTTCGCCTTCCTACTCCGGGCACCCAGCAGCATCGACCGACCGTTCTGACTTGTCGACGGGGGACATCGTTGTGCCTTGATTCTCCTTTTGCCTCAGACATCACCTTCACTGTTGATCGCCTGAACCCGTGCAATCGGAATCGACTTTGGGCACACGACACTTCTCGTTTGCAATCGCATCCATTACCAAAAACTTGACCGGCTCATCACCAGTCATCCGCCGATCCCGGCCCCCCTCTGTGCCTCCCACAAGCGCACATAGCCTCATCTGTCGCTCAGCCGCCGCCATCGGTAGCTTTGCCCCGTTTCTCCTTGTGAATCCGTCGACTTTCCCGGCCTCCCGCATCGCATCCCGCACTTGGCTTTGCAACTCTCCGCATACCTCGCCGCACCTCTTTGACGCCCGCGCTCGCTCAGCCCGCGCCGATCCTTCCTGGTCCGATCCTCTGTGAACGTCCGTCACTTCCAACATCATCCAACATGGCCTTCGGCGGTGTCGCTTTGCCCGGTTCGGGTAGCACCAACGGTGCCAACGGCATCAAGGGCCAACCCTCCTCCGGTGCTCTGCCCAAGGGCAACGGTGCTGGCGACGATGACAAGAAGGTCGCCAACGTCGGCAAGGACGCCGGTATCGACCAGGGCATCTCGGGCGTGCACGGTATTGTGCCCACGTTGCAGTGAGTATCTCGATCCCTTTGACCATCGGCCTTCGTCACCTTGGTCACCCGGGTGGCGGAGTGCACGTCGTACCGCGGGTCATGGTCTGTGGAGATTGGTTGAAGCCTATATTGACACTCGTCCGGTCCCGCCGCTCGTAGAAACATTGTGGCCACGGTCAACCTCGAGGTTCGCTTGGATCTCAAGACGATCGCGCTGCATGCACGAAACGCCGAGTACAATCCGAAGCGATTCGCCGCGGTCATCATGCGTATCCGCGAGCCCAAGACCACGGCACTCATCTTTGCCTCGGGCAAGATGGTGGTCACGGGTGCCAAGTCGGAAGACGACAGCCGCCTTGCGAGCCGAAAGTACGCGCGCATCATCCAGAAGCTCGGGTTCGAGGCCAAGTTCAGCGAGTTCAAGATCCAGAACATCGTCGGCTCGTGCGACGTGCGCTTCCCCATCCGTCTGGAGGGCCTGGCATATAGCCACGGTGTGTACTCGTCGTACGAGCCCGAGCTGTTCCCTGGTCTGATCTACCGCATGGTCAAGCCCAAGGTCGTGCTGCTCATCTTTGTGTCGGGCAAAATTGTGCTCACCGGTGCCAAGGTGCGAGAAGAGATTTACCAGGCGTTCAATCTCATCTTACCTGTACTGGCCGAGTTCCGCAAGCCCTGATCGGCGCGATCGACCTCTTTCTAATTACCCCCATCATCTCAGCAGCATCAACTCTCCCTTTCGCCACGATCCTCCTAATTGTCGTCACCACCAACCCCACAACCAACAGCAGTCTCGCAGCATTCAAACCTGAGGCTCGTAGTGGATCAAGGCGAGCGGCTCGACGTCGACGGCCTTGATCGCTGTAGCCTCATGCCTCCCTCTACCCCTCGATCGCCTCCCGCACTCGCACCCCTCCGCTCCATCGCTCTGTGCACTCGTTGTGACGGAGCGCTGGACGCTGGGCATAGACCCTCGTGGCGCTCTGCGCTCTTCTCTGGAACGTCCGCCATCGTAGGCATGGGAATCTCTCTTTGGCGTAGCAGCAACTCCCAGCGCTGGTCTTTGCACTACCGTCTGTGTGTGGCTGCTACGCCGCTCCTCCTCTCACCCCTCTCTCTCAACCGAACTCGTCCGTCGTCATGCTACACTACAAAATCCCATATCCAACCCCATCTGTACTAGTACCGTTTAGCTTTTTGTTGCAATCAAGCAATCTCGAGTGCGTCGCTGCGTGCGGCCCGCCGTTTGCGCATCTCATTCAGGCTTGGGTCATTGTGTTGTGCTGAGGTGAGAGGTGGAGGAGACGAGTTGGCGAGTATGCTCGTGCCTCGAAGTCGGCTGTTCAGTTTGCTCAAAGTCTGTTGGGGCACAGGTCCGTTTGTCGAGCTGTTGTACAGCGACATTCTGGCGAGAGTGGCAGCGAGACGGACGCAGGTGCACGGCTGTGACACCGAGTGAGCACACGCGGAAGAAAGACTTGTGCGACGTACGATTAGATTGAAGCGAGGGGCGATCAATCCGAGTAGATAAAGTTGTATCTGGAGAGCAGATGGGGGATTGCCGCGAGCTGTGGACCGTACCGTTGCGAGTTATCGTACAACTCGAACAGGGGAACTGCCAACAGCTTCATATTCTTGGGTACCGCCAGTACCTCTGCACGCCCATTCAACGTCAGCACTGGTTCTGTTGACGTGGCC